CTAAATTACCTACAGCCTAACGGATCTGGTAAAGCACCATCTATGCCATCCAGATACGAAGCGCCAACATCTTTAAGCCTTCCCGGACGACCAACATGGAGCCGTTCCCAAGCCCATAACTGAAGCAGAACAAGAGGACCACAAATGGTAGAAACAGTCCTCTTACTCGCCCGGCACAGCTCTCTGTAGAGAAGTGCTAAAGTAGCACTACCCCAACTAAGCTTAGCCACTTCATCAAAGTCCCTTAGCAGAGGGAGAAACGTCAGAGCCACATCATGTTTAGACTTATCCCCGTAAAGAAACCCACTCATCAAAGCTAAAACAAAAGCTCTAGTGTGACACTTCAACGTCTCCTCGTCAGGGTCAGCAGGTAAGTTCCTAAAATTATCACGCAGCCATGCTAATGACACATGAGAACCATGTAGATCCTTGGGACCTGGTCTGAGACCAAGCAGGTCCTCACATAGATCAGCCCAGTTGTATTTTGTGCTACCGGTTATCGCAGGTCCATCCACACGTAGACCCAACAGTATATTCACATCTTGCAGAGTCACTGTGATCTCTCCAGCAGGGAGATGGAAAGTATGCGTCTCAGGTCTCCATCTCTCCACAAGAGCTGTTATCAAAGCGTAATCAAGCTGTATAAAGGCAACCTTGTACACTCCATATAGCCCAAACTCGATCAACTTCTGACACACGAGAGGCTCCAAAGGCCAATCTCGCATGCCCAATAGCTTGTGCCGGCATGTCAGTTCACGAGGAGGAACCTGAAAGTGAAAGATTCAAGATTTTTTATAACGAAGCAAAACAAGATGAAGGATAGTGATTAACTAATAGTCTAAGACACACACCTCGTCTTCCCAAATGGCAGCTGATCTATGCTCATGTTGCCACACTAGTATAGATTGATCAACAGGACCAGGGTCCAAATCAAAGTTTAATACGTTTTGCACCTCCATCTACATGATATATCACATGAACATCAATACAATCATCAATCAATCATAGCATTTTTTGGCACATTGAAAGAGCCATTAGAAATGATATTTCAACGGAAAAAAAATGCTAACTTCCTGTCACCAAACGGTCAATGTACCAAATTTAGCAGCTAAATCCTAAGAATCTCAATAACTTTATTGTAATTCATGACGATTCTCGAGAGTCGAGAGACGAAGTAAGAATCTCAGCTCCCGAATTGTTTGAGTAACTACTAAACAAAAACTCAAAAAAGAAAGCTTCTAATTTTGGAAATATAAACGAGAGCTGATTTCAACATAACGAACCCTAAACTGGCACGAAGCAACTTGGAAGACAATCACCAGAAGATTCAAGCTAATTACTCATATACACAAACACAAGGAGCTAACACCAGAAACATCAAACACAAAGATATAAACCAATCAGAACAATTAAACAGAGTGGCTCTGCGTTTGATTAGAATTCGAGACTGTACCTGAGAAAGGCTTTCGTGATCAACAAAAACCAGAAAGAATGAATAATAAAGACGTTTGAAAAACCAGAGGAAGAAGAAAGAAGCAGAGAAGCGTTAAGCGGGAGAGAGAGAGAGAGGAAACGAGAAACAGAGAGCAAGCTTGAAAGCTTCCAGATCCGACAGAAGTTTTCGGCTTCTTCAACGAAAACGCTAAAAGGCACTTGTGAATTGTGATCCTTCTAGGTCGATCCGAGGATCTGATATTTTCCCTACTACGACGCCGTTTTCATCAAAACTTTTTAGTGGGCCCAGTTACAGTCTCGGCCCAGATATTGAAAGCACAATACGACGACTTTAAAAATGTAAACTCGAACTTTTGTCGATGTAACGACTAAAAGAGAATACAAATATTCGAGTCTCTCTAGAAATCGTCGTCGCGTTAGTTTTTCACAAAAAAGAGGTGCTTGTTTGAAGATTACACAAAGACACGTGGCGTGAACCCAAATCGTAGGAACGCCACGCGATGCTCTTTGCATGCACGCACACCTCTCGTTTGAACATCAAATCTCTCTTTTTCTGACTTTGATCTCTGAATCTATAACTTTTGTGATCTCTATTTAAGTGACCAGAAACTACTATATCCATTCACGTCAGTACATAAATTTTCATCTATAATATAATATAACAAGAAAGAAAAAAATGCCAGGGATCACACTAGGAGACACGGTGCCAAACCTAGCGGTGAAGACGACACATGACAATTTCAAGCTCCATGACTACTTCGCTGATTCATGGACCGTCCTCTTCTCTCATCCCGGTAAATATAATATTACTGTTACTATATCTTGATCTATCCGGTTTAACTCCGTAAATTGAACCAAAGTATGATCATCTCTAATTTAGTTATTTTTCTTGATTATCCGACACAGGGGACTTCACACCAGTATGCACAACGGAGCTTGGTGCGATGGGAAAATACGCTCATGAGTTCCAGAAGAGAGGTGTGAAGCTCCTTGGTTTGTCTTGTGACGACATACAGTCACACAAAGAGTGGATCAAAGATATTGAAGCCTTTACGGTACGATAAATTGACATGCATCATGGATGCATATATAAAAAAAAACTAATTAATCTTTGATCTCATCTAGCTAGCGATTTATCTTTGAGTAACACTTTGTGCTGTTTTGTAACATGTATGATATAGCCTGGAAGCAAGGTGACGTACCCTATAATCGCTGATCCGAACAAAGAGATCATTCCTCAGCTTAACATGATTGATCCCATCGAGAATGGTCCGTCTCGTGCCCTTCATATTGTCGGTCCCGATAGTAAGGTAAATTAACCATTTATAACAATTTCAATAACACTCATTGAAAACATTGCATTTGTGATTTAATGGTTGGTTTCTGATTTTTTACATACAGATAAAGTTGAGTTTCTTGTACCCGTCTACCACGGGACGTAACATGGACGAAGTCTTGAGGGCATTAGACTCGTTGTTGCTTGCGTCCAAGCACCAAAACAAGATTGCAACTCCGGTTAACTGGAAACCGGATGAACCGGTGGTGATTTCGCCTTCTGTGCCGGACGAAGAGGCTAAGAAGCTGTTTCCCGAAGGTTTCAAGACGGCGGATCTTCCGTCAAAGAAAGGCTATATGCGCCTCGCCGATGTCTTTTAAAAGACCCAAAATAATACAAAAGATGTTATATGAGCATTGTATAATATAATATCGACGTTTATAACGTGTTGACAAAAATATAATAGTTGCGTCGTGTAATGTGTGTGGTGTGTTGTACTCACGAGGGCATGGCCTTTGTATTAATAAAAATACCGTATGCTTCTTAAAGCGGTCTACTACGACATGACGACAATCTATCTAGTAGAATCAATAAACACTGAAAATCCTTGAGAAATTGAAAACATTTGTTAGGACCGTGTGTGGGGAGAGACTAGATTTGGTCTTCGGAGAGTTTAGTTCGTCAATTTGGTCGTGTTTAGTCTCCATCGTCTCTGAGTCCCCGAGAATTTGCTTTTCCTTCTTCTCGTGAGAAAAATCAATTTTGCTACTTATCATATTTTTTCCGGTTCAATCCGGTTTTGTATGGTTCAATTTAGAATGCATTATTAAAAATGCCAAACCAATCTGAGGACAAAAAATTTCTGTTTTTCTCGCTTTGCTCTCTCCGGGAGGATTTTCTGATCCGAGCAATCTCAGTCCAAAAGCTTGCTTTCCTGATTTCGCCGAATCTAATCTCTGGTTCGTTTCCCTTCTCTTTCCTGATTTAGCGTGATTTTCGCGTTTAATTTGGTATAGTGCGAAGCTCACCTGGTTTCTTGAGCTGGATGATCCAGATTTAACATGATGGTTTTGTGTTAGTGAAGACTGCATGTTGTAACCCGATGGAAGAAAGAAAAGTCATTTGCTTTTTATTTATTTATTGGATCCCATCTTGTAGCAACTGATTGCTATTATTGATTTTTTCTCATGGTTTTGAGTTTTTTGACCAGATTTGGAGATGTAATATTGTTTATCTTGTGGATAGTATCTGTTGATCATGTTTGATTTTGTTTCTCTGGGCTTGTGAATTACTTAGATCTGTAACGTTAACCAATGAGTGGTTCCTTTTACATGCTCTGTGACTTGCAGGAGAATTTATTTGAAGGACAAAATGAAGCATATAGTAAAGATCTTGAGCCTATTGGTGGCAATCTCTGCTTTCTGGATTGGTCTCTTGCAGGCTGCAGTTGTTCCTCGAACCCATACATGGCTGGTGAGTAACCAAACAACAACTGTCTTCTTTTTGGTTTGAACTTAGGATTGTGTCTTCTGACTTTGGTAATGTTCTTCCGGTTTTTTTGTTTGTTTACAGCTACCGATATACTTTGTAGTATCCCTCGGATGCTATGGTTTATTAATGGTTGGGATCGGACTGATGCAGTTTCCTACATGCCCACAAGAAGCAGTCCTACTGCAGAAGGTAACTTTCAGACAAGCTCTTTGTTTGCCAAATCTGGTCTTGCTCTTATTTTTCATCCTGCTCAGTTTAGACCAGGATCATGGAATCAGTGTTATTTCTTTGTTTGAGATCCCTTAATAATCTTTGCTAAGTAAGTGTTTCGTTTGTGTATTGCGTTGGATGCAGGATATTGCAGAGGCTAAGGACTTCTTCAAGCACAAAGGGGTCGATGTTGGATCAGATTGACACAATGGCTTTTAACGACCAACCGTTAGATATAGCTTTTCTTGTCATTGACAGAGACCTTAATTGTGCTGTTTGGATATTTTATAAGTAGACAGTGTTCCTCGCTTGTGCATTCAATTGCTATCGCAAAAGCAACAATTACTTTCTTCTAAACCGTTCTTCCTTTGCTTAATGTATATGGATGATGCCAAAAAAAAGCAAGCACGATAACTTTTGTAGTGAAAGAAACTATGTTCTCTTTGAAACATTGTTACATGAGGGCAAAAACACTTTTGTAGTCTTCTCAGTAAGTTCTAGAAAAAATTAAAAAGCCATAGTATCTGATGTGAGGAGGACAAATGAATAACAGAGAGAGCAGGCTAGTTTATCTCTTCTTCTTGCCACCTTTGCCTGACTTTGAAGAAGTTCCAGAGGTTGAGGTTGTGGCCTGAGGTTCCTGTTTCTTTGCTTTCTGAGATTCCTGCTTCTTCACTCTCTCCGGATGTCTTGGTACCAACTCTGCAATTTTCTGCATCAGTTCCTTCCCTGCAAATTTAAGGATAATGTCAATTTGCTGCAATGTAGTCAAAGAAAACACAAGAGCCTATCGAAGCTGATAAATTCAGAACGAACTTGATAGAAAATTTGTGAAGATAAAACGTCCGAGAAGTCAGATAAATGCTACAACTTGCACAATAACCTTAAGTTCCATATGCATAAGATGACATGTACAAAATACATAACAGCTTGCTCTCGCACATGAGGTTCTAGTAATAGCAAATACTGACCATGAATCAAAAACTTATGATCACTGGACAGCTCAAAGAGCCTTCAGCTCATAATTTGAAGAAATGAAGTGAAGAAGCTCGAATCAAGTGAGTTGATGAGATAAAACATTGATCAAAGTTCATATAAGAGCCTAGAGTTAAATAATAGCATACGACATTTACAGAATTGCAGGATAGTTGGACACATCCACAGATGGGTCACAAGAAGAGATATTAATAACACAACAAGAGTTACTAATGGCAAAAGAAAGCAGATTTCATATTAGTGTTTTCTAGGCAATGAAGACTGGATTCTGATTTCTAGTCAGGTATACAAAACTGCAAACTCAATAAACTGATCACTACGAGGGGGTAAGACTCTGAGAAAACTCAAAAGACGAATGTTCAAGACTCTAGAACCAAGAATGCAGATCTGAGGTCTTACTTGAAGTAATGGCTGGATTAAGGAAAGTCCCATCCTCCCTTTTCAACTGCACTCTCACTCTCCCTACTTGCATGAAATCACGCGGGTACGCTTTGTCAATCTGAAAATTTCACCACAAGATCTCAAATCACAAACCCTGCCAACAATTACAGTTTACAAAACTTACATGTTTCCCCTGAAATCCAATCGGAAGAAGGATTACCTCGACAGCACTCTGGAGTTTCAAATGCTTGCAACAATCACTAATCTCAATGCAATTAGGGTTCTCACATGCTTTACTCAAACTGATTCTCCTCCCTTCAGCTACAGTTTTCTTCGAGTTGATATACACTGGATACATCACTACCCATTTCTTGATGTTGAGCGCTCCACTATCCATCTACAAGATCAAGAAGAAAGACAACCAAACAGATTATTAATGCAACTTCTAAACCCAAAAAACTAGAGGCTAAAATGTATAATTACAGCCACTAAACCCCAAAACTAGAGGCTTGGTTTATAATCACAACCATTAACAACGCCGATGTGTTCATCGTCCATTGAAAGAGTTAAAACTCATAAAGCAGAAAATGTAAAAGGCAACAAACAATCTCGTTAATTGCTCTTAATCCCAAATCTCAACCCAATAGTTGAAGAATCTAGAAAGATACGGCCTAATACGCGATTAATCACATAGAAATACACAGATCTGTTTCGATTTCCAGGAAATTCCCGAGCATCGAGACCCTTAATCGTATACATGCGCAACATGGAAGATTGCTAGTTTTTTTGTTCCACGAATGATCAATTGACACTTCATTTGACACAAAGAGAAGGGGAACGAACCAGGGATTAGCTTCGGTGAAATCAGGAAAGCAAGCTTTTAGACTGGGATTGCTCGGATCAGAAAATCTTCCCGGAGAGAGCAACGAAGGAGCGAGAGAAATTTCTCAGTGAGAGAGAGATTTTACGTTTGACCTCGGATTGGTTTTTGACTTAATTAATAATATTGTCATCTAAATTGAACCATACAAAACCGGATTGAACCGGAAAATGATAATAAGTAAGAAAATTGATTTTTCTCTTCTCGGGGACTCGGAGAATGGAGACTGAATACGACCAAGTTCTTAGCTCCGTTGCTCAGGTGAAAATCGCCGACCAAATCGGTGACGGAGACGGCGTAAAAGTATCGTGCTTCACTGAGTTTTCCGATGATGTTACTCTCCAGTTCCAGATCATCCGTCTCGCAAAACAGGTTCCCGCTAATAACTTAACTTGCTTATTTTTTATCCTACTTTTAAAGTCTTCGATCTTCTTCATCGGAACTAAAATTGGCACTAATCGAACTGCAGATTTATGTATGGGTCGGTTGTAATTCCGCAAAATTCGGGAACTTGTACGCAGCCGCCTCAACACGACCGGTAAAATTCAGCAACAACATGTATTGTAAAGCAGCAATTTCATGGGAATTAGGGTTTTAAGTGTTCTGAATTCGTTTTTGTTGTTGTTGTTGTTTCTATGGAAGAGCAATATAGTGAGTGTTACTTCAGTACTTGGTGGAACATCTGATAACACTGGATCTGGGATTGCGCGTAGATTAGGTTTGAAGCTGATCCTAACAATCTTCCAATTACAAAAATCCTCTCTTTCCTGATGCTATATTGATAATTTTGTGTTGTTTTGTGTTTGTAGTTATGAAGACTGGTCTCAATATAATCCTGGCTTGCAACATTCCTAAAAACAATCCTTTGCTCGAGGTTCTTCTTTCTTTCTTTCCACTTTTGCTATAGTTTGTATCACAGAAATGAGAAAGCGACCAGCTTTGTTTTGATAATACTCTTTTTGAAGTTTCCTCATTTTGTGTAGGCAAAAGCTGAGAAAGTGCTGATCAGGAAGCTTATTGATCTTGGTTACACAATGCCGACACCTTTAAGAGCAGCGTAAATCAAAAGAGGGGAATTGACTTTAGCTGTTTCTTTAGTTTGTTTCTCTCTTCTTTGTGCCCCTACCATTTATCTGCAGAATTCATGAATGTGAATCTAACATGTATCTTGGTCGACATCGGCATGAATCTTCCTTTTTGTGAACTAAAAAGTGGGGTTTTTTTGGGCTCAAACATCAACTTTGCATTTAACGGATGAAACTTGCAAAGCTTGTATATCCACTTGATCAAAAGGATTATCCAATTTGGCATCAAATAATACAACTTGGGAACATAATTCACATAGTGAGTGAACATGTAGAGCCTCTTGAGAGTTGTAATTAAAGTTTGATGTATTGAGAAGAGACCATCTCTCCAAAATCGATCGAAGCTTGGGTAGTTTTCTTGCTGCCCAAAAGGTTGGGGGTTTTAAGGCTATTACTCGTTTTTAGAGGATCATATGTGTAATATACTTATGTTTACTCTCGTCGTATGTATCATCCCTTAATTTGGTCACTCTTTCTTTCGCCTCTCAGTTCGAAATTCGCCGTCTTTGTCTCTCCGATTCTCAATCTTGACTTTCTTCCCGTCGGAATCTCTGTTTCCGATCATCTGAGTTCTGTCGCTTGACTTTAGTCCTCTTGCTGACTAGGTTAGGGCTCTGTTTCCACACTGCTGAGAAAGTGCGACAAGTAGAAAATCAAACAAATTTCTGGAAACAGTCCAAACTTATTAAACGTTAATGGCTTTCTGGTTTTCAGAAACTCGTTAATTGATAGAGATAAACGCATCGTTTTCATAGTATGATTGTTTTCTTTCTACCCCGTACTTCAATCGCTAATTTCTTTAGCTCAATTCGATGATCACAAGGCCGTATCTTTCAAATTAGATTAGATTGCATCCAACACCAAATCAAACCGATTTGAACACACCAAAATCTACGGCCAAAGAGAACATTGGGAGCATAAAAATGAGTTTGCTTTGGGAAATTCTCTTTTATATGCCAAAGGAGAACATCCATCCTCTAGATAATTTATGGATTTTTGAATCTTCGCTATCAGGTTTGGATCATTCACTCTCTCTGGAGAAGCCAATTATATAGTTATGGCACCAGCGAAAGAGGACAATCTTGAGGAGTCTCATACATATATGGGTTTTGCTCTGCACCAGGTATCGACACTAGCATTATTGGTTCGTTCCATAATTCTGCAAATGTTTGTTTCTTTAAGAGTAACTGTGGTTGATTTTCTTGGAAATGGCAGGCTAAACTTGCTTTGGAGGCTCTTGAAGTTCCTGTTGGGTATCTAATTTTCACCTTTTGCTTCATCCCAGTTTGTGTTTCTTACACTTTTTACATTATTGTTTCTTCTCGTTTTGTCTGGATCAGGTGTGTCATTCTTGAGGACGGTCATGTGATTGCTTCAGGGCGAAACCGAACAAACGAGACACGCAATGTAATCATTCCAAAACTTCACATACACTATATGCAAAGGTTTATTCATCTCAATTATTTAAGGGTATTGTTATACATTTTGTTTGATAAGGCCACAAGACATGCGGAGATGGAAGCAATTGATCAACTTAATGAACAATGGCGGAAAGATACACTCTCGCCTTCACAAGTCGCTGATAAATTCTCCAACTGTGTTCTTTACGTAACATGTGAGCCTTGCATAATGTGTGCATCGGCTTTATCGTTTCTTGGTATGACTCCTTTAAGCTGAATCAGACACTGTTTTAAATTTTTGTTTCTGATGATGATAGATATATTATATGCTCTGCTCTTGATTGAAGGCATAAAAGAAGTGTATTATGGATGTCCAAATGATAAATTCGGAGGATGTGGCTCCATCTTGCCGCTTCATTTAGGCAGTTCTCAGCCGTCAGATAAACTGTATGTCCTACGAACGATCACTACAGTCTTATAACAAAAAAAACAGTGGCTTAATAATGGAGTTTTGTTGTCTCTGCTTTTGATAGTGGAAAAGGGTACAAGTGCAGAGGAGGAATAATGGCAGATGAAGCTGTCTCTCTTTTCAAATGTTTCTATGAGCAAGGCAATCCCAACGGTAACCAGTCTCATCTTTGCATGTATCTTTGTTCCTTGATGAAACATCTTAAAAGATTTGTAATTGTTTCATTTTTTTCTTTCTTTTTGTGTGTGTTAAGCACCAAAGCCACATCGCCCTGTAGTTCAAAGAGAGAAGACTTGAGGTTGGCATCAAGCATGCTGTGGAAATTGGCGTTCTAAGGACTCTGTTTTGAAGCTTGCTCTACGGAACAAAGCCGGAGCTTCTCTAGTGTTGAGAATATCTTTATGTTAGCTTGATAATGTTTTAGATCGAAAGCATTGTTTCCTAGAGGTAAAGAAATCAGTCTCTCTGTTTCTTTGGCTGTATACTTGAATCAGAATCATAATAATAAATTAATAATAGCAATTAGCAACCAGACACTAGCCATATTTATCACGAGGAACATGTAAAAGTAGTGAAATTCCACCATTAAGCATCATTTGATTCGGTAAAATGGAGAAAGAAGACACATAATGGAGGAAGATACTTTCTCAACTACGATTAAGGGGTAATTTGGGTAGATGACAATATATAGACTCTGTCAAGTAAAGGCTGTAACATTCATCAAAGCTTCAACGCTTAGCAGGAAATTTTCAAATTCTCTCTCTCAGTTTACATTCAAAGTTTTTTCTAAGGTAAAATGATTTTGCCTTCCTTCTTCTTCTTCTTCTTCTTCTTCTTCATCTGTACGAGTTTCCCTATTGAAGGTCGTTGACTTGTGAAAACTCTTGGTCACTTGTTTTACTTTTAGGAATTTTGATCTGTTTATGCCTTATAAATGCTATATTTCACCTTTATTTAGCTACCTCAAATATTGTTCTGCAACACGTTTTTCTGAAATGTTGTGTCAGGACATGTTTAATGTTAATGGTTATAGCATAATATATATATATATATATATATATATAGAGAGAAATGCATAATATATCTTATCTTTTTAATAGATCTTTTTCACATTCAGCTTAGATTGCCGAATATCTATATTCAAAAACTGCCAGAAATCTTACTCTGCAGAAGTATTCACTTAATTGCATACATTTTGGTGCTCAAACATTGTTTGTTTGGAACTATTTACTGACATTTTTTTCTTCTGCGCACACTATTGCAGTTTAGTTTTCTCCTGTGAGTGTAATGAGGTGTTTTGGTTGGTGTGGGAGTGATGATTTTCATAAAGCTTCTCAAACAGGTAAACTCAGTTCCTGTTTTCAACTGCATTACTTGTCAGTTTTTTTCTCTGTTGGCTTATACTAGTTAAATGGGGCTTTCAATCTTGTAAAGGTTACAATGGAGCTGATCCAGCTGTTCAGATACAGCTTATTGATGTACCAACCATTCCAGTAAATGAACTGAAAGATATAACCGATAAATTTGGCTCAAAGGCCTTGATCGGTGAGGGCTCGTATGGTAGAGTCTTTTACGGTGTTCTTAAAAGCGGCAAGCAAGCTGCTATCAAGAAACTTGAAACTAGCAAGCAGCCAGATCAAGCACTTCTTTCCCAGGTAAATGCTATATAAAGATTTGTCCCTTAGCCTAAACCTTGTGTGTCCTATCGACTTTTGTTGTTTTGTTACTGATGTTTGTAGAAACTAATTCTCGACAGATATCAATTGTTTCAAGATTGCGACACGAAAATGTTATTGCTCTTATGGGTTATTGTGTTGATGGCCCTCTCCGTGTTCTTGTTTACGAGTTTGCTCCTCACGGATCTCTTCATGATATTCTTCATGGTGAGTCATTAACGTTACTTAAACTTGAAACTAAGATACATGAAGGAAGAAACTAATGGTGTCTCTTTAGTACAGGCCGAAAAGGTGCCATAGGAGCAATGCCAGGTCCTGTAATGACGTGGCAACAGAGAGTCAAAATCGCTGTAGGTGCAGCCAAAGGACTTGAGTACTTACATGAGAAAGTGAACCCTCAGATTGTCCACCGAGACATCAAATCCAGCAACATACTTGTGTTTGATGATGATCTTGCCAAGATTGCTGATTTCGATCTATATGATCAAGCTCCTGACATGTCTGTACGTCCCTCGTATTGTAAGCAAGGAATCGGACGTGGCCTTCGCCCGTACGCTCCAGAGTAAATGCCCTTTCAGATTAGTTTTATCATCATCATTGTTCTTCTTGCCTTTTACATTGTTTCCTCTCACTACAGAGTCTAGATCTGAAACAGTTTTTGGGTTGTGTATATATATTTCAGATGTTACATGACAGGAAGATTTAGCAAAAAGAGCGATGTGTACGTATTTGGCGTTGTTCTGCTGGAGCTCCTTACGGGTCGTAAACCAATAGATCATACCTTACCTCGTGAAAAACAAAGCCTAGTGACATGGGTAATCTTCAGTACAGTCTTCTCTTCTTGATTCTTGGTTATCGATAAGAAAAGCTTTTGAAACCCTCAAAGAAACTTGGAATGAAATATTTGTTTCTTCATAAGAAAGAGAATTTTTGTGTTGTCTCAGGCAAGGCCTATGCTAAGCGAAGACAAAGTGAAGCAATGCGTTGATGCAAGACTACTCGGAGAGTACCCTCACCAAGCTGTTACCAATGTATTCTTTCATCCCATAACATTGCTTTCTTCTGATTTTATATAAATATTTTACGATCGAGCCTGATCATATGGTGCGATATATACAATGTTCAGTTCGCGGCAGTGGCTGCACAATGCGTACAATATGAGCCAGAGTTGAGACCAAACATGAGCATTGTGGTGAAGGCACTTGTAACTCTTTAAGGCTCCACATACATAGGAAACCCTTTACTGATCAAATATTCCAATCATATTCACACCTCATCTGTTTCTTGATGATTATCCAAATGTATATTCATTTTGTTTTTGTAATTGTTTATATCTTATGGCAATATTCAGATTTCACAAAAACTCATTACTCCTTTCATGTAACAAAGATTCAAAATTTTCTTTTTGATTTAAACCAACCAACACAGACCAAAAGGTCCATAACCATAGCCTTAACAATCACCCCAAAATAGTGGTTTTAACTTATTTTAGGATCACAACAACAGACAATTTGATGCCAACCTAGTTTACAAATGCAAATCATGAGCCTATACTTTACCAAAAACTTAACAACCTCTCAAACCATGATCCTCGGTGCAGACACTTTAGCCTCTTCCTTGACTGCATCACCTATAAGAAATAACACAAACCAAGTCAATGAATCCACATCTAATCTTTTTAATCATCATCCTATCAATCAAAGCTCTCTAACTACACAGGACTGATGAATGTTTTCAAAGCAGAGAGAGTTGAGAGTAAATTACCAGGCTGAGTGGTTGTGGTGACTTCGCCATAGATGGCCTTAAGAGTGGAAAGAGGAACAACAGCGGAATTACCAGCAGAGGCGGCTTCAGCAAAGAGTTGCTGTTTCCACTCCCACATTGTGACTTTCATTTCCTTGTTAGACTTGAAGAGTGACTCCTTCTGCTCCTGTAAGGCCTCCACATACTTTTGCTGTTTATCAGATCTCAATCCCAAAACCACAAAGGATACTCCCAGACACGTGTTTATCACTGCATTGCTGTTCATCGCTTCCGAGAGAAGCATTGCAATCTTGTTCGCCATTCCTATTCCTGTGCAGTCATCAAAATTATCATCAGTCATACATCAATCTTTTGCCATGAGGATCATGTAAAAGAACATATATTTCTACTGATAACAGTGAATTTCCACCATTAAGCATCATTTGATTCAGGAAAAAAACAATCAAAACACAATTGGCTTTAAGCATGTAAATCAACAAATGGTTCCATTTTGGGGCCAAATACTCAAAATAATGTGGAGAAGAACTAATGGAAGATGACGATGCCAAGCTTCTTAATATACACGATGATGGTGATGATTATTTACAATAAGGAAACGCAAGTCAGAGATCCATCAGAACGATCGATCAATAAAGCTAAAGAATAAATCCAGAAGCAGAAATGAAATTTGAACACATAAAAGCAAGACAAATGAAGCTGGGACACCAAATCGGAAAGAAAACTCACTATCAATGAATGTGCGACGAAGGCGGCGGCGACGGCGGCGACGATGCGATGCGGCGGCGCCGAGATAAAACGCAGACAGAGATATTTTTTCACCCAAATTCAGTACACTTTAGGCTGTTTTGGGTATTTTGACGGTAATTCTGATATATTTTAAAGGGTAATTTAGGTATTTGACACACGTAGACTCTGCCAAGTAAGTACCAACAATGGTCGTCATTAGAGATTTTTTAAAAGTGTTTGACGATCAATGAAGTGTTAAAGGCTAAAAAAGTACAAAAACCAGCAAAGCTTCCGACGATAAGCAGAGAATTTCAAATTCTTTCTCTTTCTCTCTACTTTCGAAGTTTTGCTCGTAGCCAGAGGTAAATGATTTGCCTTTTCTTCTTCTTCTTCTTCCTCTGTACGAGTTTCCATTTTGATACTTTCCCTTTAATGTCAAAAAACACCCTAAATTAAGGAACTTCCTTCGAAGATTCCGATTTTCATGTCGATTTTGATGATGTAAACGGAATCTCGAGTATTGATTTCTGGCTTTTCAGTTCGAATTCCGTAATCCCTGAGTTAAAGTCGTTGACTAGCGGGAATTCTAGGTCTACGGAACATAATGTCTCAGTTGTTTGGAATTTGATAAACTCTATGCCGTTCTGATTATATACGTTAACATGGAAACGAATAACTAATGCTTCTTTTCATTTTAACTTCACATTTTTTTGCAATTTTTTTGTGTGGATTTTTGATAATTCTGTTTTTGTTAATGCTCAAACCTTATCCTGATTAGTGGATACTGTTTGTTAGCTTTTGTTTGTAACCGTTTAATATCTTTACATTTCCACATTCAACTTTGATGGTCGAATCTTGTTTTGCAATACTATATATTGTGCCTATATATTACCTTGTTTATACATACAATTTCATAAGTAGGAAAGAGAAGCATAATCTGCTAGAATATTACTATCCATGTTCATTCTTTACTGTTCGGTTTCTTTGTTAGCAATAAGTTTGAGAAGCTGCTTAACTTTTTTTTTTTTTAAAGAACTGTTTGCTGACATTTTGTCTTCTGTGCACACTGTTGTTGTTTAGTTAGCTCCTGTGAGTGTGAGAGAAGAGTGTGATGAGCTGTTTTGGTTTGTGTGGGAGTGATGATTTTCGTAAAACTGCTGACACTGGACCAATGCCACCGCACAACCCAGCAGGTAATTAAACTCGGTTCCGGTTTCAACTGCATTACTTGTCACTGTTCCTTTGGCTTAAGGGATTTTAATTGTTGTGAAGGTTACAATGGAGGGCACTATCAAAGAGCTGTTCCACCCATGAACCAGCCAGTAATTCAGATGCAGCCTATCGCTGTACCAGCCATTCCAGTGGATGAACTGAAAGATATAACCGATAACTACGGCTCAAAGGCCTTGATCGGCGAGGGTTCGTATGGTAGAGTGTTTTACGGTGTTCTTAAAAGCGGCGGTGCAGCTGCCATCAAGAAGCTTGACACTAGTAAGCAGCCAGATCAAGAATTTCTTTCTCAGGTAGATTCTCCAGCATCGTGCCAATCCTCTTCTATAGACGTTTGTTGTTATGTTACTGATGCAGAAACTTGTAACAGGTATCAATGGTTTCGAGATTGCGACACGACAATGTTATTGCACTAGTGGGTTATTGTGTGGATGGCCCTCTCCGTGTTCTTGCTTATGAATATGCTCCTAACGGATCTCTTCATGACATTCTTCATGGTGAGTCATTAACGTAAACCATCATTCACTCAATACTCGAACATCTGGAAACTAATGTAACGTGGTTTGGTGTCTCTTTGGTGCAGGACGTAAAGGTGTGAAAGGAGCACTGCGAGGTCCTGTAATGACGTGGCAACAGAGAGTCAAAATCGCTGTTGGTGCAGCCAAAGGACTTGAGTACTTGCATGAGAAAGTGAACCCTCAGGTTATCCACCGTGACATCAAATCCAGCAACGTGCTTCTGTTTGATGATGATGTTGCCAAGATCGCTGATTTCGATCTCTCTGATCAAGCCCCTGACATGGCTGCTCGCCTTCACTCAACTCGTGTGCTTGGAACATTTGGCTATCACGCTCCAGAGTAATGCTCTCTTTTCGATATTTCTCCTTATCTTGAATGGTGGTCTTTAGTTAGGTTCTCATGCTCTGAAGCTATGAGACACTAAGACATTAAGCATTGTGAGTTATGTGTTCAGGTATGCAATGACGGGAACATTGAGCACAAAGAGCGATGTGTACAGTTTCGGTGTTGTTCTCCTGGAGCTCCTTACGGGTCGTAAACCAGTCGATCACACCTTACCGCGCGGACAACAAAGTCTAGTGACATGGGTAATGTTTTGTGCTGTCTTCTATGTTTTTAAACTCTAATAAAAGAAGTTTTAGGAAGATCTAAACCTGAAAGAAGCTTAGATTTCTTTATCGTGTGTTGTCTCAGGCAACACCTAAACTTAGTGAAGACAAAGTGAAGCTATGTGTTGATGCAAGACTGCTCGGAGAGTACCCTCCCAAAGCTGTTGCCAAGGTATTATTAACCTCATAAACATTGCTCAACTCTTACTGTTTCGTTGCAGCACAGAAGATTTAACTTATGGTGTAATCATCAGAGCTTATAACCAAAGTAGCTAAAACCCAACTTATGGTGTAATCATCATCTCTGTGACAATTGAAACATTTCATCATGAGTCTGATTTAGTTTGTTAATATGGTTTTTGATATAATAATCAGCTAGCTGCGGTGGCTGCACTCTGCGTGCAGTATGAGGCAAATTTTAGACCAAACATGAGCATTGTGGTGAAGGCACTTCAACCTCTTTTAAACCCTCCTCGCTCTGCTCCACAGACTCCACATAGGAACCCTTATTGATCTCAAATATATCCAATCACATCTCATCTCATCTGCTTCATGATGATTAATCAATTGTGTATTATTAACTTCCTTCTGTATTTGTGTAAATTTCTGGTAATCAGGTTCATATTCCTATACTATACCTTATCTAATTATCTCTTCCATTCATGTCCCACTTTGAATAGCTGTGTATGTCTCTATATATTTGTTCTTTTTTGTAATTTTGTGATGTAGTTTGCTGAGTGGGAAGACAAGAACCAAATTTTGTTTAATTTATATCATTTGTATTAAATACTGATAAGATAAGTTCCTTTTTAAGGTGTGTAATTCACTGTTTCCTTTGTAAGTTAAGTATCTAAATGTCGTCAAGAAATTAGACAAGTATCTAACTGAGATTATATGATAGGTTTGGAACATAATGGGCCCATTCAGCCCAAATCAGCTGAATGAAACCTTAGCCGTTAGATTTACGATTTGCGATTCACGAGACCGAAAGATCCATCCCCACCGTTTATTTGTTTCGTCATTTTCACCCTTTAATTTTTTTCATTCTTTTTTAAATCAGGTAAAAAAGATTTTAAAGTAGTAAAAATCTCTCTCTTCTTCCGATATGCAGCATTATATGCGCACAGCAAACAGTAGCTCCTCAGTTCTGACAAATTTCTACGTCCCTTCCATCCATTAATAAATCTTCTTCACCTGCTTCTTCGATTCGCCATCGAAACCTGTTTCGCATTCATCGTCTTGTTCCCTCACTCTCATCGGATTTATTGGAGTTTCCGGAAATTTTTCATCCGAAGGTCTTTTTCGTCTCTCTCTCTGATCCTTCGCTAATTGCTAAACTAGATTCGCGCGTCTGCTCCAAGCCGAGATTCGCATTTTCGTCTTCTCATATCGAGGTATTGTTACTATCTCTCTCTATTGCTGCTACACTTCCTTCTCCTCGGATCTGATTGTGATCTCTCGATTCTCCTTCCGTTAGTAGTGATTTAGGATTTTGGGGGTTTTGTGTAGTTTAAATCTGAAGTTTGCGATGCAATTTACACTTTCGATTTTGGATTTTCAGATTTCGTTCATGGGAATCTCTGCATCTGTTGCGTGTGCGGGATACTTCCATGTATTGATGTTGGTATTGTGACTATCGAACAACTGATTTTCATTGCTTTGCTTCTGAGAAGAGCGGAGAGGAGGAGGAAAAAATGGCGAAGATGATAAACAAGACGCTTGTGCTAACCTATATCTACTTACTGATCTACATTATACTCTCTTCTGGAGTTATACTGTACAACAAGGTGATTTCAGGAGCTAGATTTTGCTTTGCGAAACGTATTTGATGTTTATGCAGATCTCTATAGTTTGTGTATTTGCATGTCATAGGTTTATCTCCGAACTAGAATTTGAGGTGTGAATCGTAATGTTGTTCATATGAAATGAATCCATAGCTGGAGACGTTTGTGCCAGAGACTTTCTTTCATAGTCTTTTTATATCTTAGAGGCTGACTTTTAATTATTACTATTGTTTTTTTGGATTTCATTTGCAGTGGGTTTTATCTCCGAAGTACTTCAATTTCCCACTTCCGATTACATTGACAATGATCCATATGGGATTTTCTGGATTTGTGGCCTTCCTTCTTATTCGAGTATTCAAGGTATTTTAAACTCTTGGTCTTAGTACAGCGTTTACACTTCCATTTAAGGGGATGTTACTTTCTGTATGTCCATTTGTTTGGATTATGTTTCATGCTCATTTATGTGGAGGTCTCATCTGGCATATTTGAGCTTCTTTTTGGATTCTTCTACTCCTTAGAGTTGTCCTCTAATTATTGTCTTCTTTTCTAATGTAGGTTGTCGCTCCTGTTAAAATGACATTCGAAATGTAAGCCTTAGTATACTCTTTCCTTCAGTTCTGATGTGATTACAATCATCTCTTCTTTTTTTTAACATATTTTCCTGGATTCCAGATACATAACCTGTGTGGTACCTATAAGCGCATTCTTTGCATCCAGCCTCTGGTAAGTCTTTGTTCAATACACAGTGGGACGTATTAGATTTATAGAAGCACTCTGTCCTAGTACAGTGCATTTCAAATGCTGACTTGCCATTGCTTGACATACTGTTTGAGCATTCCGATTACTCCCTTTTACAGGTTTGGCAATACTGCGTACTTGCACATTTCAGTTGCCTTCATACAGATGCTCAAAGCACTGAGTATGTGAAAACACACAACTTTCTTTTGGCTCAAAACCTATATTAGTAAAGATTTTTTTGTGAAGCTAACACGTGAATATGGAATGACAGTGCCGGTAGCAACGTTCATCATGGCCGTTGTTTGTGGCACTGACAAAGCAAGGTGTGACGTGTTCATGAATATGCTGCTGGTCAGTGTTGGAGTTGTGGTGTCGTCCTATGGGGAGATAAATTTCAATATAATTGGCACGGTCTATCAGGTCATGGGCATCTTTGCTGAAGCACTTAGACTGGTGCTAACTCAAGTTCTTCTTCAGAAAAAGGGCTTGACATTAAACCCAGTCACCAGCTTATACTATATCGCTCCGTGCAGGTACACAGTTCAAAGTTTTCTCATTCGAGAATATGAGTATCAGCTTAAGATAGAAACTTGTAACCATTTCTAATACTGAAATTGACTTGATTTGACCTCTTGGTCTTTGATTGTCTTATATTGTATTAGGTTGCATGTTTGTCAACATCATGTGTTATTTTTTTGCTAAGATGCAAAGAATCTCCTCTACTGCACATTAATGTTCTTTGATTTGTGTGCAGCTTTGTGTTCCTGTCCTTGCCTTGGTATGTACTGGAGAAACCGAATATAGAAGTCTCGCAGATCCAATTCAACTTCTGGATCTTTTTCTCAAACGCTCTCTGCGCACTTGCCTTGAACTTCTCCATATTCTTAGTAATCGGAAGAACAGGAGCAGTAACCATCCGTGTTGCTGGCGTTCTCAAAGACTGGATTCTCATAGCCCTCTCCACTGTCATATTTCCCGAGTCCACAATCACCGGTCTGAACATTATTGGATACGCAATAGGTTTGTTTCTAACACAATATTTCACTCAGCACAGATTTGGATAAGCTCTTAAATTCTCATGTTGCATTGGCTTAACTAAATCTTCTTTTTGACGCAGCACTCTGTGGAGTTGTAATGTACAATTACATAAAAATCAAAGATGTGAAAGCGACTCAACCAATTACTGACAGCCTTCCTGATCGAATCACAAAGGTACACTCACATTTTATTCACTAGCTCCTGAGGATTTTGTTTACGAACTATAGTTTAAGAGACTGTAAATGTTTTTCATATGATTTGATCGAAATAACTGAACAGGACTGGAAAGAGAAGCGGTCGTCGGATGGGGAGAGCCCCAGAGGAGGAGTAGAGCTTAACGACGAGGAAGCGCCTTTGATAACGTCGTCGAGGCTGTCACATATCGGGCGGACTCAGCTCGGAACCCACACTGCTGTCTGAGCAAACGTACAGATGAGAATGAGAATTTACCTTCTCAGGTGAAAATGTCTTTCTTTATATAATCTCTTTCGGAACGAACCACCCAAATCTTTTAAATAGAGTTTACCTCGGATTAATTACGTAACAATGTTTAGTTATTGAAGAAAAAATACACGCAATTGGCAAAATTATTTGTAGGGTCTCTGGAAGTTATAAATGTATTCACCAGACCCAATTAGCTCCGGACCCCGCTTGGTTCTTATGTCACAAACAGTTCTGGCTTCTGAGTGTGTGCAGTAGCTACTTTATCTGGTTTGATTTAATGTTTTGTTTTTTCTTTTTATTAGTTTGGAAAAAAATGATTGAACTTGTTATAAAACTTATACAAAACGGTCATAAGTTAAATGAATAATGATATTTATACAAACCACTAATCACAATACAAATTCAAATGACATGTGCTTTTCTTCACGAACTCTCTCTCTCTCGGCCGGTCCAGCAAAAAGCTGTTCTTCTATGTACTCTCTTGATTCCTCAAGTACAAAAGCCTTCTCGATTGCGCTGGAGGAGCTAGTCCAGGGATGTCTCTAATGTCTTTGTTGTTTGGGTTCACAATCTACAGTTTTTTTTTGTTTTGACGTAGATTTAAAATATGCCTAAGGAACCCAAATTTTGTATGAATAAAATGTAAAGGAGAGTGCAATGGTGAAAATTACCTTCACAACGATAATGGCTACAACACCACAGACAATCAGAAACAGGAACATCATTATGCATTTATCAGTAGCTACCTGAGACAACAAAGAATTTAGACACATCATTATGCATTTATCAGGAACATCTTTGCAGACGCGTAAGAAGATCTGAATGTGCCTCAGAGAGATTATACAAACCTGTCTCCCTATCTCTTTCACTAGCTGTGAGGCCTTCTTGATAGAGAAGTGAATCGTGTCTAGGTCGTCCACAACGCGACCCATTTGATCCGTCTGCAAAATTTTCGAAAGTCAGCGTATTTTGGGGACTGTACGTTACTACGCTCAAAAAGATGTCAGAAAGAGAGATGGTGAATGCTTTTAGATTACCTGCCCCTTTAAATTAGCTGCGGTTTGAGTGCCAACTTCGAGTGTCTGATGCACAACCTGAAAACAAACATTGAAATGTTACTAGAGGTACGGCACCAACGACGAGAGTGGAATTTTCTGTATTTTACTTGTTTAGATCGTTCAATAGCTTGGTCAGTCTCGTCCATCCTTTTCATTCCAGCATCAACAAGCTCTTGGTTTGACATTGCTACACAATGTTTCTAAAGCAAATTCATATTCTGGTTGCAGAAGAAGTCCAACTGAATACACAACCCATAAAGACGGACTCACATGAAGCCATTTGGACGTTTTCTTCTGCTGTGGGCTCACCGCTGACTCCAGCTCCTGTATCGAAAAGTTCGACTTTCTTGTTGCCGAGTGTATTCAAGTACCTGGAAGTCACAAAACAAATTGACACATTCCGTTCTAAATCTCTTTTGCAAAACAAACATGTTGAACACTTACGTTTTTCTTAGTGCAACATAAGAGTTGAGTTCCTTAATCTGTCACATAAATCACAGTAAATATCAACAAGCAGGTTTTGAAAAGACATAGAAACCAAAGGCACAGAGAGATTCACACAAAAGGATTTACAGCCTCCATAAATCTCAACAACACAAAGATTATATATGAGGTAAGAAGTGAACTCACTCACCATAGATTGTTTCTCATCATTCAATTGCTTATTTACTTCAGGAGAATTCCGAGCTTCCCCATCTTTGAGTTCACGATCAAACTCCTTAACCAACCTAACCGTGAAGCACAATTTCATATTTACATTAGATAAATTAGAGATAATTTTTTACGTTAGACTTGCAAGCACAATTACACCTTTTACACTCTCTCATCTTCTCAGCAAGTTCTTCCAGTTGCTTGCTTTGTCTATTTGAATCCTTGATCTTATCCAATCTCTGGAAGCCATTCCTGCATTTCGATGTTAAATCTCTCTCCGTTAGACAAAGTCAGTCTTACTCTTTGTTTTAAAGAATAAACAGCTAACATTCATTGATCAACTCAAATCATTTCTCTTTTTCTCGAAACTCATTGAGATTAAAAGCTCGGGAACGAAAAAGGTGAATACTCAATTCCAATTTCGTAACGAATTAAGCAAATTCTACTGATTTGTGACCAACATTGGATAATGCACACTCGAATGAGAAGATAAATAAGTTCGGAGAAAGCGCATACGAGAGGGCTCGGAAAAGGTCACGGATTTCTCCGTAGATCTGCTCCAAATGTGGGCTCATCGGCAGGTCGGAAGCCATATCTGCCGGGTAATTTCAGATTCCGGCGAAGAACGAAAATGCCGGGATTTTCCCTCGGCGAACCCTAAGAGAAAAACCCAGAAATCCTTCCCGCTAAAAACAAAGCTTCACCGCATCAAAACCATCCCACAAACCAAAACAGAAAACCCCCAATTTTGAAGAAATACGAAAAAAAAAATCGGAAAAACGAAAACGCGGCAGAGCTCTTCGAACGGCAAAATAAAGGTAGAAGAGAATTGAAGTCAGGGGGGGGGCTATCTTGTAATTTATTATTATCATTTTAATAAATAAATAAATAAAATAGGATCTCACAGCGAAGCTCCACCATGTTTTTGATATAGCCGTTTGATGAAAAATTGAAAATGTCATCCACAACATTGTGCTACACACTATGGTCCCTTTTATAGGACCTACATAATCTTATATGCATAATTGCATATAAACCAATTTATTTCAGTTTCGAATAAATCTACTCACTTATTTAAGACATTATACAACTATGATACAAAATGAGATCATATAGGTAGCAAATAGCATATGCTTAATTTATCTATAAATTTGATTGTTCACCTACATATGTACAGTTTCAGAACCCTACATTTTAATGTCTACAACAGAATATACTTTGAGGTTTGGGCTACTGTACCAGTTTAATACAAAAGAAATCTAGATTTCATTTACATAAATCCTCTATCAATCCTGGATTTGAATATACAAATAGTCGACATTTTTTTTTCCGCTACATCAAAAGCTTTTGCACTTGCGATGGTGTGCCCAATTCGTTTAATAGTCTATTGTACAACTGCATCAAACCAAAACACAATAAACAGATTTGGTCAAGAGTCTTGGAGAAAGATAAACACAGTAACAAATAATATATATTTACCTGTTTATATAGAGATAAATCGCCGTATGATTTTCTTAATTCAACCACATTTAGCGACGGAATTATCTCGAAAACCTCAGCCGTTACTGTTAAACCACCATGCCCTTTACGTGTGCTTTCTTCTTTGATTGCTTTTAGCTGAAGCAACATCAGTTTTCTCAGCTTTAGAAACCACTTAAAATTTACTTACAGCATCTTCAAGTGGCAAGAAGATACTCTCACCATTGTTTGTTTCTTCTGTACGCAGAAACCCATCTCCATGAAGACTGTTTTTATTTTCTCCAACACATCTATTGCTAACCTATTCGACGTGAATCTTATCTGCCTCTCTGATACTTTCTGAATAAAGAAAAACACGTTTATCAGTGAGCAAAGAAAAATCTTGAAACAGAGTAAACAGAGGACAAGAAATGTATATCATTGGTTACCTCTGTCTCAAACAAACCGGAGAGGTCAAGAAACGAAGACATTCCGATCAACTGAAACGCGTTAATTACGGTTGGTGAATCAGTTATCTTCTCTTCTTCAGACCCCTTCACCATAAAAACCCCAAAAAGGACAAGACTTGTGATCAGAAATGCGATGCATTTGATAACATATTCATAGAGTCTAAGAAGATGAGATGCAGCAGATTCTTACATCTTCTTGGATTGATGATGCATCATCATCATCATCATCACTGTAGTTTGAAGGAGTGTAGTCGAGTTTGAACCAATCATTGGTCTTAACACCATCGATTGTAATCCTAGTGATTGGATTTGGATCAAGCAATCTCTTGATCATGGTTTTAGCACCTAGTGATATCCATCTAGGTATTGGAGGATCTCCTTTAAATATCTGAAAATATTATAGCTTTTGAGAGTTTGTTTCTTCAAAAACATAAACTAAACTTATCGAAAAACAGAGGAAAACAAATGCGGTACCTTTCGGATAAGAACCGCGAGGTTTGTATCATCAAAAGGAAGACATCCGGTAAGAATAACATACAAGATTACTCCACACGACCATACATCTGATTCAGCACCGTTATAGCCCTTGTTAGCTAGAACCTCAGGAGCAACGTAGTTGGGACTTCCACAGGTTGTATGTAGCAAACCATCTTCCTAATTAACATTGTCAAACCCGGAAAATTGTTGGAACTTTGGATATCTTTTCTGCTAATGTTGTATATAGGTAGGTTTTTAAGTACCCTATAATGCTGAGGAAGAGCACTAAGTCCAAAATCAGTGATCTTGATGTGTCCTTTTGCATCGAGAAGAACATTCTCTAGCTGCAGCAAGAATTTCGATACTAGAAGTCAGAACATGTTGAAAATATTACAGATGGGTTAAGAAAACTTGTGAACACAAGACCTTGAGATCTCTGTGGAAAACTCCTTTGTTATGACAGTAGCTGATTCCATCAATCAACTGTTGAAACATTCTTCTTCCTTCTGTTTCTGAAAGCTTTCCTTTAGAGACCTGAGAAATCAGGGCATGTATTTTTTATAGACCAATCTTTGGTTAAGTTAACTAACAAAACTGTTGCCGTAAGAAACAAGGAATCTTACAATTCTGTCAAATAAGTCTCCTCCAGTGACACATTCCAGAACCATGTAAATCTTGGTTTTGCTAGCCAAGACCTACAAGTGGAAATTCAAATATGGGCGGCAATAATAAAGACATTAAATTCTGTTTAATGGGTCAAGAAAGAAAAAAAAAAATTGGAACCTCCTAAATTAGAAAGAACAAAGTCAACTAAATTATTAGGAAAGTTCCCATTCTCAAGCAAAAACGTGGACCACGTCGTCTCGGTTGATACAAGTACCACACAACATCCATAACAAACTACATTTGGTTGCTTACAAGAGACGTAACTTTAATCTAGACGAATGAATGATAATATGATTTTTGAAAGATGAATTGGTTTGGAAAAGTTTACTAGTCAACAACAACCGTTCCTACAAACTACCGATATAGAAAGTATTAAAATCGAGTATCAAATTGGTGGGTTCACGTAATAAAGGTGATGACGACGATTTAATTAATTCAGATGAGGTCTACATGACAAGGCTGGACCCTTTTTTTTGTTTGGTTCTAAATTTTTCTATTAGGCTGATATTTTATTCCCTAATATGAGGCAATACTAACGATTGATATATCATTATTCAAATGGTCCATTTTAGGGACCGACCTCATAATTGAAATGGTCATCAAATCTATAGTCTGCCAATTAGTTATCAGGACGCAAGAGGATGACAACAATTAATCTAAAAAGTAGTCGAAATTAATAAATTAGTATTACGTTAAGCGTGGCTAATTAGCAACGTGATAAGGGCATTGCGTGTGGATAATCAAAATGAATTTTAAGGGAATTTCCGCAGAATCTCCGTGACTAACTAAAACTAAAAAATCAACTAATCAAACAAAAAAAAAATTCACTGTTTGATTAATCTTCATAAAAAAAATCAATTGTTTTGTCAAACTATACACAACACTCAGATTTCCATCACAAAAATGTTTCACCAAAGTTCCAAAATGAGAAGAAAAGAATGTTTCAACATAAAAGTACCTCATGCAATCTGACAATGTTTGGATGCTTTAACACTTTAAGTGTCCGAATCTCTCTCTTAATCTGTAATAACACAAAGCACAAGAGTGTTTCAAGTGTTCGAATTAACTCGTTAAACCAATTCTCTCAAAGAAGAAGAAAGTGATTCATATTAAAGAAACGAGACCTGAAAGGAGACGTTGAGACGAGTGATACTGGTCTTGTCGATGATCTTGACGGCGTATGATTGGCCGGAAACAGTATCGGTAGCGAATTTCACTTTTGCAGAATTTCCTTCACCAAGTGTCCTCCCAAGTTCGTATTTCCCAACACGCATTCCCTTCGTCACCATCCAAACACTAAATAAAAAGAACACTCTATAGACCGATATGATCAAACCTGTTTAGATTCTTGGGAAGAAAAACAGAGAATGAAAATTGATTGATCGATCTGAATGATTGAGCAAAGGAAGAGTAAGCTATGAGACTTTGTATATATATAGAAGACTGAGGAGATTGAGGAGAAGAAGTGGCGGCTGGATTTTTGGAGAGAAGAAGACGCCACTTTCTTTTCCTTCCTCTCCTTCTCTCTTCTTCTCTGCAATTTCAATTGGAATTTTTTAATTTTTTTGGTAAACGAAATATCTATAAGATTTTTTTAAGCAGAAAAAACTATTTATATTTGTTTCTATATCTAATATCTAATCCATCACTACTCTATTTTAAGAAAATATTGTTTTTCTTTTTGGGGTCCAAACTAGGAAAGATGATTCAAAATAGTTTTTGTCATGGTTATGGACCTTATGGTCTTATGGATAGGCAAAATAAATTGTTTATTTTGGTTTCACCTAAGCACCCATTTGGCTACTTTGGGGTACTGTGGTTTAAACTGTGACTGTAAAATGTTATTTTTCACTATTGATTTTTTTATATATATAAATAATATATGAGTTTAGAATATTGGTTTTTGAAAAAATTATTGTACGGTAAAAAGAGAAAATTATAAAAGCTTTTAAGAAGTAAAAATACTTAAAATACGTGACTGTGTAATCCTAGAATTTGAAAACGTTTTATTTTAGCCAAAAAAAGGCGACAAAATGAAGAACTTAATTGTGCTAAAGCAGAGGGTCGTTAAAGACAGATTAACGGTTTATTAAAAAGTAGCTTTGTTGGTTAGATGCTATAGCCATGTATGTGGAAGGCTGCAAACAGAATTTTGAATTTGACGAACAGTCTAAAGAAGAAATTTGATTGGGAATGAGTTTGTCGATTTGTCTATCATGTGATAGCCTATCTAGTTAAAGAAAGTTGAATCCATCAAAGTGTAATACGTAAGAAAATATGTATTAATATAACATTATCTAATCCAACTATTTGTGAGCAAGCATATGCTTACTCAACCATTATCCTACTAATAAATCTTAACATGGCAAGAAATGTCACTCATCTATTAAGTAAGATAAGTTCTCATATTATAGAAAACTTAGTGGTGGCATTACATTGTTTACTTAAAACATATTATAATTTTCAAGGAGGAGTTGAAATCTATTATTCATCTTCAATAAAGAAGCTTTCGTATCATAAGGGCTCACACGTGTCTTTGTGTTTTGCATGTGGTCGGTCATATGGGCGGTGTTTTCGTATCTTCTTTATCGAAAACTAGACTATCATGGCCGTCCATACGTGGTACGTGCGAATTAAAGTTACCGAGGGAGGAAGAAGCCTAACCGGATTGAGAGGGAATCATTGGATAAACTGCCGACTGGAGGCCCACTTTACTATAAGCCCATTAATGTGGGACTTCGAGAATCACGAATCTAAACCCTAAAATTGGCGTGTTTTCTCCTTTGTCATCTTATTTCCACAACAATGTACCAAGAAAATGGCGTCAAGAGCGATTGTTAGGAGGAATATCATTTCCGATTACTTGAGTGTCTATGCTCGCTCAGCTCGGAGCTCGAGCTCTCAGTCCAACCGTCCTCCCGTAGATGTGCGCGAGTCCTTTCGAAGAGATGGTAGTTTGGAAATTGTTCCTTCTCTATCTACTAAGGAAAGCGAGGATTTGTTGAGTAGACTGTCCACTGAAGGAAGCTTATCTGCTCTGAAGAAAGGGAGAGAAATTCATGGATATTTGCTCGGGAAGGGTTTTCGTCTAGAGGGGTCCATTGCAGTTGCACTTGTTGATATGTATGGATGTTGTGTAGATTTCTCGAGTGCACAGGCTGTGTTTGATGGGATGGAGAAGAAAGGTACAGAGGATTTTGTGTTTGCATCTAGTGTCTTTGCCAGAATGACTGTTGTGCAAAGGATGAAGAATTTGATCCGACAAAGCGAGTATCATAGCCAGTATGAGGAAGAGCATGGACCCGTTAGTTGGATCCATGCTAACGGCAAACTCACACCATTCCAAGCAAACGACAAGTCTCTTCCAAAGAAGATGAAGATGAAGGTATATAGCATGCTGTCTTTAATGAATGCGGAGGCGGCCAGAACGGGAATCATCTCCATCCCGATGGATCCCACTGGCCGCTGCATGTGGAGACTTCACGCAAGCGATCTTGAAGCGTTTGACGACCGTTGATCGAGCATTGACTTATAATCATCTTTGTGCATTTGCTTTCACTAGTTATAGCTAATATTTGGATCGACTAGTGTTACATATCTATATTTTGGTTTTGGAATATAATCTATTTCGTTTATCGTTTTTGTGTGTGTGTGTGTTAAAGTCTGGAATACAATTGATTCACATATGCAAGCTACTATAATTTGTTCTGATGATACTTTATAAACCTATAAATTTTTAGAGTAATGTACATTTATCAAGAAATTTTCTTCATACCAAGATCCATTAATATTATCAACTAATTTGCATGCTTAGGCTAAAATTTACTATGATGATCTACTCTCTAAAAAATTGATAATGGCTTATTCTAGTGATCACACAGCAATAATGTTAATTGTAAACTTCTTGAGACTAAACTCAACTAAATATAAAAGCTGAACAACTATCAAATTTCTAGGTTTGGTGAAAGCTGTGGTAGATCACACTCTGAGGGATCGCCTGCTCTCCTGCTCTCCTTCCGAATCTGTGGTACATATGCAAATCCTTCTCTCCTAGAGTTTTTATTTCGGCTGTAGTTCTCATTCGTCTTGGTTTTGTTTGTATCCGTTCCTTTGGCTTGGTTTTCTTTTGTTAGGTAAGCATGTATAGATTGAGGTTCTCCTCCTTTGCAATCGTTCTATTTCACTATAAAATCTTAAACATTAAAACCCAAACAAAAAAAAATTCCAATTCCATCCATGAAACTTGATGTCTTCCCTACTTTTTTTTTGTATGAATATGATCTAACCGAAAGCCCGGTTCAATCCATGAGAATTCGTAAGAACCACAAATGTTTAGAATTGTAGAAAGTTAGATCACTTTGCATTTTTGCAGCCTTTTGCAACCTAAGTTATTTATAAAACTCAAACAAAATTGACACATAATTATCAGAACAAGTCTAAGTCTAAAACTGTTGCTAGCAATCAAGAACATGAGACAGTAATATTGTTTTGATTCACTTAGGTGATGATTGGTTCTCCCGCTACCACCCGCAAACGCAGCGTTTGCGGTTCGTAGCGGTTCTTAGCGTTTTATAACAATCACGACAACCGCTTTCAACCGCTCTATACCACTCTGTACCGCTCTATATCGCTGAAAATCAAAAGCTCCTTTCCGCAAGCGTTTGCGGTTGCGGGCGGTTGCGGTTTGAAAAAAAAAAAAAAAAAACATAATATCTCCAAATTTGGAATAAGGGTATATTTTTTTGAAAAATACCATAATTATGTTTAAAAATTTCGAAAATACCCTAAATTTTTTCTGTTTTGAAAAATACACTTTTAAAATGTAAAAAGTATGTTTTGACGTGATTTAAACAAAAAAATAATAAATAATTACAAATTATAAACGAAAATTTAAAAACTAATAAGTTTTTTTTCAAATAAATATAGTATATGTTAAACTGAAACAAATTTTAATATTTTGGATCTTTATATAAACAACTTAACCTCATACACATTCAAACCAAATGAAACTTTAAATAAATTAAAACTTTACATATATTTAAAGTTTATAAATTATTAAAAATTTAAAAGTGGAGAAATATATCTTTCATTTTTAATGTTTATCTTTTGAAAAATTTAAATATTTTTGAAACTTTGCATAAACAACTTTAATCTCACCCCATTTAAACTTTATATAAACAATCTTATATTTTTATTAAATTGTTTAAAAAAAAACTAAACAGGTAATTAGGATGTTAAAATGATACAAAATTATTATCAAATATTAATATTTTATATTTCTTATTTGAATTTCGTTTTTATTAAATTAGGAATAATCATTTTACATATAAAAAGTGTATTTTTCAAAACCAAAAAAAAGGGTAGTTTTCAAATTAAAAATTCATCAAAAAATATATTTCAAAAAAAAAATTATTAATATGGTTATAAATGTTTTGAATAATTATATATTATTTTTATTTTAGTAACTTTTGGTTAAACCGCTCTTGCACCCGCTGGCTAACCAGTCAAAAATATCCCGCAAACGCAACCGCTATGAATTGCTATACCAGTCGTACAAACAGCTTTTAATCGCAAACTCCCGCTTCCGCAAACTCCCGCAGCCGCAAACTCCCGCAACCGCAACCGCAGCGGTTAAACCAGTCAGACCCTTAATTATCCATATCTTTTTGAAATTTGTATGTTTTTAAAATTCCAAACCATAGCATTTACGACCATTGGTATGTCACGTTGAAGTTTAAAAAATTGACATGAATTTCTAAGAAAATTAGACAAGTATGTAAGTAAATTTTTTTCTATCTTATTATATAAATTTGGATACACATAACATGAGAGTGATATATACGACAATTTCTAATTTGTGAGATTATTACATGTATGATCGTGACACTTGTGAAATTTTATCATCTACAACACATAAAATAATTTAGATTTTTACAGTTTAAAATATTTATAAATTTAGGATAATATAGGTTACATATTTACATTTCACAGACCAAAGTTTTTACCTAGCCGTTCCTATAAAATGTTAAAAACTCAAAGAAACCCTACTATCATTTTCCCATTTCTTTCAATCGCAGTTATGTCTCTCTCTTTCTTTCAATCGCCGCTATATCTCTCTCTCTGTCTTAGCCATACGATCCATACCCAAGTTCGGTAGTTTCCACCCCATGTCTAGGGTTGAGCCCTGGGATTTGACGGCGGCGCGCCATGCCGTATCTCTATTAACTTCTTATCTTCTCGTTGCTCGTCAATTTTGAATAATTTGTTTTGTTTTTCTTTCTCTTTCTTTGCTAGATCTCATTTGATATCATCTTTTGTTATAAATTGCATTACAAGATTTCATGCGGTTGTCTTTTTATGTTACCTTTAACATTTCTATAAGATTCTTCTCATTTCTCGCCAATTTTTTCTCTTATTTTCTTTTACTATATTTCATATTGATATCATGTTAGATCATAAATTACATACCAGATTTCATATGATTCCTTTGATGTGACTTTGAGCCGTATCTTTATCATTTTTTTTTTGGACAACAACCTCTTCACTTAGAATGGCTCCGAAATCCAATCCAAACAGGTAGTAAAGAGTTTACATAGTAAGTATCATGAAAGCAATCTCGAGCACTCCATGCTAGCTTTATCAGATTCTTATTCCTTGCTAATTTGATTTTTTATTTTGTTTTATAAAATAGTTTTTTTGTGTTGCGTTTACTAAATTCCTTATTATCTCATGTTAGACTATAAATTACATACCTGATTTCAAACAATATATTTTTATATTACTTTTGTTTTTGTTTTTGTTTTTTAAATATATATTTACAATCATACGTCATTTTTTTCGTATCATTTTCAATTAATTTCTGGAAACTCAACACATTCTTCTTTTTTTCCAATATTATTTGTCCAATATTTATTTAAAGTTTGATTGGTTTGAGATCATGTGAGGAATATAGATTACATGACTGGTTAACATGCGATCAATACGACTCTTCCATGCTATCAATAGACTGATTAGTAGCATTCTTGGTGAAAGATGGAGTCGCATGATGATGGTAAACGCTATAGCTATAGTTGCTGCCTCCTATGGGATCAGATGTACTAAGAGAGAACTCAAGATGATTATCATTTGGCAGAGCATATAGTTGTAACATGTTAGTACGAATATCTCTTGAAAAAAAACATATAAATTGTTTCTTTTATGTGAAAACTCTTTTGATTTTATTTAGAAACCTTGATTATTATTTTTTTTAGAAAAATTAGAAACCCTGATTATGAAAAAAAATGATATCTAATCAATTTTCGGTGCTTTTATTCCTTATGGCAGCTTGGTTTGCGGTTGATTTGGGAGAAGTATTATGAAGACCCATCCTGCTTTGAAGATTCAAAATCTGATCTTAGTAAGTTTGCACACGCTAACATATAAATTGGCTTCACCTTTTTTTAACTCAAGCAAAACATTTTCGTTGGCCCCCATGAATCATGCATGATGAGTTGGTTTCGTAACTGAAGCTTTGTGTTTCAACGTCTTTTGTCTACATGACGTCCACTTGTCAATTTCGTAACTGAAGCTTTGTGCTGAATGTCTGTTTTTAAGTGACGTCAACTTGTCCATTTCGTAACTGAAGGCTGAAGCTTTGTTTTTAAAGTCTGTTTCTGTAACGCCAACTTGCCAATTTATGCCCTTTCTTAAAAAAAAGAAAAAACACTTTTCAGCTTTGATTTTCATGTGTTTTTCTGTAACGCCAACCTAATGTAAAAGTCACATTAAAAGCCTGTTTTTTTTTGTTTGGTAGTGTTAGGAGCATCTCCAATGTAAGGGTAACCGGAAAATGGTGATGACTTTTATTCCAATGTATTAATCTGTAACCTATCCAAAAGGAATATTTTAAGTATATATATTCTTATTTTTATTTTACTATTAATTGTTAAAATTAAAACTTTATTTATAATTTTACAAATAGACCAATTAACTTCTCATTTTTATAGATGTAAGTATAATTTTAGTAATAAACAGTAAAAAAAATAGGAATACAGTTAGTATATTCTTTTTGGGTTAGAAAGTGGAGTAATACATTGAATTAAAAGACATTGCCATTTTGGAATTACCATATTCTGGAAAAAAAAATGAGATAATACAGTGGAAATGCTCTAAGTGATAGATATTTTTTTCCTAGCTGTAAAATTTTATTAGACAAAAAGGTTGATTTTCTCTCTTGGTTTTGGGAGAGTACTTAAAATTCTTCGTTTATGTATTTATCTTCCTTTGTATTTTATTGTTCTTTCTACCAACATTGGAGTAAAAGATACTAATGAGAGTCAGTAACCGTCGGGCAGCGTTAAACATGCAAAACACTCAGGCTAATGATAGTACACGTGGTAAACATGCAGTAGGTTTGGGACTGTAACGTCTCTTTGTGTTTTTGTACATATGAAAGTAGAAACCACTATAAATAGAAAGCATTTGAAGCCCTTCTCTCTCAAACAATCAAACTCGAATCAGCTTTTCATCATAAATCTTTTTCTGAGGTATAGTTGAATTCTTCTTGTTCATATATACTTGTACAATGTGTTTTCTTCAATACGTTGGAAACCAAAAATTTAGGGTTTTCTGTTTTTAGGGTAAATATATCATCAAATTATCGGCAAACTATGTTAAGTCGTACTTTTGCAGGTAATTTTTTTCCCGAAATTGTGTAAGGAATGGAGAGAGAAATGGTGCAAAACTTGGAGGGGATTGAAGCGCAGAAGATTGAGATAAGCGTTGACCTATTTGCTGCAGCCAAGAACCAACTTCAGTTCCTCGAAGTTGTTGATCAGAACCGGTGGCTCTACGACGGTCCTATACTCGAAAGAGCCATCTACAGGTAGACAAAGTCACCAAATCTGTCCTAAACGCGAACATTTATTTAATAGAAACTTAAAAAAAAAAAAATATTATGGTTTCAAAAAAAAGAATCCATTTTTTTTTTCTTTTTAAAAACACTTAAATTTGAATGATTTGATGATTATTTTTCTGTTCAGATACAATGCTTACTGGCTTCCTTTGCTTGCCAAATATTCCGAGTCTTCCTCGATCTGCGAAGGACCATTAGTCCCTCCTTTTGACTGTGAATGGGTTTGGCACTGCCACAGGCTTAATCCGGTAAATCTCTTTCTTGGCATACAAGTCACATATGCAAATGCACACTGTTGCATATATATAGCTCATGTTTTTTTAATCATCCAGGTGAGGTACATGTCTGATTGTGAGGAATTCTATGGGAGAGTTCTGGACAATTCAGGCGTTGTATCTTCCGCAAATGGAAGTTGCAAATTACAAACTGAGAATCTATGGAAGAGATTGTATCCTATGGAGCCTTACGACCTTGATTTGAACAAGGAAGAGCCAGATGATATCTCAGCTATTGAGAGATGCACTACCTATGATCTTGTTTCAGCTGTCCAGAGGCAAAGCTCATTTTATAATGAGGTAACACCGACAAACTAGACTAAAGTTAATTTTAATTTAATTACATATGATGTTTTGCAAGTTAAACTTTTTTTGAATATTACTTCATCATTTATATGGATTTTGAATAATTTGTGATATAAGCTTGGTACTCTTTTATATTTTATTTTATCTACAATAGTTTTTTGTTGAAACATATATTTATTTATTTTTTGGAAGAAGGGGTAATAAATATTTTTTGGAATTTATTTCACATATGTGATATACATGGTTTAATTTTAATCAATTTGTTGGTGTATTGATTTTTGCTGCAGGTTTCGAGAGCCCATGTAGATAGTGACATCATAATCCAAGAAGCTGTTGGTAGATACAAAGCATTTCTCTACTTGATCAAGAGAAGCCGCGAAAAGTTGATCAACTTAATCAGTGTTCCCACTTACGACATTGATCTAATCTGGCATGCACATCAACTAAATCCGTCCTCTTACTACAAAGATATGGAAAAGATCTTGGGTGAAATCTTACAACATGATGATACAATTTCTGACACAAGCGAAAGTAAGAAGCTGGACACAGCTTTCTCTGGAACTACTACTCAATGGGAAGAAACATTTGGTCAAGGGTATTGGATAGCCAATGCGGAGATGGCTACAGTTGTGCTGGCAGCTGAGAAGAGCGGTGCAGGCTCTAGGTGCTTGGCCGAGGCTGCTGAGAAGCACGATGTGGGTGCAAGGTGTTGTGTGGACGTGGCGACTGAGAAGAACAATGCTCGGTGCTTGGCAGTGGTGCATGAGAAGAAAAGTTCTAGATGCTTGGCGGTGGTGCCAGAGAAGAAAAATGCTCGGTGTTTGGCCGTAGTGCCTGAGAAGAAAAGTTCTAGGTGCTTGGCTGTGGTGCCTAAGAAGAACAATGCTCGGTGCTTGGCTGTGGTGCCTAAGAAGAACAATGCTCGGTGCTTGGCGGTGGTGCCTGAGAAGAGCAGTTCTAGGTGCATGGCCGTGGTGCCTAAGAAGAACAATGCTAGCTGCTTGGCGGTGGTGCCTGAGAAGAACAATTCTAGGTGCATGGCCGTGGTGCCTAAGAAGAACAATGCTCTGTGTTTGGCGGTGGTGCACGAGAAGAAAAATGCTGGGTGCTTGGCGATGGTGCATGAGAAGAATAGTTCTAGTTCTAGGTGCTTGGCGATGGTGCATGAGAAAAACAGTTCTAGGTGCTTGGCGGTGGTGAATGAGAAGAAAAATGCTCGGTGCTTGGCGATGGTGCATGAGAAAAACAGTTCTAGGTGCTTGGCGGTGGTGCATGAGAAGAATGGTGGATGTGGTAATATGATGAAGAATAATGCTAATGAAGAATTAGCAGATGCTCTAAACGGCCCCGTTGCAGCTTAATTATTCAAATGAAGAAGACGTATTATGTTTAATACTAATGTATGATACTAGTGTAATATATGGTCGGCAAAATGTTCATGTATGATACTAGTGTAATATATTATCTAAAACATGTAGTAAAGTATGATGAGAGTTGTTGCTAACGTTACATGTTATAAACATGTACGTACTCATGTAAAATAAATAAGTTGAAATGTAATATTTATGTGTGTTTATTATATGTTTTTATGATAAGAAAATTGTAATCTTGCATTTGTTTTGGGCTAGCATCAAATCAGATGATGAGTACGTAGGACTTTTAATCTCCTTTATTTACTGCCACCTTTAGTGTTATGGTTCAATTGAGATTTGTGTTATGAATTGCAAGCAAAAATGTAATCAAGTTTTCTTGAAGCTAAAACTCATTCCAAAGAAAGAACAAAACACTACATAATTTTCTCTTGTATGTAGAGTTTTAAGACAAAAATTGCATAGTCTCTTGCCGTTCATTGCAAAGTAAGAAGCAATGGAGAAGTTTCACTTTGCACTTTTGGAGCCTAAGTTGTTCCTAGAGAAAGTGTTCGATTTGTCATTGATAGTTTTCTTTTTTTGTTTCCTGTCTCCAGACAGTGGGAGCTTCAAGCTGGAAGTGAAAGGAACGGAATTTATGTTTTCTTGTTGGCAATTTAAACTGCATTTGTGGATATCCAAATTGTTCAGCAACTATGTGCACGTTTGATCAGATGAGGATCAAAAGACATCCAATAAATTTTTCCATACCAGAAAATAATGACTGTCAAGTTCGTGTTCCCAAAGAATGATTCATATACATTGACGAATTGTTGTGTGCTTTCCCCTTTCACCAGATCCCAGATCTAAGAGAGAGAGAGATGAAGAAAGAAACATATTGGTGCTCACAAAAACGTAAAAGGAAAATGAAGATATAACACAACAAAACAAAACCAAAAACTTACCAATCTCCATCGAAGAATACTATTTATCATAATAAGCCGCCTTCTTGTTACTGTGGAAAAGTTAGTGTCATTGCTGCTCCTCGGTCTTGAGTGAGACCATTTCGCTTCGCTGTTGTTGTTGCTGGTGCATAATCAGATGGTGGTTCTTTAGTCTGAAGTTGCTCGGAAGCCATCGATATAACCGTTCCGGCAAGAATCTGGCAGCACCAAGAGTTACAATTCAGGACAATCCAGCTTCACTGACTCTTAGGAACATAACAAACCAAAGATAACGTTCGTGACTTACAGTTCCAGTCTCTCATGAATTGCTCGGCGCACTGAGCTGTTGAAACCATATGCTATTGAATTGAACAATCCCTGAAAGTAACATTATCAGAACAGCGACTTGGGAATAATGAGGAGGAAAGAGATGATTTGTCAAGAATTTTCTACCATTAGAGCAGCTGTTCCAACGTCAAGAGCTGAGAGCCAGAAGATCTTATGGCCTGGCTCGATGAAATCATGAATGCGGTTGATAGTACCGAACGCCCATGATCCTATCAGAATGAGCGGATAGTATCCCCATCGATTCAACACCTGTAGTTTCAGGAAACAAGCAGTAAGTGTTTAGTCTATCAAACAAAGCCAGTTACAAGATACAACAGAGGTGGTATTAGCAAATATAGAGAAAACAAACCTTTAACTCTGCTCTGTTATCAAATTGATCCACTCGGTCTGACATTCCAACCGCCATCTAAAATTGACATCTCCTTATCAGTAAACAGACAAGTGTATAAACGATCTACTTTCAGAAGACAATGTTGATAGAAGGGCTACATACACGTCTAGCGTTTCTTAGCATTCGTATCACTTGGAAGTATGTAAACCCATTGTAGAGAATCGCACCCCAAAGAGGAGCATAGAAAGTTAAGAAATGAACAGCCTGCATAGGTCCAGCAGTGAGATAAGTATCAATCATAGAACTCACCAACTGGAATCTTTTTGCTCAGTAAAGGATCCTCTCTTACCTTTCCCTTAAGACCAGTTTGGGTCCAGCACCATGGCCCCAAATGCGAGTGGTTGTTACCAAAAGAACGTATCACAGTCACAACCAAGGAGGTTCCTAGAAACAAGAAAAGTTCACCAAATCAGACTCTTACCTTATCCTTAAACCCAAATATAGATATACCAACAATTGAGCACATAAACCCAACAGATTCTCAAAATTCAGTGATATATACATAAAGAGTATCTTTTTTTGCATACCCCAGACATACAAGTGAAACATGGCTTCCAAATCCTCCACATCAGTTTTATGCTTAACCACAGTGCGGTGAAGAGTGAAAGCAATAGTGGTTGTCCACAAGAACGAAGCTACGCAGAAGAAATGTGTGGTGTAGCCTTGTGCATAACAAATGAACCCTTTTGAAGGATCCCTACATGATCAAGAGCAACTAACAATCATCTTAGGAAAAAAATCTTAAGAAGAGACACCCAAAAAATTGTTAGAAGGTCAAAAAGCATACCCAACGATTAAGAAGAAACTGCAGAGCATATCCTGCAATCAATGGAACCATCACTGACAATCAGCAATAGAGCTCTACATAATCTTAACTACTGATTCCAGAACAATGTTCGCATCGAATTTAACTAAATTGCACTTTCGCAATGCTAAAATCGGTGAAGAAAGAAGCAAAACAGTGAATAATCCTAGATCTAGCTTCATCATTTACTGGAACTTTGTACGAATCAGCGTCAGGAACAAAATCAAAGACGAAGAAGAGACTTACAGAGAGAGCAAGGTAGAAGACGAGCTTGAAAGAGAACTTGCGAAGTTCTTTGAAGAGGCAATAGCAGAGGACGATGAATGTTGAGCCGACGAAAGAGAGACTCGACGCGCCGGTATTTATCGCCGTGATAATGCTGCGATCTCCGGCAGTTAAGCCTCCGCCGGAAGCGAGCACCGCCGACATATTTATCTTTGATTCAAATCCGATCGAGAGATTTGACGTTTTCCGCTTTTCGTGTTCGTCGTTTCCGTCGCGTGGTGTTTTTTTTCCCGACGAACGTTGCGTGGTGGGCTAAACTCTCGTCCGGGTCGGGTCGGTCGGGTCGAGTTATATGTAATGAAATGAACTATGATTCAGGCCCGGCCCAAATATTTTGTCCGGCTTCGTTGTTTGAATATACGAGTAAGACAACACATTAATTATTTTTTGATAAAATCAACACATTAGCTATGCAAAATATAACATTATCATCATGTCTAAACATTAACAAGCGTGAAGAGAAAAACACATATATTTATATATTATAAATAATCATATGTTGTTGCCATACTAAGAACTTCAAATATTTTTCTGTAAAGTATTGAAACAGATAACTTTAGAATTGTTTTCTTCAACTGAGAGGCAAACGAAAAAACACTCTTCCTTCTTGGAACATGACGCATCATCTAATCAAAATCTCTCATTTGAATAACGATTTATTTATACATCTCATTATCCTTGCGATTTTTGGTCATTATTTTAGTTTGCATACAAAAAGGGTACACCTGATTTTGTCCGTATTTAAACTATTGTTTGGTTCGTACTCCATTGATGAAAAAGACATCTGCATCTGTACGAATACATTGTTATATCTACTTGATGTAGACTCCAATGTTGAGTGTTTAAGGTTCTTTTCTTCCCTCTGTTAAGTGTTTTAAGGTTCATAAATATATTCCATAAAGACTCTACATACTTAAAGTGTATAAGTACATATAAATTGTGACATCCCTAACATACTTGAACTCGTCTTGATGATAGATAGTAGTACATATCATCTAAAGCAAATTAACAAAGACAAACAAATATAGATAAACAGCCATTAATTATTTTTCCATCTTATTTGATTTATATGTGGTAAACTCACTTTTTGAAGTTAATTAGAACTATATATATACATGATACCTCGAGTTTTGCATGCCCTGGATTTGTTCCATTGATTGAGGTCAAACATAAAATAATACTATAGTCAAATTTTGATCAAGTTAATACAAACAACTCATCTCTACAAAATAACAACTCTCTATGCATTTTATGCCTATTAACTTTTTGAATATTGATTAGTAAGTATAAGTCCGTTAAAAAATCGGCCGGTCAACTAAAACTAAAACTAAAGATTGATCAATACAAAGACTGCGAAATGCTAACCGATCTGTGTATTATTTTCTTTCTTTCTTTTTATAGTTTAATTAATTATTTTTTCCGGTTCCTCCAAATTCTTGACCTTAACAAGACTGCAAGACATCTTACATAGAATATATAATACGAAACGAAACATATATATTTATATATCCATATTCATTCGCGGAGATATATAAAACACACGCACACGTACACATGTATAAATATGTATTATCTATCAAGAATATGCCAATATGGTGTTGTCATCGTAAGCATATATAAGAGTTGCATGTGCAATGTCATCGACCATCATCATCACTAATGAGAATGTAAACAGGTTTCTTTGAAGACGATAATCTGCTTCCTCCTGCAAGAGTTTTATTTCCAAGGTACTGTTTCTCTTTTGATTCTTCATTTCTCCTTCATCCCTCTGGCTTTCTGAAAATTAACAAGAACAGACATCGATCGAAATTCTGAAAACTAACGTCCACCTACGGCTAATGTTTTCGATTTTTTATATGGGTTTTAATCTTTGAATATTTAGGTATAAACTTTTACCTCTTTTGTTTCACTCAACCTCAAAAATATTCTGCCAAACTCGAATAGAAAGTTTATGTTGTAAGTCGTAACTGATTTTCTTTTCTTGTACCCTGGATCCAAGCACTGAAGATTCTTAGAACACACTTAATTAGTTGCATCCAAAAGATCCTTGCTATTGTTAGAACTTTGGATGGTACCTATTATGTACCTATTACTGAAGATTCTTAGAACACACTTATTATGTGCATATGATTTACTTTTATCTATCTATTTTGCTATAACCATTGTATTCTTGCTAACGTTATTTGTTTTCTTTTTTTGAGAACTTGTTGACGTAATTTTGTAAAGACTTTGCTACACTTAGGTATAGGGATTGACGTATCTTCTAATTTCTTCTTGCGATTATGTTTTGAAGTAAAATTCCTATGCATGTCTTAAAAAAAACACGACATTTTAGTTATTCTTAATCGAACAATATGTTATTTGCTTGTTTGCGTTTTACGTTCTTATATTCTTAAAGCTATTTATTAGAATTTCTATAATTTGAAGAAAAATACAAACATATAGTATTAACATAGTGTCAACTTTTTTGTATGAGAACAAATCATTAGACTAATATAGCCCTTTTACTTTCAATTCGAAAAAATATAAATTCCTCATCATTCATACATAGTTATGTCTTGGGTTTCCTATATCAAACTGCGGCTTTTCCATTCTTTGCGTTTTCGTTTCATTTGAGAGTCCAATAAAATCGTAGATAGTTGCTAGTAGATTTACCTAGCAAAGCACAACTGCATAGCCCAATAATTGCCTTAGGGACAGAATAATTTCTTATGTCATTATGTCAAATTATGATCAAATTCTCCGAAATCTACAAAATAAGTCAATAACTTAACTTGTAACCAATGCTCACTAACAGCTTTGAGTTTGAGTATGTTTAGGATATACTCTTCCCTTTTCGTCTAAAACATTTTTTTCAAAGTTTATAGTTTTTTAATCAATCCCACACTTACATATATTTAAAACGCTCTTTTGTGCGAAATTTTATTTTTAATCATCATACAACTTTTATTCCAAACACAATGGTCCCATCATAAATGTTAAATGCTCTTTGTTCCGTTTGTAACTCAAACATGAGACAAATTATTGGTGGGTCCTTTCGCTTAATTGGTTTTTAATATATGCTCTAGTTTATGTTTAAGTGTTTAACTTATTTTAATGTTTCAAATATTATGTCTTTTTCTTTTAGGCTCATATCCTCCTCAAGGTTCTAAAATGCTGTAATATTTAAATGACCGTCAATTTAGCAAAGGTAAATCATTGTGTATGTTATAACGAACATAATATATGCTTTCAAAATGTATAAACCTTAACTATAAACACATACCGATGGTTTTGTTTGCTTGCAGTTACACGCATACACCTATGTATACAACGACACTGTCTACTTTTTGTGTGTGTTAGGTTTTTGATGACACGTACGTCATCTGGAAAAAATGAAGACAAAAGACAAAATGGGCCCACCACTTAATTCTTTTGTCCTATTGTAAAAGTCGTCAAAAAAACTTGGTGGGCCTTAAGCCCACTATTTCATCCAGAAGGATCATTTTCCTTAATAAGTTGCTTGGTTAACAATTATTAAACACTTAAATCGCATAAAACTAGTGGACTAATGATTGGTGATTAATACTGTACTATAGTTTTTATATTTGTTGTTTTCTTGTGTGACAGCTTTTCAAGCCGTCTCTTGGATTTTCACAAGTCAAAGCTGAGTAAGACTTTAGCGACGAGTCTTCTCGCCGGCGAACCGCCGTCTACGGCGGAAATTTGTCAGTTATGTCCCGTATTTCCGCCACCTCCACCACTCCTTCCCGCGTAAGAGCCGCGAATTCGCACCACGCAGTCATTTCTAGACCTCGAGCCCAGGATGACAACGGTTTACCGGGAGCTAAACCGAAATCCTCCGGTAACGATGTGAAGAACGATCCGGCTAAGAACCGGCGGTCAATTATGCTTAAGAGAGCGAAATCCGGCGAGGAGGAGACGGCGATTTTGGCTCCTCAGAGAGCTCGGTCCGTGAACCGTCCGGCGGTGGTAGAGCAATTCGGCTGTCCGAGGCGGCAAATTTCTAGGAAGAGCGAAGAGACGGCAATAGCTGCGACGGCGGCGGAGGATGAGAAGAGGAAGCAATTGGAGGAACTGGAGGAGAAGCTTGCGGTGAACGAGTCGCTGATTAAGGATTTGCAGTCGCAGGTTTTGAATTTGAAAACGGAGCTAGAGGAAGCTCGTAGCTCCAATGTAGAGCTTGAGTTGAAGAACGTGAAGCTTTCTCAGGATCTCGTTTCAGCTGAAGCTAAGATCTCATCTCTTTCCTCCAACGACAAGGTAACATTGCATTTCTCTTTCGCTTCCACAAATTGAGAAGGTTAGGCCAGAAATCTCACTGTTAGATTGACTTAGTGAGACTACAGAATCATGATTTGATTTGATTTTGTTCTTTATTCTGATTCTGATTTGGTTGATTCAGCGAGCTAAAGAACACCAGAACACGAGATTCAAAGATATCCAGAGGTTAATCGCCAGCAAATTAGAGCAAATCAAGGTAGAAAAGGAAGCAGTGGTAGAATCATCATCATCAAGCTCCAGTAGAACAAGATCATCTCCACAATCACCTTCAAGATTACCTCCAACGCCTCCGATTCCAAAGTTTTTAGTATCTCCAGCTAAAAGAAACGAAGCTTCCTCTTCACCAATCGCACCACCAACCCCACCGCCTCCTCCTCCGCCACCACCACCTAGGCCTCTCGCCAAAGCAGCTCGCGCTCAGAAATCACCGCCAGTTTCACAGCTGTTTCATTCGTTGAAAAAGCAAGATAACAGTAGAGATCTTTCGTCGTCTGTTAATGGAAATAAGTCTCAGGTTAACAGTGCTCACAACAGTATAGTTGGAGAAATTCAAAACCGTTCCTCTCACCTTATCGCTGTAATCAACCAAGTTTCTTTTTTTTCTGGACTCTGTTTACCTTTAACCTCAGTCTTGACCAATTCTCATCTAACACTGATGAGATTCATTTTGTTCCACAGATAAAAGCGGATATTGAAACAAAGGGAGATTTTATCAATGATCTTATCCAGAAAGTTCTCACCACTTGTTTTTCGGATATGGAAGATGTCATGAAGTTTGTGGATTGGCTTGATAGTGAACTAGCAACTCTGGTAACGCCTAATTCCTCTTTTAGTCATATAAATGATCATTACATATGTATCTTACATGTGCATTCCTCTTGCCAAATGCCCTTTACAGGCTGATGAGCGAGCGGTGCTTAAGCATTTTAAATGGCCGGAGAAGAAAGCAGATGCTCTGCAAGAGGCTGCGGTTGAGTACCGCGAGCTAAAGAAACTGGAAACAGAACTTTCTTCCTACTCTGATAATCCGAGCATTCACTACGGCGTTGCCCTGAAGAAAATGGTCGACTTACTAGACAAGTAAAAACCAAGTCTTTTACTTTTTGATGCTCACTGATTAGAAGAACATCCTCCAAAAAAGTTGAATAACCTAAAAGTTTTGTGGTTTTGGTATAAGGTCGGAGCAGAGGATAAGGAGGCTAGTCAGGTTACGTGGCTCATCACTACGTTCATATCAAGAATTCAAAATCCCAGTCGAGTGGATGCTTGACTCGGGAATGATAAGTAAGGTATGGTTTTTTCTCTCTATGGACTTTGTTTTTTTTCTCTTAAGTAAATCACTCTGTTTCTACACTTTTTTAAGATTGTTCGAATTCCGTTGGTAGATCAAAAGAGCATCGATCAAGCTTGCTAAGACTTACATGAATAGAGTTGCGAACGAGCTCGATTCAGCTCGTAACTTGGATAGAGAGTCTACTCAAGAAGCGTTGCTTCTCCAAGGGGTCCGGTTCGCATACAGAACGCACCAGGTAACTCCTAAACTTCAAATTTTTAAAAGCATTGATCTTTTTGCTAATGATGCTTCATGCTTGATCGTATCATCTTTACAATGTTTATTTCAGTTTGCTGGTGGGCTTGATCCAGAGGCATTATGTGCATTAGAAGCGATAAAGCAACGTGTTCCTGATCATGTCCGTCTGCCAAGATGGAATTTGGCCGGAGCTCCGTCGTAGAAAAGTGACCAGAGAAATGGCCTTTGGTTTTTGCGTTATAGTATTTGTTGAGTGAGAGAGTACATGTTGTGTCCCACGCCACGTAATAATAATGTAAATTGTATCTAAAATAGTAAAATGTGCCTCTTACTAGTAAAGAATTATCTTTAAACTATACTTGAAACATAAATTATACGTTTTCTCAGTCACAGACTATCGTGTTTTAAATCTTTCTCTAACCGATTCCATTGGGAGTAACGTCCACTCTTTCGAGTCCTTTACGAATTTGCGGGCTCAGTTTCAAAAGCATCTTATCTTACTTCTTATCAACGCCAAATTCATGAGGCCTAAAGAGTTGCGTTCAGGAAAAAAAGTGATTAACATCCAACGGCTGAGGGAGGTAATATGACTAGGGACGAAAGATAGATTTAAAATCGAACGGCTAAAGCAGCATTTGGTGAGATTGAGATAGCGCATAAAATGAGGTGGCGTGATTCTCCCTCTTATTATTGGTTAGTTACCATCCCGACACCTAACTATCTGTTTCATATTAAATGTTAGGTTTTTTCACATGAAAATGTTAAAATTTTCTGTTTTATCAGTTATCAAACAAAATCATTATAGAATTAAAATTTTTGAAAAATGTTGAATTATCAGATGAAATAGAGAGAATATGCTGTAAAATGTTAAAAAAAGAAGATAGTTTGTTAAAAAAAAAAAACCAATGTACATATTCCAAATTATTACGGACGTGGCAAAATTTTGAACAAGATTCTCCACGTGGCGACCTGACTTGGACTCCTGTCATAAATTTTGTCCGTCGATCTCCACAAAAGTTTAAACCAACGGCTTGGATTCATCTCCTGGCGCGTGTCCGGAGCGCGGGAAAGTGTGGAAATCTCACGAACACAGGTGGTGAGCCTGAGTGCAACTCACGACACCTTCCATCCATTCAAAACACGCCACGTAACCCCTTCACTGTTTGTTTCTCCTCTTGTCAAAGACCTGGAAATCTGCCTCAACAAAGGAACAGCCTGAAAGGATATCGTGAATCCAACACCACGATCGCTTTAAGGCTCACAAAGTCAAGTTCATCGATTTCTAGCTTTGAAAAACAATCATCTAGATTTTAGTCAATTAGAGATGGAAGTCTCCGGCGTCGTTCTCCGTCAAATTCCGTGCGTCTCAGGTTCCGTTGCCGACGGCCGTTACTCCGGTCTCCGATCGGTGTTTTCCGGCGACACACAGACGGTACGGTTTCGAACGAGGAAATTTCGCGGGATTGTGTGCAATAATGAGTTTGCGGATAAAGCACACATGAATTACTATTTAGAGCCGGTAAGATGCGGCGGCGGAGGAGAGAAAGAGAAGGTTAAGGTTATGGAGAAAGAGAAGAAGGCGTTGAAGAAGAAAGCAAAGGTTCTCAAAAGTCTTTCTAAGAACTTAAACATGTTCTCAAGCATAGGCTTTGGTCTTGATCCAGAGGCCGGTTTAGTTTCTGAGATTCAGAACAAGTCAATTTCGGTAAGATTTCTCAAATCTTTGGAAACTTTTTTTGTTGGAATTGAGTTCTGGATTTGACTAATTCTTGGTGGAACTGAATGTAGAAATCTGATCTTGATTATGTTTATTGATTACGCAGGAAGCAACAGAGATTTTGGTTAAGCAGCTGGAGCAGTTGAAAGCAGAGGAGAAGCTATTGAAGAAGCAAAGGAAAGAAGAGAAGGCAAAAGCTAAAGCTATGAAGATGATGACTGACATGGACTCTGAATCATCTTCTTCTTCGTCTGCATCAAGTGATAGTGATTGCGACAAAGGGAAAGTTGTTGACATGAGCTCTCTCAGAAACAAGGCCAAGCCGATTCTCGAGCCGTTACAACAGGAATCTACAGTAGCAACCCTTCAGAAGAAGGTCGAAGATGATGCACAATCTTGCAAGAACACCGTTGAAGCATTGGAGCTTGCTCTGCTACAAATGGCCAATCCTGGACAGACGGTAGACGCAGCGGTTTCGGTGGTTGGATTGCCATTGAAGAGAGTAGAAGTGTGTATGGGAGGGAAGTGTAAGAAATCAGGAGGAGCTGTGTTGTTGGATGGGTTTCAAAAGGCAATGACGGGCATGGAAGGATCAGCTGTGGCTTGCAAGTGCATGGGCAAGTGTCGAGATGGTCCAAACGTTAGAGTCGTGAACGAGACTGATGCTGTGATGACTGATTCAGTTAGGACACCGTCCAAGACCGTTTGCGTAGGAGTTGGATTGCAGGATGTGGAGACTATTGTCACAAGTTTTTTTGATCAAGAAAGTAGCAGGCAAGGTCTTGATTATGTCACATATTGAAAGTGTTTTTGAAAATGATGAAAGCTATATATATATGCTAGTGTGGTGTTTTCTCTCAATGTACATATTTGTGCGTCTTATGCTTCTTCGAGTGAAAACATTGATACATATATATTATCTTCTCTACTTGGTTTTGAAAAGAAAATCTGTTGCAATAAGATCTGTAAAGATCAACTTAACAAAAACCTTTCCAAAGTACAAGCCCTAACGATCCATTTGTTTGTCCTAAACTCTTACAAAAGATCAGTGGAAAACAGAAGTACATGTTTTTTAGTTTTAGTTTCTGGGAATTTTGGACCTGGGATGATGTTCTTCGGTGTCGTCGTCTAATCTGTTGCAGCGCTTCAAGAAGGAGTCTAGAGTCTTCTGTTTCGCAGGGCTGTTTCCTGGTTTTGTTGGACTTTTCATCACATGACTAGATGAAACCTCCAAAGCATTCTCTTGCCCATCAAGCATCTGTGTTGCAGATTGTTCACAAGTTTATTAGTCTCCAGCACTTAGAAAAGATTATCCAAACACGTAATAATACTCACAGACATGCTGTATATAATCAGTACTAATGAATATGTAATGTGAACACCAAGAGATTTTTATCTCCCGGTGGCTTGACATAGAGAGTGAGAATATACCTGTCCCAGATTATCCAGCTTGCTCTGAACAACATCCCTGTACACAAAATAAGCAAATTTAGTCTAATTAACCTAGGACAAATAACGTTGAGATAATCATTGAAATTTCAGCTTTAAACGTGAATAAGAGAGAACCAGATGATATCGTCAACAGTGTCATTTGCTAGAAGGTAGTGTATGTTAACTGAAGAGACCTGTAGAAATGAAGCAAAAGCCATACAAAAAAGGTTTAGAAATGACGCTGCAAATGAAAAGAGAGATATAAGGGTGTAACTTCAACTCCACTAAACTATCGCTCATGACTCACTTGACCAATCCTATGTGCACGATCCTCTGCCTGTATCAGGTCACCAGGAGTCCATGCTAACTCCGCAAAGATAACAGTGCTTGCTGCTGTCAAAGTTATTCCAACACCAGCCGCTCGTATTGACAGCTGCAAATCCATGTAAACAACACAAAATATCTAAGGACTAGTAATCACTGGTAGGCTCTGTCTACAAACGGCGCACAGTAGGCATCCATGGTTAATAGGACGAACTATAGTGCTTTCTATAGTGGCATTGTAAGAGTAGGACAGGAAATTCTGTTATAAAGATGGTGAAAATACTTACGACTGCTGCTTTTATCTCATCCTTTTCCTGAAAATCGGACACCAAGGCTTGTCTAGAGGAAGCAGGGGTGCTTCCATCGATCCGGATGCATCCGACTTTCTTTTTCTGCAATTGTTTTTGTAACTCGTATGAGAAACAGAGGGACTTTTGGGAAGGCATTGCTGCTGAGAAGTTGAATGACTTACTTTAAGAAACTGGTGTATTGCCTCAAGCATGGACTGATGATGAGCAAATACTAGAAATTTGCAGCCAGCCTGAATGACAATGCTCAAAGAGAAAGGGCAAGAACAGGTATCAGACATGTCTGAGAATTTTTTTCAAAAACAGCTTATTGCTAATTGCGCTATTACCTCAAGCACGGTTCCCAGATAATCAAGCACTGCTGGGATTTTGGCTTCAGCAGAATCAGTGTAGATCTAGAATACAAAATGAGGAGATGTTACGAGACGTTAGGATATAACAAGCAGGTCCAATGAAACAAAAGAAGAACATATCTTATCAGCTAAAAGTGCACACAGCTGAAACAACCAGGTCTATTGTATTACAATGAAATTCACTGGCTGTGAATAAATAATTTGGAAAAAGCAAATCAATACCTTGTTGATCAGTTGCTTCTCTGTAAATTTAAGAGATTTAATGTCATCTTCCGATATGGAATCCTTTATTTTTGCCTTTATCATCTTCAACTGTAAATAATAAAGCAAAAGACCATTGTCACCATTTCTTTTCTCAACACGATTCATTCAGGAAGGTAAAATACATGGATATTGAAAACTACACAAAGTTACCTCAAGAAACAAAGCATTGATTTGCTTCATGTCTTTCTCCGCTAGATCTAGAAAAACCTACTTACACAAAGATAGAAACAACAAGAAATCAATAGCAAGCAGTTAAAGATCACATTAGATGCATGTGCATAAGAGAAAACTACTAATAACCTGCTGCCTTCGCTTTGACGGAAGTTCAGTCAAAACATCCTTTTTAAGTCTTCGAATCATTACTGTTGCCTTCATCAAATTGTGCAACTCGTCATGATTGCTCGCGCCTTGATATGTTCCGAAAAATCCCTGAAATTTGAATGGAAAAATATAAGAATTTATAATGCACAGTAACTACCCCTCAATGAAACTCTAAGAAGTTTCCCATTGTGCAATGAACTTACGCCTTTGCAGTATCTGCTACCGTATTCATGAACATTTCTATAAACATCTGGGTATAGAGCTTCCAGCTGCCAAGAATAAAGAGCAAAGGGTTTTTAGGTTAATCGAATTACATCAAGAGAACCACACGCTCTTCACAAATCTAAAGCCAAAAAAAATTAAAGAAACGCCGCATAAGTAAATGGATGGATCACCTGTTTGTATAGCTCTATTGGTCTAGATAACGCAGGAGTTCCACTCAGTAGGATTGCATATTGAGCATTCTGAAACAAATGGTATGGGTTTGATAGAGTCAAAATAACCCCTAGAATATTACTCATTAACAATGTAACAAAAGTTTTACAGTTGCACCAAAAAGAAACTGATTTTCCATCAGTCAGCAGATAACCTAGAACCAGCTTGGCAAACAAAATGATGAGTGGATGATATATCAGTGTTACCTTTATGACTGGAAGGGCAGCAGTTGTCCTCTTCGCTTGAGCGTTTTTAAGAAAATGAGATTCGTCTGCTATAACCACCTGCAAAGAAGGCAAAATACATACTGAAACCCCAAATATATAAGACTATCACCAAAAACCCCTAAATCATAAATTCTTCCTTCCTCTCACTCTCACGTTCTTGATTGGGAACCAACGTGATGGTTATAAATCAAGATGTCATGAAGACAGGAAAAATTAACCAAAACATTACTACAAGCAATATCTAGTTAATCACCTTAAAGTCCAACGCCATTAGGAGTTTGTCCAGTTTTGTGACCACGTCGTAGGAGATAATGTTGAAGACACCATCAAGATGGATTGTGCCCTTTGAACTTGAGGAAACTATGTTAAATCCGCACTTGTTTGATCCACCTGATTGAGGTAAAACTACCTACTAAACGATGACTTAGATGAGAGAGCAAAATATAAATATTGCTACTTAACGTTATGCAAGCAGTAAACTACATACAACTATGTCTGACGGAGGTACATGCAGCCACTGGTTAATCATCTGCAAGAAAGCAACATAATGAATCATCTTAAGTGCCATAAAGAACGCCAAAGTAAAATTTAAACGAAGATCAAGCACTCACTGTTGCCCAATGTAAACGTAACGAAGATGGTGAAATAATAAGAACTGGCCAAGATTCAGGAACACATGTGGTCAAAGCAATTGCCTGCACAGATAATGAGCATGTGAACAAAATTGATGGAAAATACAAGCAGAGTGAATCATGACAACATTTCCCCACAACTAGTTTCTTGTTGGTTTGCAAGGAGTCATAGTTGTAAGGAGAAATTTTATGATACATGTGTTATAATGTCAAAGATATTTACTTAACAAGTGACAATAAATATCTTCTCCAATGAAAGGCTATACTGAGGCATATGAGACAGGAAACCACTTGCCTGCAAAGTCTTTCCAAGACCCATTTCATCTGCTAGGAGCGCACGCCCTCCGTGCTGCAACATAAACCTTAAGATAAAGGCAGAAACAGATGATGAGGCAAAGGAAACAGTTATCAGGCAGCCAAAAGGCGTATAAGTTGTTACTCATTTCGTAATAACACGAAGAATCAAAACTAATGAAGAAGACTAGATATCGCTGACATACTCTATGCCCTCTCGCTGAAACGGAAGAAGCTTTGGCTCAATGTGGCTTGGTATCTTGTCATACAGATCTAGGGAAATTAGGAAAGAGACAAGTAAGGCATAATCAGGTCTATACAACAAACATATATTTAGTGATCAATAATGTGTAACCGGATGCCTGACTTACGCCGTAGATCTGGAACTTTTGAGGCAGAAGCTATTGCACGTTTCACAAGAGGATCTAAGTTCTCTATCTGATAATTCACAAGAAAAAAACAAGATAGCAATGCATGCATGATGACCTCTGGTTTTAAGCTGAAGTTTCCGCACTAGTTTTAAAAAAATCAGCTTGGCTTTACCTCAACTTTAACGCTGGAAATTTCTTGCAGAACTTTTTCAGCTGATGACAATGAAGACTTAGGAAAGGTCCATAACCTGGATTTCCACAAGACAATAAACAACAACGAAGAACATTACAAATGAGAAAGTCAGAGAAACAAAACCCCACAAAATGATATGAAAGAGTGTTAAATGAAAACCTTTCTTTCCCATTCCAAATAGCCTTAGGGATTTTACGCACAGCATCCACCACCGCCTGGAAATGGCAAGTAAGTCTCAAACGCAAAACTACCATAGCATTTCCACACAAAGACTTTCTGATAGATTTACCTGGTTATAAGGGAACTTTGCTGCAAGATTTCCACTAGAGTGAAGCAAAATTTTGACAGAGACCTTTTGCTCAGGTTCCTTGGAGCTCTCACCTTTTGGCGCAGATGCTAGCCTCAGAATTAAGTACAGTAAACGTGAACAAACTCGTATGAAACATGGTCTCATTAGGAAAGGGAAAACAAGTCAAATGCTACTGAAAAATCAACTGACCAGTGTTTGGTTTAGGGGCGAGAGTTGAAGGTAAAACTCTAGTCTCCTGAGACGGATTATGAACCTGTGCATGATAAGAAACACACACACACATAAGGGCTGAAATAAATAACAGAAAATGAGAAGAACCTTTTACAAACACTCGAAGCCATCTGAAATTGCCCTAACTAACGAACACAAAACCCAGAAAAGGACATTAATTTGAAAATTGCGAAGTGGAAAACCTCGTTGGGAGTTCGCAAGGACGAAGAGGAGTTTCGCTCCTGGCTGATTCTCTCAAGAGCTTCTTTTTCGAGAGCCTCCATCTCTTCGAGAGTCAAATCCCAGTCATCGTCATCCATTTTCGATCGTCCTCCACTTATTTGTTCTTCGTCGGAGAATCGGATGTGACCTTTAATGGCGGAATCCCTCTCTTCTTCTCAAAATCTTTTTCCCTCGTCACTCTCTGTCTTCGCCTCTTTTAAAACGTTTACAGGAAAAAGAAGAAAATCTGTTTACCTATGAAACGCCAACGTTTAAGAGCAAGCAATTACGCCAAATCCGGTTGATGAAATGCGCTAACCGAATATGGATACGGTCATACGGATTGAGTTCTTACCGGATTAATTGCGGTTTTTGTTCGGTTTGTTTTCCAAAATGAGTGTTGGTATGATTTCGGCTCAACTCGGATGTGCCTAAACCGGATTGAGCAACCTAGATTACAATTTTTCACTGGAGAAGATGAAGACGATGGAGACAGAAATCGAACGTGTTGAGCTGCGTGATTCAGATTCTGACTTTCTATTTCGTCTAATTGGGCACTATTTCATTTCTCTGTCCTCCGATGGTAAAAAACTTCTAATTTAATCTGTAATTGTTTCGCCTCAAAAAAATTTATCATTTTTTCATTATTGGTTCCTCGTTGTGTTCTTGTCCGAAGCAAACAATACATCCTCTATTTTTAAAGTGTTTTGCTCATGATTATCTAATTTTGCTTTCTCAACCTTTGCAGAAAATATTGACAAAGGAACAGCTTGTCTAATCATATCACACAAGCAAACAATCTCGTTATTTTTCTTGTGGCAAAAAAAAGGTTTTTTTTTTAAATCTTGCTAAACTTTTCCAGTCACATCCGGTGTCAAAGTTTCATATTCCGGTAGATCGGAGAGCGTACTCTTGCACCAGCGCCGCAAACAGAGACTTCCTCTCCAGCAAATGAGCCGGACTATCGAACTCTTTCGCTTTCCCTGTTCCATTTCTCCATTTGTAAGTCACCACTAATCAAACCTTTTAAAAAAAATTGTGTGCTTGAAAAACAGAATTTGTGTTGTTTTCTCTTACCTGCGTCTATAACCAGGACTCGGTCACCATCCATCACTGTAGGAATCCGGTGAGCAATGCTGATAATAGTACACGACGCAAAGTCTTCTCTGATGATCTTCTGAATCACAGCGTCGGTTTGAGAATCTACAGACGCAGTTGCTTCGTCTAGGAACAGAAGTCTGCTTCGTTTCAACATAACCCTCCCCAAACATAGAAGCTGCCTCTGCCCTACGCTCCAGTTCTCGCCACTATCAACCACTGTAACAATCAAGTATATCAATCAAATCAGTTTTCTTCTCTTCTCATGACAATGTATATACATTTCGATTTCAAGAACTCACCCAAAGAATCGAGCTTCTCAGGCTTCGCCGTAACAACATCCTTGAGTTGGCATCGTTCGAGGCTCTGGAAGTTAAAAGGAAACAAAATAACAGGTTACTGTATATTTTGATTGCAACTTCAACGTTTCTTGCTAGAAGATAGGTTTGTCACCTTCCAGATTTCTTCGTCAGAGTATTGTTCTGTTGGGTCGATGTTGCTCCTCACGGTTCCTTCAAAGAGGACTGGTTCTTGAGGAATGATTCCGAATCTTGACCTGAGATCATGCAAACCTATACTGCAGATATCAATCCCGTCGATGACTATCCTCCCTGCCGAAGGTTCTACAAGCCTGAACAAGACTTGGATCAACGTCGACTTCCCGCTTCCTGTTCGTCCAACTACACCTACTTTCTCTCCTCCTTTGATGTCAAGAGTGATTCCCTTGAGCACAAGTGGAGTGTTTGGCCTGTAACGTACCTGTTGTTTCAGACAAGTTGATGAGATCCTTTCAGCAGAAAAGTATATAATCATGAAGATGTTTTTGGTTTCTTTTTAACTCACCTTGAGGTCTTCAAGATGTACATCTCCATGGAAAGGCCAATTCGAAGGTGGGAGGTTTTCTTTGTTCTCCCACGCGGCTTCTGAAGGTATATCAGTGAACTGCTTGATCCTTTCCACGGCAACCATCTTGTTTTCGACGAAACAGCTCATGTATATCGCAAAGAAGAGAACCCCGTTCAGAGACAGTCCATACGAAAGAGCCATCCCAACATTTTCTGCATCAAAACCAAAAGAATATTCATGATTGAGGAATATATAGTGGTGGTGATGTGGTATCAAAAAGGGGTTTAGTGATGTGTACGTACCTGGTTTGATTACGTTGCTAGGTAACATTACCATAAAGAGAGCTGAGATGCAGAGCATCCAGCTACCAAAAAGCTCTAGCCGAAACCCGAGCCATTCGTTTGACCCATTGTTGTGGAAATCCATCCTGATATTATCGTTGACACGCCTCACATTCTCTTGCCTGAACAAGTCATGTTTCCTGAATGATCGGATTGTCATCACTCCGGCTATGCTCTCAGAGAAATGGTGGATGACGGGAGCCTTAGTGATCGAGTCCAGCCGTGTTAATTCACGGGTAGTTGCGAGGTAAAAGTTCTGAAGATAGTAAAGTTTGCGTTTAGAACATGAAAGAAGAAACATGACAACATAAGAATGGGAAAAGAGACGCTTACCCGGTACCATATGTTGAGCCATCCAAGAGGAATTATAAAGAATATAGTTGGCCAAGCGTATTGGCAAGTAACTACGAAAATGGCCAGCAGAGCAGTGTACAATGAGATCACAAGTCCTAGGATGAACGGAATGAAGATATCGACACTGCTTTGATCAGTGGATGCCTGCAAAATTTCGAAAGAGAGAGAACCTGTTAGTTTAACTTCTCCAAACTCAAATTAGAGCTATGTTATATAAGGTTGAGAGTCTGAAAGTTATCTCACCCGACTGAGAATTCTTCCCGATGGTGTGGTGTCGAAGAACGACATGGGAGCATGTAAGATACTGTTAAGAATCGCTTGGAAGAACATCTGAGCCGTCTTGAGTCCCAAGTGGGTGATGAACAGCTGGCGCAAGGAGACGAAAACGATGGAAACAAGTCCAATAATGAAGTATACACCAATGAAAACAGAGGGGTTAAATGAAACTGCATTCTCGGCTGATGTCTCGTAGGCGAGCCAGTAATCACTAGCCATCACAGAGCCCTGCCACGTTAAAGAGAAGAGCACCACAAACACAACGCCCCACCAACCATATGCTTCGGTGAAGTACTGTTTGTAAACTCGCAGGCTCACCTTCCCGGTTTCTCTTTGCTCTTCTTGGATGAGCTTCGAGCCATCTTCTACGCTTTGAGAACCTGTAAACGACTTGACGTGTTCACCGTTCAGATCACTTAAGCTACGAGACTCCATGGACCCTCTTGGAGAGCTTGCACCGGGAGACATCGGTGTTGCTGCTGCAGAGTCTGCACCGGCTTCAACTAGCTCCATTGATGTATCATGTGCAGCCACTAGTTCCCCGAAATCCAACCCACAGCTGACTAACTCGTCGTATCTTCCTGATTCGACTATTTTCCCCTCCCGCATCACCTGAAACTCCATCTCATAAGTACAAGTAGAGATCTCTAGATGATAATCAGATAAGTCATTGTTCTACCTACCAAAATGCAATCGACGTTGTGCAAGAAGTCCACTTGATGAGTTACGAGCAAGATTGTCTTGCCTTTCAAAGCTCCTCTTACACATTTCTACAAAAATAAAAAATAAAACAAGAATCAACGTTGTGTTGTAATAATATATACATCAAGATTCAAGATTTGTGTACGTATGTCCCTTGTTACCTTGAAAATATCTGAACCGGTATGAGCATCCACGGCGCTGAAAACATCATCAAGCAAGTAGACATCGGAATCCTGATAAACCGCACGAGCGAGCTGTATACGCTGCTTCTGCCCTCCGCTGAGGTTGATTCCTCGTTCTCCAATCTCAGTTTGATCCCCAAACTCCATCATTTGCATATCTTTCTCAAGACTACACACGTTGAGAACGTTCTCGTACTTCTCTCTAACCATCGGAAGACCAAACAAAATGTTTTCTTGAACCGTCCCGTTCTGTATCCACGCTGTCTGCGCTACATAACCTGTGCTCCCACAAACTCTCACCTGGCCGGTGAGTCTGTGCATTTCGCCAAGAACCGAAGCTAACAAGGAAGATTTCCCCGAACCAACGGTTCCAACAATCGCTGTGAGCTCTCCTTTGTTAACCTTAAAGTTAATGTCTTTGAGAGCAGGTTCGTTTTCCCCATCATCCCAGCTAAAGCTTCCATCTTTAACCTCCACAGCGACATTACCATCACAACCCATGGCTCTCTCCACAGCCTCTTCAGACAGCTCTTTACTCATCATGAACTTGTCCAGTCTTCCCAGAGAGATCATAGCCTGCGAGAGAGATATCAGAGACTGAGGAAACGTCCTGATGGGTTCTTGCAAGATCTTGAAAATGCTTGTGGTGGTGAAAACAGTCCCAGCGTCAAGCTTGACTCCCAAGAAAAGCGCGGTGGCGAAAGTGAGCGCGGAGATGATCACCGGCGAGCTCCAGAGAACAATGAGGTTCCCGGCTATCGAGTAGAGAAACTTTGAGAGCCAACCAAACTCCATGTCCCTAAATTTCAAGATCCTCTTGTTGAAATGATTCTCCCACGCCTGGAACTTGATGACTCGCATGTAGTTGAGCATCTCGTTCGTGGCCTTCATCCGAGAATCTCTGTTTCTCATCACTAAGAACTGGAACACGTTGTTTCTCTTCGTCCCCAGGAGGACGAACACGATCACTCCGGTGAGACCGACGACGGCCGTCACCACAGACGGGCCTAGGTTTCTGTAGAGAAGCACTAACGCAACGGTGAGCTGAAACGGCATAAGCCAGATCGCGTGGAGCTGAAGCATCATGTCAGAGAGCTGCTGCGCATCCACGGCCATGTAATTCACGATTTGACCGACGCCGTGGTTCTGACGCGCCGAGCCGGTGAGCTTTAGACCTTTCTTGTACAATGCGGTGATTAGAGTCGACCTTATAAGCATCCCAAGCTTCTGAGAGTTGAAATTGAACTGATGCGTCGTCAAGACCTCGACGAATTTCGCGATGAGGAGGATGAGGACGAGGTAATAGCCCTGGTTCGGCGAGGATCCCTTGCCGGAGGTGAAATCGACGAAGCTCTGGATGAGAACTGGACCGACGTACGCGACGCAGAGACGTATGATGGCTAAGATCGCCGTGAAGAGGATTTCTCTCCAGAAACATCGGATTAGAGTCGTACGGACGGGATGGTCCGAGTTCTCCGACGGTTTCGGCCAGCTCGATTCGAATTGAAGAGCTAATCTCTCTGCTTTGTGCTCCGGAGAGAGCGTCGGGACTTGTTCGAGCGTCAACGGCGATTTGTATCCTTTGTTTAGTAACGGATTCATCCATAGCCAAAACATCTTGGAGAAAGCTGAAGCTGATGCGTAGAGAGTGACGTTGCTGGGTTTCCCCGAAACGGCGTCGTATGGTTTGTTAGGACTGTTGCTCTCCTCCGTTGTGACAACGCCGGTGGTACCTCTGACGGAGACGATGAGGAGAAATACGGTTAACGGGAAGGAGAAGAAGGAGGCGATGTCTTCATCGATCAGACTCGCGGCGGAGCCGTCGTCGGAGAGTAAATGGAGAATCCCGGAGACGGCGAAGAGAGTCGTGACGACGAAGCTCGAAACCCAGTAGATTCGTAGAGATAAGGGATGACTCGGAGCTGCGAATCTCTTCTCGTGGAGGACGAGAACCGCGACGACGGCGTTTGTGACGGCGTGGATTAGCCAAAACAGAGGGTCTACGAGGCTCCATGGTCTCTGAGTCCGTCGCTTCTCCGTGAACGCCAAAACGCAGAGCACGACGGAGCAAAACGACAATAGAACGGTGACTATGACTGTCGTTTTGAACCACGCGGTTGTTTTCGTTAGGATTCTTCCACTGTTTCCGAGTAGAGGTTTCCTAATCTCAGCGTTTCCGTTGATTTCGGTAGAGGAGGAAGAAGAAGAAGAACGAAAGAGTTTGTGAAGAGCGAAGAAGACGAGGACGAAAACGAATAGAAGATCTACGGCGGAGAAGAGAGCACGTTGAGGGCATGGAGAGAGGAAAACAAATCTCAGCCATTGGATTGCAACTGGAAGAGAAGATGTTGACTCTATAACCGTGGAGGAAGAACATGAGAGCTCGGAGAGCCACGAAGAAGAAGAAAGCCACCACATTTTCTCCGGAGAATAAAAGTCAGAAACTGATTGAGAAAAGGGGACTCTGGCTCTTCACATGTTTGTTGCACTCATTTTTATTGACAACAAAAATTATAATGCAATAATCGGAAACAAAAATATATAATGCAATGTATACTTTTTCCTTCTTATTTTGACGAGTTTGGTTTTGGTTTGAATATCTCTACGGCTGCTTTGTACACACATCAACACTTATCATCTTCGGTCTACAATTTTTTGTATTGTAGTTTTTTGTTTTTAGTTGGTTGTAGAATAGTTTTTCACCCAACAAACATAAACGTTAATAGTGAAAAAAAGGTATGTTTGCTTTTCATCCACCTAAGTTATTTCTTTCTTTTTTTGTGAAATCCACATAAGTTCTAGTATATGATAATTTTTGATTATTTGTAAGATTCAGAAACAGATATTAAAATTTAAAAACTGTTATATTTTAGTAACACACTATTCCGTTTTGATTGTGTAATATTGTCTGCTATTGTTCTAACGTTTCACACTAACATAACTACCATTATTTGACTATTTTTGAAGAAAATATTTTAAACTCAAAGTTGTTCAATGTTTAATAGGTCCTCAACTCCTCATATACGACAAAACCCTAAAAAGGGTATATATATATATGTTGGACAAGGTTTGCTGGAAAAATAAAATAAAAAATATGTATGTAAGCTCAGAAGCTTCAATCACAAATCTTTCGATGATGTACTCACGACCTTGACCCAAAATATGCGTTGGTTCTGGTTTATTTTTCTTATTTTTATTTTTGTTCAAAATTATGTTTATATATAGTTATTATATACAAGGACAAACAAATTCATTGGAATGAGAAATTTCGGATACGAATGTCTTTTACATTATAGTTATTACATGAACTACCTTGACGCAAAACATGCGTTGGCTAATACAGTTTTCTGTTTATATATGCAAAGGAAAAACAAATTCGTTGAGCCGTCACAAATAAAGGGGAAAAAATATATTTTTTGGAATGAGATCGGATACGAATCTCTTCTATATTTCTGTATTATCATTACATGTATCTTCTAATTCCGGTGATAAAATCTTAGTTTAGACTTTAGACTTATTGAATCGAGTATTAAAAAAGACACGAGGAAACGTTTATTAAATTACAAACAAATTGTCCTCTTGTATTGTTGACAAAATCAGAAGAAGCTATACAGAATAAGTTAAAAACAAATATATATGCGGAAAGGATCGTGTGAGAATCGTCTTCCTTTTTCATCATTCAGCTGATTAAGAAAGATAAACAAAGGGTCCCATTAACCTTTACTAATTTTTAACTCGATGTGGAAAAGACTTTCGTAGCAATTATTATTGGACCCATCCATCACCCATATAACAGGGAACCATGAATACACCTTTTTTTTTTTTTTTAATATTATCATATTATTAACGTGTATTTCGTCGTTAAAGCTGTCACTGTTTGTTTTCTCATATCGAAAAGATTTGTATTGTGTGCACGACATAGACTCTTGTTTAGAATTATATACGTGAATCTTTTCCCCCAAACGAATCTGTGTAGAGGCTGATCAAAGTGGATTTCACAACCAAACTGTCAAAGTAATTAAGTCTCGCACGTCTTGAGTATGATGAGTTGAGTTATTTGTAGTGCCCAGTAGTGCTTAGTGCTTGCTCACTCCGATTTTTTAATAAAAGATTTTCAAGCATTTTCACGAATATTCATAGGATCATACTATGAGAATCTCATAGTATCATTTTATAAGTTATATGTATTGATTTGATTAAGATTTTCGTTGTATTGATTTGAGTTGGTAAGTTATAAACAGTATCTACCTGGGGGTTGGTTTGGTGGTTGAACCCTAGTGAGTAGAAAACGTTAAGTATATATTTAGAAATTGTCGGGAAGAATAATATATTAAAGGCTAATTCTGATTTTGGAAGTATATGAGGTTAGGTTCGGAGTTTCTAGATTAACCAAAAACAACAAAAAGTAGTTATCAACCAGAAACCAAACATTGAATTTACAATGAAAATTTTGAGGAAATAAAAAAACTAAAACATTCAATGAGAAGAATGTGGCCATTTATTAGTTAGGCTAGTATCGGTTCTTTTCTTGGTGTGGCCATTTATTAGTTAGCAGTATCAAATGGACAAAACATATGGTTCTGATTGGTGACACTTATTACATGGAATGACTGGATAATATAATTAAAATTCAGAATTTATGACTTCAATTTAATAGAGTGAAATTTTTTGTTCCACAGGGAACAAATTTATTGTGCAACTGGATAATTTTGCGGAATGACGGAATGTAAATATTTAAAAACGAAATTCACCTTTTTATGATATTTACATACATGACGACGGGGGATGCCAATTGTGTTTACGTAACCTCTTCTCGAGAAAGAAAACAAAAATCGAAATTGTACTCCTTTGCAAACAGAGTAGTAAACCTGTTTTGTACCTTTTCCAGAATCAATCTGAAAATTTTAAATAACAAAATGTAGCCTAAAATTCCCTCATTTCATTTGTCAACAAAGCAGTACTATATTATGGTCGTAACCACTAAATCATTTTGTTGCCATCACGTGGCTTTCTATACGCTTGATGCTTCTACTGTGTCGTCTATTCACGACACCTTGTTGAGGTTTTTTTTTTCACTTTTTGTTGTTTCTTTTTGGAGTTTTCTTGCAGTAGGTATATAATAAGTGTTTAAATGTATTTCTTTCTTAAAAAATATATATATTGTTATTAGCATTTATAAATTTATTATAGAAATGCGGAAACCATAACTTATCAAGTAATATCGTTAGACGATTGACATTAAATATATTATAATTTTTTTGTCAAAAAAATCACCCTAACGATATTAAATATCTTATTTGCTTGTTGTTGGTTGGAGTTGTCGTCCTACTTCTTCATTATGTTATAAAGAGAATGTTTATGATGAAGAGTATAAAGAAACACAAACTAAAAATGGCCTAATTGTTGGCGTTATTGCTTACATCTGGACAAAGATAGCTGATACTTAATACTGCTTGTAGTACAACAATGTCGACGTTATTTTCTCCACAAATTTTTGATTCGATTTATCTTTTTAGTAAAATTTATGATTGATTCGTGTACCAATATAAAACATGTCTTTGCGATAGTCCCACCAGTTTGGTTTACAATCGTTGACCAAAAAAAAACATGTCTATGCTAACTTGCTTATTGATTCATGGATTGTACCAATTATTGATTCACGAGCTGGTACCAATTACGATATTCAATTATGTTTTTCTTTCAACAGTAGATATCTTATTATTTTCTCACACTTGCCTTTTACACTGCTGCTACTTACATGATTCACACATATTTTCCTTCACATAAAAATCCATCCAAATCCATCCATAAACACAATCATCTGTGAACATTTTCTCAGAGTATGTTTATTGGTGTTATGCTATAGAGTCTCTTATTTTTAAGTTATATTAATAATTAATATTTTGTAGTGTGAACACAAAACAAATATTAATATTTAAATGGGAGTGTTTCTAAAACTAAGAAAAATTACCCCAACATCTCTTATATAATAGACTTTGAGAGTACTTTCTAAATTATAAGAGACTCTCAATTCAATATTAATATTTGTGTGTGTGTTCACACTTCAGACATTAACTATTAATATAAACTAGAGATAAGAGACTTTATAGCATAACACCAATAAACATGCTCTTATGCTTCATGATCCTTTTAAAACAAAGCTAAGATCTTCTTTTCAATTCAAATTTTTTAGATACCTATAAAATTAGAACCATTTTTTTATTTGAAAAATGCACAAGGACCATCATCATTAATATAGCCGGGCCTGTTTGTATGTTTGTTACACTGCCCAACAATGCCATCGTTTCAAACCATTAATCCACCACTAGCTGATGCACACATTTCTATATTTCTAACCACACAAACTTGTCTGTGACCATTAAATTGTTGATGCATGAGTTTATCTATATTTTGTACGTACAAAATGACTTTGATCAAATTCCATGGAGAGAGAGGTTGTGTCAACAATATTTGTCCACGATACTTGTTCACTCATTTTCTCCACCAAACACTGTCTGTAATAATACGTCGTAGTGGAGAGTGACGTTGGGTCATAGATGGGCCACAAGAATAAAATGGGCCACAAAATTTTGACGTTTAGAGAGAGATAAAGAGAATCCGGCTCAATGGAAATGGAAGTGTCAAGTCTTTTGCATCTATAGAGTCAAACTAATTTATTGTTAATAAGAGTCAAACTCTATTCTCTTAATTACAGGTACACACTTTGTTTTCGTATTGATATGTTTGTTTAACACTGAAGGTAATTTTCTGCCGTTTCTTGGGATCTAAAAGAGATCATACTGGCAAGAAACTCACCAAAACAGAGAGAGACTTATCACAGGATTTGTGGTGGTGAATCTGCAAATGGTGCACCCGACAAACATTCTAGATCCTAGAAAATTGACTGAGATTTGACACATTATATGTCTACATATCAAAGCTGTCCTAGCAATGAAGTTTCATCCTTTTTAGAGGCCAAACATATCTTAAAAAATAAGAATGATATTTTTCAATATTTTTCTATCTATATGAAAGATGGTCCATACTTGATATCCAAGTAGATTTTTGCAGATAAGGACTGTCTTTTGCCACTTTTTAGCCTATTATCATCCAAAAGGGTACTTCTAAGAAGGTACATACAAGGGAAAGACAAAAAGAAAAAGGCCATTAGCAAGATAAACACAATCATAGAGAGAGAGAGAAAGAAGAAAAAGCTTTGAAAGTCTACAACTTTGAAATCAATTTGAGAGGGTCTGCTGCATCTTTGAGGTGATCAGGGACAGGAAGATTGCATAAAAGTGTGACTCTAGAGGAAGATACCAAGGTTCTGTTAGCTTTCTCTGATCCTTGTGTTGTTTTCCAAAGCTTGACTTCCCAAACCTGAATAGCCTTCCCTGTGCTTACAGGAGTTGCTTCAGCGAAGACAAGGTCTCCGAGATCAGCACTCTTTAAGTGGCTGATCGAGAGCTGAAATCCAGCGACCCTTTTGAAACCAGAAGCCATGTGAGCTCCTGCACTTGCTAGAGACTCAGCGACCAAAGCAGATACACCACCGTGCAAGACCTTGAAAGGCTTTTTTGAGAGATGAATGAAACTTTCTCAGTTTTAATTATGAAAATCTAAAAAAAAAGGGTTTGACCAAATTGTAGAAGAAGTAAGACAGAACCTGGCAGCAGATTGGAGAAATGGGAAGACGACCTGTGACACGTGTCGGAGATAATACATCGAACTCGAAACCTAAGATGTGAAGCGTAGGGTCTAAAGCTTTGGTCTTTGATGGTCCAGACTCCATTTTGTGTGCTCTGTTTGAGAGAAAGAAGAGAAATGTATTTGAATTGGTTTGTTGGAGGAATCACTGTCAACCGTATTCTCTAATAAAAATGGTTTTCTGAAGATCAACCTCACTTGCATTTCGGACCAAATGTCAAAACTCCATAATTATTGTTGGTAAATAAGACACACGAGAGACGTTCTCGTCTGGTTGGTGTAAATATTGTTTACTGGATTATTAAAGACACTTGGGAGAGTTATTAATTAATTTAGGTGTTTTTTTTTGTTGAAGGCTTGGAAAAACTCTGTTTTAGACTTGTGATCGGTGGAGATTAGAGGAGACTGTGATGTCTCTTAGTCTGAGGCATAAAACTCAACAAAACTACTTATTAGAACTTAGTTAGAGGAGACTTAATTTCAATTTCTTACCAGATTTTGAAGCTTTTCACTACCCCTATGCTCTGATGACTCTTATTTGTTACAAAAGGCACAATGTTTGTGGTGGTGACACCAGACAAGCATTCTAGCTTTTAAAAGTTGATTGAGATCTGACTACATTCTGTGTCTACAAATACAAACTGTCCATAACAAATCTGAGGTAAGCATATGAGAATAAAGTTTCAACCCTTTTTCAGGCCAAAACAGATCCATGCAGTAGAGTGTGTAATGCTGTTTGTCAACTATCTTTCCACAATTTGAGATTTTTCTTTCACTGTATAAAAGATGGTCCATAACTGAATAATTCCAGTAGATATTGCAGATCAAGGACAAAACCACAATTTAGACAGTCTTTTGTCAATTTTAGCTTATTAAAAGAGTAAAACTTATGAACACAACACAATCACACAGAGAGAGATAAAACAAAACAAAAAAAGGATTGAAATTTACAATTTGGCCGCCAATTTGAGCGGGTCTGATGCATATTTGAGGTGATCAGGGACAGGAAGGTTGCATAAAAGTGTGACTCTAGAGGAAGATATTAAGGTTCTGTTCTCTGATCCTTGTGTTGTTTTCCAAAGCTTGACTTCCCAAACCTGAATAGTCTTCCCTGTACTTAGAGGTGTTGCTTCGGGGAAGACAAGGTCTCCGAGATCAGCACTCTTTAAATGGTTGATCGAGAGTTGAACTCCAGCGACCCTTATGTAACCAGAAGCCATGTGAGCTCCTGCACTTGCTAGAGACTCAGCCATCAAAGCAGATACACCACCGTGCAACACCTTAAAAGGCTTTTTAAGAAAGAAGAAAAAATGAAACTTTCTCAGCAATATGAAAATCTAAAAAAGGGTTAATGATCGAAGGAGGAAGAAAGAACCTGGCAGCAGATTGGAGAAACGGGAAGACGACCTGTGACACGTGTCGGAGATAATACATCGAACTCGAAACCTAAGATGTGAAGCGTAGGTTCTAAAGCTTTGGTCATTGATGCTCCAGAGTACTCCATTTTGTGCGCTCTGTTTGAGAGAGAAGAGAAATGTATTTGAATTGGTTTGTTGGAGGAATCACTCTCAACCGTATTCTAATAACAACGGTTTTCTTAGCATCCACTGAAGATCAACCTCACTTGCATTTCGGACCAAATGTCAAAACTCCATAAATTATTTTTGTGTTAGTAAGTGGATGCCATTAGTTCCATAGGTGGATGTCCATTAGGCCACTTCTCCCCAATGTTGATTTCCCTTGGAACCCTACTATGTGCTCTATATAAAGAGCTCTTCCCTCATGGAATAAGACAACCTTCATTCTCTCTTTCTCACAACACGTTATCAGCACGAGTCTCTACCTCTTAACTTTCTATTCTCTCTAAATCAAAGGTTCTAAAAGTTCTAATAGTTCTTATGGTGAATTCACAAATTCAATGAGTAATCTCTATTACTTTGTTAATTTGTGTTTATTCTACTAAAATCTATTTCTATCAATACTTAATTTATATTACTTATTGATAATATCTTGGATTCAGCAAACTGAAGGATCTATATATTATTTTTCCTTGAAGGAATTATATATTTCAATTATATACATCCCTGAAGGATTTGTATTTTTATTTATATCCCTGAAGGATTTATATTTTATTTCTATTTTTATTTATATCCCTGAAGGATTTCTATTTTATTTATATCCTTGAAGGATTTATATTTTATTTCTATTTTTATTTATATCCTAGAAGGATTTATATTTCACTATATCCCAGAAGAAATAATTTATATTATATATTTATTTATAGATCCCATATGGATTTATATAATTTATTTATATTTCCAGAAGAATTTATATATTTTTATTTATATATCCTAATAGGATTTATATTTTCTGTTATCCTAGAAGGATTTAATTTTTATTTTTTATCCAAGAAGGATAAATATATTTCAACTAAATATCCCAGCAGGATTTATAAATTTTATTGATATTATTTATCCCAGAAGGATTTTATATTGTCTATTATTTTATTTTCATTTATATATATTGTTCTTATTTATTTTTTTGCTTTTCAATATTTGTTATTTTAATTGATTTTCGTAATTAATTAATTGCTAAATTGAATAATTATTGAAAATTGAAGAAATCTGAATTAATTTGCATTGTTTGCATTAATTTGAAATATTATTACATTCTTGACCATATTAATTTTTAAGTTGACCTGTTGACCATATGAATTTATAATTGAATATAAGTGCTAAAATCACTCTGGAATATATATTTTTAATATTATTATTTAATGATTGTTGACTGCTTTGTTAAAATGAATCTTAATCAGTTTTATTAAAATATTATTGTTTGATTTTGCACTATAACTTCGTATATTGCTTATTACTGATTTTGAGATTGTTTATTATTGCTAAATCATCATTTGATCATTGCTAATAATAATATATATTATATTATTGCATATCTTGATTTAATATTATAAATAAATGTATAATTATTCCCTTGATTTGTTTTATTTATTGGTTTGATTTGGTTTAACAAATCAATTATTACTATTATATACTAATAAGTGTATTTCTCTATCATTACATGATTTTAAAATGTAATAATTTTACCATTGAGTAAAAAGAAAGGCATGATCACTAGAAGTGATCTAATATAGCAATCTAAAGAAAATGAACAATCATCTGAAGTGATATGATCTGATAGAGCATCTCAGACCATATAAACTTGAAGTTTATAAGTGAAAATATATTACTAATAAAAATGTATAACAAGCATAAATATATTTAAGGAATATTTTAAAAATATTGTTGTCCAGTAGACACAATAGCAAATAAATTCTTAAAATTAAATTTGTCACTTGAAGTGATAATAAAAAGGTAATGTTATTTATATTAATTAATTATTTTATTATATTTTGTTTATATATATGTTTGATAATATTTATTTATTTTTCAATTATCCTCTATATGAATATTTTGTATTTGCATTTAAGATTACAAGACTTGAAGTCTATAAATAATTTTTATTTATCTGGAAGATAATGTAAATCAATGATGATAAAAGGCATATATTGTCCAGCTGACAAAATATTATTGAAGAAAGTTTAAGAAATTATTTTGATAAAATAATGAGTTACTAATGAAAATCTTGAATCTTGTCTAATTGGTTTTGATCCATTCCCTGAAGTGAATGTGATATGAAAGATTAAAGATATGATCATAGACATGAATATGAATCTTTTATAGTTCATGTTAAGGTCAAAACTAAAGAGTTTTATTTCAAGAACTCAAATTCTCATAAGAAGTGAGAAAATAAAGATGGCAAAAATAAAAGATACACATCTCCAGAAGAGTATATATAAATTTATATTTGCTTATAGTAAATAATTTTTGATGCATTATATCTTTGAAATCCCAGAAGTGAAAAGAATCAAACACATAATAGAAATATAAAAAGTTTAAAGAATCAAAGATATAAAACATGATTCAAGTTGGATATATTATTGATGTTATACTAGGATTCCATTCGAGATTGATGAACATGAAGTGACATCATCTCGAGGGGGAGAATGGATGAATCCCTCAATCACTAGAAAGTGGAACATCTAGAAGATTATGTTCACACTAAAAATAATCCTGATGAATCATATATAATGTAACTCAATGGTGTAAAATTATTTTGAAAAAATAACATACATTATCTAATGCCTCATCATAGACAAAGATTAAATAGGAGATGTAAATGTTATGTAGTAAACTAGAAGTTTACCAAATATAACATAGTTTGGCATGAGCTGGTTAGACCATTTCGGTTCAAGAATTATGCGAAATAAAATACATCATGTAAAGATTTATTGAAGAACTTGAAGATTCTTCTTAATTATCTATAATGTGATGTTTAATCATAAGACATTATGATTATACAATTACCAACTAGCCAAAATAAATTTGGAATGTATACAATTTGTAGAAAGAATATAAGAAACTTTTGTGGTCTAATAAACCATTATATGGACTGATCATCCAGTAAGAGAAATGTTATGGTGTTTCTTAAATATATCAACAAGTGTTATGTATCAATATTACATATCTGCAACCTGAAGTTTGCGAGATTACTTGGTAGTGCTAGTGAAATCACATCTTAAATCTTTGTTGAGAAAAACATGTTTGTAAGAATAAATGTTGAACATCCAGTAGCAAATGTTCATCATTATACATAATGCAAAAGCATTAATTCGCATAAAGCCAATGAATAACTAAAATTTCTCCCCATCGTAATTGGTTTAGGTCAGAAACCAAAGTTTTCCATCTAAAGATCTATGGATGTGCAGAATACATTCATAACGCTCCACCACAACAATATAAGATGGACCCTCGAAAGAGATAGTAAATGTATGTTGGATGTTAATCTCCTATGATAATATTTAGAGCTATCCATGAAGGATTTAAATATAGCTCAATTTGTAGACTGTCATTTCAGTGATTCAGTCTTTCCAACATCAGGGGGAGAAAATAAAACAGCTGGAGAAAGATTAAAGTTAGAATGAATTATCATTGATCCTCAGACGATAGTATGTGAAATAAAAGTCTAAAAGATAATTCATTCACAAAACTTACTGTATCAATTGCCAGATACAATTACTGACCCAAATATAGTGTTGAGTCACTTACCAGCTGTAAATGCTCTAAGAATAATTGATTTCCCAGAAGGACAATATCAAACTGCTAGTAAGTCTAAAGAGCGCATGAAGTGTGATAGACTTCTTGGTTCAAATATTAGTGACCTCGGTAAAGTAAAATGAGCATAAATTGACAATGGTTAAACCGAGGAAACAAATGTTTTTGAAATGATCTCAAGAAGAGATATTAAACATGACAAGAAAGAAATTCAGGTACCTGAGACAAAGAAGAGATCTCGAGAATTAATTATGTCATGTATGGAATAAAATGGAACCATAAAAGCAAATCGACGTCATAAATAAAATATTTGCATGCATTATAGCAGTTGATGTTAAAGATGAGAAAGAGGATCATGAAACAAAGTCTATTGCATTGTGTACACAAAGTAATGATTTGGCCAAATCGAAAAGAAGCAATAGACGCAAAACTAAAATCTCTTAGAAAGAGAAATGTATTTTGGACCAGAAGTCCTTACATCTTAAAAGTGTAAAACAAGTGGGTTATAATAGGCATGTGGTGGATGCAACTTTTCAAGTTCATTAAGTGTGGCAATGAAAGAAGAACTTGAGTCTTAAGACCCACTAAATAATGACATTTTTATAAAAGTCCCTGAAGGATATAATTCCTGAAGGATTAATGATATCAAAACTATGTTCCCAAAAAACTCTAATTATTTGATCAAATGAAGAGAAATACGTCTCATTGGGGTACAATCACAAAAGTGTTACCCAGTGTATATTTATAAAACATTTATGGATCAGAAGAGATCTTTAATCTAAACATCATCGAAATTCCTGAAGAATTGTTGAAATTAGATAAAAGATATTGGAAAGACAAATTTGTCTTAAGATATCTCATATTCACAGTTTAACAAAAAGATGTAATCTCAAAAGATCCTTAGAAGATTTACATAAAGAATGCTCACATTTGGTCTTGAAGTATCATACTTTAAATTATGTTTGAGAAATGTGTTGGTCTCTTTCAAAGATAAGCAAAATGAGCATGAGATAACTTATATATACAAGATATATGTTCACAAGAATTTATGTAGAAGGGAAAGTTTGGCCCGAAGTCCAAATATAGACCAAGAAATAATTACTTATAATAGAAGTATATTGAAGAATACATTATAAAAAATATCATAGACTAGAAGTTTAAATGACCTAGAAGATTATAAGATAATCATATGAGTTTATTAACTGAGGTTATACTCATAGTAATCTCCAAAAGTTGGCATTGATTATTGGAATGCATCTCTTGAAGAAGATGCTTCCAAAGGGAAGATATATGATGATATGTGTGGTTGTACTCTTTTTCCTTATCATGGTTTTTATCCCATTGGGTTTTTCCATGAAAGGTTTTAATGAGGCAACAAAGAACACACAAATGAGAAACATCTAAAGGAAGTCTAAAGATGATAGTCTATCTCCTTTTCCAAAGTCTTTGTCATTTATTTATGAGGTCAAATGAAACAAAGAGAATGATTCAAGATGAATCATCAACTACATCCATGCACTGACGAAGAATGGCGATATCAACATTCTAAAGATTATTCAAGTGAAGATTTTGAAGATTTCTTTAAACAAGGAGTTTCCAGCACTACTTTCAAGGAGTTAGTTCATCTTGTTGGATTATGTCGTCTCAAACATTTAGACGGGTGTTCTCATGAGGGGGAGTAATTATGCGCTGCACTCTTTTTCCTTAGCTAAGGTTTTTCCCTTAGGGTTTTCCTAGTAAAGGTTTTAACGAGGCAGCACCTTATGTATTTAGAATATATTTTTGTATAATGGACATCCAAGGGGGAGTGTTATGGGTAAGTGGATGCCCATTAGTTCCATAGGTGGATGTCCATTAGGCCCACTTCTCCCCAATGTTGATTTCCCTTGGAACCCTATTACGTGCTTATATAAAGAGCTCTTCCCTCATGGAATAAGACAACCTTCATTCTCTCTTTCTCACAACATTTAAGGACAGACGATAAATGTTCTCGTCTGGTTGGTGTAAATATTGTTTATTAGTTAGTTTATTGGATTATTAAATGATTTAGGTGTTTTTTTTGTTTTTGTTGCTTGAAGGCATGGAAAAACTCTGTTTTAGTCTGTGAGCGGTGGATATTAGAGGAGACTGTGATGTCTCTTAGGCATAAAACTCAACAAAACTGCTTACTAGAACTTAGTTAGAGGAGACTTGGTTTTAATTGCTTACCAAATTTTGAAGCTTTTCACTGTCCCTATGTTCTGATGACTCTTATTTGTTACAAAAGGTACAGTATTTGTGGTGGTGACCCTGCAAATTGGTGCACCAGACAAGCATTCTAGCTTTTGTAAGTTGATTGAGATCTGACTATATTATGTGTCTACATATACAAACTGTCCTAATGAATCTGAGGTAAGCATATGAGAATAAAGTTTCAACACCTTTTTTCAAGCCAAAACAGATCCATGCAGTAGAGTATAGTGCTATTTGTCAACTATCTTTCCACAATGTGAGATTCTTCTTTAACTGTATAAAAGATGGTCCATAATTGAATTTACCAGTAGATATTGCAGATCAAGGACAAAACCACAATTTAGACTGTCTTTTGCCACTTTTAGCTTATTATCACCCAAAAGAGTAAAACTTATGAACACAATCACACACACAGAGAGAGAGAGAAAACAAAAAAAGGATTGAAATTTACAATTTGGCCGCCAATTTGAGCGGCTCCGATGCAACTTTGAGGAGGTGATCAGGGACAGGAAGATTACACAAAAGCGTGACTCTAGATGAAGATGTCAAGATTCTGTTCTCTGATCCTTGTGTAGTTTTCCAAAGTTTGACTTCCCAAACCTGAATAGTCTTGCCTGTGCTTACAGGAGTTGCTTCGGCGAAGACAAGGTCTCCGAGATCAGCACTCTTTAAGTGGTTGATCGAGAGTTGAATTCCGGCTATTCTTTTGAAACCAGAGGCCATGTGAGCTCCTGCACTTGCTAAAGTCTCAGCGATCAAAGCTGATACACCACCGTGTAACACCTTAAAAGGCTTTTTTGAGATAAAAATTGAAACTTTCTCAGAATTTTGAAAATCTAATATAAAGGGTCAATGATCAAATTGAAGAAGAAACCTGGCAGCAGACTGAAGAAACCGGAAGACGACCTGTGACACGTGTCGTAGTTAATTCATCGAACTCGAAGCCTAAGGCGTGAAGCGGAGGAGCTAAAGCTTTGGTCTTGGATGATGCAGACTCCATTTGTTCACGCTCTGTTTTGAGAGAGAGAGAGATTGAGGTGGTGGTTGGTAGGCGAGTTGCGTTGGAGATGATGATGATGATAAGAGAGGTTAAGAAAAAGTAAGAGAAATGGGTTAAATTAGTGATTAATGTCAATCATAGATTTCACTAAAAGCGTTCACTTGCTTTTCAGACCAAATGTCAACACTCCATAATTGGGTGTTGGTGAGAGTGTTTCGGTTTTGGACCGGAGTCGTTTGATTGGTTGAGTTTTGAGGTAATTTGATGGGAGGCTCGTGTCGTATTTAGACAACACGTGGGAGACGTTATTGTCAGTTCAAAATTATCAACTACTTTTTTAAATAGGCCGAAAGTGGAATGTGGGCTTCTCTAATGGGCTATCGTAAATGAAGGCTCTATCTTCTCTTTCAATGATAAATCTCAACTCGAATTTGGAACAAAAAAAAACAACCAAACACATAATTGTTTCTAATTTGGAACAACCAAAAACAACCAGACAAGAGTGTTTCTGAACAAATAATTTGTGGTACTTTTATAATTTTTATATTCAATTTGCTGTTGGAACAAATTTTATTTTATTTTCATTTTAGATTATTTCTCAAAAATAAAACCAAGTCAAATAATTGTATCTAACCAAGCTAAAGATAGGGAAAGATGGACACAAATTAATAAGATGGATTTTGTATCATAGCAGAAAATATCTCATGATCGAAAAAAGTTTGCATTCATCACGGAGATCTTTAGCATATGATTGCTTCTTCGTTCACGAGCTAGACCTTCTAGATTGATATTTCTTTTTCAAAAGAAGTTTAGACAAACTGGTACCTAGTGTACTAAAATAGGAACTATTGGACTTTTCTCATAAGAAAACAAGATATCTTTCTTTTGATAGATATTTAGTAATCTTGGGAGAAGATTCTAATCGAAGGTAGTTTCTTTGAGAAACTCAATTAATCCATATGTTTGTTAGGAAAACGTTAACTCTAGTCTCTAGTGATCTGTTAGATATTTTTAAAGTAGAATTATGAACCCCAAAAAAGACGTATATCCTACAAAAAAAGCTAGATGCAACAATTTGGTATTGACAGATTACAAAGAAAAATAAACTTAAAAGCTGGTATTAAACAATTCTCAAGAAACAATGTTATACAAATCAAGAGAGAGAGTCACTACTTTTTATCTTGACAAAAAGATTTTTCCAAATGGGAACAAAAAAACAGATAAACTACAGAAGAGAGAAAAACAAAATAAACGTGGACAGCTGATAAGAAAAAATAATAATTCGACGATCGATATCATATAGATGCTGATTATCGTAAACAATCACAAACAAAGTTAGACTTTTCAAAAAGAAAATAATAGAATTTATATTTAGGTTGCTTTTTGCGTTGTTTTTCAAGACGATACAAATAATTTACTATAGACATAAGTGTTCTAACAGTTTGGAAACTGTAGTTTATGTAATTTTTCAATTTATCGTAGACTATTTAAAATAAGAATGTAGTTTGGAAAGTAAATTTTTATTTTTATTTTTCTGAAAAAGAGCATCGAATTAAAAGATTCGCAAGGACGATAGCCGCAGAAAGACACACACCTAACTTTCGGACCGACCAAAACCTTCGCTTCGTCCCAGACACTCTACAAACAAATATAAGTCCTGTTCTTTTTCATTTATTCCTCCTTTTTTGGTGTCTAATTTACATTACTAACAAATTCAGTGTATATAAATGAAAACCTAAAAATATAAAACGTAAATCTATATCACCACGTCATTTATATTGTTAAAAATGACCTTCTTATAGTATCACTAACATCAGATTGATTTCTTTTTAATCAAATTTACAAGTTATAAGTGACTATCCTAGAATTAAACCTACTCTTTTTCTCCTCTTGTTTTGCAACCGTCCGGACTCTGACGGTCTGACCAATCACGTTATCCTATTTTGAGTATAGCATTATAGAGTTTTCGAAAATAAATTTTCATTTTGTTTTTCCAAAATCATCTTGATCTTGTTAACGTCTAAGATATAGGAGTATTGTACAACGGCTAGAAACCGACATAACCAACAAAAAGAAAACAATTAAATCCTAAAGAACTACATTGAGCGCTTCCCTAGCTTTTAAAACTACGTTTTCTGACTAACAAAACTTCTCCACTTTTCTCCACTCAATCCAACCAGTCGGTGGATCCTGAAATCATTTGCAATTGCAAATAATATATATATTCAAGTTTGACTAATCAAGTATTTATCTTAGTTATTTGAAGATTTTCAAAATTCCGTTTTAAAGTCGTTTGGTCCTCTCTTTTTTGGTCTTTCTTATTCTGATATTCATTGATATATTTACCTCCGACAAGAAAAAAGTAATGTGTTTGGTCAAGAGTAAAACTGAATTAATACGTGATTGCTATTATTGGCACATATTGTTAGACACAACCAATAAACATCCATCCTAATCATACGGATTGCAATTCCTGCATTGCAGGCAACATGTTTTGTTGGATTTATTTACTTAGTTTATGTATATATAGTGACTTCTGAATGAGATAACCAACAACAACAGAAAAGCATTAATTACTTGTAAGTTGTAAGCAAAATAATTTAATTAACCGTGTCTCGAGGTCGAGGGTACCTCCAAATGTGCGATCAAAGAACTACGAACCTAATCATGTTCATGTTCACCTAATATTAATACCACTAATATTTAACTTTCAACAGAAGGAGAAATTTGTTTGGATCAATGAGCATACAGCAGAGTAGTCAGTTGGCTTTCATGTGAGTTTAGGTTACAGCGATCGAGAAGAGAATGCATGCCAATACTACGACTACGCTTGTCAATTGACATGCACATTATGCTTTTGGTCTTGTTATATATTTAATGTTGAAAATTTGATATCAATATAAAGAATCCACTACACGTACCTTTAAGTTAGGGTAATGTTAATTATCACTCTTTGGATTCCTTCTACTTAAACTTTACATATATAAACGTGCCTCACACATACAAAAAGGAATCTTGATAATCATTTTTTTAATGATTTTTCAACATGGCATCTTCAAAATGTTAATACAAATAGTATCTCAAATAATATTAGCAAGTTTCTAAAACAAATTGGCATTGTAAAAGTCTTGATTGGCAAACTAGTGGTGTGAACACAATTATAAAAAGGTATGGTTAAATACAATAACGAAATTATTAGATGAAAGAAAACTACTGTATAACTTTTTCTTATGCCAGTTCCACATGCTACTGCTACCAATGAAAACTAGCTTTTGTTATGTTATCTAAGACTTTTTACATTTGTCAAAGATAGTAATCATATAAACGCAATTTATTGGGGGAAAATAAAAGAGAGAAAAAAAAATAGTAAATAAGGAGAGAAGCAGAAAGATAAAGACATGTGGAGATCACATGGGATTCTCTGCGCATTACACTGCCCACCTCAAACTCCTAATCCATTGGTCCTCTAAATACCTCACATTTTACCCATCTTTGGCTCCCACATTTTTATCACCTAACCAATTGTCAATTTGCATAATTTTTCTATTTTCAGAATTTAATTCATAGTTTTTTTGGGGTTATTTAAGAGCAACAATTAAACTAGTGCTTCGATTTTCTTACATTTTTAGTTCTTAACATTAGCTTTATTAATATGACCTTTAGACTATATCAAAAACATATATGTCATATTGACATGATTATTTGGCTAATTTTTACCGGAAACAGATTCTACAATCTAGTCAATATGGTGAACATAGATATTATCACTACACCACAAGTAAAACCTTTAGAAAAATGAAGGTATTATTCGCATTGTTTTGGATATTAGTATATTACCATTCACATATCAGAAACAATTGAAATAACATAGAGCAAGCAGAAAACGAAGAAGATATATTGAATTAACAAACTTAAAAAGCTACATCTGAAAATTATAATCTTAGTCAGATTATATATAGCAATTACCTATGAATGATATTTAAAAGAATCGCAAACAACATAATGTTAATTTAGTTTCATACATCTGAAATACTTACTATACATTTAGAGTTTCATCCTCTGTCATCTTCATCACTTCGTTGCTAAAAATGTATTGTTACAAAGTTAATGTCCAAAGCTCTTGACTCCTGAGTGAATCCATATATTTTACTGTTGATATGTGTTCATTAACTGAGTTAGCAAATTAGTCGGATTAAATAACCAATTTTTGTGTGTAATCAACGTCCAAATTTAAATCTGCATGCATAATGTTTTGTCGGTAACCGTAATCCTCACATTCGCAATCTCTAACAGTAGATACGAGTATACAGAATCTTTTGGTTAATCATTTGAAAATCTTCATCATACACAGAATTGACTGAAGTACATTTATAGATACATGTGTCTGCATTTGTGTGAAAGAAAAAATATCTTGAAATAGCGCAACGATCGATGAAGAAAAAGGAGATGGGTAAAAACATAAATAGAAAGTGAGACCCCAGAGAAAGTAGATGTAAGTGTTTTATGTTTGTCGTTACTACTTATAACCAGAAAGGCGAATTATTGACTTTTTCTTATCATTGCTCATGTGTCATGTGCGCGTTCATTTCTACCAATGAGATTCAAAAATATCTACCATGGAGCTTCAAAAATATCTACCACGTTTATGGTCAGAAATTGTTCACAATCAAACGATGTTAGATCCAAATCTAAACTAGTATTCAAAACCTATAGAATCCTTTTTCAAAGTTCATTGTAAGAAGTTGGTAGAAGAAGATTTTTTGTTTCTTACTGAACTAGCTATGAGTAGCCATTACTATTAGAAGGACCAATTTTGACATAATCTAGTTTAAACTTTGATTATTAACTTTATTGGTTGTGTTTTTTTTTTCTTTCTCGGTTAATCTTTTTAGGTTTAGAGTGGAAAAAAAATCAAGCCAACTATTCATAATATATACATTAAAGAACTCTAACAAATATTAGAATACACTAGTGAGACAAATTGAACCAATTAATTCATGATATAAGTAGCCATTATGAAAACACTCTTACGGATATTATAATACCTTTGACATTTTATTACATTGTCATAATTTCATTTTATATGATTGAAGAACATGAGCTTGAAGCATAAACTAATTCATGGAGTATATAGCCATCATGTAAAATATACAATGAATATAAATCTGACCAATTTATCAGTTGACCACAGCAAAAAAAAGCTGAAAAATATATCAACGAGACAATAATCATTGGAATGAAACTCTACTTTTCTCAACATAGCATATTATACTACCTCTTGATCAGTAACATGTATTACCTCTTTACACTTTAATATAAATGCTTAAACTAAAATTTTTTTTGATCTATAATGGAATTTGGAATTGAATGTATGAAGGAGAGGTAAATAGTAAAAATGTAAAATTGTGTAAGTGTGTGAAGAAAGGAGATCACGTGGGTAGGATAAGAAAACGAATTGATGGGTTCATGGGAATGCTCTTATCGCGGATCTTGCCTCTTTTGACCACTCTCTTTCTCCAAAATTATTATTACTACTTCTAAATTTTGTTTATAATAATAATAATTTATTCTATCACAATTCTTACAAAAATAATTCAGAAAAAGAGAGAGATTGTTTTATGTGTTCACATGTGGTGTATAAATACATAGAAGCATCTCCAATCCAACTCCAAGAAAGAGAAGCAAAAAGAAGAATTTACACAGTTAACTAAATCTCTCTCTTTTTTTTTTCTGTTATAAAAATGGCTTCATGGAAGAAAACAATCGCAACGCCATTCAAGAAAGCGGCAACGTTCTTCAACCAACCGCAGCAATCGCCGCACAACCGCCACGCAAACGCGGCGGCGAGAGAAGAACACAAGAGACGAGCGGTAGAGGAGCTTCAAGGTGACGTCATGGCTTGTGGTTATGAAGATGTCCTCGTCATGTGGTCAATTCTTGACAAGTCAAACTCTTCAAACAATCTCTCTTCTTGATCATAGTTTCTCTACAACAAAAGAAAAAGAGAGGATTTGTCCTCTTTTCACGTAATTACAGTTACGATGAAAAAGGAACTCGAAATTTCTCTCTTTTTATTTCCTTTTCTCTCTTTTTTTTCTATGTGTATAGCGTTGTATTAGCCCGCCATGTGTCTCTTCTTACTCCTAATGTTTATGTGGTCGCGGCTTTTTTTTTCTTTAATTTAGTTTTTAGTGAATTTTTATCCGATGATTAGTTTGGATTCGGATGTCATGTTGTTAATCCCTGTGATGATTTAATCGAATTCACGGTGTGATATTTCATTTTGTTGTGGAACAAAAGAATGAAGTCTTTCGATGTTGGTCTTCGAAACCGGTTTCGATTGTATTGTTTTTTAATTTAAGCATAATTAACGAATCACGTTGAAATTATAACTAACTTAATTTAAAATGATAGAAACACAACCATTGGATACCAATGCAATTCATTAAAAGATGTAGTATAAAGCTTTGCATTATCTCAGTAACGAATCTCTAAAAAGTCTCATGTGGGATAATGTTATCCACACTCTTATCCAAGAGTCCTCTGGGCACTAGACTTGAGCTCATTGATTGCCGATTCTTTTGGAATTCTTGTACATAACCCCAAAGAAACATGATTTCGAGTATCTACCTCAAGTGGACAAATGAAGTTTTTACGTTATTTTTACTGATTTAGGGAAATGTATGAATGAACCATATGATATCTAGCTTGAAAAGGTGATTCCGTCATGTGCAGTTTCAGTATAAATTAAGTTACATTTTGCTTCAAAATGTGTATGTTTTCAAGTGTTGGGTTGGTTGGTTTGTTTGCTATCGGTTATTTAAGTTTAGAAGAAACCAAACAAAAATTAAAAGATGTTTTAGTTATATTTGCCAGCCATAACAACAGATCTTAACCCTCCATATAGTAGAACATGTGACAAAATAAAAATCCCAAACAAAGATATCAAGAATCGGTGTTAAAAAAACGAGATATAAGTTTAACAAAAATTTAAACAAAAAAATGGAATCAAAGTTAGATGACAGCCCTTAAACTTAGGAAAACCCAATCATTGAATCCCCAAGAAAAAAAAAATAATAATAAGAGAAGGAGGAGAAGAAAAGTACAGCCGTATAAGGCAGTGAGAGAGGGCAATGTGATGAGAGGATACGATGTGATTGTATTAAAGTGAAAGTGGGACAACATGATTCCTATAACGTGCCTTGTCTTCTCCATCATCTTCATTAACATCCCTAACATGTTCAAACATCTGATCACAGAGCTGGCCTCACTTCTGCAACCTAACATGGCCCCTTCAAAGGTCAAATCCATCTTACAAAAACTTTTGGAATTTCGTGTAAAAGTTTGGGGGAATTACCGGCTTTTCGAATCAAGACTCAGACAGCATAAGAGAGATATTTCTAGCTTATTATGTGTCTAGAAACTATTGGTTTGTATCAGGAATGATTCATCTCTAGACTTTAAGGTGTACAAAAAACTATATTCTAAAGTTTACATAACAAGAGAAAAATATTTTTACTTTCTAAGGTAAAACCTTGAGAGTTAAGGTAAAACCGTAAAACTATATTGCTATATTCGTTGTGTTTGTTACTCAACTTCATCCTCTTATAGAGCTCTGGACCAACAACTAATTCCTGTAGCCCATTTCTTCTCTCTATAAGCCCAAACGTGATCAATGTGTTACTACTGTTTTCACTTTTCACTAACACAGGGTTGTAAAAGTTATCTTAAAGAATAAGAGTGAAGAAAGTAAAAACGTTAAGAAATTGAGGATCCAAAATGTAAATGAAGGAAATATATACTTAGCAGCGGCAAGCAAAGGGGATAAGGCAAAAAAGGATTTGGTTACAAACCGAGAGAGTGAGAGAGAATGACGAGCGTGAGTGGGTGTGGCTCAGTGAGCCTGATTACTAACCGCAGTGCGTTCTTCGGAAGCGGACTACAACACCGTGCCGTTTCTCTTAAGCCATGGTCTTCTTCTTCGCTTCCGTCTCGGTCCATGGTGGTCGAATCCAAAACCAAAACCAGCACCGAAGACAGAACCGCCCGACATTCTCGCATCCGTAAGAAGGTACTAATTCTTCGCTTCGAATTTCATTCAATTCTTACCCGATTGCTCTGTCATTTCTATAAGACAGTGTTCTTGTCACCAAGTAGAAGAGTTTGTGCGTGATAGTCTCAATTGGGTGTTTTTGGAATTCGAATTGCAGAATATCACAATGTATCTCATGAAAGATAGAGCTACAAATAGTATTTGGATGTTGTTACTCTCAAGAATTTGTCTACAGTTTTTTAGCATATGATTTGAGTTTGATTACCTATAGACGAAATCCTCCAGCTTTTGGTAGATTTTAAGTTTCCAGATTACTGAAAACAACGACATTTTGTTGTAATTCTAAGAGAAACTGAATAAAAAACAAAGAGAAACAGAGAACAGAAGGGAAATGTGATTCATTGTTGTTTAGATTTTACTTGGAATTTTAAATGCTATAATGAGAAGTTTTGTTAGTTTGATCCATGATTCTTGTTCTTTTCTCTCTTATGACTGTTAACACTGTCCATAGGTTAACGGTACAACAGAGAGGCCAAGGCTCTGCGTTTTTCGTTCAAACAAGCATCTTTACGTTCAAGTGATTGATGATACAAAGATGCACACTTTAGCTTCAGCTTCCACCAAGCAGAAACCTATCTCTGAGGAGTTCGATTACACCTCTGGACCTACCATTGTAAGTTTCCATCTTCGAATTCGAGTTTCAAAGTAATCAACTTGGTAGATAGATGAAGATGAATCTGTACTGATATTTCTCCCTATGGTTGAAATGCTTTGGTGTCTGAGTAGGAGGTAGCGAAGAAAGTTGGGGAAGTGATAGCAAAATCATGCTTGGAGAAAGGGATCACGAAGGTGGCCTTTGACCGTGGTGGTTACCCTTACCATGGACGCATTGAAGCTCTTGCCGCCGCAGCACGTGAACACGGTCTTCAGTTTTAAACCGTTTTCTTTCCCTCTGAGAAAAATATGAATGTAGAGAACTCAATCTTCCTCATTGAAATGTTGAAGTTTTCGTATTTGAAGAGTGTTACTTGTTAATTAAAATCATTTTCAGTGGCTGGTTTTGGGCTTCAAAAGAGATGTGAAAGAGTAGAGAAGTAAAGTATCTGCTATTATCGTCTACAACAGTTCACAATTCGACATTATTTGTTCTTTTAACATATAAGCTATGAACTGAATTCGTCAAAATCAATAAAAAAGTATGGATATTTTCATTCGTTCACTGAATTAACGACTTCCTTATCACGATTTTTAAGTTTGTAGTATTAATCCTTGATTTAAAACAACAGATTTCGGTTGAGTGAGAATTTTCTTATTTTTAACCAAAGAAATGTCAAATTATAAATTCGGGGGGGCTTAGAGATAACTTCAATAGTTTAGGGGTAAATAATTTGAGTTCCTTGAGTAGGATGGGTTTTAGTCAAATGAGAACTAATTTCCGACAAAACCGAAAAGGCAAAAGAAAAGAACTGTGTTGGCGCAAATCTAAAGATTTCCCGCGTCGTCGTCGGTACGACAAGAAATGTTAACCGGACGGGAGAGCTTGCTTTGGTTAATTGGAAAACGCCGGCGATCTCTTCCCAATCGCCACCATCTTCTCTCCGCTCCTACTCCGGTAATTAATCTTCTTCCTCAAATTTCCCCCATTTATTTTCCCACATAACTTTAAAGTAAATCCCTTTATCCCAAATTCCTCTAGGATTCGTTGAATCTCGAGGTCAACGACTGTGCCAATCTCATCTCAGCAGCCGGAGATGATGACAGTTTTCCGGAGAACCCGATTTCTCCCGATGATTCGAGCAAAACCTCTGGTGGGTTTTAAGAATTGTCTCCGTGCTCATCATCTTTAGGGATTTTGAATTTAACAAATTTCTTCATTTCTCCAGATAATTTGAGTCTATCCGGTAAGAAGAAACGGAAATTAACTCAGACCACTCTTCTTCAGTCAAGTTTCTTGTCAAGCCCAAAACAATCGAAAGAAGAAGATAAACTTATAATCCGTACCCAGAAGCAACCAATTCTCGAAACTTCCGATTTCAATTTCGTAGAAAGAAGCGAGGTTGATGATGGCTCATGTTCTCGAATTAGTGAAGAGATTTCAAAAACTGTGACTTTAGATGAAGCCAATGGTGATGCTATGGAAACCTTTATAGTTGGTAGGAAGTTCAGTGATGTTCAGGATGTAGAAATTGGGGGAAAAATCTGTCTTTTGAGACACCCTGAGAACATCAAGGATCGAAATGCTATAAAGGTTTAAACTTTGTCTTCTTATGTGTGAATTTCTGATCTCTTTATGTATTTTGCCTAAAGTATTGAGTTTGTACTTTCACACTAGGTTCTTACTGCAGACTCTGGAGGAGTCTCTGAAATGCTTGGGTATCTACCTAAAGATGTTTCACAGTATTTGTCTCCGCTGATCGAAAAGTATGACCTTAAGTTTGAGGTTGGTGACTGATTTCTCATGTAAAGCTTTCTCTGATATGTTAAGATACACAACATCAAGTTTATATGATGTAGCCAATACATTCTTTGTAGGGAACAATAACATCTGTTCCGAGGAATTCTGCTGAAGCTGTTCCGATCAGAGTTGTTTGTGACAAGATGAGATCTGATGGTTGGGAGGAATGTGAATTTGGTGGAGAGTTTAAACCTCTGTGGGAGAAAGTTCTTGAGGTTGTTGAGCAGCAGATGCAATTACCGCCTAAAACGACTCGATACCAGTTGAACTTTAATGTATTAGTACAAGAGGTTTTAAGAAGTTGCTCACACCTTTTCACAGCTGATGAAAAGGCATTCTTGGGTATTCATTTATGACTTCTTTAGATTTTTTTTTTAATTTTCTTTTCGGTTTCCCTCTTGAAGTTATTGAAATGGATGATATGATTTATGTTTCTTGTTTTGGTTTACAGAATCTTTCCCCTCTCTTTCAGAGGATAGCCAGAGACTTTTTGTCCGTCTTTACACACGAAAAGGTATCTTCTCTGTTACATGTCCTTTTTGTATTACCCTTGTAGTTTTGTTTGTTAGCTTTTCGTATGGTGTCAGTGGTACTAGACAAACTGCTATAAATTGATGAATATTACTGTGAAACTTTTTGGATACATTTTTGTTCAGGACCTTGGTTTAGGCTGTCAAATATTTCATACCCTGAGGTTTCTGATTCTCTTCAAGCCCTAAAGGATCTAACAGGTATATCATATGTACACACAGTAACTTCTTCTAATTGCTGAATTTTTCTGTGCATGTTAGAAAAAAGCTAATATCTACACGATGTACAGTCAGGGGCTTTATGAGTTCAGTGGAGGACGCAAATGAACTTGATTACCAAAAGATGAAGGAGATCATAGAGTTGCTCAACGTCAATGAACTTCGTGATATCTCATCTCTGAACAAGGTTGGACCAAACTTTCTTATTATTGAATGTCAGAGGTTTTTTTTTCTCTTATTGGTTTAATTGCAATATGGTGTGCTTTATTGGTGGTCTAGGTGTTCTGTCGCGGCTCAAGAAAGAGAGACCTTATTAATTCACTTTGTTCTTGTTACAATGATGGAACGAGGTCCGTTTGTTTTGCTTTGTAGTTAGATTTGTAAAGCTTCTTTCATTTCATAGCAGTTTGTTGTTTCCCTTTGAGGTTGAGATGTTTTGTTTGATTTTTAGGATAAATATAGCAACAATGATTCTAGAAAGAACAGGACTGTGCGCTAAGATATCCAGTACAGCAGAAACTCTCATATGGCGTGTTGAGGTAAAAGTTTTGGTTACAGGAAATATTAGCTGACTTTGTCTTGAGATGAGAAGAAAATGACTTTGGTTATATGTTTCAGAGGCTTTTCTTCCTCAATGGAGAGCAAGATCTATCCTCTTTTGTTCTCCTGGATCTCGGTATCATCAAATACCCAATGTACAAATGCATCGACTCGGAGCAAATATTTTCAAACCGGACTAAGCTTTTAGCATATGAAGAGGTGTTTGCTCGTCTATATTGAGAATAAAAGGAAACAGACTTGTTTTGTCTACAATATCTCAAAGTTCTATTTACAGGCCATTGAAGTGGCTCAGTTGATGGATGAGTCTCTTGACAGTGAGGATTCTCAAACAGTGTTGAAATGCATCACCATTGCTGAAACACGAATATACGGTTCTTCGTTGGATTCTGCGCATCTTGCTGCATTTAATCGCTTTACAGCTCCATGGGTTTACTCAAAGGTGGTATTTTTGGGAGTTTCCTTTCTCGAGAACCTCAAGAGGCATGTGAAAACAAACCATCTCATCTTTTTCACTTGTTCATATTATCTTTATCTTTCTTGTTTGTTGAAATTTTTGACTATGGTTTCAGGTATAACGAAGCAGTTTATCTACTGAGGCGGTTGCTTAGCTGCTTCAACTGTGACGGGAGACGAGGACACTGGACAGTGAGATTATCAACAGATTTGGAGCACATGGGACGTCCAAATGAGAGTCTCTCAGTAGCAGAGCAGGGACTATTGGATCCTTGGGTGCGTGCTGGTTCAAGAATAGCTTTGCAGAGACGCGTTCTTCGTCTTGCAAAACCTCCAAGACGCTGGAAAACTCCAACCTTTCCAAACCTCATAGAAAACAAGATCCCTGAGGTTTGTGAAATAACAAACAAAGAATCCATTTCATCTTCCTGTCTTGTCCTCAAATGTGCATTTTTCAGGTTACCATTCAAGGGAGATCATTGAACTGTGAAGTCGGCATGAAGAACAGGTTTTATGGAGAAGACGGAGAGCAATGTGGAGTTGAGCAGCTCGCGTTGCAGTATTACAATGGAGAAGGAGGAGGAGGATGGCAAGGGATTCATACAGAGAGTAGCATCTGGTTAACCATTTTTGGTCTTCTTTTGTGGGACATTCTGTTTTCAGATGTCCCTGGTGTTTTCCAAACCCGTTTCCAGGTTAATGAAGCTCACTAGTAGTCTCTCACTCACGCAACGAAAATGAAATACCTCATTTTGTTCTTCTTGTGCAGACAGCTCCATTGGACTTAGAGACTGAATCATTCTATCTAACGAGGAAGGAAACGATAGAGTCACAGCTAGAGAAAGTTGCAAACGGAATGGCTGAAGAAATACTTATCATATCATATGAAATACACCGTGGAACAGCGTGCAGAGGAGTGGCCTGGGAGCGGTTTTCGTTAGAGGAGCTGAGAGCAGCTGTGGCTTGTGTTGGAGGTGTTTGTGTAGCATCGCTGTGTCGGTATCTAGCTCAAGACTATAGGAACTGGTGCAGTGGAATGCCTGATCTACTGCTATGGCGGTTCAAGGAGAATGGTTATGTAGGTGAAGCTAAGCTTGTGGAAGTAAAATCAGAGAGAGATAGGTTATCAGAACAGCAACGAGCTTGGCTTCTGCTTTTAATGGATTCAGGATTCAGTGTTGAGATTTGCAAAGTAAGACCTGATTGTTTAACCAACGCTTAATCATTAAAGAGACTAAACATGAACACACAAATTTATGAGTTGTTTCCTTAAAAGAGTTTTAAATGCAAAGGAACCACAATGAATCTTAGTAGTAGCCACATCTTTGTTGCCGGAAAGTTAGTATTTTTTTCAATAAAGATTCTTTTTTGTTGTTGTTGTTCTTGCTGTTGTTGTTGCTGGAGTGAGTAATATAGACACGTGTAGATATCTGAAAATACTTGATGATGTTTGATTGATGAAGTAGCTGTTGTCTCGTTTGTTCCATATAATGAAAGACTAATTGTGTTCTTCAATCAAACTTTTTAAAAAGAGATTTGTAAACTTGGACAAAGTGTGGCCCTCACATGATGTAAATAGATTGTTATTTTAGTCTTGGCTTTTCTGTGGTCACTTTGTCTTAAGGAATATGCCATTTTTGGGATGAGAAAGAGAAAATAGATTTGAACTTTAATAATTTTTAATTGTCATGATACTCCACATAAACTTATGTAGATATAAGATTAATCTTGTTATATAAAAATTTAATTATCATAGATTATGTATGTATGATTTGAAATTTGATAAATTTACTAGATTTGTTCAATAGTGTGTAGATACCTGTACAGGTAGATACAGACTAAGAAAAATTGCAATGTGAATCTTTTTAAAATTGCATTTATCAGTATGAAACAAGTAATCAATTTTGAAAAGTTATTGACTATATCTCTTTGTAATTAAAAAGTTATTAATGTTGATGAATATTGTTATTTGAAGATACCTTGTCATTTTGGATATTTCCAAACTTCAGACATACTTTCGGTTTTACTTCAGTGGTATGCACAGAGCTATTAAGAAACAACAACAATATTAAATTAGTCAACGAGAACAACAATGTAAAGTAAATCCATCCATACATGGAAGAAGTTAAAAAGAGTTTAAAAGCCATAAATAAAGTGTTAATTTCTCAATCTTCATTAGCAGTAGTTACGATATCAGAAATGGTGAGTCACCAAGAAAAGAAAAAATAAGACAGCAAGAGCTTTAAATGATGAAAAAAGAAAAAAAGGACAACAAGAGCCTCAAGTAAAAGAGAGTAGTAGTTAAACTATCTTCACCATATCTGATGAGAGAGACGAAGTCTTTTTAGTTGACTCTTCTCGAACGCTGAAAAAATCTTCTGTTGTCCTTATTACAATACTACTTCCTCTCTTCTTCACCATCTCTCTCATCTCGCAGATCTAAAGAAACAGAGAGATTAAGAGAAAACGATGAGAAATGGAGATTTAACTCCTGACAGAGATCGGATTGTGGAACATGAGATGCAGGAAACTCGTTTTAGTCCTGAAGCAGAGAGGGTTAAGAGGAACAAGAATGTTAGAGAGTACCAAAGACAACAAGAAGATGAAGAAGAAGAAGAAGAATCTGTGGAGGGAATATTCGAGAGCAGAGAGGTTCCTTCGTGGAGGAAGCAATTAACGATTAGGGCTTTTGTGGTTAGCTTTGCGTTGAGCATCTTGTTCAGTTTCATCGTGATGAAGCTTAACCTAACAACAGGAATCATCCCTTCTCTTAACGTCTCTGCTGGTCTTTTGGGGTTCTTCTTCGTCAAGACATGGACTAAGATGCTTCATAAATCTGGTCTTTTGAAACAACCTTTCACCAGACAAGAGAATACAGTTATTCAGACTTGTGTAGTTGCTTCTTCAGGCATTGCCTTTAGCGGTAATAGAAACAAAAAACCCATATCAAAAATCTCAAACTTTTGAATCAAGATTTTAGTTTTTTTTTCTTGATTTGTGACCTTTTCCGATAAAAAGACAAAATCTTTGATGTCTTCTTCTTCACACACAATTCACCTTCCCCTAATTTCTCCGTTTTTTTCTGCTTTTGTTTATTAAATTTAAATTTGCAACAGGAGGATTTGGGACTTACCTATTTGCTATGAGCGAGAGAATAGCTAATCAATCAGGTGATGCATTTCGTGGCGTTAAGGACCCTTCTTTGGGTTGGATTATAGCTTTTCTCTTTGTTGTCAGCTTTCTTGGCCTCTTCTCTGTTGTTCCTCTTCGAAAGGTTTGGTTTCTGCTTCTTCTTCTCCTGTGGTAACCCAAAAGAGACATCAATGAGCTGATGCAAAATCTTACAGTTACCAGTTTGTGTTTGCAGATAATGATCATAGACTTCAAACTAACATACCCAAGTGGCACTGCAACTGCTCATCTTATCAACAGCTTTCACACTCCTCAAGGGGCAAAGCTTGCCAAGTATGAGACTTTCACTTCTCCTAACGAGTTATTGAGTTGTCTTCTTATTAACCTGTGCTCTCTATCAGGAAACAAGTGAGAGTGTTGGGGAAATTCTTCTCCTTCAGCTTCTTTTGGGGTTTCTTCCAGTGGTTTTTTACTGCAGGTGAAAATTGTGGGTTTAACAGTTTCCCTACGTTTGGACTCAGAGCTTACCATTACAAGTAAGCATCGTGATACTACCTGACGCATTGTCTTTGGCTCATAAGCTGTGGTGTCGGTTCTCTTTTTGATTGAACTTGATGATGTTCGACAGGTTCTACTTTGATTTCTCAGCAACATATGTGGGTGTTGGTATGATATGTCCATACATAATCAACATATCTCTTCTTTTGGGTGGAATTCTCTCTTGGGGACTAATGTGGCCTCTCATTGAAACAAAAAAGGGAGATTGGTTCCCTTCTGATGTTGACTCCAGCAGCATGCACGGTCTCCAAGCTTACAAGGTAAAAATAATCCTCCCATCACTCACTTTCTCTTATACGCTCGCTTTTGCTGAAACATTTTGTTCTTTTGGCTTCTTCAGGTGTTCATAGCTGTTGCTATGATCCTAGGAGATGGTGTATACAACTTCTGCAAGGTGTTGAGCCGAACTCTTTCAGGACTGTTTTCGCAGATCCGAGGTAAAGCTGGTTCGAGAGCCTCTCTTTCACGCGAAGAAGAAGAAGAGCCTCCTGCTTCTCCATTGACACCAAGAATATCTTATGACGACCAACGTAGAACAAGATTCTTCCTTAAAGACCAAATACCTACATGGTTTGCTGGTGGAGCTTATGTGGCTATAGCTGCAGTATCTACAGCTATTCTTCCTCAGATGTTCTCTCAGCTGAGATGGTACTACATTCTGGTCATCTATGTCTTTGCCCCTGTCTTAGCTTTCTGCAATGCTTATGGAGCCGGGCTCACTGATTGGTCACTAGCATCAACCTATGGAAAGCTAGCCATATTTACAATCGGAGCGTGGGCTGGTTCAGACCATGGAGGTCTTCTTGCAGGCTTAGCAGCTTGTGGAGTCATGATGAACATAGTATCAACAGCTTCAGACCTGACGCAGGATTTCAAGACCGGTTACCTAACCTTGTCATCTCCAAGGGCAATGTTTGTGAGCCAAGTGATTGGAACAGCAATGGGATGTCTGGTTTCTCCCTGCGTGTTCTGGCTTTTCTACAAGGCGTTTGATGATCTCGGCCTCCCAAACAGCGAATACCCTGCACCGTTTGCTACTGTGTACCGAAGTATGGCGAAGCTTGGGGTTGAAGGCGTTTCGTCTCTACCAAGAGACTGTCTTGTGCTGTGCTACGCGTTTTTCGGTGTAGCCATACTCATAAACATAATCAAAGACGGACTTGGTGACAGATGGGGAAGGTTTGTGCCTCTTCCCATGGCAATGGCTATACCGTTCTTCTTAGGACCATACTTTGCAATCGACATGTGTGTGGGAAGTTTGATTTTGTTTGTCTGGGAGAGACTAGATGCTGCAAGCGCTGAAGCTTTTGCAACAGCAGTGGCGTCTGGTTTGATATGTGGAGATGGAATCTGGACATTGCCAAGCTCAGTGCTTGCTATAGCTGGAGTTAAACCTCCTATCTGCATGAAGTTTCTCTCATCTGCAACTAACCATAGAGTCGACAAGTTCCTGCAAGGATCCTCTTAGTTTTTTTTTTTTTAAGCATGGATCTGCTGAGAAGAACAGTGTAATGATGTTTCAGTTTTGAAAAAAAACAATGAACAAAAGTATATTGCAAATGGTCACTCGTATAGATAAATGAGAAACAGTTTTTGTTGTATCAAAATGGCAATGCACATAACATGCTTAATACATAGCTCAACGAACACATATTATTGATAAGCTTGATGAATCCCCTATCACAGTCTTGTAGGCAAATTCTCATTCCTCTCACAGTACATAACTAAAAGAGCTAAAAACTGTTCAATCTCACATCAAAAGAAACAACAGACCTCTAATTCTTCTGGGGGAAAATAAAGGTTTTTAAGCCTTTGACTTTGAGGATGATTTCTCCTTTGAAGAACAAGCTGTTTTCTTCTCTGCTTTCTTGAATAGGTTAGCTACCGTAGCTTGAATGAGTTTACCATCTCTGGTGTTAGATTTTTCCTTTTTAGCCGGAAGTTCGGTTAGCAACTCGCCTGCTGGTGCAGTACTAGTACCAGCTTGAGTTCCTTCAAAACCTCTTGTTGAAGAATCAGGTTCCAACATAGGCTTCTTCTCATCTCCTTTATCAGATATATTGCCATCACTTTTACCTGAGGAGTCTTCTGAAGAAGTTTCTGCAAAGCTGTGAAAATAGTTTCAAAGAAAGGCTGTTACACTTAGTACACAGAGAACTAGGCACAGCAATCATAGAGATAGTTACTAATCAAATCCATCAAAGTCAATGAAAGGATCATTACTTGAATTTCTTGCCAGAGTTTCTCTGAGACTGTCGAACTGGTGTTACTTGAACTGGTGTAACTTGGATCTTATCGTCCAGAAATTCTCCATCCTCAGACAAATATTCCTCCACCATGTCAACTTCAGGTACCTCAGGTGAGTCTGTCTCTGTCGGTTGGCTACCGGTTTCAGGAGTTGACTGCGTCTTGACCGAACCTGCCGCTCCTGCACCGCCTTGGAAATCAATCTCAGTTTGCTCTCCCTGAAAACCAAAGGAGTTCTCTTATCATATCAAACATCTGATCTCTTTGGCAACTAGAGAAAATGTAAATTTAGCTGAAAATGTATCATCAACCTGAGCCAGTTCTTTAGGGAAATCAAGACGAGCTTCTTCAGGATTTTCTTCTTTTGTCCCAATCCACCATAATTCAGAGAAGACAATCTGAGTATGCATTACCAAATCAGATCCTCAAGATACATAAACTGAGAGAGAAAGAGAGAGAGGGCTCTAAAGGTGACTAACCATGTTATCAAAGTAGTCATCGCATAAGACGTTTTTGCCTCCTCTAGAGAATTGGAGAGTCAAATACTTGTTCTTGGGATACAAAATGGTTCCGAAAAGCTTCATGCGACCCTAAAAGAACAACAATGTCGACGATTAAGAACGCAGAAGCAGTAGGAGTAAGTAATGGCTTCAACATTCAGAAACAATGTGACCAATTAAGCTTAGGAAAGGTAACCTGGGGGAAATTGAGGTAGAGGACGGGGTTTTTGGTGGAGAGTCGATCGAGATCGCCGATGGTGGCGCCGGAGATGGGAGCGAGAAGTCCAGGGAAGGAGAAGAGAAATCGGTTCTTGCGCTGTGATTTGCGGATGATGTCGGTGCCGTGGTGTTTCAGCACTTGCTTGGATGGTTTGAGAGAGGAAACGCATCTCGCCGGAGAATCGGAGAGCAGTTTGTTATCGAGAGCTAGGGTTTTCAGTCTCTTTCTCTGCTGAGATTCTGCATCGTCTTTATCTCCTCCTCCTCCACCTTTCTTCGACGATGAAGCTCGTACCATTACTGTTAAACTGTTACCACTAGTCTCTCTCTATAAATTCTAAAGCTTTATGTGTCTTCTTCTTCTTCTTCTCCACTTATGTGTCTCTATCAATTTAACCCAAAAAGATAACAAAACTTAAATAAAGGGCAGACGAACAGAAAAAGAATCTTCTTTGAGCTGTTTTTTCAATTCTGGGCTCAGATCTCTCGCTCTCTCTGTACAACCAGTGAAATAAAGAAGCTTCTTTTCGATCTCACCATTGTTTTTGCGTCTGAAAGGTTGCGTCTTTACGTTGACCCATTGACTTTCCATTTAAGGAATAATAAAGTTGGAAGCTTTTTGCAGTTGCTGGAACAATGTGTGGCCTCTGTATTTGATACAATGTGTTTTTCCATCAAGGAGTTGAATACTTGAATCAGAAGAGATTCTCCAGCAAATGATGAACACTGCTATATATGTTTAACAAGGCAAATAGAACATACGCAGGCATTATTGTGCATAACAAAAATACAATGTAAAAAAAAGAGCAACACTAATCTAGAATGGAGCACCATGGAGTGAAGCAGGCGTTGGGCTAATGCTGCATTTGGTAAACAGATTAAGTCTCTTGAACCACTTGGACCTCTTCTTTTTCTCTCCAGCTTCACTTCTTGTTTCACTCATCTTCCTCTTCTTGCTGTTCTTGCTATGATCCAATCCAAAGCAGCTCGGAGTGGACACGTTGTCACAAACAGATAACTCTCTCGATGACTGCTGCTGCATCTCATAGATTTGGTTCTGGAGAAGACACACATTGTGAAAATGTTCGTCCTTCATCCTAAGCACGCACCTAGCGAGCTTAACCGCTTCCTTTTTCATGAACAACGCTTCAGTGGCGAGCTCTCTGTTCTCTTCCAAGAGACGAGTGAGTTTGTAACCAAGATTCGCTGTTTCCTCTACAGCTACTTCTTTCTCCATGTCAAGCAGCATCACAAGCTTCTTTAGCAACTCGATTGTCTTGGAAGCTTCTTGGAGCTTTTTCTCTCTGCGTTGTAACTCGTTTTGTGAGATGTCTTTCTCCAGGTTTGCTGTCACGAGCTGTGACACTAACTCGTCGATGTTGTGCTGCTTATCACAAGTAGTGATGGCTTGGATCTGTTGAAAGGACAAGATGCTCTCGACTTCGGAGCTGATGTCAGAATCATGGTCTTGTTGAGGTTTAGGGTTTTGTGGTTTTGAGTGGTTGAAATGGTCTAAGAGAGTGGCGTAACCGTCGTAGAGATCTTGACAGAGTGAGAGAATGAGAGGACGTCTCTGGTAAAACCAATCAGCACGCTGAGAAAATGTTTCACCGGTTTGGTTTTCTTCAAGAGCAGAGACGCGCATCACTTGCATCCGAGACTCAATCTCTGTGTTCGTTTAGTTAACCAACATTTTCAAATCAAGTAAGCATACATATATATATTGAGAGACAGAGACATAAACACACACACAAAAAGTTTGAATTTTTGAAAGTGTACCAGAGAGAGATGGCAATTGTGGAAGAGGAGGCTGAGAGGCGTCCATGGAAACTGGTGTTTCAAAGGCAGAGAGAAACAGAGGAGAGCTAAGGAAAAAAAAAAAAAAAAAAACTTGTTTTGCAAATTATGTAAGGGAATAGCAAACGCATGAAATCAGTGAGAGATGATTTGGATATTAATGGACTCTGAAGAACAAAAAGATTCCTAAAAGCGAGAGTTTTGATGTGTTGGATCAGTAGAGAGCATATAATTAGCAGTAAAATCCGCCTAATTCAAAATTTGTAAAATTTCAATAGTATTCGCATATAACCAAAAATACCATAAAGCATCTCTCATAATATACACTCACAGTGCAGCGCATAACCGGCTCTCATACCTCTTTGTCACTGTTTTCAGAAACTAAAACATGAATTCACTTTCTTCTCAATAGATCCAGCTCATTGAGCTTTACTAAAACATGAGAGCATCAATGCTTTTCAATAGTTATGTTGAGGGAAAAGAAGGAAAAGCTTAAATGAAGCACACCAAGATCAAAGAAGTTTTGATTTATATCTCTCAAGGTTCCTCCTATTGTATGTGTTTTGCAATTACAGAAGAAATGATTGAAAGTTTCTGTAACTTCTTTACTTCCTCCTATTTCACTTCCTATCTGCAAAAGCGAAACTGTTCCTAGATCAACAAAGAAAAAAACCATCCATTTCAATCAAGTGACAACGAGTTCTTCAAGTTGTTTCATCCGTCCTTTATGGCACCGAGCTGGAAGATGCCACAAGCTGAGATTTTGTTCATTGTAACTAGCATCGTCTTCAGATACTACTCCAAGTCACTGAGTTTGACTTGGAACTGTTCACCTGTAGATAAAACCTTGACACTGACTGAACCATCTTCCCACTCTGTCTTCCCAACCAGAACCAGCCTTCTTGCGTTTACTCTAGCCGCTCTCTTGAACACCCATTTCAGCGGTTTACTCTCCAATACCAAATCAACGGTCTGACCTTTGTCTCTGAGAGCGGTTGCAACAGTCGATGCAGCTCCTTGGAGATCTTTGTCCAAAGCACACACAATGTTCTCTACTTCTTGTCTCACCTCTGGCAACAAACCCTTCTCCTTAAGCAACTGTACATGGCGAATGTAAAACAAGTATCAGAGATTCAGAGACTGAAACTGAACTCAAATCGTTAGCAACCAGAGAGAGTTTTAACTTACTTCAACAATTACAGCATCGCCGAAACCAAAACCGCAAGCAGGAATGTCATCACCTCCATAAGTGGAGAGTAATCTGTCATATCTCCCACCACCACATATAGCTCGCAGCTTCCCTTTCCGATCAAATCCCTGTCACAAATCAATTGTTATCAACAAACTTATAGTATGTATGTGTGAAGAAGATTATGTCATAAGAATCTAACCTCGAAGACGATACCAGTGTAATAAGCAAGACCACGCACAACGGATGCATCAAACTGTATCCACTCTGAATAACCAAACTTTTCAGCAAGTGAGAAGAGTTGCTTTAAATCAGCAATGGCTTCTCCTGCTCCACCAAGTATATCTGCTTATATACAAATTAGAGGTTCTTATTAGCAGCAATTTTCCAGAGAAAAGGATTTCATAGAAATACAATGAAAGGAAATCACCTTCCAAATCATCCAAGGACTTCACAGAAAGCACTTGCAATAACTGTTCAATAGCATCTTCCGATATTCCAGTGAAGCCAAGTTCTTTTTTTATCTCATCAATTGGGAGTTTCTCTATCTATTTAGCATGAAACATTCATAAAGCTGGAGTATTTTGTTGATCGTAGTAGACGAAGTAGTCATTTCAAAGCAGTAGAATATCGATCCTTAGACTACTAACCTTGTCTATAATGACACAGACTCTTCCAAAAAGCTTTTCTGGCACACCATACTTTGTTAGCAATTCTTGTAAAACCTGTACAAGGAAGTAGGAAACCACATTAGATATCAAGATGCTGCAGATTGTGCAAAGTTAATCTCAAAATCGTGTTTGCCATTGCAAGTATGCAGAAAAAAGAATCAACTTCCTTGGTTATGTATCTAGACTGTAAACACCAAGAAACCTCAAATAAGAAAATATACCTTGCGGCTTGAAACCTTAAAACCAACATCTGAAGCAGTGATCCCAACTCGCTTGAAGAAGGTGACTATAGATGAGATCAGTTCTGCTTCAGCCTATAAGAAAAGGTTTGAGGGGAACCAAATTATAGACATAAAAGCAAACGTGATACATACTGTCAAAAAACTAAAAGGCCTGAAAGTGATACATACTGTTACTTGAGGCACACCAATAATATCCATATTCCACTGGTAATGCTCTCGTCGCCTTCCTCTTGTCATTCTCTCGTATCGCCAACACTGCCCAACAGCAAACCACTTCAACGGAAGGGAAACGGATTTTCTGTACCAAAAAAAGATAATGTGAATTAACATTCTCACATTCTTTGAAGATTATGGACAATTCTGAAGACTTTGAGAGATAATTTCTAGGCTTTGTTACCCTTTCTGTATGACAAGCCTGGCTAAAGAAGGTGTGAGCTCAGGCCTCAATGCTACACGCCGATTACCTCTATCTTCAAAGCAGTACAACTACACAACAAAAAAATTGCAACAGTTTAAGCTAAAGATCCAAACTTTTTCCACCCTAAATTGCAGATAAAGATGCTAAGAATGAAGCAGATGAAAGAAAATACTAACTTGGTCTCTAATCTCCTCCCCTGCTTTCCTGATGAACAATGCCTCCGTCTCCAACACTGGAAAATCGACTTCCTCATACCCAAATAGCCGTGAGACCTTCAAATCAAAAGTAAAAGACGGAAGCTTTGAACACAGAATTCAACAATTCATCGACCCAAAAAAAGAATTGCAGAAACCCCTATGAATGTGAAATGTTGAAAAAAAGAGAATTTTGGGGGAAAAATTGCAGAAACAATATGAATGCGAGACACTGACCTCTTTGAAATGGTTGAAGAGCCAACTGCGGAGTCGCATATCCTCAGGTGCGAAATCACGAGTTCCTTTAGGAGGATTGACATCGATCTTCTGAAAGTTTTCTTCGATAACCGGCGGAGCCACAATCGAACCGGACCTGCCTCCTCCTCCTCCTCCATCACTCGCTTTTGTGGCGGCGGAACAGATAAGGCGCCTAGGGGTAGAGAACTGACGAGGCGAACAAGAAACCAAGTCAAGAAGAAGAATCGGTCTTAAGCATGAGCTCAATCGTGTGGTCGCAATGTGAATCGCTGCTCGCATCTCTTCTTCTTCAATTTTGCAGTGAGGAAGAAGAATTTAGTTTGTTTTTTTTTTTAATTTAAATTTCTCCTCTTTTGTTGGATGATGGATTGATGGATTGATGGATCAAACGCTGAGATAAATGGTGTAATATAAAATCTAGATGACAAGTAAATTCAAAACTTTTTGTCTGAAGTTGGATACTTTTCGAATTTCATTTTTTTTGGCAACTGTTTTTAGAGAAAAGAGCCTCACTTTCTCAAATATTCTGATTCAATTTAGAGTAGCTGTTTTATTTTTATTTTTGTTTAAGCAGTTAAAGTTTTAGAGTTTGCACCTTCAAAAGGTTAGATTAGATAATTGCTTCTCTTTTCTTCTCTACACCTGCCATAACCAGTTGAGAGAGTTTCTTCTATCATCGTTTTCAGAAAATGAGACTCATGAGTCTGTAACAAGCTAATAATAATCACCTAGTTTTATTCATTTGTAACCTGTAAGACGACCATTGTTGAGTATCTAAAACCAAAGGTATTTGGTATCCTTAAATCAAATAAACATGATCTATGGTTGTTGTCATGTTACAGCACTGAGGTGAAAAGGTTAACCTTAAATCAAACTACCAAAAAAAAAGGTGAAATCTTGTCAGATCTTATTAACTCCAATAAACTATTTACACTGAGCAGCTGAAATCAGGCGTTTTAAGCTTCCCCATAAAGAGGGTATGTCTCGACATCATCTCATCATAACGAGAATTTTCTAAATCACTTTGTTTTTCCCTTTGGCCACCTTTAGCATCCTTGATTTGCACTAAACTTGGAACATAAGAGCACACACTTGATCGCCACCACGTATCCTTGGTACAGGTACACTCTTGGAGATCCAATACCCCTTGGTATTCACCCTCTTCATTATTGATGCAAACTGTGTGGTAATTCAACCTTCTACCACAAAACATGACGACTTTCTTCACTTGGTCAATAAAGAAACTCCCTAATAAAAAACAAATGTCATAAGGGAGTGAATCTTCATTAAATGTGAAGAACTTGCTCCACGACACCTTTCCGGCCTCAATCCTCGTCGAAATCCATATCTCAAACAGATACCAATCATTCTTGTGGGAGTTACATAAAGCCGCGAGCTTCTCTTCTCTGACACAAGATAAGGTCACATGCGCATACGTATATTGACAAGGCAGAGCCAGAAGAGGCCCAAATATCTTTCTTGTATAATCAAAACATATTATGTATTTGATAAAATCCCTCTCACCATTCCATCCATCTGCGCCTCTTTCTCTAGCACACCAGTAAGTGTTTCCTTTGATAGAAACGCCATCGCCATATGTTGTACGCCAGTGTGGATCAGTGACATCAAGAGTCGTCCATAAACCAGTCTCGAAATCATATATTTCATACCAGAAAAACTCGTACCCGTCTTGCAATAAGAAAGCATCTATAAACCTCAATATTTTGTGGTTACGACCAGATCCCTTATCTTCGTAACCGATACCGTAACAGGACACGTCAAGACATCGTCGTCCCCAAGGGACAACATGTGAAGATCTGAGTTCGATCCGACGTGTTTTTCCCAAATATGGATTCCAAACCACAACCTGAGTATCATCCTCTTCCGGGATACATAACAATAACCCGTCGTAGTGATAAACACGAGACATCTTGACTTGTTCCTCAAGGCAAGTGAGTTTACCTTTTTTCTCTGCAGAAAAATTATTAACGCTCACTAAATATAGATTTCCTTCCGTCATCGTGATCATCCGAGACTCAGATTCATCTTCCTTTGCTGGATCGAAGGCTTTATCAAAGTGCATCTTTGTAAAGATCTGGCTTTTAGATATAGTGTTCCACTTTGTGCAAGTCAATCGCACTGCTGTCATAGATTTTATAGGAACCCTAGACAAAATATCCTCCATCAAATCCATTGGAAGATTGGTGATCATCTTTTTCGTTTTTTTTTTTCAGGTTGTGAAAAGAGTTTTCTCTGGTTGTTTTTTGCGAAAGGTATGGCTAAAAACGATTAGATATAGCTATATAGGACTACAATATATAAGAATTGAAGACTCGGAAACCCTAATTGAAGCTGGGCCAATGGTGGGCTTTAGAACTTAGTCGGCTTTCAATTAATTATTTTACTGAATGAGTTTGGATTCTTTGGATGATGGAAATGCAGATATTTGATATTTCACAGCCATGTATATATTTCTTGTTTGACAAAAAAAAATTTAATATATATATATATGGAGTATATATACATTTCTTGTAAAAAGTGCAAAAAAAATCTGACCAAAATTATTGTTCCTACTTCCTAGATTTTGCCATTTTGGTGATTACTCTTTAACTTTTTTTTTACCATAAAGTACAAGCTTACATTCGTGTAACAGACAATGTTCGATGAAACAAAAGCTTGCGTGTTTTACGACAACCTTGCTTTTCAAATTGTGCTTCAGCCTTCCATTCAATTTACTAAGGTATTGAATGAGATAATAATCATTTAAATAAGGGATTTTCTAATCTGAGTAATTTCTTTTTAAATAAACAATTTATATGACTGATTACTCATCGACAAAGCGATGGAAAAACGAGTTGACGTTGACTTAGCCATTGATTGTTCTGTTTTCTCCACTCATAAATTATGAATCACCATAAGATATATATCCCTCTTTTGTTCTTGGACCCTAGTTAGCTTGAGGAATTTTAAGGATGGTTCATGTTCTTGTGGAGACTACCGGTGAAGTGATGATGATGATGATTCTATTTCATCTTGATTCAGTCTAACCAATGAAAAAACAAAGATCATCTACTAGATGAGGTTTTGAAGGTTTAAATAAAAAAAGATTAGAGAAGGAAATGGACTTTGTCTTGGTTTTGCCGAAGTTGTAAGAAAGTGTTTGTGCATTAGTGATTAGATCAGCATTATTCACGAAGCAAATGGTGAGAATCAATGAAGGATGTAGAAATTTTCAGATGGAAACACATTACAGATATATAAAACTTGTGTATGAATCAAATTAAGCAATGCAGATATTATGATTAGATCAGCATTATTCACGAAGCAAATAATCCTTCAAACTAGTTGCAGAATCTGTAAGTTTGGATACTTCATAAAATGAGACTATCATCTTTTTCAGAAAGTGAGACTCACTTTTATCATATATTACTTCTCGTACAAGGTCCTTGTAACAAGGTAAGACGACCATTGTTGAGTATCTAAAACCGAAGTAAGTACCAAAGGTATTTGGTATCCTCAAACCAAACAAACATAGTCTATGATTGTTGTCATTCATGTTACAGTACATGCGGTGAAAAGGTTAACCTTAAATCAAACTAACCAAAAAAAAAAGGTGAAATCTTGTCAAATCTTATTCACTTTGATTAAACTATTTACGTTGAGATTGAGCAGTTGCGACCAAGCTTTTTACACCTCCAAAGAAAGAGTGTAAGCCTCGACATCATTTCATCATATCGAAAATTCTCTAAATCACTTTGTTTTTCCCTCCGGCCTCCTTTGACTTGCACTAAACTTGGAACATAAGGGCACAAACTTGATCGCCACCACTTTTCTTCGGTAAGATTTCCGATAGCCACTTCCCCTTGGTATTCACCCTCTTCATTAACGATGCAAACAGTGTGGTAATTCAACCTTTTACCAGAAAACATGACGACTTTCTTCACTTGGTCAATATAAAAACCACTGAATGAAAACAGACTGTCATGAGGGAGTGAATTAGGATTAAATGTGAAGAACTTGCTCCACGACACCTTTCCGGCCTCAATCCTAGTCGTGATCCATATCTCAAACCAATAATCATCATTCTCGTCGGAGTTACATAAAGCCGCGAGCTTCTCTTCTCTGACACAAGATAAGGTCACATGCGCATACGTATATTCACTCGGCAGAGGCAGAAGAGGCCCAAATCTCTTTCTTGTATAATCAAAACATATTATGTGTTTGATATAATCCCTCCGACCATTCCATCCCTCTGCGTCCCTTTCTCTAGCACACCAGTAAGTGTTTCCTTTGACAGAAACGCCATCGCCATGTGTTATACGCCAGTGTGGCTCAGTGACATCAAGAGTCGTCCATAAACCAGACTCGAAATCATATATTTCATACCATAAAAACTTGTACCCGTCTTCCATTAAGAAAACATCTATAAACCTCAATATTTTGTGGTTACGACCAGGTCCTTTGTCTTCGTATCCGATACCGTAACGGGACACGTTATGAAATCCTAGTCCCCAAGGGACGACGTGTGAAGATCTGAGTTGGATCCACCTTGTTTGTCCCAAATATGGATTCCAAACCACAACCCTAGTAGCAACGTCTTCCAGGATACATAACAATAACCCGTCGCAGTGATAGACATTAGATATTTTGACTTGTTCGTCAAGGCAAGTTAGTTTACCTGTTTGCTCTACAGAAAAATCAATAATAACGTCGTAGACGTTGACGTTGACGAAGACGCTCAGTAAATAAAGATTTTCTTCCATCAACACGATTATCCGAGACTCAGATTCATCTTCCTTTGCTGGATCAAATGCTTTATCAATGTGCATCTTTGCAAAGATCGGACTATTCGATAGAGTGTTCCACTTTGTGCAAGTTAATCGCACTGCTCTCATACGTTCTATAGGAACCCTAGACAAAATATCCTCCATCAAATCGTTTGGCAGATTGGTGATCATCTTTTTCGTTTTTTTTTTTCAAGTTGTGAAAAGGGTTTTCTCTGATTGTTTTTTGCGAAAGGTATGGCTAAAAAACGATTAGATATCATATAGCTATATAGGAGTACAATATAAAAGAATTGAAGACTCGGAAAACCTAAACGAAGCTGGGCCAATGGTGGGCTTTCGATTAATTATGTTATTGAATGAGTTTGGATTCTTTGGAGATATTTCACCGCCATGCATAAATTTCTTGTTTGAAAAAATAAAATAAAAATAATAATACATACTCCGAGATTTGAACAACAAATATATTTTTATTGCACTTTATATTTCTTGTAAAAAGTTCAATAAAAATCTGGCGAACATTAATGTTCCTAGATTTGGTGATTACTCTTAACTTTCACAAATCTGATAAGATACCATAAAGTACAAGATTACATTCGTGTAACACTAACAGATAATGTTCGATGAAACAAAAGCTTGCGTTTTCCGACAACCTTGCTTTTCAAATTGTGCTTCAGCCTTCCATTCATTTTACTAAGGTATTCAGTGAGATAATAATCATTTAAATAATTAAGGAATTTTCTAATCTGAGTAATTTTCTCTTTAAATAAAGAATTTTAGTGAGGTTGATTACTCATCGATGGAAAAACGAGTTGACGTTGACTTAGCCACTGATTCTTCTGCTTCAAGTAAGCTCAAAATGGAAATGCGGGGAGAGTGGTCTCGCATGAGGACATGTATGAGTCATTCTCTCTTTTAGTCTCTAATGATGTTTTATCCACAAAGAGATCTCCATTCTTCAACATGTAGTTTTGGTTTTAGGGAACGGGTGATTCTCAAGTAATGACGGTTTTGAATATGGCTGCATCAGCATCAATGAAGCTCAACTTAATTATTTAGTCCTACTTAAAATTATTTGGCTGCAAATTGATGTAGTGTTGTGTTTTTAATGGTTTTAAACCACTGTTTTGAATCCTATTTTGAGTCTTTCATTGTGTGTTTTTGATAGAGTTAATACAAGAAACAGAGACTGGAGTACAAATATATAAACTAGAATCATCTACCAAGGATTCTCTTTTGTCAATAACTCAATCGGTACAGGGTCGTCGTCAAAAGCAAGAGATCATTCCTCATCATCCGAAGAAGCTAAAGAGGCAAAACTATTGGTGGACAAAAATGAGATGGACCGAGCTTGTTCTGGTACAACAGATCTTGGATATGAGATTTGTTTACAAGTCGACGCCTCCTTCTTAGCTAACTCGAGGTCAAGCCTTTTGCACCTCCTTTCAAAGTAGGAAAGTCTCCACATCATTTCATCATATCGAAGCTTTTCTAAATCACTTTGTTTTCTCTCCCTTTGGCTTCCTTTAGGTTGCTTGATTTTCACTAAACTTGGAACATAACAGCACACACATTTTCGCCGATGTTCTTTGAGATCCACTTCCCCAACCATGTGGCATTTCAAGCCGAAAGAAAAAATGGCCATTTTCTCCCGTTGGTCAATACAGAAACCCCCAAATGGAACCCGAACACGAATGTAACTAGGGACTGAATACTCATCATCATCATCATCATCATCATCATCATCACCATCATCATCTATATGCAGAACATAGTCCTCTTTATAGAAGTTGCTCCACGACACCTTTTCGGCCTCAATCATAGTCGTCATCCATATCGAATACCCATTCTTATAGTTGAACTCAACCGCAAGCTTCTCTTCTCTAACACTAGACAAGATTCTCACACAGTCTCCATAAGGCAGAGGCAGAAGTGGCCCAAATCTCTCTCTTGTATAGTCAAAACAGATTATGTGGTCGTGTTCGCCCCAACCATAATCATGTTCGTCCCTTTCTCTAGCACACAGTAAGTGTTTCCTTTGAGAGAAACGCCATCGCCATATGTTATACGCCAGTGTGGATCAGTGACATCAAGAGTCTTCCATAAACCAGTCTCAAAATCGTATATTTCATACCATAAAAATTCGGACCCGTTCTTCATCTAAGAAAACATCTATAAACCTCAATATTTTGTAGTTACGACAAGATCCCTTATCTTCGTATCCGATACCGTAACTGAATCCTTCCCAACCGCAACTGAACCGTTTCGGACAGGATAAGACGTGAGGATATCTGAGTTCGATCCACCTTGTTTGTCCCGTATACGGATTCCAAACCACAACCTTAGTATCATCGTCTTTCAAGATGCATAACAATAACCCTTCGCAGTGATAGACATTAGATATCTTGACTTGTTCCTCAAGGCAAGTTAGTTTACCTTTCTCCTCTACAGATAAATCAACATTGTTGTTGACCAAGACGCTCATTAAATAAAGTTTTTCTTCCGTCGTCACGATCATGTGAGACTCAGAATCATCATCCTCCTGTGCTGGAGCGAATGCGTTATCAATGTGCATCTCTGTAAAGATCTTGCTATTCGATAGAGTGTTCCACTTTGTGCAAGTTAATCGCACTGCTCTCATAGATTTTCAAGGAACCCTAGACAAAATCTCCTCCATCAAATCCATTGGAAGATTGGTGATCATCATTATATATTCGATTTTTTAAAGGTGTGAAAGAAGGGTTTTCTCTGATTTCTTGGGGAAGGTAGAAAGAAGCCTTGAAACGAATCAACGATTAGCTATTTACATAAGAACTGAAGACACATAAACCCTAAACGAATCTTTACAACGATTAGCTGTTTACATCGAGCACTTGGAAATAAAGCGTTTTGCACCTCTCCATCTAAACAATTATACCTATAGGGGATGATAGTTGTCATGTTACAGTACTACAATGAAAAGGTTAACCTTAAATCAAACTTTAAAAAAAAAGGTGAAATCTTGTCAAACCTTATTCACTGCGATAAACTATGTTTTAAGTAGAAGGGATCAAGCGTTGCACACCTCCATCTAAAGAGGGTAAGTCTCGACATCATTTCATCATATCGAAATTTTTCTAAATCACTTTGTTTCTGCCTTTGGCCTCCTTGAGGTTCCTTAATTTGCACTAAACTTGGTACATAACAGCACACACTTTTTCCCCAATACCTTTGGTCGGTACATTCTTCGAGAGCCACTTCCCCTGCGTATTCACCTTCTTCATTGATGATGCAAATTGCGTAATGATTCGATCTTCTACCAGAAAACATGGCGACTTTCTTCACATGGTCAATATAGAAACCCCAGAATGATGAAAACCGAATGTCATGAGGGAGTGAATCTTGATTAAATGTGAAGAACTTGCTCCACGATACATTTCCGGCCTCAAGCATAGTTAAAATCCATATTGAAAAATAATATGGTTCATCTTCGTGCGAGCTACATAAAGCCGCGAGCTTCTCTTCTCTAACACAAGATAGATCCACACGGTAATACCCATTTCTAAGCGGCAGAGGCAGAAGAGGCCCAAATCTCATTCTTGAATAATCAAAACATATTATGTGGTTGACGCGTTTCCTCCCACATTCCCATTCGCATCCTTGTAAGTTCCTTTCTGTAGCACACCAGTAAGTGTTTCCTTTGACAGAAACGCCATGGTGAGACTTTTTTATACACCAGTGTGGATCAGTGACATCAAGAGTCATCCATAAACCAGACTCAAAATCATATATTTCATACCATAAAAACTCGTACTCTTCTTCATATAATAATACATCTACAAACCTCAAGATTTTGTAGTTACGACCAGATCCCTTAGCTTCGTATCCGATACCGTAACGGAACATGCAACGTGGTTGTGACTGAGGAGGGACGACGTGTGAATATCTGAGTTGGATCCACCTTGTTTGTCCCAAATATGGATTCCAAACAACAACCCTAGTATCATCGTCTTCCAGGATGCATAACAATACTCCTTCGGAGTGAAAAACATGAGATATCTTGACTTGTTCGTTGAGACAAGTTAGTTTACCTTTTTCCTCTGCAGAAAAATCAATAACGTCGTTGACGTTGACGAAGACGCTCAGTAAATAAAGATTTGTTTCCATCATCCCGATCATCCGAGACTCATATTCATCTTCATTTGCTGGATCGAATGCTTTATCAAAGTGCATCTTTGCAAAGATCTGGCTTTTCGATATAGTGTTCCACTTTGTGCAAGTTAACCGCACTGGTCTCATAGATTTTATAGGAACCCTAGACAAAATATCCTCCATCAAATCGTTTGGAAGATTGGTGATCATCATTATCGTTTTTTTTTTTTTTGAGGTTGTGAAAAGGGATTTCTCTGATTTTTAGGTATGGCTAAAAACGATTAGATATATAGGAGTACAATATATAAGAATTGAAGACTCGGAAAACCTAAACGAAGCTGGGCCAATGGTGGGCTTTAGAATTTAGTCGGCTTTCAATTAATTATGTTATTGAATGAGTTTGGATTCTTTGGAAGATGGAAATGCAGATATTTCACAGCCATGCATATATTTCTTGTTTCATAAAAAGTTTTTTTTTTTAATTTCTTGTAAAAAGTGCAATAAAAATCTGACGAACATTAATGTTCCTAGATTTAGTGATTACTCTGAACTTTTACAAATCTGATAATGTATCATAAAGTACAAGCTTATATATATTTTTTTCTTTCTATAACCTTCTTTTATTTCTTTCACTTCCCCAAATGAGGTGACATTTGGAGATACAAAGGTGAGCTACTCCCTGAAGCTTATCAATTCTTCAACGATTAGCTACCTACCTATATATAATATATAAGAATTGAAGACTGAGAAACCCTTAATGAAGCTGGGCCAATGCTGGGCTTTAGAACTTAATTATGTTACGGAATGAGTTTGGAAGACTCAGAAACCTACACCGGCATACATATTTTTCTTGTGAAAAATGCAATAAAAATGTGACCAACATTATTGTTCCAAGGTTAGATACAAATAAGTTTTTTTTACCACACCAAAATTTGATTCGTATTGATTTTCTGGTCTTCTTTAATAAAAAAAGCTCTAAATAATTTGTGAATTCCATAAAGCATACATTCGTATAATAGATAATATTTCCTCCGTTTCAAATTAGTTGTCATTCTGGCAAAATGTATCTGCAATTTGTGGATGTATTAAACTCAAAATACATCCAAATAAATCCAAAAAATTACATATACATTTTGCTAGAATGACAACTAAATTGAAACGGAGGGAGTATTTGATGAAATAAAGCTTGGGTTTTTCGACAACCATGTGATTCAGCCTGCCTCTCGATTTACCAAGGTATACGTATTCGATGAGATAATGAGAGTGTTAGCATTTTATGCATGGTTAATCGTTAATCTACATATATATTTCCCTTCCCTCAAACCTGGAATCCTATTTTTGTGTCTTACACCCTATTCTCGAGTTTCTTTTAAATGTTTTTACTTTTACGTGAAAAGTAGAAATAGGTGAAAAGGATGAGAACCGGAGCGAAAATGATGAAGAATGGAGTGTTCGAGTTGACAAGACACTAGACTGGTCAAGAAGCGACGAGGCGCACAAGAACCCAAGTCAAGAAGAAGAATAGGCCTTAAGCAGGAGCTCCATCGCGTGGTCACAATGTGAATTGCTGCTCGCATCTCTATCTTCTTCAGTTTTGCATACAGTGGGAAATAAAGAAGCAGAAATGGCAAAACACTGAGTTATGGAGAGAAAATTTAGATCTCCTTTTTTGTAGGATCAAATGCTGAGATAAATGGTAAAACGTTTCAGCTAATAGAACATCTATATGACAAAAAAATATTGTTTGAAATTGGATAATACGTTTTCTTTTTTTTTTTGGTCAAAGGATAATACGTTTTCATTTTCAGTTTTTGGCCGCTCAAAGTGTGTGAATCAATAAACCAAAGAGCCTCTTGACAAATTACGTTTTTATTTTCCCCTTTAAGCAATAAAAGTTTTGAAGTTTGCATCTTGACAGATTTTAGATTAGAAAATTGCGTACTTTCTAATGCAATTTTTGGTTCTCTTTCCTACACTGCCAATGCCATTACCCACACCCCACAGGAGACAGTTTCTTCAGTCATCGTTTTCAGAAACTGAGAGGGTACTTTTATCCTACATAGTTTTGTTCATTGTAATTTGTAACTTGTAAGAAAACTGTTGAGTATCTAAATCAAAGTGAGTAACAAATGTTATTAATCGAAATCATAACAAAAGTACTTATATTGTATTCTTAACTCAAACGAACCTAACTAAAAAAAAAAAAACATATCGTTTACCCTAACCTAAAGAAAAACTGTCTATTTTTTTTTTCTCACACTGCATAAACAACGTGTACAATATGGTGTTTGTCATGTTACACGTTTACCTTAAATCAAACGGAAGAAAAGCTGAATTTTTTTCATCTTACGACCTCAAGAAACGATCGCTTACGAATTTTCAAGCGTTTTGCACCTTCTCTCAAAGAAGGAAAGTCTCGACATCATTTCATCATAACGAAGCTTTTCTAAATCACTTTGTTTTCTCTCCTCCCTTTGGCCGTCTTTAGCTTCCTTGATTTGCACTAAACTTGGAACATAAGAGCACAACACATGACGTGATGCCGAACAACTTTCTTCGGAACCTTCTTGGAGATTCACGTCCCCTTTGTATCCGTCCTCTCCAATGATGCAAACTATGTGGCAATACAACCTCTTACCACAAAACATGGCGACTTTCTTCACCTCGTCAATATATAAACTCGGTGTAAGCCGAATGACAATATCATCAGGGAGTGAAACAGGATCAAATGTCAAGAACTTGCTCCACGACACCTTTCCGGCCTCAATCATAGTCGTGATCCATATCACAAACGAATATGGATCTCTTTCTTTGTCCTGACATAAAGCCGCAAGCTTATCATCTCTAACACAAGATAGAGTCCCAAGGAAACCACTAATTCCATACGGCAGAGACAGAAGCGGCCCAAATCTCTCACTTGTATAATCAAAACAAATAATGTGGTCGACTCCTTCGGTCCAACGATCCCGTGAGTTCCTTTTTCTAGCACACCAGTAAGTGTTTCCCTTGAGAGAAACGCCATAGTCACCACACTCTATACGCCAGTATGGAGTGACATCGAGAGTCGTCCATAAACCAGACTCAAAATCGTATATTTCGTAGAAAAAAAAATGGTTCCAGGGATTATATAAGAAAAAATCTATAAATCTCAGTAACTTATGGTTCTATAACTGAACTTGTTACGCAGTTCCGGTTTGCCGCATAGGACGTGAGGATCTCTCAATTCGATCCACCTTGGTTGTCCCAAAAACGGATTCCAAACCACAGCTTTAGTATAATCGTCTTCCAGGATGCATAACAGTAACCCGTCACAGTGATAGACATTAGATATCTTGACTTGTTCGTCAAGGCAAGTTAGGTTACCTATTTGCTCTCCAGAAAGATCATTAACGTGACGAAGATGCTCTTTAAATAAAGGTTGTCTTCCATCAACACGATCATCCGAGACTCCCCTTCATTTGTTGGGGATGCTTTGCCAAAGTGCATCTTTGCAAACGTCTGACTTTTCGATAAAGTGTTCCACCTTTTGCAAGTTAATCGCACTGATCTTGTAGATTTTAATGGAACCCTTGAGAAAATATCCTCCATCAAATCGCTTGGAAGACTTGTGATCATCTTTTTCATTTTTTCAAATTGTGAAAAAGGGATTTTCTCCGATTTCTTGCGGAAGGTACAATGCTATAAACGATTAAGAACTGAGACTTAGAAACCCTAAATGTAGCTTGGCCGATGGTGGGCTATAGAATTTAGTCGGGCTTTTTAATAATATTGGACTCGTCCACTTCTCCACAAATAGTCAAATATTTTTGTATCTCCTTTGTAGCTAAGAAGAACAGGCCTTAAGCTCAATCACTTTTACGATTTTATCCTACACAGTGAGAGATATTGCTTCTCGTACAAGGTAACAATAATCAGTACCTAATGATATGTATTAAAATCTGAACGAAGGTATTTTATATGGTATCCTTAAATCAAACGAACCTAAACTAAAGAAAACAAACTGTATATTTTTTTTTCTCACACTGCGTAAACAATTAGTTATACACTTTAGGGGATGGTAGCTGTCATGTTGAAAAGGTTAACCTAGAATCAAACCAAACAAAAGCTGAAATTTTGTCAAATCTTATTCACTTAGCTTGGATAAACGGTTTACACTGAGAAGTGAGGATTAAGCGATTTACACCTCAAATATAAAGAGGGAAACTCTCTCTCATCATAACGAAAATTTTCTAAATCACTTTGTTTTTGCCTTTGGCCTCCTTTAGGTTCCTTGACTTGCACTAAACTTGGAACATAAGAGCCCACAAGTTTAAGCCAACTGCTTTCCTCGGTACATTCTTCGAGATCCGCTCCGCCTTCATACTTGTTCCATCGAATGATGCAAACTGTTTTAGCCAACATACTTCCTTGGTCATCAACCCTTCTACCAGACAACATGGCGACTTTCTTCACTTGGTCAACATAGAAACCCCCAAATGAAAACCGGATGTCATCAGGGTGTAACTCTTGATAAAATGTCAAGAACTTGCTCCACGAAACCTTTCCGGCCTCAACCAAAGTCGTGATCCATATCCGAAAATCATATGGATCACTGTCGTCGCGGCAACATAGAGCCGCAAGCTTCTCTTCTCTGACACAAGATAGAGTCACGTAGTCATATCTATCCGGCAGACGCAGAAGTGGCCCAAATCTATTTCTTGTATAATCGAAACAGATTATGTGGTCGATATATTGATATTCCCTCCAACCACTCTCTGAGTTCCTTTTTGTAGCACACCAGTAACTGTTTCCCTTGAAAGAAAGGCCACAGCCAGACGTTAATACACGCCAGTATGGATTCACATCGAGAGTCGTCCACAAACCAGACTCAAAGTCGTATATTTCATACCATAAAAACTCGTTCTTATTTTCAAATAAGGAGAAATCTATAAACCTCAATAATTTTAAGCTACGACCAGACATCTTATTCTCGTATCCGAGACCGTAACTGAACATGTTATGCCGTGTTTTTCCGGATGGGACGTGAGGACGTCTGAGTTGGATCCACCTTGTTTGTCCCAAATATGGATTCCAAACCACAACCCTAGTATCATCGCCTTTCAACATGCATAACAATAACCCTTCGCACTGACAGACATTAGATATCTTGACTTGTTCCTCAAGGCAAGTTAGTTGACCTATTTTCTCTGCCGAGAAATCTTTAACGTCGTTGTTGACGAAGACGCTCGTTAAATAAATCTTTTCATCTATCATCATGATGATCCGAGACTCATCTTCCTTTGCTGGAGCGAATGCTTTACCAAGGTGCATCTTTGTAAGGATCTGGCTTTTCGATAGAGTGTTCCACATTGTGCAAGTTAATTGCACTCCTTTCATAGATTTAACAGGAATCTTAGAGATTATCTCTTCCACCAAATCCATTGGAAGATCGGTGATCATCATTATTCCTTTTTTTCCTTGATTACTTGCGGAAGGTAGAAAAGGCTATAAACGATTAGCTAAATATATAAGAATTGAAAACTCAGAAACCCTACATGAAGTTGGGCCAAGGGTTGGCTTTAGAATTTAGTAGGCTTTTAATTATGTGACCGAAACTTTGTTGAGGGAAATTAACAATAGACGCACAACAAGAACATTTTTGTTTCGCCTTCCTTGGATTTCGAGTGAATTACAAGTTTTGTTCAAATAAGCAAGAAATTTTCATCAATCAAACATTCTTTAGCTGATGAAATACCCACTCAAAATTAACTAACAAGTTTGGGAATCCTGAAACCAAAAACCCCAAAAAGATGAGGAAACTAAGTTTTGCTTCCATTTACTCGAAAACCCAAAAAAAGAGTATCCCTTCAATCATCATCGCTTTCAGAAATTGAGACTGCACTTTTATGCTACACAGTGAGATATTTCTCCTCGTACAAGGTAATAACCACCTAACTACACCAAAGACTGTTGTAACTTGTAAGTATCTAAACCGAAGTGAGTAACAAATGATTTTAATCGAAATCTGAACAAAATTACTTTTTTTTTTTTCGAATTGAATGTAAAATTTTATTTCAACTCAAAAAAGACTTTTATACATCAAGTGCAACTTTAAAGCTGAGAGTTTAAACTAATTTGAAATCTAGAAAAGGAGAAATTAAGAACAAAATTACTTATATGCATGGTATCCTTAAATCAAACGGACCTAACTAAAAAACAAACAAATGTAGTTCCATCTAAAGGAAAAAACTGTACAGTATTTTTAAACAACTATACAATAGGATGTGATTGTTGCCATATTTCACTTTTGCCTTAGATCAAACTAAAAAAAAAAAGCTGAAACTCTTGTCAGGTAACCTCTGAGATAAAACTATTTACGTTATCAGCAGTTGGGATCAGGCCCTTTGCACTTGCTTTCAAAGTAGGAAAGTCTCGACATCATATCATCATAGCGAAGCTTTTCTAAATCACTCTGTTTTTGCCTTTGACCTCCTTTAGGTTCCTTGATTTGCGCTAAACTTGGAACATAAGAGCACACACGTGGTGATTCCCACCACTTTTCCCCGGGACAAACTTCGTGATCCACAAGCTCTACTACGTCATGAGAATCTTCATTCTCAATAATGCAAACTATGTGGCGCTTCAACCTTTTACCAAAGATCATGACGACTTTCTTCACTTCATCAATGTAGAAACTCCCTAATGTAAGATGAATGCCAATGTCACGAGAGAATGAATCATCATCAAATGTAAAGAACTTGCTCCACGATATTTTCTCCGGCTCAACCATGGTCGTGATCCATATCTCAAACATGTCACCATATTCTTCTCGGTGCTCCCATAAAGCCGCAATCTTCTCTTCTTTAACACAAGATAGAGCCACACGGTGACCAGTACTTTGAAATAGCGGAGGCAAAGGCAGAAGCGGACCAAATCTCTCTCTTGTATAATCAAAACAGATTATGTGGTCGGCGTCTACACCAGAGTTCCGTTTTGTAGCACAAAAATAAGTGTTACCTTTGAGATAAACACCAGCGCCAGTTATATACCAGTATGGATCAGTGACATCGAGAGTCGTCCACAAACCAGACTCGAAATCGTATATTTCATACCATGAAAACTCGCTCCACTGTCTAAATATGAAACCATCTATAAATCTCAATAATTTGTGGTTACGACAAGATCTCTTATCCTCGTATCCGAGAGAGTAATCGAACAGGAGCATGCCACTCTGTCTCGGGCGTAGGACGTGAGGATATCTTGCTTCGATCCACCTTGTTTGTCCCAAATATGGATTCCAAACCACAACCTTAGTATCATCGTCTTTCAACGTGCATAACAATAACCCCTCGCAGTGAAAGACACCAGATATCTTGACTTGTTCGTCAAGGCAAGTTAGTTTACCTGTCTGCTCTCCAGATGAATCATTAACGTCGCTCATTAAATAAAGATTGTCTTCCATTAACACGATCATCCTAGACTCAGACTCATCATATTTCTTTGGAGCGAATGTTTTATCAAAGTGCATCTTTGTAAATATCTTGGTTTTCGATAGCGTGTTCCACTTTGTGCAAGTTAATCGCACTGCTCTCATAGATTTTAAGGGAATCCTACAGATAATATCCTCCATCAAATCCATTGGAAGATCAGTAATCATCATTATTCGTTTTTTCAAGTTGTAATAATGAGGGGTTTTCTCTGATTTCTTGCGGAAGGTTGAAGGTTAGAAACGATTAGCTATATACCTATACATATACAAAAAGTGAAGATTCAGAAACCCTAAATGGAGTTGGGCCAATGATGGGCTGTAGAATATAGTCGGCTTTTAATTATGTTACGGATGAGATGGAGACTCGACCACTTCTCCAATTGTATCTCCTTTGTAGCTAATTCATCATTGTGTTGTTTATTGTCTCTGTCACGATTATTTTGGATGATGGAAATTCTCGGATTTTACTGCCATACTTCTGTAAGAAATTCAATCAAAATGTGTCCAACACTGTTCCAACTTCCAAGGTCAGATTATTAATATCACCTTTTTCCTTACTTGAAAAATTCGGTTCTTATTTAGTCTTACGGTTCTTTTTAATTTGGAGCAATAACATAAAGAATGGATGCATTTGTGACGTTATAATTTGGAACAAACCATCGAGTTCCATATTGCAACATTTATAAAGTTACACTTTCACTTGCATGTCATCTATTTGATGGAATGGGATGAATCATGAATGGATGCGATATGAAATTCGATGAATACAAAGTTACGTTGAAGAAGTTAATTAACTAAATATTATTACGGGGAACGTTTTCCTCTGTCATCATTTTCAGAGAAATTGATTTTATATTTACTACACAATGAGATATGCTCTCCTCGCACAAGGAAATAATAGAAGACGACTGTAACTTGTAAGACGAGTATCTAAAGTCAAAACCGAAGTAAGTGCCAAATGATTTTAAACGAAATCTGAACAAAAGTATTTATATGGTATCCGCAAATCAAACGAACCAACAATAAAAAAACAAACATAGTTTACTTCCAACAAAAGAAAAAACTGTTTTTTTTTTTCCTCGCAAAGTCACAATAGCGTGTGACTGTTACTTTTACAGTGAGCGGCTGTGATCAAGCGTTTCGCACCTACTTTCAAAGATGGAAAGTCTCGACATCATATCATCATAGCGAAGCTTTTCTAAATCACTTTGTTTTCTCTCCCATTGGCCTCCTTTAGGTTGCATGATTTGCACTAAACTTGGAACATAAGAGCAGCACAATACATCATGTGATGCCAAATAACTTTCCTCGGTACCTTCTTCGAGATTCACTTCCCCTTTGTATCCGTCCTCTCCAATGATGAAAACTATGTCTATGTGGCAATACAACCTCTTACCACAAAACATGGCGACTTTCTTCACCTCGTCAATATAGAAACTCGGTGTAAGCCGAATGAAAAAATCGTCAGGGAGTGAATCAGGATGAAATGTCAGGAACTTGCTCCACGACACCTTTTCAGCCTCAATCATATTCGTGATCCATATCACAAATGAGCCACCATAATATTTATGCGAGTCACATAAAGCCGCGAGCTTCTCTTCTCTAACATTAGATAGAGTCACACTGACACGGTCACCCTCAATTACAAACGGCAGAGGCAGAAGCGGCCCAAAGCTCTCACTTGTATAATCAAAACAGATTATGTGGTCCGTGTCTGCCCGAGGGTTCCTTTTTGAAACATAAAAATAAGTGTTTCCCTTGTGAGAAACGTTACCGCCTTGCTGTACACGCCAGTATGGATCAGTGACATCAAGAGTCGTCCATAAACCAGACTCAAAATCGTATATTTCATACCATAAAAACTCGTACTCTTCTCTAAATAATAATACATCTATAAACCTCAATATTTTGTAGTTACGACAAGATCCCTTATCTTCGTATCCGATACTGTAACCGAACATGTCATAGCAAGGTTGTGACCGAGGAGGTACGACGTGTGAATATCTGAGTTGGATCCACCTTGTTTGTCCCAAATATGGATTCCAAACAACCACCCTAGTATCATCATCTTCCACCATGCATAACAATAACCCTTCGCAGTGAAAAACATCAGATATCTTGACTTGGTCATCAAGACAAGTTAGTTTACCTTTGTTCTCTGCACATGTACCAACGTCGTCGACGAAGACGCTCGTCAAATAAAGATTGTCTTCCATCTTCACGATCATCCAAGACTCAGACTCATCTTTCTTTCTTGGGGCGAATGCTTTACCAATATGCAACTTTGCAAATATCCGACTACTCAATAGAGTGTTCCACTTTGTGCAAGTTAATCCCACTGCTCTCATAGATTTTAAAGGAACCCTAGACAAAATATCCTCCATCAAATCCGTAGGAAGATTGGTGATCATCATCTTCACTTTTTTTTTCAAGTTGTAACAAAGGGTTTTCTCTGATTTCTAGCGGCAGGTACAATGCTAGAAAGTAGAAACATTCGCCAAATATATATAAGAATTGAAGACTAAATAAACTTGGGCTTTAAGATGTAGTCGGGCTTTTACTTATGTTAGCGTATGAGTTGGAGACTCGCCGAAAATTTTATAAACTCGAAGACTTCTCCACAGTATTGTTCTATTAACTTCATTCATGTGTTGTAACTTGTAAGACGACAAAAGCCAAGTGCACACTGCACAGTCAACAAAACTAAAATCTCTTGATAATATGTAACAAACTCATACCCATGAAGCATCTCATACTCAAAAGAGCAAGCAAAGAAAGGCAAAAACATGAAATAACCAAACTTTTGCAAATTTAGTCAGTACCACACGAGAAGACAGTAGACAGGAACAAGTCTTAGGAAGCAAACATGATTATTCATTAACTTGGCGATAGATAGAGACTAGAAAACCGTAGACGGATAGATAGATAGATAGAGCTGCGCTCTGAATCGAATCAGCAGTAGAACATGACACGCTTCACATTCTCTTTCAGTGCTGGGAGTGGTCTCACTGCAGCGTTCACGTTAGGCCCACGTGTGTTTCTACCACCCATACCACCTCCTCCACGTGCCATGCTCCCACTAGCCATCGAGCCACTGTCTGATGTCTCTGGCTCCATGTAGAACCTAGCCCTAAACGCCGCTAGATGTGCATAGTACGCAGGCGGCACTACAAGCAAAATATAAACACAAACAATTTAATCTTCGTTTTCTGTACATTAGAAAAAAGGAATTTAACGGCATTGAGATTTCTATGCCGTTAAAAGGAATAAAAAAAACTCACCAATGGAGACTGAACGAGTGCATCTCGCATACCTACACAACACAAACAAGTAGTTTCATTGTTACTCTTCACTGCTACGAATTCATTTTTGTTTATAAAAGACATGTGACGAAGAGAGAAAGAATCTTACGTGTAACACAGGTTATTGGTCAGAGATTGGAGTCCATCTGCAGTGAAGTTGTTCTCATCCCACAGAACGTGGTAATGAGCTGGTCGAGAAGTGCCCTGTTCATGGAATTTTTTTTTTTTAAGAAAACACTTCAAGAAAACTTAAGGATATTGTAGCTGTTTCCTCTATATAATAAAAGATTTACCTGAATACCAGCATGGCTACAGAGATAAAAGTCGAACTCTGTCGGGTGACAGATTTTGGAATCCACAACAGTACCTACAGACGAAACATTCAACAAAGTTTAAATAAACCAATTCAAGGGATTTGAAACGTGATGATTAAATGTGTGTAAACAAAAAGCTTCACAGCCATCCCAACTTGTCTCACCTGGTAAAATATTTCCACTTTTATCAACAGAATGACGATCATTGTGGTTGTTAGCAAACAGCCTCGTGTGATGGCGCTTCTGCACCACTACAAACGTCACTGGTGGCTGATAACCTGCTTCCAGCGAAGCACATGCCTGAAATGGTTTTAATGAAAACCAAAAATTTAACATAAGACAGTTTAATACCAGCCAACACAAGTCATTTGTTTTTACAAGTAACTCTTACCTTGCGGATTGCATCAAGCTCATATAGCAACACCTGATAGAATTGTCCCTCGCTGACTCCATCCCTGTGGCGTGTTACCAATATAACAATATACATTTTTAGAGAGAAAGATAAACAGTTATATTGTTTAAGCATGCACCAAAAGAACGGGCTAATACCTGTAGAATATGATCCTCAATGGCTTATGCCCAGTTGATCTACGGAATGCAATCAGCAACTCCCTGTTCCAAGGTAAGGAGTAAAATGCAGTTATCAGTTACTGAAGAGTAAGCTGAAGCTTAAATAAACTGAAATAAAAAATTATCTAGACACGTACTTTATCATGCCACCAGTCACCACTCCTTTCTGAGGATCCTTCCACTCTTTGAACAGATCTTGAATGAGCTCCTGCCTATGCGCTTGAGCGCATACCAATCCAGCATATTTCGTGATTTCAGGCCAGTCCTGGGATGCGACAACCTGGAAAACAAAATTTTCATGGACAAACAGAAAAAGCACATTAGGTGAGGCCATGGAACAAAAAAAATTAAGAATAGATGTTCAATGACTTACAGCAGCAATCGACGGGCTTGAGTCTTCTCCAGGATGAGGATGGGTTACATCAGCACCAAAGATAATGGTGGGTCGATCACTGACTAGAGGAATTCTCCTTGATAAGGCATCAACAAGCACTGTATTCCTTCCTCCAACTTTGACATTAATCTTCAAGGCAACATTAGCCATGTACTGCTTGCTCATCTTGAATACATGCTTGTTCAGGCAACACTGGGAAACAATACCAAGTTCGGTCTCACAGATACGCTTCAGATCACCTGCAATGGACATTTGGATGGGAAATAACCATTAGAAAGCCTGTTTATACGCAAAAGAAGACGATGAAGGGTACCAGGACATGGCTCATACCATATAATGATCCATTGTTGTCAGGCAGAATGACAATTAGGAGATCAACCTCTTTTCCTTGAGGGAGCTTGGCCGTGGCATCATGGTATCGGGTTTTCAAAACCTTCTCCACTTGCTCAGGACGTGCACTGACTACTGGGAGGATTGGTTCAGGATTAAATGCCTGCAGGTAAGAAATAATCCAAGTTTCAGGTAGTGCAGGGCCTGCAGGCTAATAAAACTGATCATGTTGTGCTTTACAAGACTTACCATGCCAGATGTGAGGCACATGTGAGCAAGTTCCTGACAGAAAGTACGTGCTATGTTGTCCTGCACTTGCCTCGAAAAGTTGATGCAGAACCAGTTATTCACCGTTCCTCCATTGATCATTTTCTGCACACACCCACAACCATATCAAGAGAACAGATTTACAGAATTATATGCACAAGCCTGAGGCAGACAAATGAATAACCATTTCATCTAGTTTACCTTGTTCATCATATTCCACTGACCAACTTGTGGCAGACAAGTACCTTCCCTTCCAGAATCATGATACTTAAGCTGCATAATAGGGAAAACAAATCAAACTGGAACTCTAATTTATATATAAAGATGCAGAAAAAAAAATGGAAAAGAAAAAGAGACTAGTACTATACCCATGGAGGAGGCAGAATTCGAGCCTCAACAGTAGCAAGGGTCGGATTTATCTTGATCCCAAACTCCTTAGCATAGGGATCCTTACTATAATCATTGAGCTGTACCGTCTACACAACCAGAAAACATCACACCATGTTAGAAATAAACAACAGACGACTATTGTAACTGCGTGCTAACAAAATCTTAAGTGATAAAATATCTACACAAACTTTCACGAGGAAATAGTTGAGCAAGCAACTAAAGTAAGAGTACAACTCTGAAGATCTGCAGAACTGCCTTACTATTTATCAACAAAAGGCAACATCTAGAGACAAAATCACTTGCTTCAAGCAGACAAATGCAACAAAGCAAGAAAGAAACAAACTCAAAGCTATCCACAAAATGACTATTTAGAGCATTTAAACGATTTGCAAGACACAGGCAATAAGAACTCAACATTCCAGTGAACAAGAAAACAAAATATCCAAAATAAAGAAACATACCTTCAAGATATCTTTCTCACGTTCTTGGGGGCGCTGACAAGTCACCTTCAGCAAAGCAGTGATCTGTCTCTCGTTCAACCTTTTTGAGTATCTCTGACCTTCAACAATCTTGCAAACCTGTACAACAACAGCACATTAGAGTAAGAACTATTGGTGAGCTGGCAAAAGTTTATGATGTGGATTTCAATGTTTTTTTTTTGGTTTTAAGATGGATTTCAAAGTTACCTCCATTGGTAAGTAATTTGGCCTGTTAGAATTCCCAACTTGCAAGCATGGTAGCTGAGTGTGCTGAATGCGAAAGCCATAAGTCTCATAGAAGTATTCAACGACAGACTTCTGGGTATTTCTTTCATCTACAGGGAATCTGAGAAGTATGATACAAAAAAGAAGCATAAATTCTCCTATTTCAAGCATTCACGAAACAAGAATTAGAAACGCTAAACCAAATACGCACGTCAGTTCTCGAGTGGCCACAGCGGTCAAGCCAGAAATGCGGTACTTTCGGCGCATATTTCCTCGATGGGTCACTTCAACCTTGACACCTCTCAGAGCCTTTTTGATCTGTTGACAGAACACCATATGAAATCAGTAAATACAGAATGGATAAGAATGCAATAGAAGCATAAACACAACAAGTAACAAAAGACCAAAAGACCAGAAAATGACAATTGAACCATACCTTAACACGATCGGCATCTGATAGAGGCCGGGATCTAATATCCCGATTCAGCAACTCACAAACAAACTCCGTCACAGGAAGCGCCTCTATGAATGCTGTCGATGACATATCTACGTAAAGAGAAAAAGAATTGCAGTACAAACATGAGCTGACACATTACAGGAGAACCATTTTTGAAAATAAAGGTATTGCAGAAAGCCAATGCACCTATGTTGAGTGATAAGCCCATCTGTGTGGGACGTATGCTTTGGTAAAATCCACGCCAGCTCTCCAACCCATCCCCCAACGACTGCTTCCGTCCTATATCAGGAGAATAAAAGGACCGGCCCACAGGAGTATACCTTTTTCTAACATGTTAGAAAAACTAAACCAGCTGAGACTAGTAAGCATAATATATTAAGTAGTAAACATCCGTAGGATAAGTGAACGTACTTAGAGGTAGGCAGCTCTCGAAGAACAATGTCGAGAACCTGCAGAGCCTCCTGCGGGGCATCAGCTTGTTTCCCTTCCAAAAACAATCCTAGGTGATGTAGATCAGCGCGTGCAGCTAGCTTGATCACAACTTTGAATTCTCTCTCGCGTCTGAAAGAAAAAGTTAATGCATGATTTATTCTCAGGGTTTTTAAAAGCAAAAATAAAGAAAATGAAGAAATTATGAACTGACCTTTGTCCTCCAGCCCCTTCTTCCTCGTCAAGGAGTGTGATTCTGAACTCCTTGGAGATGAAAGGAAGTGGTCCTGCAGTGTACAGACTTTTCCGACCATCATACGCAGGAAGACGCCTTCCAAGGTGTGAATCACGATACAAGTCAACCAACTGTTTCATCACAGCACGGTTAACTCCCCTCGATGTAACTTCCGGAGTAATGGTAACCTGTAAAACCCCAAAACAGACATTAGATGTAGTGTAGCGGAAAACAAAATAATAAGGGAACAAGCGAGTCAAAACTTACATCATACTGGTGCAAATCCTTGTCAGGCAACTCCGCAAAGAAGTGGTTAGCCTTCACAATGCACCGCTTGCCTGTCTGTCCTCTACCAGGCCTCATCGGAAACCTATAGGCTTTGCTAGATTGAGGCAAAGGCTGGATTGCCTGACTGGGAGCTCCTTGTTCAAGAGAGAGCTGTTCGAATTGCTTGACCGGAACAGAAGGCTCGGGCATCTGTGTAGGACTCACCTCAGTCGGTGTAGGCTGAGAAGACACCGCTTGAATAGTAGGTGAAGTAGCTTGATGCAGCTCGGGAACTGATTGTCTCTGCGGCGGACCAGAAGAGGGTCCACCTCCACGGCCACCACCATACCCTCCTCGACCTCCTTCTTGAGGAGGTCCTCCTCTTCCTCTTCCTCTTCCTTGGTACTCTTGCGGTCCACCATATTGTTGTTGGTGTTGCTGCTGTGGTGGTTGCCCATATCCCCGACCACCACCACCACGACCTCCCTGCTGGCCTCCCTGCTGAGACTGGGGATTATAACCTCTCCCACCTTGTTGGTATCCTCCTCCTCCTCCACCTCCTCCCTGCTGGAAACCACCACGCTGAGAACCACGACCACCACCACCTGAGACTGGAGCAGCTTCACGGGTACCAGAAGCCTCACCTGCTTCCGATGGACCATCAGTTCTCTTCTTCCTCACCATAATTATTCCTGAGTAAGTAATATCAAGGCAAAAAAACGCAGTGAGTCACAATAGAGACAGAAAAAAACACATTTAGCAGCTTGATTATCTCTCAACCCACAACCGGAAAAATGAAGATTTCCAAAATCATTTCTCAAAAATAAGAAGCGAAAATGGAAAACATAGTACGAGTCTACAAGACTCTCAACAACAACAAAACCCTAAAAAAAAATCGAAGACGAAGAACGGCATACACTCACAAAAAAACCGCTACCAAGCTACTAGATCCGAAATTTCAGAGATCAACGGAGCAAACAAATTTATCAGCTAACCATAGCCCCAAAATGAAGCGGATCGACTCAATCGAGTGGAAAACGCAAGTAGATAGGCAGATCGAAACCAGATGAAGTGACGAAAAAAGCAGAAACCACCGCAATTTACCTTAAATTCACGCCGGAGACACTGCGATTGACCGAGATAACCTTACGAAACCCAACCCTACGTCTCTCTCTCTCGTCTCTTCGCTCTCTCTTTCTCTCTCTCACCTCCCACGAAACGAGATAACTAAAGAAAAGGGATTTTACTGCGACACACTTTAAATTCAACTTTTTTTTTTGGCTAGCCTGCGAGAGAGAGCAAAGCAAGGGTTCTCTGGTCTGAGTAATTTACGAAACTACCCACGTCGTAAATAGCTGGCAGGTAATGACGTGTCAAGTCAGGGTTGGTCTTTTCTAATGCTGACCCAAGGTCGTGTGTAGTCTTTCTGTTTCATTTTTTGTAATGCGCTGCTGACGTGGAGTTGGATATTTTTTTAATCCAAAAGAAGCTTCTCGAAAACAACAAGACGAAACATTTTTGTCGCTTTATATACCAGATAGTTTTTTTATTTTAGTTAGTACAGTTTAATAAATTTGATCTCATCCGTTTAATTCGTTAGTACAGTTTAATATATTTGATCTCGTCCGTTTAAATTAGTTTAGTACGTTTTCAAAACACACCTCGAGTAAATCTTATAGGTTTGCGTTAATTTATTATGTTGGTAAATACATAGACTAATCATGAATAAGTCGCATTAACTTTTCCAAGTTGGTCGATTTTGCAGATTTTTTTGTGCGATTGTTTCCGATAAAACTGTAAGCGTGATCCAGACTAACCATCATAGAGTTTAACCTCTACAAATTCGAGCAAGTAATGGACCCTCGGAGGTACATATTATGATGTTTGTTATTATATTAGTACGTATGATTATTCTGCTTTTGACTATGGACATTCAAAGAACTATGTACGTAATAAGAGACACGTATGCACGGCGAATCTACTATAACCGACATGATCAGAAATTGAGCTATCGAGATGAGGATCTATCGAGATGAGGATCCAAGACGTTTACTAACGAGGTTGGGTCATGCTTGATTCGAATACGGTCTCGGTGAGAAGGACTTTGCATAATCGAGTGTTACTCTCATTCTTTGTTAGCTTTTCTATGTTTATATGGTGAAATAAATTATGTTTTAGACACTTTCCACGAACAAGAATATTGTTTTATACGTGAAGATTTATTTTGTTTTTATTCATCAATCTTGTATGAAATGTAAATGAACTAGGTCAAAAGGTCATGTGCGAAATACTTTTGTTTCTTGTTGTAACATGGCAAAAGTAATATGTTCGGTTAAGTTAACTACTATAGGAAAAACAAAAAAAAAAGACAAATCTATGTAATGTTTCGTATATCTAATATATCTAAACACTTTTTAAAAATTGAATGTAAAATTCATCAAAACCCCAAAAATCGTTTTTACATCAAGCGCAGTTTTGAAACAATATAAATCTAAAGTATTAGTTCAAAACATGTGTGGAGATGATGAACTCATAAACCGCAAATTGAACATCAAATGTGAGGATGTGATAATATTAACGGAAAATATTATAATGCAACGGTAACGCCAACGCCGGATGTACTATTTCAGTAATGACCGAGAAGAGAAAACGGCTTTCCTATCTATTTTTGTACGATGCATTTATCTCTTACCAAAAGCGGTGGCACCAACTCTTACCAAAAGCATATATAGCATCATATATTTTTGTTGGGTAACGGTAGTAACTCTAAAGTTACAAAAATTAGTGATATATAATACGGAATCAGGGACGTAACCTAACACCAACGACCTGTGTGAGTGTGACTATGCTTTGAGTTTCAACAAAGTGTAGAAACGGATGAAAGAAAACTAGTGAGATAATGCACGTATACTCTCCCTAATCATGGATATATAAATATGTATTTATTAAGTAGATCACAATTTGTCTTATTTACTTATAAGTTATTACCAATCATATAGTATATTTTAAAATTGATTGCTCACGTGTGGAGATGAAACATGAGAGAAAATGTCACAAATAATGAAGCGTGTAACGTTGTCAAAGAGGACCACTCTCATGTGTGCAACCGAAGGAAATCCTAGCGAGTGTTTTAATATAATTATCTAAAAATATTTTTCTTAAAAGCGAAAGATTATAATAATGAAAATGATTAACTAATTAACCTATATGGACCATTTTAAATTTTAGCTAACGGACGAAGAACTCGTCAGCTATTACTATTTCAAGAGAAATATCAACGGCCAAGAAATCAAGCTCGATAACCCACACAATACGAGTGGAACCTCGCATGTATGTATTATGCTAATAATGCTGTTTATTCATATATGCATCATGCTTTGGACTTTGGAGACAATCAAGAAAGATGTACTGGCATGGATGCACGGGAAGTCTAGCTATAAGCCTATAACCGATCGAGCCATTGGGACGAAGATGGAAAACGTTGGTTAACTATATATATCGTTTGGACTCCTACCTAATTGGGTCATACTCTAATCGTATACGGTCTCGGCGAGGACTCTTATAACGACTCGTCATTCATGTTTTTTTATCTTTCATATGTTAATTTATATGTTCAGACGTACACTTAACCAAAAAGAAGAACGTTTAGATATGCGTAAAATATTTATGAACAGTTGTAAGGTCAAGTCTTCGTCCGTTAGCTAAAATTTAATGTCTAGGCTCTCTGCTGCAAAGACGGCAATGTCAATGTAATGTTTTATTGCTCGTATTTGTAATTTTCTTAAAATTTCTTTTTAAAATGTAGTAATTTGTTTTAAATTAAGCTAATGCATGCTAAGAAGTTTGATCAAGTTGATATAAGAAGTTTACATAAAAAGTTTCATTTATTCATTTTTATAATAAAGATATATCAACGAATACTTTGTCAACACAAGTCTTTAATTGTCTTTTTTTGTTTTTTTTTGCTTTACCTTGTAAGCCATACAGGTGATTGTTGGAGAGTGAGCCTTTTATGGGGAAACCATTGTAATGCACTAATACAAGTTATCATGGATCTTTTAAAATTCGAAATTCTTTAAGTATCCTTTTATGTTTTCTAAGTTTTCATTTTAATTCCAGTTATCTCTATCACAAACATACACACACAGAAAAAAACATTCGATTCTCTGCACATGTCATTTTTCAACATAAAGTAAAAAAATACGCTAACCTCCAGTTAAAAAAAAGTTGTTGGACATGGACGTAACTTAACACCAACAACGGGCACGACCTGTGTGGGACTCATTATGCTATTGGCTTTGATTGTTAAAAAGGGGTAAAAGTGGGATAAACATGAATTGGTGGGGGAAATATGAATTCACCTAAGATAGTTATCTTTCGTTTTCATAGAAACATGACCTGCGATTTCGGGGAAGTGTTACTTTTTGACAACTTTACTATTTTTCTATTTTTGGGAATGTGGATGGGTCATCTCACATGGTTTGATTTCATATTTATTGCCTGGTTAATTTGAATTTTATTTGTTTCTTCATCTAGTTGATTTGATGGCTCTCTAGTTTCGCTGGTTTACTTTGTTCTTTACCCAAATTGGTGTACTCAAAAGAAAGCTACTTGAATGCAAACTATTTGAATTTTATTTCACAATTTTGGTAGCTAATCTATTCATATACGGACGATACATCAGTTTGACACAACAATAGATATCAAAAAGAGAATGAATACCAACAAAAATGCTAGTTTCAAAAAAACCAATAATGATACTGGGGACAATTAGAGAAATATTTTAGTTTTCCACAAACATATTGTTTGCATTTTCAGAAAAATCTTCATTTATGATATAATACAAAAATTATGGGCCCATAAAAGCATTATTATTTTGGTAGGAGCAGAAGATACATAATCGATAAGATTGATGTAAAATCAATGTTAGTAACATCTTGATTCACATAGGTCTTAAGGTCATATATAGTGATATGGCTGATATCTAGTGAGTTCCATGTTGTACCTGTAATATATTAGTGCATATATTGTAATAAGAATTTCAAATGTGCGAGCTCTAAATATAAAATGCAGCAGAAAAAAACAAGCAAGTAGCAATGATTATTTGCTGACTATATTATTTTAGAGTTATCGGATATCATTTCGAAGCCTTAGAACTGTTGCATCAAATTCAAGGCATTCAATAATTCAAACACGTATATATCAGATTTGAATACAGACGGTGACACCACGAGAGCGTGAGCAACCACTATGGTACAATACTACAATCTAAGGACACTTGAACTAGCATTTTACGGACGAATAAATTTTATAAATTTTTATATGCATTGTTATTGAAACCATCAAAAATGTTACTTATTAAAAGTTTTAAGACTAAAGAACCATATGTTAACTACCACTTTTCTTTACCTTACTTTCTAGTTTCTAATAAACTGCAAAAATAATCCTAACTACTTTGCTTTTAAAAAGATGGTTCAAAGTCATCACCATCTTTAATACGCATAAAGCATAGTGCAAAAATTTAATATGAGTTTCAAAAGTGTAGCTCTAAAAATTACACACAATATCGTAGCTACTTCAGTACATTACTTTCTTGTTTCTACTAAACTAGAAAAATACAATCGTCCTAACTACTTCGCTTTGCAAAGATGGTTCGGACTTCGGAGCCATCATGAGTCTTTAATTTGCATACCGCATAGTGTACGAGCTTGGAAAGTGTGAGAGCTCGAAATATTAGACTGTTTATACGCAATATTGTACCGATTATTGAGTTCTTTAGTGATTCTCTTTTGTTTATAATCGTAAGAAAAAACAAATCAAAGCGAATAATTGGCTGTCAGTTCTGATTTAACTGTTTTTGAAAGAGGAATAAAATACCAAATGATTATATATTTGACTTGTTACTTCCTAGCTATCGGTTATGATTTCAATTATTTATCGAAACAGAAATATTCTGTTAGGAAGAAAAGAAGAAGACCAATGATTATACATGTCAGTTTTTTAACTTTTACTTTTGAGAAGTTAAAATATCCAATATCCAAACACAGGAACGAATGCCCTTTTATTCCCTGATATGAATATCATCATCAGACCAAATGCACAAATTGTTCAATACAGATTCGGCTTAGAACATTTTCCCAACACCATCTTTTCTTGGGACGGATTCTCCAACATCCATCCGGCTCCAATTACCCATCAGAGAGGCTATTTGATCAACCTTATCATACAACCCTAGAAGCCCACCAGTGTGTATGAACAATATCTTCTTCCCCTCCCAGTTTTTGGGATCTTTGCTCATCTCATTTATCAAACCGTACGCAGCTTTCCCACTGGTCAAACACTCCAAACCCCAAGTGTCAATCTCTCGCCTATATATTAGACAATGCTACTTCGACAGACTAAAGGGGTAATCATGAGTCATACCTGTAGACAGGATCAAGAATAACACTAGTTGCACTTGCTACTTCCTTCACAAACTTAAGCTCCTCTGTCGTGTTCATCGCATATCCGTTTCCTTTCGCCTGCAAAACAACATAACAATCAAGAGTAAAATCTGTATATACTCAAGAAGAAAGCATTTGTCACAATTTGCAAAAGCAAAAATTAAAACGGAGGAGACAAAGATGCTTGTGACACTCACATTGTGGATGGTAACAATATCACGGGAGTTAACACCAGCTTGAAGTCCATCCAAAAGGCCTTGGACATAGTCATAGAAGTAATCAGGATCATCACAAACCGAGAAGGCATGGACCTGTACAAAGAATGAAATCTACATGACGAATCTATCAACTTCACTATCACCTGAAAACTGAAAAAGACTATACAGTACCTTGGCTTTTAGAGCTCCCAACCAAGACCCTAATGAAATACCAGCAATTGTACCACCACTATCGATCAATCAAAAGAAAACTAAGATGAGAGTGAAGCAAAACAAAAGTCAAAAATAAGAAAAATGCACAAAGGGAAGCAAAAGCAGAACCTGCCACATGCTACTACAATATCATCAAACTTTAAGCCATCAGTTCTACTTTTTAGCTGCTCCTCAATTTCCCTTGCTGCTTCGATATAACCCCTATACAGTTATTGTGAAGAATTCAACATTAAAATGAGCTCAATCCTGCATCTTCAATTAAATGATTTATCCAATTTAAAGCAAGTGAAAAGCTACACACTTTGCTAAATTAAAGAACACAATCTCTCACCAAGTTCCTAAAGAGTTTGATCCACCAACCGGAATAACATAAGGTTTCTTCCCTTCCTTTTCCAGCTTCTCTTTCAGTGCATTAGTAAGAGCCTACCAAGTTTATATCAACTAACATCAGGCCAAGTTAAACTACTAATTCGTGTTTACTTGTTCTTAGTAATCGAATTAGCAAACCTCACTCCCAATGGAGGAATACTCTTCCTTTGAAATGAGATGAACATTAGCTCCAACGAGACGCTCAACGAGGAGATTCCCAACCAAGCCAGGATCTCCGTCAGCAAGAAGCTGCAAGCAAACACACATCAACAACGAAAAATGGCGACTGAAATTGGAGAGTTTATGAAAGATGAGGATACGAAAAGGGGACCTTGGAAGTGCGGAGAATAAGATGAGTATTGAGATTGAGGTAGTTAGATGCGACGGTTGTGGCGCGGCAGTGATTGCTCTGGATACCGCCGATGGTGATGACTGTATCGGCTTGTTGATCGACGGCGTCGGCCAGAAGGAATTCGAGTTTTCGGACTTTGTTTCCGCTCAATTCCATTCCGGTGAAGTCATCTCGCTGGGAAATCGTTAAAAACGGTCAGCGAAGGGAAGAGAAGCAATAAATTGCAAAATTAGAGGTGGAGAGATGAGACCTTGATCCATAGTTCAGTGCCATTAGGAAGACCAGGAAGATTCCACCGGTGAATCGGAGTAGGAAGCTGAAGACGAACATGATCAGTAAAAGGAGAGATGAAAGTGACGGAGAATTTAAACAGACAGAATGTGAAGTGAAACAATTACGTACGTGAGCGAGGGAGAAGGTGTGAGAAGGAATCGGACGAAGATGAGAAGCCCAAGAAGGAGGAGAGTAAGGATTTTTAGTGAGAAATTCCGCCATTGGAGGTACCGATGTTGCAGACATTCTTCTTGTTCTTCTTCTCCCGAGCTCGAACCTTACTCTTGAGAGTGTCAAGAGTCCTCTCATTTTGCATCTTTCTTCTTTAGCCGCTGGATCCTGGATTGTTCAGTTGACTCTCCCATCGTTACTCTCTTATGGGCCTCGGCCCATTTCACTTATATTTTGAATTACAATATACACATACTCTCCTTTTGCATATAAACAGGGGAAGCATTTTACAAGAATCCAAGTCTCATTTGTTGCACATACAAGAAGTAATCACTTTTCTTTCTTCAACATTTTTTAAAACAGGACTTACTGTTGATCCACAGTCTCCATCACGTACTTTTCCATCACATTCGTTCAAACTACTACCCTTTAGACTGATGACCACATTTGCTGCTGCTTCAAGAATTCGACCTTGTTGAGTAAGCAAGCTCTTGAGGTCTGCTTGGAGACTACTGTCACCAATCGGAAAGTAAAAATGATCAACTGGCAAGGTTTCATGAAACTTACAGAAAAATGATCACATCTCACTGAAACCCTTCTTAGCATTGTATTTTCATCATACCTAATGCTTACCTCTTCGTTTTTTGTTGATCGGAAGGGAGGCACTGGAACAGGGATCTTTGCTGGTGGGCGGTTCCCTGTAGAGAGAGATCTTTCTTGAGCTTATCAAAAAGGGAAAATCCAACCTCGGAATTAAATAAGACATGAAACGAAAAACACAGAATCAAATAATGATACAGAATGAAGAATTTTATACAAGCTATAAAGGAAATACCAGAGAAACAAGAAAGACAATTTAACTACATCTCACAGACCATCTGTGCCAACTGGCCAACTAGGAGCCTTGGTCGGAGCATCCAGACGCTCTAAGATAGACTGGTCAGCCTTCAAGATGGATATCGAGAACCCTGAGAAGGGAATGAAGGAGTATAAGAGCAACAGCTTAAAACCGATGACTCTACATATACACAACAAAAAAACAGTCACCTGCCATGTCAAGAGATGTCATAAATGATCCAGTATACACCCTATCAACAGCAAGTCCAAACTCCACCTGTAATTTAGGGACTGCTTTTCCAGCAGCAATCATAAGTTCCATTAGAGGGGTACCACCTAAGCTGCAAAACAACAGAAACATTAAAACTCACTAGAAATAATTAAGAAACCTTGTTAGACCATAAAATACAAGGATCACCTTAACATGATGATGAAAATAAGTACAAGAATCACCTTAAAATGAAGATGGAATACACACGCTTACCCATTGAACATAAGAACCACACTGTTACCACGTGTAATTGGAACACAATTAGTCTCCTGCAGTTAGAAAAAGTGCATACGCCAAAATGAATGAAACATTTGTTTTCGAGATAGTAAGTCTATAACCGCAAGATAGTTACGGAAAGAAGAAACTGCAGGAGAGAAAACAGGAGCAATGCACATACTGGACTCAGTATCTGTTGAAGAACATGGGAAACTACAATATCCACAGGTTGAATGTCGACCACAGCAGCACCAGGTTCTCCATGCTGAAAGAACAGTTCAAAATAGCAAGAAAAAAAGTCAAAAGATTCAAGAAATTCGCAATGTGGGCTATCTCTTTTCTACGGCATAAAACAAAAACAAGAAGAGGAACAACATACAACTCCAAGCCCAAGTTCCATTTTCTCTGGACCCAAACGATCTGATGTCACTTGTCCCGGAAGCGCACAAACAGACAGAGCAACACCCATGGTCCCAACCATATCAGATGCACGTTTTGCCTCTGCCGTAACTTCAGCTAGAGAAAGACCAGCAGCTGCTGCTGCTCCAGCAACCTATCCTTAACCAATTAGAAAGGATAAACAAATAACCAACATTCTAGCATAGAGTGCATATAGAGGGAAAGCAAAGTGGAAGGAAGACTCAGAACCTTATGGACAAGAATTGTTCCGGCTAAACCTCTGCGTCCAGCTATACCACGAGGCGGGGGTAGAGCACAATCATCTCCAACAATCACAGTCTACAAAAATTGATCATGTCATTCTATCCACTAATGCTTTTACCAAATTCAAACAATAAACGAACAACTACCTCTACTTTGAAACCTTCAGTTTTTGCTTGCTCAGCCGCTATGCCAAAGTTCAAGCGATCACCAGTATAGTTCTGTCAAAAAGTAGTTAACGGAGAAACTAGATTAGCCAAACACATTTAGGGTTAGAATTCGTAGCTCTTTGAAGTTATTGATATGTATTAAGCATTTTAGCCATGTTTCAAGTACCGTGACAACCAAGAGGCATCCCATTGGACCAGTTACAGCTCGAATCCCCTGGAATTACACAAAACTTTACCATTCACTCAACCGGCGGCGAGGCAAAAACATCTCCGAGAATAGCGGCTGTAGGGATGTGATTTCGGGTCAGCCCGACCCATTTAGGCCCGTCCCGAATAAACCCGACCCATTTAGACCCGTCCCGTTTAGACCCTTTAAATTTTTGAACCCGTTTGGGCCTGCTTGTTTAGGCCCGGCTAAATTGTTCAACCCCGTATAGGCCCATTTAGTATTTTTTTCAGAAAAAAAAAATTAAAGATTTGAAGTAATAAAACAGAGGGTTTTTCAAAAATCATATAAAAGTTTAGTACAACTATTAATCTCAGCAAATCTTTAACTTTGAGACAAAATAAACATAAAATCCATAGCAAATTCTCTACTTCATCAATCATTCATCAATCACCAATTCACCATCATCCTGAAGCAAATAACTCTGCAAACAGACGGTCACAAAAGTTTTCAGACTTTAAACCATTTGTACTAGTACATAATCATGTAAACCTCTTTGTATCAATTCATAACAGAGGATGCTAACAATCTGTACTTATGCAATGGTTTGAAAACTATGAAACAGAATAGTGAAAACAAAATTTACCCGATTCATGGCATGCTTGATTCTCCTGCTCTTAAACCGCTTATAGCATTTTCATTAGGTTGATTGTTGTTTTCGTCTGAGGTATACAAGGCTCACACAGTCACACATCAGAGCAAAACCTTCATATTTCAAAACAATCAAACAAGTGAAACAAGTAAAGTTTACCTTCTTCAGATTCAGCAAAACCTCTTAACCAATTTCGGGTACAAAGTAGAGCTTGCACATTGTCAGGAAGTAACCGGTTTCTATATGGAGTCAATACTCTAGAACCAATGCTGAAGGCAGATTCTGAAGCTACAGTAGTAATTGGTATGCTCAGCAAATCACGAGCCATCTTTGCTAACTCACCAAATCGATGTTGATTGTCCTTCCAATAGCCTAAGACATCATAACTTGGAAAAGATGCTCTATCAAGTCTTGGTTCCTCCAAATAAATATCCAAATGTGTCTTTGTGTTGCTCACACCAGTTCCGATGCTTCTTTCAAGATCAAAAATATCCTGAGATTATGAAATCAAATCTGAATAACCATAATGACTTAATGAGCATGTCGCATAATACAAGTTGACAAGAAATCACCATAAGTTAAAAAAAAACAGGAACATATACTTACAATGTCAAAGTCATCATCTTCAAGTGGAGATTCAGTGATTAACTCTTGTGGAGTTGGTATTGTTGTAACTCTTGAACTAGGACGAGCTCTTGCAACATAATCATTGTAGAGCAAAATCAAATTGTCTTTAAGCTCTTTGACTTTCACCTTTGCAGTAAGAGGATCCACTGCTTCATAAGCTTTCTCAAGCAAATACAACTTCATTCTAGGATCTAAAACAGCTCCCATGGCCAAAACAAGGCTGTAATCTTCCCAATACTTGTCAAACTTCACTTGCATTCTCTCAGCCATATCAGCCAAAGCAGCATCATCACAACTGGAAAACTTCATTAGTAGTAGTTGAATCCTCCAAACTTGTGTAAAATAAACGTTGGAAGTAGGATACTTTGAACCTGAAAACAGATTGGTGATGACATAGAAAGGCTTTAGGAATTCACAGAGTTTCTCTCCACGGTTCCATTCTTCTTCAGATGGTAATGACTTATAGTTTAGGTCATAAACTGACAAGTACTCAAACGCTTTCCTGAACTTTAAGGCCCTTACAAGCATTTCGTAAGTAGAGTTCCATCTTGTAGCAACATCAAGCGATAATCCTGATTTTTTAAATCCTTCTCTCAGTGCACATGCATGAAAAGCCTCCTTCCTTCCTTGAGACGATTTCACATAGGTGACACTTTCTTTGATGTTTTCCAACAAATCCTTTGCTAACTCTAAACCTTCCTTCACTATGAGATTGAGTATATGAGCACAACATCTGACATGCACAAACTTTCCATCACACAATAAGCCACCACCATTTACCAACTCAAATCGACCCTGAAGAAGTCTCACCATGCTATTATTGTTGCCAGCGTTATCCAGAGTAATGGAGAAGACTTTTTTCTCTACACCCCAATCCTTCATACACTCCATAACCTTATTAGCCATTTCTTCCCCAGTGTGTGGAGCCTTGAGATAACAAAAAGTTAGTATCTTACTACTTAACCTCCAGCTAGAATCAATGAAGTGAGCTGTAAGACAAATATACCCTGTATTTGTGCAAGTGTCTTTCCATAAATCTGAAGTAAAACACACCCGACCATCATGCTTTGCTAACACCTCTCTAAGCTTATCCTTTTCAATTTCATACCTCTTGAAAACATCAGCTGTTGCAGTCAGTCTGCATATTGGCTGGCAATCAAGATTGAGATACTTGTCTCTTGCTCTCACCTTCTCATATTCAACATACCGAAATGGAAGATCGTGATAGATGATTATTTCGCTCATCATTTCACGATCTACCTGATGATCATAGACATGCCTATCTCCTTCCTTAGGCTTCTTGGGACACTTCTCTAAATGTCTTAGCAGATGATGAGTTCCATGGGTTCTAGAGTTGGTCACAAACTTTGCCTCACAATGGATACACTTGCTTCTTTCTTTCCCATCTGATTCAATCCCAACAGGCTCAAAATCCTTCCAAACACGTGAAGTTTTGCGTCTCTTACGCACAGCTTGAGTTGCTTGAGTCGCACTGTGTTCTGGATCCTCAGTTGCTTCTGTTTCTGACACTTCCTCGTCAAACTCAACATATTCAGCTCCCTCATTAACCTCAAAATGAACATTTTCATCGTTCATATACTGACTCCTTCTTGTTTCTTGAGACTCAAAATCCATAGTTCAATGCCAAGACTACAAAATAACAAGTGGTTTCTGTGTTAGGAAAGAGCACAAAACTCTACAATTCTCCATAAAAAGAATGGTTTTTGTCAAGATTGAATGTATAAGTTACAAGAAGAAACGCAAGCCTACTTGTTCCGAGAGATAGAGACTCTTTACACAAAAGTCACAACAAATCAAAACTCTTTACACAAAAGTTACACATTTTATCAAATCTCAACACAGCTAAACATCTGAATAACATCAAATTGATAGATCGGCTTTTGATTTCTCCCACAGCTCATGCACAATACACAAAACCCATTTCTCAGAATCAACAGTCAAGCTCATACACAATACACAATCACATGAGCCAATAGAAAAACCCAGAAAACCCACTTCAACAAATCCGCAAATCTACTGAAACCCATTTCAATAAAACCGAAAAATCTTAAATCAACTGAAAAACTCACTTAAACTCACGAGAAGAGAGAAGAGCTGAGCTTCACCGATGGAAAAGAAAAGTCGACGGTGATGAAGAGGAGAGAACGGTGGGTGGAGACTGGAGAGGAGAGAAGGCGGTGATGAAGAGGAGAGAAACGGTGGGTCTCGAAGCTAGATCTGTTTTTTTTTCACCGATGGAAAACAAAAGTCGAGGAAGAGAACTAAACGGTGTCGTTTCAGCATAGAATTTCAATAAAAAAAATTAAACGGGCTACCCGAATCTAAAACTGAAGACCCGTTAGTATATGGGCCTAATCGGGTGCGCCCGTTTAATAATTTGTGTGTTTGAAACGGGCTCGGGTAGACCCGTTTAGTTGTAACCCGTTTAAGCCCACGGGCTTAAGCCCGAAATCACATCCCTAAGCGGCTGTAAGCATTCCTTCTCCAACGTACCCATCTTGTGCTGGTTCATGCCCACTTCCACCTCCTGAAATGGCATAACATGAACATCAACTTACTATGCATAAATTAAGGTTTAGAAAAGAAACTCATACCTGATATAACGGCAACCTTGTCATAATTTGCAGCCGAGACATCAGCCCGTAGCACAACTTTGACCTGTGAACTCATGGAAACATAGAATCAGCTGAGGATTTGCGCAGCCATCGAACAGAAGGGGAAAGATATTTAAAAACCTCAGGAAGGCCATCCAAATACTGAAGTCTAGGATAAGTTTCGACGAGACCCTCTATGAACTCGGTTACCACATCTGCAATTGCACAGTATCCAAAATAGAAGCTGAATTCGAGAATTGCAGGCAAAAACGAGGGGAGAAAGAAGAAAATACTTCTTCAGCAGCTAGAAATGTGCAATGGGAAGAGATATTGTGGACAGTAACACATTTGAGCAAATTTAATAGGTCAACAACACTATTTCAACAGTCAACAAGAACATGCAAAACTCTTTAACCGTCTAAAGGAGAGAGCTCACGATTCGAAAACAGGGGATCACAAAAGGAGAGAAGAAGGAGACAAGAGAGAGCACGAACCGTTTGGGTTGTTGATGAATTTCTTAGCCGGAGGAACCATGGTGGTAGCTTTCAGGGTGATCAAAACCTGATAATCGAGAAGCTCACATAGAGAAAAGAGAGAAGAGAATAATTGAAAACTTTAGTCAACAATGGCAGAAGCGAGGAGAAATGAAGAAGAAGAAGAAGAAGCGAGTGAAGTGAGTAAACCCAAAAATAAACCGATAACCAAAAACAATTGGAAGAGACTCAATCGCTGAACCGAGATAAACCGAGAAATTAACATTGTCATATCATATGGTCCCAGAAATCAGACAAATTGGGCCGGTTGTGAGCCCAGCGAGTAAATGATTTACTTAATTCGCAAGAAAAATCCACGTGCTCCACGTACACGGTCCATCTATTATTCTTCTTCTACCTCGCACGGAAGAGAAGAGAAGAGACGAAAAAGAGATCCAGAAGAAGAAGAAGAGCGAAAATGGCTCTCCAATGGCTGATCCTGTCGTATGTCGTGGCCGCCGAAGTTGTAATCGCCCTGGTGTTAACTCTTCCTTACCCTATGCTTGTGAAGAAACGTGTCGTATCACTCGTCTCTCTCATTCTCCAACCCGCTGCATCCATCGTCGCCTTCGCCGGATTTCAGCTTCTCGGTGACCGCCTCTCTCTTTCTCTCTCTAGATTCTGTTACTAATTTGAGTTATTCCGAATCGAATTGGTGTTATTTAGTTAGATTTTTTTTTGTTCCGCGAGTGACTCTGTGGATTTGATTACCTTTTGTGTTTTGCTAATTTTGTTTGATTTTCATTCGATTCTCTCAGATATTTACTGGAAAGCTGAGCATAGACTCTCTTGCTCATCTGAGGTATGCACTGCTACAGAACGGGATCGCTACGAGAAATCTGTAAGTACCAATTTGAATCTAACTTATTACCCGATTGTTGGTAACTTCGTCTTTGATTCTGTAGCTAAATTCTAAGTTTCTGAAACTTTGTGAACGGTGAATTGTTAGGTTGAGAGTATTATCTTGATAAATATCTGCCCTCTTTGATCTGAAGATTAAGAGTGTTACTAAAATATCTGGGAATTTGCTTTCACTGTTAAAAGGAAATTGTATAGATATCATTGCTTCAACGATTGAACAACAGAAGTCTCTCACTTCTGAGAATTGGCTTTCACTGTTAGTGTAAAATGTAAATGCATCTTTCTAGGTCTCGCCCTCCCATTGATGTTACTCATATATCCTTAAATCATAGCTCTAGGCAAATTGCAACATAGGGTTTTGTTTAGGACAATGGCATGAACGAGTTCAATTTATACGAATGTTCTTGTGAATCTGTCGGTGATTGACTCTTGATGAAGCCTCAAGTTGATTTTTTTTCCCTTGATAGTCATTGTATCCTAAGCTTTTTGGTGTGAAATCAAACACTCGGATATTAATTAGCTTACGTACTAACGAGTTGCGTGTTTTGCATTTAACCACAGATCTACAAGGCTCAGAGGAATGTGGTTCTGTGCACTGGAGCAGTTCTTCTTTACTGGTAAGCATCAGCTATTATCAATCTCACACACATACTCTCTCGTAATTCACTTAGATCTCTTGTTTTTGGTTGACAGGTGCATCTACCGCATTTGCAAGTACAACAAGGACCTGGAGGTTTTGGAAGAAGCAGAGAAGAGATACAAAGAAGAGTAATAATCTTCACGAGTGTATGGGATTTGGTTCCTTAAAACCATTATATATAACGTAAAGCTATTACTGCATTTTTACATTCAAATATTGGTAAACCTGAACGAAAGAACAGCCTTGTAGACTATAGATAAATAATCTCTGTTCGTTTCATCTTGGTTTTGTGGGATTGTCAACATACATTGGGTAAAAGTAAAATTTAACCATCATGGGAAAGATGTTTGACCAAAAAACAAGTGAAAGATGTAAAACAAAAACGCAACCGGGACCGACTATATATGGGATTTAACTAAACTTCTTAGAAGCCCAATTGTGAACGAGGAAGCACAGGTTATGTTATGTCACATAATTAAGAAGCTTCTTCATTCCTCTTCAAGTGCTAATAAAATAATTTTTCTAAACTTCAAATTGCGAAGGAAGGCAAATGCATGGTCTTCGATTAATTGAAAAAAAATCGCAGGTCTCGATACAAACGCAACCACTTTGTAGAAAAATATTTTAAAATCTTGAAGAGCTGGCTTAATTAACTTAAGCAGAGTTAGTCTTTTGATTAATTGAAAAAAATGTTTTGTCTTGAATCAAAAGTGGTGAGTGGATTAGGACTCATAACTAAAGTAAGTGGGAACATAAACAAAAAGTCAAAGAGAGTTGGCGCGTTTGTCTTTGAATAATTGGAAAAAAATGTTGGTCTAAATAAAAGAAGATGGTAAAGTATGGAGAGTTGCGATAAATAAACGCTGATGAAAAAGGTTGACCAAAAAAAAAAAAAAAACGCTGATGAAAATCTAATATATGAATCCTTTGAAACTTGTCCACAACGTCTTATTTGCTTTGTTCATTCTAAAGTGGTGAGTGGATTAGGACTCATAACTAAAGTAAGTGGGAACATAAACAAAAAGTCAAAGAGAGTTGGCGCGTTTGTCTTTGAATAATTGGAAAAAAATGTTGGTCTAAATAAAAGAAGATGGTAAAGTATGGAGAGTTGCGATAAATAAACGCTGATGAAAAAGGTTGACCAAAAAAAAAAAAAAACGCTGATGAAAATCTAATATATGAATCCTTTGAAACTTGTCCACAACGTCTTATTTGCTTTGTTCATTCTAAGTAACCCATGGAAGCATCGAAGTACTATCCTCTTACCGAACCTACATGCTATCACTCGGATCTGACTACGCCTGATCACAGGCTTTGTCGACGATATGATTCTACACTTTCTGTTTGCTCGGCGTGCAAAGGCGGCCACTTGAAGGGAAGTTGGTACTATTACTATTGTGCTACTTGCAATTTAGAATTCCACCGAGGTTGTCACAGGTTTCCACCAGAACTTATACACCCTTTTCATCCTTCACATCCTCTAACTTTTGTCTGCCTATATCCTGATTTTGACATGTCTCACCTAGACCATGCCTGGATAGATAAATCCCTCCAACCAGGAAGACCCTGGAGTGATGGTGAGGATTATGCCTCTATATCCGACAAAATTGGTGGAAAATGCAAATGTTGTTGGAGACCTCTTATTGGCTTATACTACCATTGTTTCAAATGTAACTTCAGCATTGACATCTATTGTACCCTACACCCACCACAAATGACTATCACACATTTAAAAAGCCATGAACACACCCTCACCGTTTTTCACACTCGAATCCCTTTGCCCAGTAATGCTTGTGGAGTGTCTCTCGATAAATCCAATGATATCGTTTACGCTTGTCTCCCTTGTAGCTACATGGTCCACAAGAAATGCATCTACTTGCCTCGCGTCATTAAGCTCACTCGTCACCCACATCGTCTCTCTTTCACTTCTGTCCTTTCTTCTAATGACTTCCCTTGTGGTGTGTGTCGCCAAAGTGTCAACGTCAACTACGGGCAATATTCTTGCAATGAAGGATGTCCTAATGCTGTCCATTCCAAATGTGCCACAAGGGACGATGTGTGGGATGGTAAAGAGCTTGAAGGGGTGCCCGAAGAATATGCTGACATCACTGAGCCATTCACAAGGATTGATGAAGCGACAATACAACATTTCAGTCATGACCATCATCTAAGTCTCCACTGCAACAACAACAACCGTGGAAAGCAAGAAAACAAATTTTGCCATGCATGCATCATTCCTATAATGATTTCAGAGAGCTTTTATGTTTGTATGCAGTGTACATGACCACCCATTTTTCTTCAGTTTTGCCTCTGGTGATTGCACGGCTTGTAAAACTTTTGCCCGTTCAGGTAATCTCCTGGAATGTGTTAAAAGCAAGTCTTTGTTGTGTCTCAAATGCGCCACTATACCTTCTGTGGCGTACTACAAATATGATAGGCATCCACTCACTCTTTGCTGCGGCGAAGAGGACGCAACAAATCTCCGATATTGGTGCGAGATTTGTGAATCACAAATTGATGCAACAAAATGGTTCTACACATGCAACCACTGTCAGGTCACTCTCCATCTTAGATGTCTATTGGGGGACACGGTCTACTTCAAGCCTCGCCACCGCATCAAAATATCGGGCGAGGAGGACGAGTATGAAGTAGTTCTCAATAGTGGTAACTCTCGCCCATTTTGCTGTAGATGTAGTAGACGTTGCATTGAAAGGTTGGTTCTCAAATGGGGTGATCGATACATTTGTAGTTATGTTTGTCTTCGAAGAAATTATAACCTGGCTGCTATTTAGATTTCAAATCTTGTACGCTTTTGAGTTATGAAATACGGGAAAGCGGCCAATCCGTGCCTGAACTATTTTCAGAGGTTCCAATCCGTGCCCGAACTTTCAAGGTGTGTCAATCCATTCCCCAACTATAATAAACCATCCGATACGTACCCCAACTCTTTCTCGCCTGGCCATAACCAACATTGACCATCACCCCGTTAGTCAACTACGCGAATCCGTTAACGGTGCTGAGTCATCTTGCCACGTCAGCTGCCCCGTTGGAACGGGATATCAAAACGATGTCGTTTTTCTCTAAACGCCACCCAAAATTCAATTTCTGAAAACGACGTCGTTTTGGATTGAAATGAAACCAAAACATAAAACCGAGCTTGGTTTGATTCATCTCGGCAAAATCGATTTAAAAACCGAATTGGGGAAAAATCGTTCTAGATTCAAATATCATTAATAAGCCGTTTAGCATAAAATAAAAGATTGTCAAAGCAAAGATAACACAAACCGTGTTACATAAGTCTGAAACAAAAACAATAAAACTTAACGTTTTATGTCTTAAATAAGCCGAAATAACAAGAAAACCTATAAATTCACTTCACTCCATTTCACAGCCACCTCCAACAACAAAACCAATTCTCAATCTCATGTCCACCTGCAACAACAAAGCCAATTGTCATTCTCTTAAAACAAAGCCAATTGTCATTCTCGATCAATGTTTTCATTCCTTCATCCAACATGATAAAACCACAATTCTCACTCTAACTAAAACCAATGTTCTCATTCGTCGATGACAGAACCACAATTCTCAATCACCTAAAACCAAGATTCTCTTTCCTTTATAACATAAGAGGACCAATGTCCTCACTCTTTTAAGACTCCTAAAACAAAATTTCTCAGTCATAGACCATTTACATATAAACAGCGACATACCTGTCCCATTCTCCAAATTCAGGAGTAGAAGTCTGAGTTGGCTGACTAGGACCTGCAAGATCTTGAGACTCAACCACCTCGGTTACTGTCTTCTTCTTCTTGGGTTTACGCCCTTTCTTTCCAACAGGTCTTGGATCTTCCATACCATCAGCCAATTTGGATTTTTTTGGCGGCCTAGGTTTAAATGGTACACCCGAATTAGGACACTTGTAAGCGTTGTGGTCAGCCAAACCGCAGCGGTAACAATGCATATCTCTACCATGGTTTGTGGCCTTTTTTCCCTTTTTTGGTGACTCATTAACACCTTTGATCCGTTTCTGTGGATTTTTTTTCCGACCCTTTTGTACCTCTGTATCTGGTGCCTCAAGCGTTGTTTCTCCACTTGTTCTCCAAAATTTCATCCCATTGACCGGTCCAATAGAATCGATATATTGATCCTGCCACTTAGTAGTCAAATACCAATCAGAAACCAAGTCCTCTTTCTTGTATGTTTTCGGGTTGTCAAACACAACGCGTAACGCGTGACGGCATGGAATCCCTGTCAGATCCCATTTCCTACATCTGCATGTCTTCTCCTTCATATTAACCTTGTGTGATTGACCGTTATCCATAACTTCAAACAGACCAGGGCGTGAAGCGATTGTCCTCAAGTGTTTAACCGCTTTTTCTTCTTCTGCGATCACTAGAGCAACCTTTAGAGAGTGTGTGGCCTTATGCTTCTGCGTCATTTTCCTTCTCATCGCTATCCTCATCATAGTTTGCCTCCTCATGGTTTCCAAACTCTGAATCAATGGCATTGCTCTCGCCTTTTCAAGTGTATTGTTGTAACTCTCTGAGAAGTTATTAAGTGCATCTTCACAGCATGAATCGGTCTTGAAGAAAGCCCGGCTACAGTTTCTTGGATTTCTACTCATGAAGGCCTCATAGATATCACTATCATATTTCTTCAGTTGCGCCAGATTTATTTCATAATCTTCCTCATTGAAACTATCAACCACACGCCAAAACTTGGTCTTCAACTGCGGCTTCCTAGGATGATCCTTCCTTATATTACCATAAATATGTCTTGCACACATACGGTGCTCAATCTCTGGTAATTCTTGGTTCACAGCAAAGAGTAGTCCCTGAAAAAAAGTAAATTTAAAAAATCATAATCACAACATTTCATAACAAAAAAAAAACAAAAACGTAATCACTACTACACATACCTTTTGCCTATCAGAAATGACAGTGAATCCTTCACCATTTCCAAGGCCTAAGTCGTTTTTCAAGTGACGAATGAACCACAACCAACTCTCGCTGTTCTCCACTTGCACAACTGCCCAAGCGAAAGGGTAGATCTGATTGTTTGCATCTCTCCCAACGGCTGCCAAGAGCTGTCCTTTGGAATTGGACTTGAGAAAACAGCCATCTATTCCGAAGATTGGTCGGCAATGGCCTTTCCATGTATCACGCAGCCCAGAAAAACACATGTAAAAACTGTCAAAAACTTCTACCCCAACCGCATTAATCTCAGTTCTAACCTCCACTGTCGAGTGTGGGTTTCTCCTGAGACATTTAGATAAAATGTCACACAAACAAGCAATAAAAAAGAAAAGAAACCAACAATGAATTTAAATACTTACGCTTTAAGTTCATCTCTGTAATCTTTCATCCTTGAATATTGTTCTTTGAATTCTTCTTCAATAAGCTCCAATGCTTTTTTCTTCGCTTTACGGCATTGATTATGTGAAGGAGCCACATCGTAACGGTCATGGATTCTCTGCTGCATAATGACTGGTTTGAGTAGAGGATCATTTCTCAGTTCATGGATGAACATGTCACATATCACTTGTTGTGACAAGATTTTGCATCGACCATCTTTGAAACAGGTATGGTTCTCTTGAAACGTCTTTATCATCCACATAGCAATTGAATCCTCATAAGAACAGTAGACTCTCCAACTGCACTTCTCAATACCACACAATGCCTCAGACTTCACAGCTCCCCACCTATTAAACCGTATATTCCAACCTCCTTTCAATGCGTACTCAATCACAGCTTCTCTAAACTCTTTCACGCTTTCAAACACTTGCTTAATCTTGAGTTCTCCACTTCCTCTTACCCACCTATCATAAGGACACCTCTGGATTTTTCTTCCTTCGTTGTCTGATGTAGTAGGAGTTCGTTGGTAGTCATCATTCTCCTCCTCTTCAAAAAACTTAGCCACTACTTCTTCAACCTGAGCTTCTTCTTCACACATCTCGTATACCTCTCGTCCATCTTCTCTGTCTTGATCTCTTCCATCATCAGTATTATTATCTCTTCCATCTTCATTATTATCATCTCTTCCTCTTTGCTCAACCTGATCAGCGCCTCTTTCCATATTTTGATCGTCATTTCTTCCTTCCTCATTACCGTGATCCCCTTCACAATCTTCATCTTTCTCCATATAAATCTCAATCATCCTAGTCCACTTAGCTGCTTCACACATCCTCTCGAAATTCTCAGTACCCTCACACAATATCCTAAGCTCTTTCAAATCTTCAAATGGTAATTTGTACCAAATTCTTTGTCCATACAAACTAACCGGCAATCCCTGAAACAATGATCTTGGCTGTGTAAGGAGCTCATGCCCAGATCCACCATTGTAAACAAGTGTGTCATCCGACATATTTGTAAACTTCCCACCGTAATAGATGGTGAATGAGACATCATCACTACAACAAATTAAAGAATTCAAAATCGTTAATATATTATAGCTTTCAGACGAATTTTATATTGCAAAGTGTGTAAATAATTCTAAATCAATATTAAATTCAAACCCAGTTTTCTAAAAACCCTAAAAATTCTACATACCTCATTTTTCCAGAAATTGCTTCGCTCAGCACAAATAGTATGCAATCTTCTTCAATTAGTGACAGAAACCGGAGAATCTTATGCAGAGAAGAAACAGATTTCAGTACGAAATCAACCTACTTTGTTTTCTCTCTCGAACTCCAAAACGGCACTCGACAAAGAAGAATGAAGAGCCTATGAAACAAAACGACGCCATTTTAAGTTTTGGTTTCTTTTCAATCCAAACGACGTCGTTTCAATTAATAAAATTGATTTGAGTAAACCGGTATTTAACCGCTGACAAACCGAAATTCAGAGCAGTACCAGAAATTGAATTTCGGGTGGCGTTTAGGGAAAAACGACATCGTTTTGATATCCCGTTCCAACGGGGCAGCTGACGTGGCAAGATGACTCAGCACCGTTAACGAATTCGCGTAGTTGACTAACGGGGTGATGGTCAATGTTGGTTATGGCCAGGCGAGAAAGAGTTGGGGTACGTATCGGATGGTTTATAATAGTTGGGGAATGGATTGGCACACCTTGAAAGTTCGGGCACGGATTGGAACCTCTGAAAATAGTTCATGCACGGATTGGCCGCTTACAAATGATCTTGTATCTTATGAAACTAGTTTACTATTATCCCTTTCTTTTCTTTTTATCCTTGTTTTCACGTACAGAGAGTACAGTAATATTTCAATTACTAGCTATGAAAATTTCCAAAGTATAGTGAGAGAGAAACAAAGACATGTGTATTACTACCTTAAAATGGGTTTAATTCTCAGAGAGCAACAAATATTAGTTGGTGTCAGTTGCATATTTTACAAAGACAAATCTCCAAACCCTCCCAAAGAAGAAAAGTACATCAATCACCAAACACACAAAACCATTTTCAGTTCAGTACGAAGTGATACCTTGAATCTACATGACTCTCCACATCCCAAAGGAACGACCCAAACGTCACAGCCTCCAACACAAGCCTCTTCAGTCCCTTGAAGCTGATCTTTATATGCTCGTCCTTGGACGAATCAATTGTGCCCTGTGGCGTTATCACAATCTCTGGCCTCCCAAACAACGCCTCTGTATGCTTCTCGATGATCCCAACTGCTTCTCTTGACCTTATCGTAGCGTATCTCTGAAGGGTTTCACCGTCAAAGGACATAACGTACGTCTTCAACCGAGACTGCTTTGTCTCGCTGCCAAAACCGCCACTGGCGTTGATCATAAACGAACCACCAACATCTTGGTTTGAAGACACAGCTTGATAAGTCTCCTCCGCATCTTCATCATAGAAGCTTCTCTCTGCTTCTCTGCCAGCTTGCTCAATGCCAGTCTCACCTTCGTCTGACCCACCTGGAAGAATCCTCATCGTCTTCTCAAGCTGAAACCTTTGGTCGATCCGCTTAAGGAAGTACCCATACATGACAGAAGCAGCATACACCTGTCCAACCCCGAGCTTGCTTATCTGCGCTATGGTTGAAAGATCACCAACGCGGTTTTTGAGAATGACGGAGAGATGATTCTGAATCATCTCGTAAACCTCGGGAGAGTAAAGCTGCTCGAGTTCTCCATCTTGAGTCGGCCAAGTATCAACTCGACCAGAAGGATCCACAGATGATGAGGTAATCGATGGAACAAGTGAAACATTAGCGTCCATAAACTTCTGAACAACTAATGCATATAAAATCTCCTCCAAAGCTCTTCGTCTCTCTTTCTCCCTAACCTCAGCTATTCTCCTAAACACCCAGAAAAACAATCTGATTCAAAATCCAAACCTATACATCATCTAAAATGGTAGTGATAATAGCGGCATGTGACAAACCTGTAGAGAACAATGTCTGTTGTTCCAGGAGCAGAGGATGATGCATCTTTGATCTGTTCCTCAGCGTCACGATCGGTTTGGAGCTGCTCAAGCTGCTGTTCGACGGCTGCTGGCACGAGATGAGGATGGCTCACTAGTATCTGTGACAGAAACTGCCCCACCGGAGATTTCAACTGAAGCGGCGCGATTGAACCGGTTGAAGCGTCACCAGAAGCTGAAGCTTTGACCACGACGCTTCTCCGAGATTTGGCAGATGTTGTTCGGCTAATTTGCAATGGTCTCGTGAATTGCAGAGAAGAGTTATGCTGCAAACAGAGATAACGGATTAAATTACTAGATTTCACCAAACAATTCATAGATATCGAGGCATTTCCATGAAGAAATCAAAAGCTCCATTTATTGACACAGAAGAGACATCAGAGAAGTCGAATTCCGATTACGAGGCATTTCCCGATCGATCAAAGCACAAACACACTAGAATTCTGGAAAACGACGAAATTCAATTTCGTTTAAGAATGTAAATTAGCTGAATCAGACGCAGTGGTTAGATGACATACTCTGAGACGCAATTGAGGTCCGGAGCCGAATCGCATGAACCCAGGAGGACAGCTTGCCGTCAGGAAACTCGAGCGGGAGACGTTTTCGGAAGTTCGACGCAGTAACGAGGGAGATTGGACCAAATTCGCCGTCACGGCATCCATGATTATCCTCTGAGAGAAGCTAGGAGAAGATAATCGGAGGGAGATTTGGCCAGAGAGAAGACGAAGCCCTACAATGTCGATATAATGGTTGATATACTGTTGATACTCTTGATAACCATAGATAAGATGGTTTATGACTTATCTCTTCGAAATTTCCGCTAATAAACCATTTTAGTTTTTTTACTGTAAGATTGAAAATAAATTATTACATCAAATGTTGGGCTCATAGTGAGTTCGTTTTTTTTCTTGGCCCAATTAAGGTGGGCTTATAAACTACTTCAGAATATAATATATATAGCCCACAACATTACCCTTTTAGGGTTTGTAGCTCGCCTCTAAATCGCGTAGCGGTGAGTAAGAGAATGTCGTCTTCATCTGATTTCTGTGAATCCAAAACTGTTTATGTTTCTCAATCGATATTTATTTTTCATCACGCTAGGTGTTTTGAACTTGGATAAGTTTGTTTTGCTCTTCTGTGATTTCCAAAATTTTGAAACAATTGCAAAGGCGTTTTACTTAAGAAAAGAGCAATTAGTTATAAATACGGTGGCGATGATGAAAAAAAGGCCGGACTTACGGCTGCTACCACCACCACCAAAGTGGGTGTCTGTGTAGTAGAATGATGCTAAACATTCCAAAGGTTATACACTGAGCCGCCTGTTCTTTCCATATTCAAAGCTTCAGTTTTTTTTTGCCTAAACTTCATTCTAAATCAAAAGCACAAAAAAAAAAAGTAACGCTTTGTGATTCCAGATTGAACAAAAATTAAAGTCGACAAAAAACGAGGATAAAAAATTAAAAATTGAAAAAGAAAAAAACACCGAATTTAACAATGTGTGTCCGAAATAATCACCGTGTGTTAAATTTTAAAACTTTAGTGACCAACAAAAATTGAACAAAAAATATATAGAAAGGAGTATAATCTTGGATTTGAGTTTGAGTTAAGTAAAAAGAAATGTGAAGAGATATAAAGTTAAGTAAAGCCTGAGGTTTAAGCTGCAGAGAAGACGAACGCAAAAACCTCTCCCCTACGAAAATGGCATTGCAAGCCATTTGCTTTGGATTTCTCCCTCCGAGACTTCGACTTTCATCTCGAGATTCACTCTCCCATCCACCTGTAAGTGAAATCAACCATGAGATTTTCGTATCTCCCATTTTGAAATCCTTAAACCTTATCCCAAATTTGTCATTTCTCCTGTAGGGTTCTTCGACATTTGCAACGCGTCAGAAAGTTGATTCGAGACGTAAGTATCTAATCCTATAAATCCACTTTGGTTTTTATAAAGCCTAAATGTAGCTCAAGCCTCAAAGATTGATCCTTTTGCAATTTTCTTTTGTTGATTTAAGAAACCCTCGTTTGGAACAAACCGCAAGGACCAATTAGCTTGAGCAGAGGCGTTGTAGTATGTTCGTCTCGATCTGAATCAACCCCTGAGTCAAAGCAACCTGAAAAGAGTCATAACTATGCTCGAGCTGAGCTGTTCCGTGGGAAATCAGGTTCGATTTCCTTCCACGGCCTAACCCACCAGCTCGTTGAAGAAAGCAAACTGATTTCAGCTCCGTTCCAAGAAGAGAAAGGTTCCTTCTTGTGGGTTTTGGCTCCCGTTGTGTTGATCTCGTCACTGATTCTTCCTCAGTTCTTTCTTAGTGGTGCCATTGAAGCTACCTTTAAAAACGACACTGTTGCAGGTAAGTAAATAACTCCATTGCTTGAAAGTTTGAAACTTTTGTGAATCCTATGGACAAATAGAGTTGAATCTATCTTAATGGTGTTGCATCTGCTAAACTGGTTATATTTTGCTGTAGACTTCTCATAAAATGTACTGACTTTGAGGTTTTTATAGGTTTAGAGCCTGATTTCTGGTGTGCAGTAACCTTTTAGTGATCTTAACTTGTCAATTACAATCAAGAAACACATTTAACTCTCTTGAAGCCAAGAGGCTATAGTCTTCTTCCAACATGATCTGGCTCTTCTTATGTATGTGAACTCATTTAGATGCACTCTCTTATCAGCTTTGTAACTTATATGTATTCTTTGATGCAGAGATTGTTACTTCTTTCTGCTTTGAGACGATCTTCTATGCCGGTCTTGCGATATTCCTGTCTGTGACTGACAGAGTGCAGAGACCGTACCTAGACTTCAGCACCAAGAGATGGAGTCTAATCACTGGACTGAGAGGATACCTTATGTCTGCATTTCTCATGATGGGTTTGAAAGTTGTGCTTCCTGTGTTCGCTGTGTACATGACTTGGCCAGTTCTCGGTGTCGATGCGCTGATCGCAGTGCTTCCTTTCTTGGTTGGCTGTGCGGTTCAACGACTCTTCGAAGCTCAGGTTGAAAGACGCAAATCATCCTGTTGGCCCATTGTTCCAATAGTCTTTGAGGTAAAGAAAACTTAATATACTGATTTGGTCTTCCCATCATGATGTTTAAAAGTCTTTTTGTTAAAGGGAAACTATGGATTGTGTGTAAATGGCAGGTGTATAGGCTGTATCAAGTGACGAGAGCAGCGACTTTTGTTCAGAGGCTGATGTTTATGATGAAAGATGCGTCAACGACTGTAGAGATTTCAGAGCGAGGTGTTGCGCTGGTTGGTTTGGTTGTGACTCTGCAGTTTTTAGCTGTGTTATGTCTCTGGTCGCTTATCACATTCCTTTTGCGCCTCTTCCCTTCTAGACGTGTAGCTGAAAACTACTAAGACCTGAGTGTTTAGTGATTGTTACATTTGTAGCAAAATCCATCGGCTTGTTATGGACAAAGGGACAAATTAGAGTAGAAGTTTCTAAAGGCTAGTCTTGTTATAATCTCTCTCTCTCTCTCTCTCTCTCTCTGTATGTTAAACTCATTTGTTCAAGATTTTAGTATTTTGGCCTAAATTAAATTTGTTGCAGTTGATTTTGTCCCCTCTGTGACAGTGTGGTCAAATCTTGATTTCATCTTCTCTGATCTTAAAAATGTTAGTATCAAAACATAGTTTTTCATATCAAACTTTGTCCACGTGGAAGGTCTGAGCTTCTGATACGTGTAGTGTACAGTGACGTGAAGCTCCAACACGCGTGCTCTTGTCCTTTCTACTACCTCTGTATTTTGTTCATTGATGCATGATGCATCGGTTTCATATAACCAATTTCGTCTGCTTATATATTTTAGAGGCTGAATTTTTAATAGAAACAAAACAAGAATGCAAGCAAACCAGTTATAAATGAAATGTTTTATAAGCTTTACAAATTCATCAGTATGTGATAGATACTTAGGAAGAATAGGATCAACGATTATTGTTGGGTAAACAGTAAAAATAGGATCTCAGGAGAATTAGCCGCTTCTATTAAAAAAATCGAGTGATATATATATAGCGAGAGAGTGCCAAACTCAGACTGGTTAATTCGATCGTCTTCATCCTCTCTTGGAACACAGACCATGTCTCCACTCGCAGATCTCTTAAACTTAGATCTCTCTGACACCAAGAAAATCATCGCTGAATACATATGGTTCGATCATTTTTCCCTAATCTATCTGATCATCTCTTTGCGTGATCAAATCTTGTTTGTCCCTTTTCCCGCTTAATCATCTCTTAATGGGAATTTCTGGACATCCATGCATCGCATATAGATTCTTGATTCTACACGCTTATGATCTTGCATGTCTCTTTTAACAACATAAAGTTTCTTGTTGTTTTTTTTTTTTTTTTTTTTCTTATTTTACTCTGTTTTTCTTGAGAACAGGATCGGTGGGTCTGGAATGGATATTAGAAGCAAAGGCAGGGTAATAATATTTACACAATCTCTCTCTCTTGTTCTCTTTTTTTTTTTGTTAGTATAAACCAAAAATGATTGATTTTTCTATTTTTAAAACAGACATTACCAGGACCAGTAAGCGATCCAACGAAGCTTCCAAAATGGAACTACGATGGATCAAGCACCAATCAAGCCGCCGGAGATGACAGTGAAGTCATTCTTTAGTAATCTTCTTCATCACCAATGATATATAATATATCACTCATAATTTATGTAAATGGATTATTCAAAATTTTCTTTCTTTTGAATCATTGAAAAAATAGTCCTCAGGCGATATTCAAAGACCCGTTCAGGAAAGGGAACAACATTCTGGTAAAAGCTCAACTGATTTTTTTAGCAAAAGTTTCATCTGATAGATTAGTGAATCTAAAAAAATATTCCAAATTTCTTGAATATTAAACCAGGTGATGTGTGATGCTTACACACCGGCTGGAGATCCAATTCCGACCAACAATAGAAACAAGGCTGTAAAAATCTTCGATCATGCCAATGTGAAGGCTGAAGAGCCTTGGTAAGTTATATCACAGAGCCTGTGGAAATTTTGGTAAATCAGTTATAACATTCACCTTTGTTTTTGGTTTGGAGCCGGTTTGGTATAGGACATAAGTCACCCTCTATGAATGTCCTATAAATGTTTTCTTGAAACTTTTTTGCTTGTCTAAGTTCTGTATGACTAAAATGTTGAAACATTTGCTACTGATCGGTTTGCGAATAATTTAAGTTTGGTTTAGATTCAGGTTGATATTTTGCTGTGTTACATTACTAGGTTTGGGATAGAGCAAGAATACACATTACTTAAGAAAGACGTTAAGTGGCCATTAGGTTGGCCTCTTGGTGGCTTTCCTGGTCCTCAGGTACACTTATTGAGTAAACTATTCATCAAAATTCATACACTAATCTCTTCTGATATCAATCAAATATTTCGAATTTTTGTGTGTTTATGAAAATAGGGTCCGTATTACTGTTCAGTTGGAGCAGACAAAGCCTTTGGCCGTGACATTGTAGATGCTCACTATAAAGCTTGTCTTTACGCCGGTTTAAACATCGGTGGTGCTAACGCTGAAGTCATGCCTGGACAATGGGAGTTTCAAATCAGTCCTATTGTTGGTATTGGTGCTGGTGATCAATTATGGGTTGCTCGTTACATCCTCGAGGTGAAATCATAATCATTCTTTCTTCTGCATGCATTAACTAACATTGGTGTTTATATTTTCATATGAAACATTTTGTTTTTTTTTTTTTTTTTTTTTTTGACAGAGGATCACTGAGATATGCGGTGTGATTGTCTCTTTCGATCCAAAACCAATCGAGGTTTCCCATATGATCGTCAAGATTCTGTTCTTGTTTGAAGTTTTCTTGAATGTTGAGGTTGTTTTCAATGCCGGTTTAATTTAGGGTGATTGGAATGGAGCAGCGGCTCATACAAACTTCAGCACAAAATCGATGAGGAAAGACGGAGGATTGGATTTGATCAATAAAGCAATAGAGAAGCTTGAAGTGAAACATAAACAGCACATTGCGGCTTATGGTGAAGGCAACGAGAGGCGTCTCACTGGGAAGCATGAAACCGCAGACATCAATGTTTTCTCTTGGGTATGAGATCGAATCATATCAAGATTATGGTTTTATGTGATGATGATGATGATCTTTGTATATAACATTTTGATTTTGATTTGTTGTGAGAGTAGGGAGTGGCGGATCGTGGAGCATCGGTGAGAGTAGGAAGAGATACGGAGAGAGAAGGGAAAGGGTATTTTGAAGATCGAAGGCCTTCTTCTAATATGGATCCTTATCTTGTTACCTCCTTGATCGCTGAAACCACCATCCTCGGCTAAGCTTTTTGTTGTTGGTTCTTATGTTACAGTGTTTCTTCAGGCTTCGGTTTGAGACTTTTGTTTTTATTGCGAATAATTCATGGGATGTTCTATGATCCTAATACTACATTGTTTTAATACGGTTCAAAATCTTGGTTCAATTTTTTAGTCTTTGGGATATATGCATGTGCTTTGCATATCTTTCTTAATTAGTCTTGGATTAGATGGTTGCTTGCTAAACAAGTATATGAATCGATTTCTTCCAAATTCAAATAAGTATTAACTGTTGGTTTGTCTTTGGCATATATGCATGTTCTTAAGTCCCATTTCTTCCTTAAGTTTGGAGATTAGTTTGTTGCTAAGCGAGAGATTACATTGAGTTATTTCCTTCTGGATCCAACAAAGAGTGGTTAATGTTCTTTGAGATGCATGTTCCTTGATTTCCAAGACAGAGATGGTGTCTACGCAATTACATGAATTGATTTCTTCCAAACTTAAGTAAGTAATTTATATTTATCATAATATGTGTCCTCTTTATGCTTACATAGTTACAAGCATCTGTCTGTCGATCCTGTAAATAATAATATTTTTTTATTTTAATACAGCAAGTTAATGAAGAATTAAGCGTCCCATGCATTCATTATTCAGTTTAATCTAACTAATTTCCATGTTAGTATAAATATTACAGCAATACTAATTCATTATCATAACACTCTTTGCAAGCTTCAAAATTCCGAGAGGACTTATAATAGACACTACAACTTTACAACAAAATGTCAATGTCGTCGTCATCGGAGGAGGAGGAGAGTAGCCGGAAAACGGTGGAGGACAAGTCTAAGATGGGGAGGAGAAAGAGGGCAATCTGGGAAAGAAAGTGGAAGAGTTTGGACATTGTGTACGCTTCGACTTCTCTCTTTGTGCATTTCCTCTGTCTCTTAGCTCCTTTCAATTTCACTTGGCCGGCTTTACGGGTTGCACTCATTGTCTACACGGTGACTGGGCTCGGTATCACCGTCTCTTACCACCGTAACTTGTCTCACCGAAGCTTCAAAATCCCTCGATGGCTCGAGTATTTGTTTGCTTATTGCGGCCTTCTTGCCATTCAGGTTCCTTCTCTTTAATTTCAACAAAAAAATAATCAAAACATCATTTTGCTTAAAATCCTTAGATTCTTAAGACCTTATAGAGTCTGTAATATATTTTATATAGTTATGTAATCATGAACCATTTATTTGGTTTGTTATTGTAACAGGGAGATCCGATTTTTTGGGTGAGCACACATCGATACCATCACCAGTTTACAGATGCAGATAGGGACCCGCATAGTCCTAGTGAAGGTTTTTGGTTTAGTCACCTCCTATGGCTATTTGATACTGGTTATCTTTCAGAAAAGGTAACTAACTATTAATTGGGATAATTAGTTTACTTTACTTAACTGATAGTATTATATATTAATGGCACAGTTAGGAAGACAAATGTGGATGACTTAGAGCATGTGCAATGGTAAGCTTCACATGAGTATCTTTAATAATAATAAACAAATGAATTTTGGAATAAAGAAAAATGATTTTTAGAAAAAAAAAAGGTGATGAATCACATAGTGACACATGTAGAAATCTTATGCACATGAGTCTCTACAGTCTCTCCCCACAGAGACGGATCTGGACTACTTTAATGCCATGTGGGTATTTATTTATCTTATTTCTTTTTTTTTGGGATTGATAGACTATGAAAAACTCTCCGGTGCACTTGCTCTTAAAGAGGTAGTGGTATTATAAATTCCTTCAAAGAACGGTCCTTTACCACATTCTAGCATTTGGTTCCATCCTCTATTACTTTGGTGGTTTGTCTTTTCTTACTTGGGGAATGGTAATTTCAAACACTTTCTCTCTCTTTTTTGTAGTTTATATACTTGCCACAAAAGTAATCGTGAAAACAACTTATAGCTATTGCGTTAATTTGTCTGGTAATAGTAAACAGTAACGGTAAATAATAAATTGATAAAGAGTTCAAGAATTGCTATAAATTATGGTGGATATAGGGCATTGGGGTAGCAATGCAGCATCATGTGAGTGGCTTCATCAACTCTCTTTGCCATATTTGGGGAAGCCGAACTTGGAAGACTAATGACACTTCTCGTAATGTTTGGTACGTACAAATCTTTAATCAATCTTGATCATGCATATACTAATGTCGTTTGAATTTGATGCTTGAACTGGTGGAATGAAAGGTGCTTCAAACAACCACCTCTACTAACAAAGATCCATGAGAAGATATATATATTAAAATATAGCAGATTCTCTAAGACATATACGCTCAATCTAAAAGACTAAACTATTTGTTTCAGACTATAATATAGATGAATACAATTCGTCTGAAATGTAAACTCAATTGTACAAACTTGAAACTCCAAAGGCATTTTAGTTGACCATCCATGAACTCGACACATATAGAGATATTATGATCGTGTACTTTTTTGTGTGGGCTACGTACATATCAAAATATAATGATTATATATAACTTGGAAGTAACTAATAAAAGTGGTTAAAAATGGTTATAGGTGGCTATCGGTATTCTCCTTTGGAGAGAGCTGGCACAACAATCACCACGCATTCGAGACGTCGGCCAGACAAGGCTTGGAATGGTGGCAAATAGACATCTCTTGGTACATCGTCCGCTTTCTTGAGATCATCGGTTTGGCTACTGACGTGAAGCTGCCTTCAAAGAGTCAACGACGTCGTATGGCATTGGTTCGTTGAAGTTCGAGGATATTCGACTTCTCGTCTTTATTAAGTATTAGTTCGTTTCTACGTGCGTTTGAAGTTTCTTGTAAACGTAACACTTGTAATATTATGCTATATATGCAGTGTTGTCCTGTCTTGTGCTGTGTGTTAGAAGTTAGAACCAACTTGTTTTATGAAGATACGTCCGTTTTCGTATGAACGAAATTCTAATATAACATGCGTAAAGAAGTGTTTTTTTGGTGTCATCAACATTTCACACATCTACATTTCAAAGTTTGAAAACCATGTCATGAAAGTAGTGCAAACTATACTAAGATATAGATTCCGATATATATGATATTTTGCCGTCGTTAGTTTTTATGAACAACATGTAAGAAAAAAAAGTTAAATAACAAGAAAAAGAAAGAACCGGCCGGAGAAAAAAAATAAGATAAATATGGTGGAGAGAGAAGCTTTAATTATTGAAGCACAATATTCCATTAATTGTTTTTGAAAATCAAACGTCTATAAGAACCAAACCTAAAACGCAACCAAACCTAGCTAAAATGCAACAGGCCACAAATTTTGAACAAACTTTTGACTTCTAAAAAGAAAAATAATCAGTCACATTAGTAGATAAAATGTTAAGCTTAATCTCCAACATTAATTAAGCTTCAATGTACCAAGTACCAACGTCATTCCCCTATAAATATAATCAAACCTTTGGCCAAACATATATACCTCAAACAGTTATACTAATCGCATCTCAAAACACAAATCTGTTCATCCTCGATGGGTGACACCACCAAGAACGATGACTCTAGCCAAAACAAAACGGTGCGTAAGGAAAGAAGAGCGTATTTATTTAGAAAATGGACCCGGACCGATGTAATGAGAGCTACATTTGTTGTGGTCGTTCATTTCTTGTGTATCTTGGCTCCGTTTAACTACCAATGGGAAGCTCTCCGATTTGGTCTAATTACCACCGTCGTGACCCACCTGAGCCTTACGTTCTCCTACCATAGGAACTTGACTCACAGGAGCTTTAACATACCTAAATGGCTTGAATATCCATTCGCTTATTCTGCCCTCTTCGCTCTTCAGGTCAATATTGTTTTAACCGAAAGTAGAAATGAAATCAAATACAACTTACACCATGTCATCATGTATATATCTTTGAGTTGTCTTTTTTTTTTCTTTTTCAAGGGTCATCCAATAGATTGGGTGAGCACACATAGGTTCCATCACCAGTTCACAGATTCAGACCGTGACCCACACAGCCCTATCGAGGGATTTTGGTTCAGTCATATCTTTTGGATATTCGACACCAGTTACATCAGGGAAAAGGTAGCAAAAAGAACGCTCATATTCTCTACAAACCTGATGTATATTCGAACTAAGTACGATGATGTAATTATAATGCCAAAAAAAAAATGAAAAATATAACAGTGTGGAGGACGTAACAACGTGATGGACTTGAAGCAACAATGGTTCTACAGGTTTCTTCAATACACAATTGGTCTCCACATTTTAACATTTTGGACCCTCGTCTATTTATGGGGTGGTCTACCTTACCTAACCTGCGGCGTGGTAAGATTCTCTATTCAGTTTTGTGAAAATGAAATTTAAATTATACATGTAACATAGAAATTGGTTTGTTTTTGGTGTGCATGCAATAGGGTGCTGGAGGAGTAACCGGTTACCACTTGACTTGGCTCCTAAACTCGGCATGCCATATTTGCGGTTCGCAAGCATGGAACACCAATGACACCTCTCGTAACGTTTGGTATTTAGTCTACCCAATCTAGTCATATCCTAGACATATAGCTAAAGCAAAACAAACAAAAAAACCCTAATCAGAACGACCAAAAACATATATGAAAACCTAATATAGAAACTAATGCGGGATGGTGCAGGTGGCTAGGGCTATTCACATTGGGAGAGGGATGGCACAACAACCACCATGCCTTTGAGGCGTCGGCGAGGCACGGACTGGAATGGTATCAGGTAGACATAACTTGGTACCTCATTCGGTTCTTCCAGGCTCTCGGTTTAGCCACCGATGTCAAATTGCCTTCCGAAGCTCAGAAACGCAAGATGGCTTTCCCTCGTTAATTTATCTCAGCTATATCTATTCCATTTTCAAACTTGTTTCTTTAGTTATAAGTATGCATCATTACTCACTATCTTGTTATTTACTCCTTCCGTTTTTTTTTTAATATATGCGAAGACTTTGCATAGCTTTCTTAATTCATTTGGATTAGATGGTTACTAAACAATTATATGAAGCGATTTTTTCCAAAATAAAATTTACTACAATTTTCTTCCGAACTCAAGAAAGAGTTGTTGATGTCCTTTCGATTTCGTCCTACAGTTTGGAGATTAGATAGTTTCTATAACTAAGCGAGATTACATGAATCATACTTCTGGATTCAAGAAAGAGTGATTAGTGTTCTTTGAGAGACATATGCATGTGCTTTCCATTTCTTCCTTAATTTCCAAGTCATAGATGGTGTTTACGCAACTACGTGAATTGATTTCTTCAGAACTCAAGTAAGAAAATAATTGTTAGTTTTCTTTTAGATAACGGAGTCCTGTTGTTGCTTGGTCCATAATCCATATGCATATATATAATATATATATATAGTTGCTATCAAGGTTCGTACATGTGCTTATTATACGTAGCCCATAATTCTCGGTTTAAGTAAACTAGCTGGTACTAACTTTCCGTACTCAATCTAGTAATCTCTGAGATCTCCTAACACACTCTTTTTATTTATGTAAATCTGTTAACTTGTAAACTAGCTGAACCAACAACTCCTTTTAACTTGTAAGTACATTTTCATGCTACATTTTACTCTAATTCAACATCCTCAGTCTGAATTCTTAAACATCATCGTCCATGGAGTAAAAGTAAACGATCCCTCGATGGATTAGTAGTTGTTGGAAAATTTGAAAAACTCTAATGTACACAAACTCTTCCTCTCCCCGGCTTGTAAGAGCGGGTCCGTTTCATGGATGCATTGGATTTTTTTTTTGACGGACCAAGAGCAACTCTTCCAATGCTAGCTCTCTCCAACATAAGTTTGACCCATGTTGAACTTATATCTAGCTGCGCCACTGCATGTGCCTATTTATTCTTAGAACTTATTTCTCGGTCGACTAACCAATAAGTTTGACCCATGTGGAACTTATGTCTAGCTGCGCCACTGCATGTGCCTATTTATTCTTAGAACTTATTTCTCGGACTAAACCAATCCGTCGAGGTTGCTACGCAAAATATTTTTAAAAAAATAAAGAAGAAACGAAATTGCCTTGTCCTCATTTGGAGACGGACAAGGAAAACATGAGGTAACTTTATAATTTCGTTGTTAAATACTCCCTCCATTACAAACCTTCATCTCCTCAACAGTAAGCTTCAATGCACCACATTACACCTCTATAAATATATTAATCAAACTATTGCTTAAACATATACCTCAAATATTTACAACTAAAATCATAAAACCTCCTCGATGGGTGACACCACCAAGGAAGATGGCTCTAGCCAAAGCAAAGCGGTGCGTAAGGAAAGAAGAGCCTATTTCTTAAGAAAATGGACCCGGGTCGATGTAGTTAGAGCTTCTTTCATTGTGGTCGTTCATTTGTTGTGTATCTTGGCTCCGTTTAACTACAAATGGGAAGCTCTCCGATTTGGTCTGATCCTCGCCGTCGTGACAAACGTAAACGTTGCATTCTCCTACCATAGGAACTTGACTCACCGGAGCTTTAAGCTACCTAGATGGCTTGAATATTCATTCGCTTATTCTGCCCTTTTCGCTCTTCAGGTATATATATTCTTTCAACCGAAAATAAAAATGAAATCGAAAACAACTAACATCATTTCTATTTTCAGTATCCTAAGTTATCTTTGAAATGTATTTTTTTTTTCTTTTTCAAGGGTCATCCAATGGATTGGGTGAGCACACATAGGTTCCATCACCAGTTCACAGATACAGACCGTGACCCACATAGCCCTATCGAAGGGTTTTGGTTCTGTCATGTCTTGTGGATATTCGACACCACTTACGTCTGGGAAAAGGTAACACAACAACGTTCACTTCTCACTTTCTCTACAAAGCCTGATTTATGTGAACAGATCAGATTGTAATACAACATACGGCGAAATAAGTACAATGTGTAATTATAATTAAGAAAAAATGTAACAGTGTGGAAAACGTAACAACGTGATGGACTTGAAGCAACAATGGTTCTATAGGTTTCTTGGAAACACAGTTGCTCTCCACATCTTAACATTTTGGGCCCTAGTCTATTTCTGGGGTGGTCTTCCTTACCTAACTTGCGGCGTGGTAAGATTCTCCTTTTTTTTTGTGTGTGTGTGTGCAAATGAAAATTGGATTATATATCATTTTTTTTTTTTGCAATAGGGTTTTGGAGGAGCTATTTCTTACCATGGGACTTGGCTCATAAACTCGGCATGCCATATTTGCGGTTCGCAAGCATGGAACACCAATGACACCTCTCGTAACGTTTGGTATTGTTAATCTTTAAACATATCCTTAAAGCCAACAAAAATAAAAAAAACTAATCCGACGACCAAAACCTATATGATAAAATTTAACCGAAACTAATATAGTAATATTAAATGAGTCATTGCGGAATGGTGCAGGTGGCTATGGCTATTCACAATGGGAGAGGGCTGGCACAACAACCACCATGCTTTTGAGGCGTCCGCTAGGCACGGACTTGAATGGTATCAGGTAGACATAACTTGGTACCTCATTTGGTTCCTCCAAGCTCTCGGTTTAGCCACCGATGTCAAATTGCCTTCCGAAGCTCAGAAACGCAAGATGGCAAAAACATAATCGTGTTTAGAAGATGTAGTCCGGTCACTTCAGAGGAATCTCAGCTTTGTTATCTATAAGCTTATTTTGCTTCTCTGGTTTTTATTCAAAAAATTCCGGGTCATTTAGTTTTACCAATGGGCCTGACATTTTTAGCCCACGTTTCAAGTTGCAAGTCCACAATTGCGCGCGCTCTTTTTGTTCAGAAAATAATGATTGCTTGAAAAACAAAATGAAAACAGGTTAAGAACCCTAATCAGTTTCAAGCCTAATCCCAACGGTTTCGACTAAATTCATAGCCGTGCTTACACAAAACATTGTTTTTTTGTTTCTTCTGTTTGTTAAAACTCGAGCTAATTACACGTAGTCGTAGAGTCTAACCTTAACCGACTCTTCATTTCCTGCCAAACAATTGATTGGAAGATAAACCAATTTTAAATCTTGTGTTGTAGCCTGTGGGCAGGTATAACGTCAGTAGATACGTTCACGTTATTCATGTAAAAATACAACTAAATAAACTTCTTGATTGGTTTGATCCACTTGGGGCAATGGGCATACATATTTATCTACAGTATACATATGCACACACATGACACATCTATTTATATAAGCCAGCATTTGTCTTCATTGTTAGGAATAAATCAATATTCAGTAGAAACGCCAATAAAAAAAAAAACAAAAACAACAAACTACAAGAAGTCATTCAATAGTTGATCCTTTACAAGACAAAAATCGAATTAAAATTTCTCGAAACTTATAATTTTATGGTTTTTTTGGTGAGAAAAAAGGAGCCAAACCACATGAAGAGAAAATGTAAATATTTATTGTTGTTGTCTTTTCCTTTCGAGTAACGCCCAACCATGCATCGCTGCTGCACGTTACGGTTTCATTTTGTTGCTGTATGCGTAAATTGATACATATCAACATAATAAAACTACCCCTTTGCCAAATACTAAAATCTAGGAAATTTTGACACATAACCATAAACTTTTAAAGAATTTGTTTCTTTCTTAATTACCAGTGAACTATACGTAATAATATTATTATACAGGACATCTATTACCAATACAAACGTTACAAATGAATAGTAGTATACATATAGACCTCCTGTTTATCACAAATGAATTCCCGAATCCAAATATGCACATTGAAATCGGACTACAAATCTAACATGGTCCAGATTTGGTGAACTGTTTAGATACAAAAGGAAAAAAGAAGAAGGTCCTATAAAATTGAAAATACAGAGTGGAGGGAGACAGACGCAAAAAGAAGATTTTTATTACAAAACTTTAATGTAATCAAATGTGGTTGTGATCTTCTAACATGTTACGGTCCTACCTACTCTCTACCCAACATTATACTTTTAGACAGCATAATAATTAATACAAACTTCACTTTTATACTCTGTAATTTAAAAATACGCCAGTGAGATATGCATTTAAAATAAGAATATACTGAAACTATAGGAGAATACTAAATCATGGAAGAAAGCTTATTAGAGAATTTAGACAAAATCATTCTGTTTCTTTAATTAATACTTAAATTCCAATTACTGACACTAATAATAAGTTAATACTACTCACATTAATACAGTATATACATAAAAAACAGAGAAAACTCAAAAAGGAGAGAAGAAGAGGATTAGGCTGTTGACTGCTTTCACTCTTTTCTCTGTAATTACAGCTATGCACAAACCTTTCTCTTTCTAGGGTTTCTCTCTCTTCTTCTTCTTCTTCTTCTTCTTCTACTCTGAATCGTCACAAAACTCCACAATGCGAGTTTTCCTCAACCCTTCCATGGCGATTCTCTCTGTTTTCCTCTCATTCCTTCTCCTCTCTCTCCCTCTCCCTTCCCTCCAAGACCTCAACGCCGACAGAGCCGCGCTTTTATCGCTCCGCTCCTCCGTCGGCGGCCGCACATTTCGCTGGAACATCAGACAGACCTCGCCGTGTAACTGGGCCGGTGTCAAATGCGAAAACAACAGAGTCACCGCCCTCCGCCTCCCCGGCGTCGCTCTCTCCGGGAAAATCCCGGAGGGTATTTTCGGTAATCTAACTCAGCTCCGTACGCTCAGCCTCCGTCTCAACGCTCTCTCCGGCTCACTCCCTCTGGATCTGAGCAGCTGCTCCGATCTCCGGCACATCTACCTGCAAGGAAACAGATTCTCCGGCGAGATTCCGGAAGGTTTATTCACTCTCACTAAACTCGTGAGGCTTAATCTCGCCGAGAACAGCTTCACCGGTGAAATCTCCTCCGGATTCTCCAATCTCACGAGGCTGAAGACTCTCTACCTGGAGGATAATCAACTCTCCGGCTCAATCCCGGACCTCGATTTACCGTTGGCTCAATTCAACGTCTCCAACAACTCGTTGAACGGATCAATTCCCAAGAATCTCCAGAAATTCGACTCCGATTCGTTTCTGCAAACGTCACTCTGCGGCAAGCCGCTCAAAATCTGCCCTGAAGAAGCAACTGTGCCGAGTCAGCCTACTTCCGGCGGAAACAGAACACCGCCATCTGTTGAGGAGAGCAAGGAGAAGAAGAAAAGGAACAAACTTTCCGGTGGAGTTATAGCCGGAATTGTGATCGGATGCGTGGTTGGTTTCGCTTTGATCGTTCTGATTCTGATGGTGCTCTGCCGGAAAAAGGGAAATCGGAGATCGAGAGCCGTCGACATTTCCACAATCAAACAGCAAGAAACCGAAACTCCCGGAGATAAAGATACGGCGGAGAACGGAAATGGGTACTCTGTGACTGCCGCTGCTGCGGCGGCGATGACCGGAAACGCGAAATCCGGAGGAGAAGCGAACGGTCCGGCGTCGAAAAAGCTTGTCTTTTTTGGTAACGCGACTAAAGTTTTCGATCTCGAGGATTTGCTTAGAGCTTCTGCTGAGGTTTTAGGGAAAGGAACGTTTGGAACGGCGTATAAGGCGGTGCTTGATGCTGTTACGGTGGTGGCTGTGAAGAGGCTGAAGGATATGATGATGCCGGATAAAGAGTTCAGGGAGAAGATTGAGTTGGTTGGTGCAATGGATCATGAGAATTTGGTGCCGTTGAGAGCTTACTATTTCAGCAGAGACGAGAAGCTTCTTGTCTATGACTTCATGCCTATGGGAAGCTTATCTGCTCTCTTACATGGTTAGTTGGTTAGATTGCCAAATTTCTCTCCTTTATTCGTAAATTTGGTTCCTTTTTGTGTCAAATCACTGCTTAGTCTATAATTCTTGGAGATTCAGTATGCATACTCTGTTTATGAAATCAAAGATTTTTGCTCTGTTTTTGGGTAATTACAGGAAACAGAGGAGGGGGAAGAAATCCACTAAACTGGGATGTGCGATCGAGAATTGCTCTTGGGGCAGCTCGTGGCTTGGACTACCTTCACTCGCAAGGCAACTCGACCTCTCACGGCAACGTCAAATCCTCGAACATCCTCTTAACGAAGTCGTACGACGCTAAAGTCTCGGACTTTGGGTTGTCCCAGCTCGTGGCGGCCTCTACGACGACTCCGAACCGGGCGACGGGTTACCGTGCGCCGGAAGTTACTGACCCTAAACGTGTGTCGCAGAAAGGTGACGTGTACAGTTTCGGTGTGGTGCTTCTTGAGCTGATCACTGGTAAGGCTCCGTCGAATTCGGTGATGAATGAGGAAGGGGTTGATTTGCCGAGGTGGGTTAAATCGGTGGGGAGAGATGAGTGGAGGAGAGAGGTTTTTGACTCGGAGCTGCTTAGTTTGGCGACGGAGGAAGAGGAGATGATGGCGGAGATGGTGCAGTTGGGGATTGAGTGTACGTCACAGCATCCGGACAAGAGGCCGGAGATGGCGGAAGTGGTTAGGAAGATTGAGGATTTGAGACGATCTGGTCCTGATCAGGTGAACGAAGCTGATTAATTGTTGGGGTTTTTTTTTTAAAGTTTATTAATTTTTAAGTAATTGGTTTGGGGGAAATGAAATGAGTTCTTCGTTTTAGAATCTTTAAATTTTAAATTTAAATTTTTATTGTTAACCCCACTTGTTCAAAAGGAGAGGGGTTTTTAGTGGTAAATCTGCTGGCAATATGCAGTTGTTTGTTTGTGTTGGGCGTGAAGATTTGGTGGTGATTGTAATTATTGTTACTTTTCGTTCTTAAAGACTTTTTAATTTTAATTAATCATTGCTCTTCCTTTTGTCTCTTAATTCTTTTGTTATTTCTTAACAAAGTGTGTCCAGTTTGTCGAGCAGATACAATTTTTGGGAATAGAACTTTTGTTTTTTGTCGTAATTTGGTTGGCCACTTGTAGAACGCTTTTTTCCCTGGCGGATTTGATGTGTTTGATAGCTTTTCGTTTCCCACTTATTTACATTGCTTTGTGCATATAGAAATTATGTTATTCATATTATCATACCAATGTAATAAGTACATGCTTTTATAATCTTTTGCTATCATAGAGACCCATTTCTAATTTAGTTCCGATGGAGTGACAGCTAAATTATACCAAAAATAAACACTTAGCACATGATTTATGAAAACGAGTGAAAGAATGAATAAATGAATACCTAATTTTCTATTATTGACTATTGAAATGTAGCCAGCCTCTTTAATATTTTCGTCCATGAAAAAGAACTCAACCCATCTTGAATAACTTTGATTTTTCTTCACAAACCCACGATAGTATGAATATTTTTGGCTACCAAACATTGACAGCTTTATGAGTTAAGCATTTAATGCATAATGTTGAAATAGGTGGGAATTGGTGCAACAGCAACAGTACTAAGGCTGCTATAAGTGTATGACTCTTTTAGAGAGGTCCCAAAGGTCTTCATACATTCACACTCACATGATAGGGAGGGACCATAAAGAGCGAGATGGTTTCAATTCAAGTTTGATGCTTTTTTACAGAGGGTTAAAGAGATAAGGACATCGAGAGAGTGATGATTGTTATTCTAGGTGCAACCTAAGAATGGGTTTATGACAGCGTTGATATGAATTCTTAAATATACACCTAAGTTTTTGTAAGTGATGAAAGGTGATTTGAGGATTAGAATATTTTTAACGTATCTAAGATATAAATGAGACTTGAATCAATGAATTGGATTTTGTTAATAGATTCTAAAGTAAACAAAATATCTTGAAAAATATGTGTTTGTGAATAATACCCAAACTCAAAGAGCATACAAGTATAAGTTTAAAAATTCTCAATTCTCCACTATTTGTCTTCCTTTTATAATCGTCTCGTGAGCTTCATCCATATAGTGTATCTTGGACTCACGTGCTTTACTTGATTTTGTTTTATTTTGGGATTGTTGATTTAGGTTCTGGTCATCCATATAATGTATCATATTTGAGAAAAGGATTTTTATGAAACAAATGAAAACTTGAAAATATCAATCTCTGATGAACAAAGGTGTCTTTCATTCAGAATCTATGACTTAAATACATCATTTCACAACCTTCTCTCTGAAGGCGGAACGCCAAAGCCTGAAACCATGTTCCAATATCTATTTGATAACCACACATCCCAAACAATTTTTAAAACACTACAGACCGCAAAACATCTACGGCTGCGTTATGCGTCCAAATAATGTTTCAATATCCATCCATATCTCCCCTTTCTTTTCCTCTCTTTTTGTTCCTGTCTCTGCAAGATTGGTAACATCGATGCATTAGAAAGAGTTAAAACTAAGAAACAAAATAACATGTACAGTTGATATATTAGAAATCAGTAAAGAATGACTCACATGTACAGGATAGAGCAAAACAACATTAATTTGTTTGTCTTCGCTGCAAAATTGGTTGGGCTCCATTTTTCTGACCTTTGGACACCACATCACAGTTGATATATACCAGCTGCGCGAGGTTCTTCATACCATAAAAAGAACAAAGTCAGAAGGCAAATATAATTGGTTCTTTCAAAAGCACACCACTTCAAAAATGGTTAAAGCTCAACTACTCCAAATCATTTGCCATAACGGGAACAAATAAAAATCAGCTATTGACTTGAATTTGGTGGAGGCAGAGCACACAAGTTCATTAAGTACAAATCTATAGTGGAATGATTCTGTAACAGCATATCTTTGTATAGATATCAATCTTGAAAATGAAACTTTCTACAACTGTATAAAACTCTTATGATTAGTCGTATACTTGGATGACAAAGGATGTTAGTAGTACCTTGTACGAGAAATTATCGAATGGGTTATTTTCAGAGACATTAGTTTCCAACTCCGTAGCTCCGCCACGTTCATCAACCTGCACACCATCATTAATCCATTTTCAATTCAGGGACATGACACATCCGAGGAGGAAAGAGTGTGGATCAGCAGATATTTACCCTCTCGTTCAAGCAACTAGTGCTGCCACTGTCACTAGATACGCTATTCTCATTGACTGGAAAACATTTAACGCCCGAAGAGTTATCAGGATAGCGACTTTCGAAGTAACTAGTGTCATGAGCATCTTCCATATCCGGCACAAATGAAGCCTAGAAAAAAACAGAATCATTGAAATGAAAAAGAGAAAGTAGAGAAAACATGAGTATGAGCTTTGCAAAGCTTATGACTTGAAAAGCACAAAAGATAAATGAACTTACCTTCTGCTCTGCTATAGTGTCCCAGTTTATATCTTTAAAGAAGATGTGCTGCTTGACCTGAGTCATGATATTTGTTTCATCACTAAATAAATTTTATAATTAAGCTGGAATCAGTCATCCAAGAAAAAGAACATCAATGTCACCTCAGCCGCTCCTCTAGCTCCAAGTCTCTGTTGAGGATCTTCCGTTAATAACCTGTATAAAGCAAATGATAAGATATTAAAACAATGTTCTTGTACTCTTCTCAATTGGGTTAGAAACTGATCTTGAACCATAATATACTTGGACTCCTACAGGTACATATCTATATACTCTAAAACTCTAGCGAAAAAGGAAAAGAAAAGGGTGGTTGCTTATTGATGTTTACAACAGAGCTGCCTAAAGTTTTTGAAAGGAATATTTTCACAGTGCATATGATTGGACGGTGAGAAATCACATACCGATCTATCAGATTATAGGCTTCAAGACTCATCTCGTCTGGAACATTAGGCCATGGTATATTACGGTTGAGGATATTTTCAAATATTTTCTAGAACCCAACAAAGAAGATGCATACCAAATATTAGGGAGAAAAAAAAAAAAAAAAAAAAAAAAAAGACTATGTAGCAACAAATGAAGATGTTAAATGAAAGTGTTTGAAAGTTAGGATGCAAATACAAAATAACGACATCTGATGACCAGCGAAGTTAGATCGTCGATTTCTACAACCTTGAGAAACCAATATTTTCTCTAAACAAGAACGATGCCATATCTAGTTGCTAACCTGAGGATTATCATCATTGAAGGGCGGAATCCCTGCAATGAGTTCAAACAAAATGATGCCAACAGACCACCAATCCGCAGTTGCACCTGAATAGTTATGGAATTATTATCAATCTTTACAGTATCAGACAGGCAGCATAGAAACAATTTAGTATGAATCTTAGTGGCCTGACGTAGCGAATGAGCTATATATTCAAGCTGTCTACTTAAACCACCAGATATGCAGAACTGTAATCAACTTGATATACCACACATCTTGTTATTCAGATAAAGAATCTCAACCCAAGACAAATCATTACCCAGCACCAATTTCTAGTTTCTACTCAAAAGTAAGATTTGGAATAATAGAGACAAGCGAAAAAAAAGGATTAGAAGGGAATGTGTATGCACCATGTCCTGTCCCCAAAAGAATTTCTGGCGCCAAGTAGTCAGGAGTCCCCATTGCAGACCGCTTATCTCGCCTTTCAGGCTGATGCTCTGATGTTGGCAATTTTGGTTTCTCTTCAACAACCAGAGGCGTTCCACTGAAAACAGGACCAGAGAGATCACTGGTGCTGTTGATGAGACCAACTTTTGAGAGCCCAAAATCTGTCAACTGCTCAGTTGAAACAAAAAAGGTACCATAAGATCTACAGGGAAGCATGGTTCTTATCAATGTAATATACATCTCATAAATGCAGAGGCTAGTTTCCCTTTACGAGGTTCAGATAACAAAATACTCTAATCTCCACAATATCACGTTGCATGACATCAACAAAACATTCGAAAGGCCTGATATTATACAACATAAGTTCCTAAGTGGTTATTACCTTAACATGACCATCATGTGCAATTAGCAAATTGTCAGGTTTCAGATCACGATGCACAACACCCTCAGAGTGTAAATATTCCAAAGCAAGGACCTGAAATGGTTAATCGACATTGAACCACAGCATCTTGATAAATTTTCTCTTTTTATTATGACAGCATGACCTGTGAGAGTATTGCACACTTACAACTTCGGCAATGTATACACGAGCGTTAGTTTCATCCATGCAACCTATTTTTCTCAACATTGAATACACATCCCCTCCATTCAGGTATTCCATCACAAGATACAGGTTCTCGCGAGAGGTAAAAGAATAGAAGAATCGAACCTGGTCAAAAGAAGGTTAAGTTAGAAAAAAAGGAAAACCACTGCAGAGGACAAAATATGCTTTAGAAGCTAGAGCAGCTCACCACAAAGGGATTGTGGGCTTTGATCAAAATATCTCGTTCAGCAAGTATACCTTCAACAGCATTCTTTCGAATCATATCTGCCTTTTTCAGAACCTATGGAGTTTGACAGCCCCACAAAACAAGATTTAAACAACCGTTCGACTAATATAGCCGACCAAGTCAGCCCTAATTGCAGAGACAGAATCTTTCACAAGAGTAATAAATGCAAAACGAACTGAAATTTAGAGCACCTTAATTGCAAATAGATCTCCTGTTGTTATCTTTCTAGCCAAATAAACTTCCCCAAAAGCTCCCCTACTTATTTCTTTTATGTGCTCAAAATCCTTTATGGATATGCGGTCCCGCAAATGTACTGAGCTGGTCCTCAAGCTGCTTACAACATCGCATTCAGAAGGAGCATCTTCATCAATTACGGTGCTTGATAGGTCAACGTCTTCAACATCCAGTAACTCGCACAGCCGGAGATACTTTTCCCTACACAATAAAGAAAAAGATTCTTTCAATATTTGCCTCAACTGACAGCTGGAGAACACTTCTGGAGACCAGAATACATCTCCCAGAACATTTGCGTTGCAATCAAAGACAGCAGGGGGAGAGATCCGAAAATATATTTAACAAAAAAATAGTGCTCGGAACTCACTGTATTAACTTTTCTATGTGTGTCCCAAAAGTTTCTACGATAAGCGCATCAAACTTTCTCCGTTTCATGACAACCTTCAAGTCTTGAAGACAAGCAAGTAAGAGTTTACCATCATCTTGACTGGAACTTGCTGCGGATCTTGAAATGTGAGCAAGTTCAATAATCTGCATCATCAGTCGTCCAGGATGTTATTGGTCAGTGCGCATATGCAATAGCAAAAGACTAGGAAGATAAGAACATAGAGCAGAACCATCACAAACCTGCGGAATATCATCCTTGTCATGGAATGTACCCTTGCCTCTGAATAACAGCACGGCTGGATCAAAACGAGTTCTGCATGACATTGAAGGTAAACATCTCATATCATCCACGAAAGCTGAATTATCAGCCTCCGGAAAACAATCAAGCATGTCCTCCGACCCTGTTCGCGACAAGTCAGTTAACTTTAGGGAGAGAACATCAGATTCCCCGGTCAAGCTAGCGTTAGATATTTCTATACCCTCTGGGCTTTCTATCACTGCTAGGCTATCCTTGTGCTCTATTATGTTTTCAAGAGATACAGCAACTACCACCAGCCGCTCATCAAAACTCACACCTTTCTGGTCATATTTATGAACCATTGCACAGATTCTAGAATGATATCCCACGTGAGTGAAGGGAACGTCTTCCTCGCAAATACGACAAAGAATTGAACTCTCCTCAGAAATACATGGCTGATCCCCCCAATAACCCCAAGAAGTATTGTGCCGGTGATTGGACAATTTTTCTGGAGGACAGTCTGGCGGCGGCGTAGCAACAGCCATACCATCACTCGTAGCGACTCCATTTTTCACCACCGTTGGAGGTTCAACTTTGCAATCATTCTGCTCTTTTGCTACTGCAGCTTCTTTTACATCCTTCGATTCGGAATCCTCCTTTAAGGCCTTGGCAGCACTTGAACCCCTCCCATCCCTAACTCTTTTATATGTCGAATGCAATACTCTTGACTGACATAGATCTATGATTGCTTCCTCCTGTCCCCAACTTTCCTTGTGGGACTGAAACAATCTAGTACACCTGGCAAGTATAAACAACAACCGAGTGTGAAGCTGCTTGAGCACGCCCTTGGGAAGCTCTTGACGTCTATCATCCAAGCATTGAACTATGCCTTCACACTGAAGCCAGAACGTTCCCGGAGTCATCTCAGTACATGTCTGTGCCAAAACCAACAAGTTCTCAATGGTTTTCCGCAACTTAGGATGGATCTCCGCATTTTCGTCAAGAATTTTCATCAGGTCTTCAACAAATATTACAAGGTCCAAATTCACAGCTTCCTTTGCTAAATCAAATTTGGTACGAATTAGATCCAGCATTTCCTGCATAACACAGACGATTAGAACATGAATTGAATAAACTTTCAAATGAAATTTCATACAGAGACTGTGACTACCTCCAAGCTTTTGGACCTACGAGACTTCCATGATGGAAAAGGCCCTACACTTTTCGAATCCAACTCATGAGAAAAGCTCTTCATGTCACCAGGAAATGTCTTTCTTGGAGCACTGCTCATAAGACGCAAGTGTTGACGATAACGAGAGGATTCTGGCTCTTTTGAATTTTCCAATTCACACGATTTCTAGAAAAGATAGACGTCAAGTCACCAAATGTCACTACTCTTTCAATTTTATTTCATTTCTTTTATGAAGGTAAGGAGAAACAAATACCTCTACTGCGCAAATTTCTGAGCTTCCTGCAGAGCATCGGCCAGGAGGCAATGCCTTGTATTGACCTGCTCAGAAACATCAAAAATCAAAACTTGAGGAGCAAAAAGCAATAAAAGTACGAACGATCAGGAGGATTTTGAGCTTACCGCTTCCCGACGCCGGCAACGGTACGACCGGAATTGGATTATCTCTCGGAAAACTGAAAAAAAATTCCTGCGGCGACAGGCTGGACCTCGTGGCTTTTTTGCCCTTTGACGAATCATTCTTTTTTTTTGGTTTTATTGACGAACCATTCTTCTTCCACTTGAAACTCTCGACTCCGGCGTAGAACAAGGCGGTGAATTTCCTAGGGCTTAGGATTTCCTCTATCGAATTGAATTTCGCTTTCTTATTGCCGACAAATTGCCGACCGTTAGAGCTATCGGAAGAAGCCGATGGTTTCTTCGTGGAGCAGAAGAGCTTCTTATTCCTGTACACGATGTCTGACTTCCCGCAAAAAGGCATATCTAAAATCCTTACGCAGCAATTCCAAACACCATTTTTCCACTAACTGGCAACAAAATCTAGCTTCTCAATATCCGGTGAAGAAGACGGCGGCGAAGAAACGGTGAGGCGTAGTCAATGCTGCTGCTAATGACGAAGCTTGACTGTGATTAGACGCTAATCACCTCCCGGAGATTAAGGTTAGTATGGATTAGAGGACGACGTTGTTTGAGTAATTGTGCAGAGAAGATAAAGTCTATGAACAGATTTTCTAGAGGAGTTTTATGCACAAGTGATGAATTTAATGCGACTTTAAGAGTAAATACATATTTTGGGTAAAAAGGTAAGAAAGTTATAATTATGATTAATATTAGAAAAAAAATAAAGTTTTTCCACATATTAAAAATAAAAATAAAAAGTCAACAGTTTTCTATGATTTTTAACCAATGATAATTCAATAGTTTTAATTAGTTTTCCTAAAAGTTGTAGTTAATCATTACTCCCTCCGTTTCAAATTAGTTGTCGTTTTGGCAAAATGTATTTGCAAATATTTGGACGTATCTGGACATGTTTTGCATTGCAGATACGTCCAAATATTTGCAGATACATTTTGCCAAAACGACAACTAATTTGAAACGGAGGAAGTATTAGTTAAGTAAAAAGGCATTAAAAACTTTGAATATTCATTTTTTAGAAAACAAATAAAATTGGGGGAAATTCTACTTTCAGAAACAGGGAAAGTATTTAATTAAATCTAACTAAATTTTAAATTTATCAATATTACCTATGTATTTATGCTCAAATTCGATTAGATTTAATTAAATTTTAAATTTACAATTATTGTTAAAATTTAATATATTCATATCAATTATCAAGTTGGCAAAATATGATTTACGTGTTGCGTTGTATTTAGATTTTTCATATTTTTATTTGTTTGTTACGTAATTTTCTATATGTGAGTACAATTTATGATTAAATTTTATATAATATAGATTTATATATTATATATATATATATTTCTAAGAAAAAAACTTAATCGAAATGGTGAAATAAATTCTATTAAGTGGTTTATATATTCGGAAACAAGCTATGTAATCAACGAGAATATAGTGTACTTTTGAGACAAAATGATTCTGGAAAAGTTTTATACACTACAAATCAGCAATTATACTTTTGGAAAAGTTACATGTAATGTAATGCACTAAATGCAATTAATGCTAAATTTAATACAATTAATTCTTGTTGTTGTGTCTTGCTGTCTTCCTTTTTCAATATTATGATTTATTTTGGAGCAAGATTTCAGATATGTATGTATTCCCATTTTACAAATACTAGTTTGAGTCAGTTTAATCCATTCTAAGACGATTGGTTTAAGAATTTCTTTTTATTTATTTTTCTTGTTTGAATATTAAAATTTCAAAATTATTAAAAAGATCTAAAATTCTCCAAATTCATCAATCAACTTCATCAATCAACTGAATAAATACCAAATTCGACGTATATTATGTAAATTCAGTTCTCCGTCTAAATTTCCGGATCTTTCTAGGAATTTTTGTTGTTGACAAAAAAAAAACAAATTCATCAATCATTCCAAATTACTCTTATACTTCTACAAACTTTCCCTCTCTCTATTAAAGTATATTTTTGACAATTAAGTTGGAGATTGCTTCTACAACTACATGTTGCCATCATCATCATTATACGAGGTAAACCTTCAGATTCCCAATAACATTTGTTGTTCTGATCACATTCGTTCTACTCTGAAGCAACAATTACTCGGAACTTGCGACAAAGCTCTCTAGTTTTTTTCAAGCAAAACTCAAATTAGGCATCATCAAATAAAATTGTTCTCAAACCTTATATTGGACCAGATATGGCGAGACAATGAGGCAACAGTTCAACTATTGTTGGATAGATCCGCACATCAATTGATCCAAAACTACGTTCTACCTAATGTCACTATTAAAAATCAGTTGGCGGACATACTAACGAAAACCTGGCCCATACCTCATTTCAAATATCTTTTTGTCTAAATTGGATATTTGTAATCTCATATTTCCAACTCGAGGGGAAGTAATGGTATAATTACTATATTAAATTTAGATAAGTCTATCTAAACTAAAAACTACTCTTGTGTAACTATTTTGCCTTTGGCACTATGGTAAAGAACGATTAACGTACAAGTTATTTTATTGGCAGTTGGCACTATTCAAAATAGTGTAAATATCATCGTAATCAAGGAAGCAATAAGACAAGATAAAGAAAGATCAAAGACGAGTTGACTTAAAAGAATGACAAAAATAATAATAAAGAAAGACGCATCTAACAGAAGACTTAAAGTCGTTGACTCGTCGTCGTTAAAGTAAAAGACCCCTATTTTCTCTACCTCGTGCTCACAATATCAAAAGTCTTCTTGGAGACAAAGATGAAGATGTTCTTTACTAAAACGTTTACGAGGTTGATCGCTCAACGTCACAGCCAAGTGTCTTCTACTACTAGCAATCTCTCAGCTGCTCCATTATCGCATCCAGCTCCACAATCTTCCACCTCTCTTGAGATCCAATCGATTTCTTCGGCTACACCACCTACAAGTAGTTTGTTCGTGCTCTTTAATCTATGCTTAAGCGATCTGAATCTTGGTAATATATGTTCATGAATATAGGATTCGTTTCTTTATTTTTCTAAATGTTTTGCAGAAAAGAAAGGAGGATCAGCGTCGTTGTGGTTCTTTGCTGGATTGATTACATACGGTCTCGGGGAGACGTTTAAGATCGTACAAACAGAAGTGGTCTGTGATTTCATTTTATATTAACTTAATTATTGGTCCTGTTCTTCTTGTTTTTACTATAGATAATATATATTTGAGTTTAATCTATAATATGATCGATAATGATTTTGTTCCAATTCTTTGTTTCAAGTACAAGAAACATCTGGAATTCAGACGAATGTGCTTGGAAGTGGAACCAAGTAGGCTGAATACAACAAAAGATGTTGATAGGTTAGGATTTCGACGGGTTGTATGCAAAGGCGTTTTCGATAATGAAAGATCGATCTATGTGGGTCCAAAGCCTAGATCCATGGCTAAAGGTTCTGAAAATGGCTACTATGTCATCACACCTCTCTTGCCAATCCCTAGTGAACCAAATAGGTGAGTGGTTTTCTCTCTTTCATGTGCAAACCAGATTAAAGTCTTTGTGGTCTCGTTATCATCTTGAATTCTTGATGCAAATCTCTCTTGTATTAATGTGTCGTTTGTTTATGTGTTAAAAATTGGATACAATATTATTGGAGATACAGTATGTAGGAAGCAAGTTAAGTATTTTGTGGACCAACTATTGTGGACCAGACTATGAAGTGATTTTGGTGAAATCCGAAAGAAGAATTGTCCCACAAGAGTTGGTCTACAATAATACATAGAGAATCTTTTTTTCTTCCTAAATTATGGTCAATAAACATCTAGACTACAATGAAAATACTTGCCAATTTTGTGTGTTTTTTCATTTTGATTTTGATTTTAAGTGCATCTAGATTTTCTTTCGAACACACATATAAATAAGGTTTACATTTAAGTTTAAAACTTACTTTACTTCTTCCTTTTGTCATTAGTGTGAAGTTCCCTATTCTAGTAAATCGCGGATGGGTTCCTTTGGATTGGGAAGAGAAGTCTCTAGAATCTAGAGAAGCTAATGTTGTTGAAAAAGCTAATAAACTACTCTCCTATCAACAAAACCTCTTGTCAAAGTCCTTGTATAAGTTCAACAACCCAATGATTGATGAGGTTGGTCCAAAACCATTTCATAATCTTCAAAAGGTACTCAATATTTTAATTGCATATCAATTCTCATAGATACGTTTTGTGGTGTAATATCTTACAAGGAGCAAGCCTCTAAGGCTATGCATGTGGAAGTGGTTGGTGTAGTTAGGAAAAGTGAAGTTCCAGGCATGTATTCTGTAGTAAACTATCCAAGTTCGCTTGCATGGTTCTTCCTTGACGTTCCTAAGTTGGCTCAAGCCATGGGATTTGGTGAGGACATGATCTACGTAGAGAAGACCCACAAAGATATGGATGAAAGTGAATCTTATCCAGACCCTAGACACGTTGAGGACTTGATCCGTAGTAAAAAGATACCACTGGACCAGCACCTTTACACTATTTTATGGTAATTAATTCAACAACATAACTTCGCACTTATTGCACTAGTTAATACTTACTGATTTGTTTGTTTTATGGTGGTGTGCGTGATTATGTGCAGGCACTGGAGCTCTCTAGCTTGCTTTATGAAGTGGAATTCGAGAGTTATTCAAAAGTATGCTAAAATTTTTCCCACTGGTGGTTTTAAGCCAATAGTGTTTCCTACTGGTTTTAAGAGAAAAACGATTATATCTTGTTTTCTTTATTTTATCGTTAGCAAAATGTATAGTCTTCGTGACTTATTTTGCGTAATAGACACTATTGGTGTTGGGTGTGTCACTAAACTCGACCCGGGGCAAAGTGATAGCATAGATTCAGTTCGAGATCGCATTTGGCATCGACTGAAATCGGCGGCAAGTGCACTCAAGAATCGAGGAAAGGATATGGACCATTCGGACATCGAAGAAAAGTTATGGACCATCAACTCGATATTAAGAGAAGGAGAAGAAGACAAGATGAAGAGGAGATAAATGTTTTTTTTTGTTTGGTATGAATGTTACGAGGAGATAGTTTAACTATATTTTTATTTAGAATAATCACACTTCTAATTAATTATTTTAATGTAGTTTTGCATCAAAGATTACGGAGTGAGAGTCAGATCTTGCAAAAATATTGAAAATTCTGGTTGATTTTTGCATAAAACTTAGCTTGAAGGTTCAAAAAAAACTTTATTTAATTTAATCATATCGGATCAGGGAAGGACATCAGGTTGATCCTTGACAGGCATGGCGGCCAGGTGTGTCTTCTTCATCAAATCTCGCGCACGTGATAAAATGACAAAAATACCCTCGAAATATATTATCAATTTTTTTGTCATTTTCTTTCTCCAATCATTCGTATTCTCCCCCATTCTCTTCTTCCTCTCTCTCTCTTTCGCATCAGCCATGGCGGTTTCTATCTTCATCCCTCCAAAACCTCCTTTCTTCTACCCAATCTAGACATCTCTCTCGATTCCGCTTTCGTATCTCCTTCCTCGACGTTTCTTCATCGTCCGTGTATGCAATTCGGTAAACCTTTTCAATTTACCTGATTATAATGGCAATTGTGACGGGAGATCGGTATGTTGAGAAGCTACAGAAATTTCTAGAAGATGAAGCCGAGTCGCTTCTCGAAGAAACAATGATTCTCAAGCTGAATCCAGCTGGTCTTCACTATATTCATCTCCGCCTTGAGTCTCTCCGCGAGCTCGAGCGCATGGTCACTGGTGCTCCTGTCGACTACCTTCGCGCTTACGTTTCCGATCTCGGAGATTACCGAGCACTCGAGCAGCTCCGTCGTATCCTCCGAATCCTCACTTCACTTAAAGTCGTTTCTACGCTCCCCTGGCCGGCTCGTGATCCGACGCCGTTATCTCTTATTCCCTTCGGTAGGCTTAAGGTTTTGGAGCTTCGCGGGTGTGATTTGTCTACTTCTCCGGCTAAGGGCTTGCTTGAGCTCCGCCACACCTTGGAGAAGCTCATCTGCCATAATTCCACTGTCAGTTTTCCTTAAAAACCATTTACTTAGCTTTGACTCCTATCGCATTTCTGCTATTATGCTTTGAGATGGATTATAGTTGTGTATCGTGTTGCTTTAGGTTGTATAGAGAAATTGAACAGTTGAGGTTTCTTTCAAGAAGTTTTTTAAGAGGCAAGATTGAATGATTGCGTTTTATGCATATGCTAAACTTGTGTGTGAATCGTTTGAATAATGTATTTGTTACCATATGGTATAGGATGCGTTGCGGCATGTGTTTGCGAGTAGGATTGCGGAGATAACGAATTCGCAAGAGTGGAAAAAGTTGGCGGTCATATCATGTTCTTGTAACCGTCTTGTGCTCATGGATGAGTCCTTGCAGCTTCTGCCAGCTGCTGAGTCGCTTGATCTGAGTAGAAACAAGTTTGCAAAGGTGGATAATCTTAGGAGATGCACCAAATTGAAGCACCTTGACCTGGGTTTCAATCATCTTAGAACAGTCTCTCACTTGAGTCAGGTGGGGAACTTCAGGTTTCATTTAGTCCAAAGTTCGTATTCTTATTGTCATTTGAGGCTTTGAGCTGTCTAGTTTCCTCCACAGTTTGATAAATGGGTTTTATGTTTGAAAACATGTATTGGTGCTGAAGTTTTAATTCTGATTTCACCCTTGGGACCAATATACTGATGTTTTTGGGAAATGCAGGTATCCTGTAATCTTGTAAAACTTGTTTTGAGGAATAATGCTCTTACTACGTTGCGTGGGATCGAGAACTTGAAGTCACTCGAAGGCCTTGATGTTTCCTACAATATTATCTCCAACTTTTCAGAACTGGAGCTCCTTTGGAGTCTTTCACTACTGAAAGAATTATGGCTTGAAGGAAATCCAGTGTGTTGTGCTCGGTGGTACAGGGCACATGTCTTCAGCTACATTGCTCTTCCAGATGATGTAAGTTTGTTTTTCTTTATTCTTGTTTTAGAGATCCTGGAATCTTATTGGCTTGTGTGCTTGATTTTTTTATGCTTCCTTTGCTGTGCGGCTGTTCAGCTGAAGCTAGATGGGAAACATATAGGAACTAGAGAATTTTGGAAAAGGAAAATCATAGTAGCCCATAGGCAAAGTGAGCCTGCTAGCTACGGATTCTACTATCCAGTTAGAGAGGAAGGTAATGAAGAAGGAATCTGCACTAGAAAAAAGGTAAGCAGACGCAAGTCTATATATACATATATATTATTCACTCTTGCCCGTTAATTAGTCATTGTGGTGTGATTTTGTGGAGAATGTTTTGAGCCACACACATGTCCCTTTCAGCTTTTCTGTTTGTGCTTTTCAGTATCTTGGTTGATAAATAATAGTTGTTCTGTTTTATTCTTGATCAGAAAAGAATCTGCCGGCTTGCTTCTATTGATAGCAAGGAAGAGAGCACCTACGTGAATTCTGACCAAGAGTCAGCTTCATGTGATCACGAGAACAAAGAGAATTTGAAGTGTGATCAAGAGGCCCATATATTTGATCTTATAAGGAAAGTCGAAAACCTGAAGAAAGAACGTTCTGTTTTGTGGTTGCGAGAGTTCAAGGAGTGGATGGCCCATTCATCAGAGGATCTTGCAGATATCAGCAAAGATAGCTTGGGTATTGATATGGAAAAGAAGTACTATACAAAGACTAAAGAAATCTCAAGGCAGCATGGTGGAAAACCAAGATATGCGTCCAGGTCTTCACGAGCTTCAAGAGATAAGAGCCATAAGAAAAGTTTACAGTGCAATGGTTCAGATGTGGATCATAAAACCGTTACGGATGATATGAAGTATGTTGAAGGTAATGAGACACACAAGATAACTGATGACATCTCTTCGTTAGGCCTTCGAAGCACAGATCAAAATCAGAAGTATCAAGAATTCTTAGGCGATGAGAGAGAAACTGTGTCAGTTGATCCATACTACCTGTTTCCTACAGAACATGCCACGGAGAAGTTAGCTGAAAACGGATTGTCAACATTGGATATAAGCCAGGATTTGACTTTGACGGGATCATTTTCGTCATCAACATATCCTGGGTCACCCCCTCATTATCAGAAAGATGTCTTATATCGACGTCATAACTTGGTGGAAGAAATCTTACAACTGTCTGCAGATTCTTATTCAGTGGCATCATCTGATAGCACAAGCAGCTGCAGTGAGGATATTAACTATGACTCTGAGTCTGAGTATTCGAATCATGACAACGGTCGCTTGACAGATCTTCTTAATGTGAATAGACTAGGGGAGGAGATTCCAGAACGTGAACCAAAAGTAACAAGCTCTCTTGATTCTCAACGGGAAAATGGTAGCATGATAGAAACTCTGAGGACTGATGAATCGATGAAGGAGAATACTGAAGTGCATAATGGTGAACTTGATTCTGCTGTTAATCAGATTTACCATTTGGTTGAGACGAGGAAAACCAAAAGGAAACCTATAAAAAGATTTGTTTCCTTTCAGAAAGAGGAAAGTTGTATTACTAATGGAGAGACATCTCTCGGGAGTGATGCAGATAATTTTGGTGAAGATTGGTGTATGTCTGATCAATTGCACGAAAGTTCCCTGTCAACGGTTTGTAGTAGTAGTAAATGTAAAACTAGGTATTTGGGGGCTGAAAGAACACACGAAGGAGAAGGTGATTTGGTAGAGGAATATTTTTCAGCCAAACTGTCAGATTCCAGTTGTCAAGAAACTTGTAGGACTTACATGACTTTTGACTTTATTCTACAGAAAGGTTCCACGTACAAGCAAAGGTGAGTTTTTGTTCCATTTGCATGATTGTAATTTATAGTTAAAGAATAGTAATGCAAGTCCCCTATCAATAGGTTTATACGTTAGTTTTGGTAGTTGATTCCTTACATGCCGAGGGGAAAGAAATGTCATCCTATTCTAGTATGGCTAGGCTTTATAAATATTCAATCAACTTGATAGCACTAGATTTAGATGCTTTTGGCTTCTTTTAAGTTGTGATGTGTGAATAATCTTATGTGCCTGTCGTTTTTTTTTTTTATAAAACTGCATAGCTAGTGGAAAAGCAACATCATACTAGGATGCTATCTATTCTCTTCCTTTCTAACAAAATTCTGAAACACAGGGAAGCAGTGTTGCTGCTGAGTAGCCTAGACAAGTTGTACGTGCTACTCTTGGGTGTTTCTGCTCAAGGTTAGACTAATCAGCTCTCTTACTCTGCCTATCACGTCATAAGTTCGTCTGATGCTGATTTCTTATTGGCGATGGGTGTCTGCAGGGAGTACCTTAACTGTACAGTGTTCCCATAAAATCAAAGATTTACAAGACGTTTCAGTTGGTCTAGGACTTCAATTTGTGAGGTTAGTCTTTTCTGATTTGGCTTTGTAGGTTTGGTTCTTTGTCCATGTCCCTGAATCTTTCTCTTTTCTTCTGTATAGGCTACGCTTTTGTGAGGACGCAGAATACATTTTCGTAACGAGGTGCATTGAGAAAACGATTGAACTACTTAACATCATTCAAGTTGTTGATTCTCAGGCCATAGGATTTAAATGTTCTCTGGGAAGGTAAGCTATCAACTTTCAAACAATAGTCGGCTCTGTAAACTTTTGCTGTCTTTTACTTTATAAATTTTTTTTCTTGCATGTTAATGGCAGTTTGGAGAAGGTTCAGGTGGACTTGTTTGAGAAAGAAATTTGTGGAGGGCTGAAGCATAGTATATTCCAGTACAACGTTATCCATTTTGATAGCAGCAATCTTGGAGGTAAATTCTCTCTTATGTAACTATGATAAGGAAGTTGCTATTTTCTTAAATATGGAACACTGCGTCCAGTAAAACCTCCTGCTCAAGCTGTAACCTGTAATCACTGATTTGATTACGTTTCTGCTCGGTCAAAACCAAACAGAAGTGTCGTGGCCTTTGCGGTCGCTATTTGTGTCTGGTGGGCGTCTCTTCATATGCAATGAGGACTTCACACAACTTAGTTCTCGAACATCACATACTTCCTCTGCTCCATATTTCTTACTTGACTCGTGCTGCTCTGTTTCCGACGTATCCGAGATGGTAACAAGCTTCTCCACTTTTCTTTCCCATAGCTCACTTCCATTTATTATTGCATGAGATGAGATCGCAACTTCTCGTATACGAACTTGATTATTGTCCTTGTCCAGATTGTTGAATCGCAAGGAAGTGTTGTGTCATTAAAGATCAAAGAGAACAGAAGAGTGGATTCAGTTACATGGAAGCTCAAGTGGTGCAGCACTAAGAATGCTCTCAAGTTTGTGGCTTTGCTCAAAGCTCTTCACCCCGATTCGTCACAATGGCCGTTGGTTGTTAGATACAGGAGATAAATCGTCGTTTACCTTTTTGTTTTTCACGGTCACTTTTTGTAGCTAGTGATGTATATACGCACATGTACATTGTTCATATTCATTTGATTCAATTTTGTTTACGGGTTAAAAGTTAAAGCCATTCTTTCTATGAGCTCTTTTTAAAGAACAGGTTAGGTTTGGAGTCTTCGTAGGAGCAATTTGGAATCTACAAAACAAACATTGTGGTTGGGGATAAAATTTAAACAACCAGTAATTGTACACGCAGGCATACAGAGGAAGCTAAGAACTAAGAAGCACACGACTCCAATCCCAAGTGACATGTGGATACACATTTTGGGTTTGTAAGCTTGGTGGTTAGCAGCTGAACTGATCTCGCTTTGTTCGGACAAGTTCCAGCGGTAATCTCTCTAGTGCCATCTGAAAATTTTCACAAGAATCGTTTACCGTATGATCCAAATCATACATAAGTGAAGAAAAATCCTGATAAGACTGTTAGATTGTGTCTCACCCAAAGTCTCGGAGCCGTTGGATCAGATTTCGGTTGTCCTTTGGCTAGATTCGACTTGAAAGTTATGGTGATGCATACCTTGAACTCCACTGAAAAGGGACTGTTCCACAAAACACACATTGGATCACAGTGATCAGCCAACCAATTAGAGCCATTTGTTTCAAAAAATGAAGCAAAGAACCTTACCCTGCGAAAACGGAAGGACACATGAGAAGCCGAGGAAGTAAAACGTAAATGGGTAGAGTCATGTTACGGCACACATCTCCATCTGCAATCTGAACATGAAGACGATAAGAAGAACGGTCTTAGTTTCTTAGCAAAGCATTTTGATATCACAGTTATCACATAAACAAACTACAATCGTCAAAGTAAACCTGTGTAGACTGAATCAAAGAGGTCTCAGTGACAATTCTCTCCCCCACAATTATTGACTCAACTCGAAGTAGATGAATGTCGATAGAAGTTATAGGAACTGAAGATGCTTCCACTGTTAACTCGCCACTGAGTGGATCCTCCAAAGAGCATTGAGTGGCTATTTTTCCGGTTACACGGAAACCACCTTGTGAGTACAATAGTCCTATTAGTCATCTCACTAACAGATCAAACAAACGGCGAAATCTCCAAATTGGAGTGAAAATGTTGGAAGAACAAACCTGCTTTGATCTCAGGAAGTAACGGATGTCTCTGAGTGTCTTGAGTGATGTAGAAGATGACCATTTCTGGAGGAATTGGCCGCTCAGGAAGATCAACTTTAACCACAAAAAAACAACAAAGTACATCACAAACTACTCAAAATTTGTCCTACAAACATCAATGAAGTGAAGAAAAAGTACCTCTACCGCTCTCAATTATAAACTCCATCGTTGCAGATAGCGGTTTGTACAAGTATCCTCGAGGTATATCTGCAGTTAGTAGATACTGTCACAGATTTTTGCATCAATTTTTTTTTTCCATTTCTCAGATGAAACCCCTAGAATATTCTTCCACAATGATCAAATTACTGACTTGGATGTTTATATTTGTTCCATGAAATGTCTCATAAAACTTTTCGGCAATGGGTTCTCCATCCTCCTTCAGATTTACAGAGAATGGTATCTGCAGTAACCAACACAATCATTCAGCTCAAGTTTCAAATTTTTTTGATCTTACTAATTGTTGATAACCAATAACTCAACAAAAGACAGTGTATTTACTACCTCTGTAGTTCCGGAAGCAAATTTCCCAGAAGATCTAACTTCGATCGTCTTTTTGCTGTGGCCATGAACATTCAAATTTTTAGCTTAAGCTCAAGCAATTTGACATCGAATTCGGAAAATTCGAAATACGCAAAACAGAGAAACAATGCTTACACGATGTGAATGGGTTTGATGACACCGTAGAAGGACTCTATAACTCCAGCTGATCCTCCACGAACCTGAGATCATACGAGATTTTAGTCGAATTGAATGTCCATGAATTGAAACAAAGCTCAATTTAGAATCTGAAACCTGCAAATTGACCGATCCGTTTACGGATAAACGTATTCCTTGGTGGGAAATCGAAGTAGGAGATTTTATCACTATTTTTCCTTCCACTGGTTCCTGAGTAAAATGAGAACCAGAGATTTCAAATTCATCTTCATCGTTAAAGTTCCTAATCATAAGAAAGAGATTCGAGACATACGTAAGAGCGATAGATACGATTTGATCGAGAAAGTTTGACATTCACCGTCGTCGCCATTGAACCACCGAACTGAGCTGCCGCAGCAGCAGGCAGGAGTTTTGTGGTTATTCAACGGCGGGATAAATGAAACGGCAAGGAGTTCTATGTGGTAGAAGACAAACAGCATGGTGTCTCTACCGAGACAGAAATGTTGATAAAACGACAAGCAGTTAGTATCTGAAAGTTGGAAAACAGCATGAAGTGTAACTCAAGGCGATATCATAAAAAAATCCAAAAATCTCTCCGGAGGAGCCGGACGTTAAACAGAGGAGTACACTTTCTTCTGACACAGATATGAATTCAGAGAGAAAGCTTAAACCCTAATGTCAGAGAAGATGTGGAAGAAAGGGGAATTAGTGTGGGTGACCTTAAATCCTTCAGAATCATGGATTCCGGGTCGGATTCAGGATCCATCAAACACTTTAGGAGTTCTGATTTCGTTCTTCGGCCTAATGGAACCGCGATACGTACCCAAACCTTGTCTCCGAAGCTTCGATCGCGATTTCGGAGCTCTGGTTGCGGATTCATGGAGGTTTCGCCGGTTTGTGAACCGAGCTCTGCGAGCCCACTTTTGGAACATCTCGTTTGGGCTATGGTGTTCATGCCAGCCGCCGATCGATTCGCCGCACTTCGACGAAGAAAAGTCTCTCCCTTGGTTTCCTCTAACTTCGGATCCAGCTCTGGGTTACGTTCGAGATATGGCTATTTCGCTACGAGTGCCTCTCCGGAGATTAGCTGAGACCAACAGCTCGACCGCTCAAATCCTTAGCTTCCGGCGTTACACTGTTGATTTTAACCGCTCGGAGTCTGTCTATGAAGAAATTAGAGAAAGTAAGTGTGAAATTCTGCTTTCTGGGTTTTCTCATTTTGATTATATGCTTTAGAACTTGCTCAAGGCATATAATTGACACTGTTTCGTTCGATTTGTTTGAGAATTACTTAAAGAAGCCAACTTTGATTCTTGATCTATATGCTCTGTTCACACTTGACCAAGGCATTGCTATGATCTCTTCATACACAGACATTGCTATGATTTGTATTCTCAGATAATTGTGTGAATATGTGTACAGGTGCAAAGCTAATGGATACCTCAGAAGAATCAGATTGGTATCTCGAGACGTCGGATGCAGACGTCGAAAACAGTAGAGTTATGAGTCTTGGAGATCCATTGCCGAAGGATATCCCTTGTTGTTCTTCTCCTTCTTTTGAGCAGCCATTCGATAAAGCAATTCAGATTTGCACATGGAGTAGTAATAGGAACCTTTTAACCAACTCTGGTTCTAGCGTTATGAAAGCTTGTGGAACCACGGTTCGAACATCTGATCACGAGGATGATTGCCACTCGTCAAAGAGCAGAGAACAACGGTGTGAAGTTGAGCAGAGTATCTGCTTGCTGAATTCAGAACCTCTTATGGAAGATCTAATAGAGGAAGACACCACTAACGCTGTGAACCCAAGAGTTGCGGTATCAGAAGTACCTCGTGATGTAATTATGACTGAAACTCATGATGACTGCATTGTTGATGCGAGTAAAGACAAGGCTTTTCTGGCAAAGCCTGTTTCTTTTGCTGTCCCCAAAGCCTGCAAGAGTCTAGCATCTTCAGTGAAAGAAGCACATTCTAACCCAAGAAACAAGCTTGTTGGCTCTATGATCAGTACCCAGACTTTGGATGAGGAATCGTCAGATAAGAACAGTTTTAATGGAACACGTGAGAACTGCTTTGACAATGCATTGAAGTCGCAAATTGTGGAAGTAGGAAACAAAGAACTCCGTTCTGATGATCTAGGCACTGCACCTGCAGAACAGTTACAAGATTTGGAAGCTGCCGCATCTGTTGAAAGCCAGACGAGAGCTGATGATAATGTCAAATCCATTGGGATCAAAAGGAAAGCTAGTCGAGACAAAGCATCTACACGTAACTCCAAGAGAAAGAAGAAAGCAGGCCAGCAATCTGTTACCACTGATAAACCGCTGGATCTACACCTTAAGAAAGATATGCGGCTTGCTGATCCAAAATGTTTGCGGATGAAGTTCTTGGGCAGACATGTGAATCTCCCATCAAAATCAGAACTGTTGAAGAGATTCAGCGTGTTTGGGAAAATAGACGCTTCAAGAACTGATGTAAACCCAGGGGAAAGCTCTGCGAAAGTTGTATTTCTGCAGAGCATAGATGCAGTGACGGCTTATCAGTTTGCAAGGGGCAAAAAGTTTAAGCTAGGACGGTCTAAGGTAGTGTATCGGCTCGACGCCTTTGAGCAAGACAATGAAGTAAACAAAGACAATGCAGTAAACCAAGTTCCTGTGTCTGAGAAGCCTCAAATGTCCGTTCCATCACCAAGATCATGTCTCAAGAAACATGGTTCCGTAGATAAAGAAGAGGGAAGAAGCCCTCAGAAGGTGAAATTTCAAATGGAGACTAACTGATGAAGACCATCATCTCAATAGTTTTGTGCATAGCTTATGTCTCTCTCACGGAAATGCCCTTGTAAAGTAGCTAAGGGACTCTATATCTAACGTAGAACTTGCAGGTGTTTTTGGCGCTGAACCTTGCTTGTATAATCTTAGCTTTTGTTTTGTTTTAGAGATGACATAGTTTGCACTTAGATATGTAAAATAGCTTTGACGATGAATGTGACTATGAACTAGTTTCCACTTATTCTGCTTTGGCGCTTATTATTTTCCTGTTAAGAAATTTGGTGACTTAACGAAGAATAAGTTGCAAGGAAGTAGCAAGCTGTGAGTATATTATTAAGTTCCAAAAGCAAAAAGTTATACAGCAAGGCCAAAGGCAATAGTTTATACTAAGGCAGGTCGCTTCCATGAATGGTCATCTTCATGGTTGTTGGATTCACTAGGTCGTTTGCAGTCACATTTCTTGCAAGCAGTGTTTCTCCTATAGTTCAAGAAGTCGCATCTGCAGATAAATCACACATAAAACAAGGGAAGAAGAGTGGTTGGTTTAGATACGAAGTTAACAAATTAATGAATTAGAGATCAGGAAAAAGAGTGAGAGACGTACGAGGGACATTCCCATTCTCCAGGCTCCAGTTGCCTCTGGGGTCGTCGGTCTCGACACTGTTTACACTGTTTGTTGCTAGAAAAGTTCATGAATCCACACCTGAGAATATACACACCGTGGTATGATCAATACAAGAGCAATCAATCACACACAATAGGACTTTAAAAGATTAGATTTTTAAAGTTTCCAGTCTTTAGCAGACAGATCATAAACACAAAGAGAGAGAGAGAGAGAGAGAGAGAGAGTGTGTGTATTTAAAGGCAGGTAAAGGAAACTAACCCAGAGCAGTTCCAGTCTCCTTTTTTCATTTCAACATTCGCCATTGAAGTTCTCTTTGGTCCCTCTGCTTTGCATTTCAAACAGCTTTTGTTTCTTGAGAAGTTTGAGAAATTGCACCTATGAAATCAGCAAGGAATAACCATGAGCATATGTCATAAAAGTCTACAAAAGTCTTGTGATTGAGAAAGATTTAGACTTACTCAGGACATAGCCAGTCTCCTTCCTTGACAACAGCAGCAACAGATCGTCTGTCAGCAACTTCATTGCACTCTCGGCATCTTTCATTTCTTGCAAAATTTAGAAAGTCGCATCTGTAGAGCAAGAACACACAAATCAACTCATAAAGAACAGTAATTCCTCAGGGTGAACAACACATTCGTCACTAAAACAAGTCATCTTATATAAAGCAATGCATAATCTCTTCAACCAAAGTAGATTCAAAGACTAGTGGATAGATTATGAAGATTCAGTGAATCTTTACAACCTCAGATATGACATTGTACTGAGATCACTTACTTGGGACACGCCCAATCTGCATTGTACTGAGACCAAACACGTTGAGAAGGCTCATCTTTCCTCGGTTTAAAAACCCTCTCTTTCGGAGGCAGAGGTTCCTTGGAAGCAGGTTTTGGCAAGACAGGGTTCACAGGCTTCTCACTGAACTCAACCAGCTCCAAAAGTAGTCTTCTTGCAGACTCGTGAATAAGTTCTCTACTCGGTGGAATCTCCCCTCGAGAGATAACAACCGAATCAAGCGCATTGAACAACAGTAAACGCATAACATCAACGGTTCGTGCATCAGCTTCTGATTCCTTAAGTATCACATAAGCTCTATCACAAGAGCCACGAAGCTCACAAGAACCACAAACCTAAATCATCAAAAAAAGAAAACATTTTCTTATGGTTAAAGATAAGCTTTTTTAACAATCCTTAGCTAATGCAAAATCATTCTTAGTAAATAATAACATACATCTCCTTCGTCTAGTTTAACATGAGCTCGAATCCTTTTGGAGGAATTCACAGCTTTGCGGAAGAGATTAGGGCATCCACGCTCCACGAGAGCTTGTATATCTCCAGATGATAAGGATCTGCATCAGAAGAGAAATCAGCTTCATCAGTAATAATGAACACCGAAAGATGATTAATTTCGGAGAATTTGGTACCTGAGAACGTCGTATCGATCGCGAGCGAAGCTGAGACAAGCATCCTTAACTACGTTCATTTCTTGGTAAATCGTATCATCTTCGATGTCTTTTGTGAAGTAGCCCTTCGTCTTCAAGCGATCGACGAAACTAATCCACTCTGGCCACGGATGTGGAGACGGAGACGGAGAGGGAGACGTTAAGTCCGAATCCACGGTGGCGGCTACTGCGGCGGCGGTGGCGTCATTTGAGAAGCATCGGAAGCGGAGAGAAACAGAGGGGAAACGACTGAAAGAGAGAGGGAACGAGGGCTTTTGAGGTCGGAAAATGGAATTTCCGACTAGGAATATTCTGGAAGTCGACATTTTTTCTTCTCTTCCGGTAAGATCTCACCAGAGAGTGAGGTTTTAGGAGGGTTTTTGGCTCGGCGAATGAATGGATAAAGGAGAAGGCTTTCGAATTTCAGTTATTTGCAATTTGACCTCTTACTTATATAAAGGTTACCTTTTGTTACCCCTTTAATTCAAAATTTGTATTTCACACCTGAAAATTCTCACCTCCGGCGTCAGCTTCTCCGCCAAGTCCGGTAAGATTCTCAGCTCGTGCATCTCTTTAATTCGACGGTTTAGCTTCATCTTCTAACCCAAAATTTCTCATCTCCTCTCTATGTGAAGAAATCAACACTCAATTTCGACTCTTCTTCAGGATGAATCCGGCGAATTTTCAGCCTCCGTTCCACTGGGCTCCGATGCTACCTCCGGATCCGCCTCGTTGTGGTGTGTTTTGGAATACAAATAACATAACCGATCAGCTTAAACAACTCCAAGATACGCTTAATCTCGCAAAATCAATGTAAGAAAATGGCCACCGGAATTGTATGTTTGTGATGGAATTTTGATTTTAGGGTTTAGTCACTGTTGGTGAGAGTTTCTTATAAGTTTGATTTCAATAGGGAGAAGGAATTGGAAGCATTGAGAATGATCAAAGAAGCCAAAGGTTCGATGGAGATTGTAGAACAAGGGTCAGGTTCAGGAGCAGAGTGTTTGAGATATCTACAAAGTGTAAAGATGGATTTGGAACAGCAGGAGACGCTTTCAGTGGAAGCTGCTAACTCCTTGATGGCTACTTTAAGAGCAAAGCTTGAGCCGTTTAGGTTTGTTGTTGACGAGAATACTCCATGGGAGGAGAAATCTGCAGCGGTGAGATTGACTTGCAAGATGAAGAAATCGAAAAGGAACAAACTTTGGAAGAAACGAAAGAGACGGTGTGTTGCAGAAATGCGTGCAAAGGTGGCTTTTTTTTTTTATGCTCTGTTTAGCTTTTTGAGCTATAAACTCTTATCATCTTGATTATATACGGTTTCAGGAGCCTGAAAGATTTGAACAGGCTGACAGAGAGGCTGATGAATGGAGGGAAAAGGAAATGGCCAAGGACATGGCTAACAGAAAGGTAATATCAATATGATAAGCCGTAAAGCAATAACATTTTTTCATCATTTTGGTATATGATGGACTTTCAGGTGGACGAGATGAAGGCAATTGAGAAGGTTAAGGCGAAACGAGAGCGAAGGAGACTAGAACCCGAGGTGAGACCTCTAAAGCCATCTTAGACATTATAATAGAAGAAACTAAGGAAATGTTGCCAGAGAAAGTCTTGTTTATGAGTTCTTACTTCCCTCTCAAACAATCTCATGATGGTTTCAATGTTTCAGCTTGAACTAGCTCTAATTGTTGAGGAAATGCAAGAGCTACGTTCCCTAAGAATCGAAAAACTTAAGAAGCAAGGTATGTCAAATAATCTCAAGTAATATTGTAATAGAAATCGTTCTGATACTAAACTAAATGGATAATTTGGACACAATGCAGGGCATTTCCTTCCGGAAGAAGATGACAAGTTCTTCGAGAGTGTTCGTGCTGCGGTGGAGCAAGAGGAAAACCAAGGTCAGTCCCTAACCAAAACCAACACAGAGGCCGAAGAGAACTTCATTGCCTCCGAGGAGAAGGAGGACACTAGTCTCACCACCAGTAACAAAACCAACCAAGAAACGGATAAAGAAATCAAGATAGTTGCAGCTTCTTGTGAAAAGACAATGGAAGAAGCTCCTGAGAATGCTGAATCGAATTTACCGGCCGAGATGTATCATTATTACTACGGAAGCAGTTTCGACATGGGTAGACTTATTGAGGTGGGTTTCATGTAATCCTCATCATCTCTGTTATCTCTCATTTTCATCTTATAGAGGTGATTTCCAGCTGATTTTATGGTCTAAAAATACAGACCAGACGAGAATGGGATGCATTTCTGAGTCCTGCAGGAAGGTATGTTAACCATTTTTTTCGATTTTCATAATTTAGACTAGTTTTTGATGTTGAGAAAAATCTTTGTTCTCTGTGTATACAGCCGGATTCCTGGACATTGGGTGCATCCATCGCAACCAGCTAATGAGATTTGGGCTTCATGTCTTGTTAAATCTCCCAAGAATAACATTAGTTAGTCGCTGTTCAAGATTTGCTCACTCGTCTCTGTTTTGAAACATAACCAGAACATTTCAAAGCCAGTGAAAGACAGAGTTCCTTGTTCCTCAGGATGTGGAGGTTCCTAAACTTATGACGGCACACAAGTCACTTGACAACTCCTGACGAGAGATCATTCAATCCCCTTTACAGACCAAAAGTGTTCGATCTGCAAATGGTATTGTAGTTTCACACCGTTCTTCTATTTTGATAACACACATCGTCTTTTCATGTAATTAGTTTGATAACAAACATTGGGATAATAAAAAAAAGGTTGACAATTTTTTGAAACATACTTGATGATATTTACACCAGTGATTGAGTGCGAGAAAAGAAACAAAAAGGCAATAGTTTCAGCACCAGTGATTCACTGCTATCTCTATCTGATAAGTGGAACTGTTCCTACTTTCCATCAACAGAAACCTAAAAACTATCCATTTTTAGTCAAAATCAAAGAGTTCTTCAAGTTGCTCGTCGGTCCACTGTGGCACCAAGCTGGAAGACACCATGGGCTGAGACTTATTGACCTTAGATCCTGATGTAACGTCATCAGAGTTCTCCAGAACACTCTCTAGCTCACCACTGTTTGGTGGTTCACGACTTCTACTGATCTTTTTCGCCGGTCTAATGTCATCGGCTGTATCAATCCCGATAGCAACATCTTCATCTTCGTGCAGTTGCTGCTCTTGAGTCTTTGAAGTTGTCCTGCTTCCTCCAATTTCTGTTTGGCTGACTGAATCATGTTCTCCCAAGAGGGTCTGCTCCATTCTAACTTCAAACTTGTTCTTGGTCACACCTCTTAGCCAGGAGTTGTTTCCCTCCGCTGGATTACTTTCTTCCATTTCTACATCAATGATTGCTTCACTGCTCTCTTTGGCATTTCTTCTGAGACTGTTCTTGATTCCTTGAGTAGTTTGCTCTACAGGAAAAGATTTGGGTTGCATTCGCAAATCTTCCTCATTTTCTGTTAGATATAATAACAAATAAGTTTCTCCATCAAACTGTGAAAGAAACTCGAAAGAAATTTCATAACTTACCATTCACTGGATTAGGATTCTTGGCACTCGCTTCAGAATGGTTCTGCTTTGGTAATACAGGAGTATCCTTCGTGATAACCTGTAAATGAATCGCTCCAGCCTTAAGAAACCTTCAAATATTCAAACGAGTATTAAAGAGTAGGTGCAATTTGATACCATAAGAAAAACGACCTTGGAGATGTTTTTCAGTGTGATGTTAAGATAGCGTGATGATCGTGAAGGTGCGCAGACTGCAACCTGCAAAACACTATATCTAAGTCCATTTCCATTGATTTACCAAAAGTAACTGAAAAACAAACAAGCCAACTTCAAGTCTTCAACAAAATTGTTTTATCCCCTATGAAGAAAAAAGCAAACCTTCTTGAGTATCACCACTGCATTAACTCGTATATCTCTTCCAAACTCACTCTCAGAGATAACTTTTCTGTGCACGCTGGCATCAATTGTTCCAGTAGGATCCTACCATTAATACACACAGATTTGAGACACATGACAAATGGTGAGTGACAAAAACAAAAGGTGGAAACCATTCACAGTGTTAAAGAGTTTCTGATATGTTTTCTTTTTTACCTTAAGAGTCACCATGACATCACCTAGACCATTTGGAGTGCAAGTTTTGACGACTGCAACGACCTATCAATGACCAACAACAATTCAAGTATGTCACTAGACTTTTCACATCTTTGGTTGCAAAGATAAGCATTCAGGTGGAGCATTGTGAAGATAAGATATCATCACATGGCTTAACCACAAAGTTCAGCAGGTATCTTGTGGCCTAATAGGAACAATTTGGGTGAAGACATTATTCCAAAATATAGCGCTTTACTCTTCACAAGCACAGAGCAAAAGCAAACACATACTAGCAGACTAATACAGGATGCCAGATTTCCATTATACTCTAACCAGAAACTAATGGTATGATCTCTACATCTCTTCATATACAGGGAGTGGACTAGAAGGCATCTCTAAGTTAAGTAGGTTGTTCATACCTGATCGATCTTGCCCCAACCACATCTGCTCTTGATCTCGCTCACTGGTGTCCCAATAGCATTTCCACACAACAAACCTGCCAAAAAAAAAATATGGAAAACTATAAACTTTAGGGACTTGACAATTTTCGCATCACAAACTACAATTATCAACTTCTACAGCAAGGCTCTAACCTTCACTTCGAATGTAATCAACAGCAGAGACCCAGGGATCCTCTGAGAAATCCTTGTCTTCCCAGTCAGGCTCTTCTGCAGCCTTTCGTATAAACTCTTGAGTCGGAATCGGTTCTCCGTGCTCGTTAAACGATCTCGGATCCTTATTCATCTTTCTCCGTATTGCAGCTTGAACAGTTCCAGCAGGTCCAGGAATTAAGCAGCGGGAATCACTGTCCACAACAGAATGATCCGGCGAGGAGCTGCAGCGGCGAAGAGTCTGGTGGTGCTTTGTGTTACTATTGAAACCAGGCTTTGGATTCTGTTGCTGCACCGGCGTTTGCAGAGGCCTCGGTGGAGATTTGCGTTTGCAAGGGCGGAGAAAGGACGGGAGCTCGGAATCACCAAGGTCAAGAGCTTCTTCCCATTGCTCTACTTCTGTTTGTGAATTCATCTCTCTCGTCACACAAATATGTAGAAAGAAGATTCATCCGCACATACCCTCTTGTTACCAAATTTACACCAAAAGCTCCAAAATTTCCTGCGGTGGGAAGAAACAAATCAAATTATAGCAACTCACTTAAGAATCGGGTCTATCAGAATTTTCAAAGAAGTAATCTGCGCCCAAAAGACACCTTATACGCACAAATGCATAAACAATTGCAGTTTATTTGCAAAATTTGAGAAAGAATCATAAAAAATGGAATATGAATCAGTCATTTGGCTATGTAAGCATCAAAATTCAAATGATCAATTTGCTCTACAGAAGTTCAGAGAACACTTAAATTCAAGGCCTAAAAATTCACTACACAAGACTAGCGTTTGTTCATCTCTCCGATCATTTTATCGAGCTGATCAACATTACAAGAAACAAACCCCCAAATCAGTGAACACTCTTTAGCAATCGCATTAACGGATAAGTGAGATTCAGTATAAGACTAAAACTAAAACTAAGAAGTTTCAGCATACCCAGAACAGAATGAAGACTCGCCACCACCTTTGAAGGCGAATAGGCTACAGCGAAAGAGACGACTGGAGCGGCAAAGCGAAACGAAGAGAGCGAGAGAGAGGAGGTCTCAGAACGTGAAAACGGTTTTGATTTTTTTTTGCGTGATATTCGAACTTCTATGCTGAAGGGTATTTGGGTCATTATGTATTGGGCCTTTATTAAGGTAAGAAACGGGCCGGCTTACTCTCTTATAACTTATGGACCTGCTTACCGTTTTCTGTATATGAACCATATTTTTTGTCCAAAAAATGCTTGTTGAACAATTATCTTAAAGTTTAATCACAGCAACTTTTTCAATACAAAAAAAAAACAAAAATATTCTTTAATTTTTTTAACTATAGAAAAAAAATTAGAAAGAGCTCTAAAAGGTTAAAATAACTCGTTTTTTACTCAAGTCATATTTGCTTTATATAGAAAAACTAATGATTTAAGTGAAACCATTTTGGTATTTCAATAAAAATAAAACTTGGAAGCTAAGGAAAAAAAAAATCTGAAACAAAATTAGCTTTTTCATATAACTACTGAAATAGACTTTTTCTTTTTTTTCAAAGCAAATTTTTTTTCCTCCTATAACTGGAAAAACTAAAAACAATTATCCTAAAACACTTGGTACCGGAATATTCGAGGACCTCCCACCAAACCTCAAATAATGTTCGTTCCTCTGCATTGCTGATTCCATTTCAATTCGTCCTCTCGCAAACTCTGACCTCCTTTTCCGGTAAGAAACATCCAAAAGATCTGCTGGTTAATTACTTTTTTTTGTTAAAGGGTTAATTACTTTGTAATAAAAATGTAAACACAAAAAAAAGGAAGGTGACTGGAATTTTAACGACGGTGATTTTGATCGAATAGAAGATTATCGTTGAATATTTTTTGTTCTATAGGATTATCTTCTAGTCAGTTATGTTCCCATCTCCCTTTTGTTTTTACCAGGAGACTGTTCATATTATGGTTTCAACGTAGAATACTATTGCATGAACATTTGGTTTATATAAGACTAGTATCAATAATCTTAATCGGACTTTTTGATTCACGTTTATGCAGGAAAACAACATTCATTTTGAGTTTTTTTTCCTTTAATTATTTGCATGGTCCTTTTGTGTGCCCTTACTTTTTGTTTGGTTCCGCTAGCTATAGCTAGAAGTTAGATTTTTACGAGAAAAGTTTGAGATGATCAATAGAAAACTAATATTGTTTCAGGGGAGACACATAACAATATCGGAGGATGAAGCCTTCTCGGATGGATAATCTATTAGGTCTCCTTCGTATTCGGGTCAAGCGCGGTGTCAATCTCGCCGTCCGCGATCTCAATAGTAGCGATCCTTACGTCATCGTCAAAATGGGAAAACAGGTAACCAACCTTCACCATTTGTAATAGATACATGCATGTTGATTAGTAATGTATATTTGATATTTATTGAATATATGACCCTGCATGATTGTTCTAAAGATTACGAGAATTGAATGTTTATGTGTCGGATGAAAATAATGTGATATATAGTTAGCTAGGTTGATTGGACTATCTATCCAACAAAAAAAAAACACACACATATATATATGTATGTATGTATAATAGTTAGTTTACAGATTGCATTTTAAGTATTTTGGAGTGCATAGCTACCACAACAATTTAGGATGATGAAATATTTTCGTAGTTAAAAAATAAGGTCTAATTTGTTTGGTTGCTCGATCGATCGAGTTTTAGGAAGACTTTCGAGTCTTGAGAACTAGCGATGTTACTATCTAGATGAGTAATGTACGATAGATGAACTCGGTCTTTACCAATAGATAATCGAATATCAGTACTTGCTAATGTATGATGATAGTGTTACGCAAACGTCAAAAATAGATATTGAAACATACGAGAATTTTCAAAATTGAATGGGCAGAAATTGAAGACTCGAGTTATTTACAATGATGTGAATCCTGAGTGGAATGAAGATTTGACTCTCTCGGTCACAGATCCCGGTCTCAACGTCCTCTTGGTAAGTTAACGTTATATATATCATATGTTACTATACAATCATTAGTTCATTACTGATTAGTATTTGTCATTTTTCCAAAGACGGTGTATGATCACGACACATTCACCAAAGACGACAAAATGGGAGATGCAGAATTCGCGATTAAGCCGTACGTTACTGCAGTGAGTATGCACTTGCAAGATCTCCCATGTGGCACAATTGTGACAACTGTCCAGCCTAGCCGACACAATTGCTTAGCCGAGGAGTCTCGGGTTATATGGTGTGATGGTAAGCTCGTTCAGGATCTAATCCTCAGACTCAAACATGTCGAGTGCGGTGAGGTTGAGGTTCAGCTTCAATGGATTGATCTTCCTGGCTCTAAGGGTCCATGATTTTATTTTTCTTTTCTTTTTCTCTTATGCTACTTTAGACTTGAAATTTGGAACCCCCAAATGTAAAAAAAAAGGAACTGGGGAGTAAAAAGTGAATGTTAAGGATATGAGTTATCTTGTACTATATTCTACTGAATATGAGCAAATACTATATCACTTATTGTTTGCTTAGTTAATGAGGATGGTCCGGTTTGTTCCGGTTAATCCCTTAATCAATTTCTATAATTGTGATTTTACCAAGGCCCAAAGGCCCAAGCCCATTTATGTTTCTCTCTTTCTCTCTCTGTAAAAGCGCTCAACGGTCACTGTGTGAGCCACAAAATGAAGCTTACCGGAGAAATCTGAGGAAAACATTGTCTGAGTTCAAATTCTGAAACTGATCGATGCATCAAAGAGGAAAATCCAATAACCGTAGATCAAGGAGCTTCTCTAGAACCAGAATCGCCGTTGAAGGCCACTGAAATCTCCTACATTCCGTTCTCTCTATCGTCCCCTTCTGATTTTTCCGACGACCTCTCCGAAATGACGACACCTTACAGTAAACATTTCTCCTTATTATACAATAATAACTACTCGTCCTTGTCTGAATCCTACCAATCGAATCTTTTGCTTTTGGTTGCCTTGTCTTTTTCTTCTCAATTATTACATCAAATCATGATAATTTTCGAAATTAAAAAAAGTTTGTTGGTCCTCCTTTTTCACGAAATTATTTAAGTGGTTTATAGATTTAATCACGTTGTGAATGCGTCTTGTTTAATTAAATAAAAGGTAGGTGTCTCTTCACTGTCTCGAAGTGTAGAGAGAATCTCACTTTGTTGTTTGGTTATATAATTTGGAAACTGGAACAGAGGGAGAGAGAGATATCCAGAAAAGCTATTGGATGGAGCATTCAAGTGATTTGACTGTTGAAGCCATGATGCTTGACTCTAAAGCTTCTGATCTCGACAAAGAAGAACGTCCTGAGGTATGTCTTTACTTGTGTCTCAACCTAATGAAGATTGTGAAATTGTTGGATTCTCTTGAATTTTTATGAACTGAGCTTATAGAACATGTGACTTACTCTTCTTGATCACCTTGCTTTGTATGAATCTTTCTGTTTCATTGTCAAATAGTTTAGTAGTATCTTGTTTGAGTTTTGTTCTTGAAACATGAACTTGTCTGATTGTGTTTGTTGGCTACAAGGTTCTATCTTTAATCCCACCATATGAAGGCAAAACGGTGCTGGAGCTTGGAGCTGGGATAGGTCGTTTCACTGGTGAATTGGCTCAAAAGGCCGGTGAAGTTATCGCTCTTGACTTCATCGAAAGCGCGATTAAAAAGGTTATTTTTACTACTTTGGTTGCTGTTGTTTATGTTAAAAAGATTCTAGTTACCGTAGCTTCTTATTCTTTGTTTATGTTTCTTTTGGTGGTGATGTTGTTCTTGCAGAATGAAAGTGACAATGGGCATTACAAGAACGTCAAGTTTATGTGTGCTGATGTGACATCTCCAGACCTGAAAATCGAAGATGGATCCATTGACTTGATTTTCTCGAATTGGTTGCTCATGTATCTCTCTGATAAAGAGGTGAAACCTCCTGCTTCTTCTTTTACATATCTGACTTTTGACTGTAAAGAGAAGAGTTAAAGTCTAAAGCTTCTTAGATGATGATCGCAGGTGGAACTTATGGCAGAAAGAATGATTGGATGGGTAAAGCCAGGAGGATACATTTTCTTCAGAGAATCTTGCTTCCATCAATCTGGTGATAGCAAGCGAAAATCCAACCCCACTCACTACCGTGAACCAAGATTCTATACAAAGGTTCAATCTTTTGACTTGTCTCTTTCGTTTATGGCAAGGACATGCTTCTTATGTATAGTATAAAGGATATTGAAAACGTAGACGATGTTCTCTTGTTTTGTGCTACATCATGTTAGAGTTTCAGTGGAACTTATATATAAAAGACTGATAAAATTGGACTAGTTTCATGAGATATAAATGTTTGTATTAATACACAATTGTGAGATTAGCCACATGGGTGTTATCTTTACATATCAAGTTTGATAAGGCTTTATAAAAGTGTGTATATCATCAGGTCATATATTTGTAGTCACTTGGCTTACCACTCTCGAATCTAATGTGTTGGATGAGTTGATTAAATAAAAAAATGAATGGTGTAATGCAGATTTTCCAGGAATGCCAGACACGTGATGCTTCTGGCAACTCATTTGAGCTCTCCATGGTTGGTTGCAAATGCATTGGTGCCTATGTGAAGAATAAGAAGAATCAAAATCAGGTAACAAGATTTTCTCTTTTATCATTCCTTATCACTCATTCACTTGGTGGTACTTTATTCATCTTTATTATGAACTATGTGATGGACAGATTTGCTGGATTTGGCAAAAAGTCAGCTTGGAGAACGACAAGGACTTCCAACGATTCTTGGACAACGTTCAATACAAATCCAATGGGATCTTGCGTTATGAGCGTGTGTTTGGGCAAGGATATGTGAGCACTGGTGGATTTGGTAACTAATTACACACTAAAACTATTATATATCTTCATATGAACATATGCGCTCTTTGTCTCTAAGTTCTTGTTTTCTTCTTGAACAGAGACAACTAAAGAATTTGTGGAGATGATGGATCTTAAACCAGGACAGAAAGTGCTAGATGTTGGTTGTGGTATCGGTGGTGGTGACTTCTACATGGCAGAGAGTTTCGATGTTCATGTTGTTGGCATCGATCTATCGGTTAACATGATCTCTTTCGCGTTGGAGCGTGCAATTGGACTCAACTGCTCAGTCGAGTTCGAAGTCGCTGATTGCACCACGAAAACATATCCTGATCAGTCTTTTGACGTCATTTACAGCCGTGACACTATCCTCCATATCCAAGTAAGTAAAGCCAAAAACATTATGTTTTTTCTTTCAATCTTGAAGATGCTTTTTGGGAGGTTTAATCATTATCTGCATCATTTTGTTCAGGACAAGCCGGCTCTGTTCAAGACATTCTTCAAGTGGCTTAAACCAGGTGGTAAAGTTCTCATCACCGACTATTGCAGAAGTGCTGAAACTCCGTCTCCTGTGTTCGCCGAGTATATCAAACAAAGAGGATATGATCTTCATGATGTTCAAGCTTATGGACAGGTTTTTCTTTTGAATTATTTCTCAGCTTTGTAATGTTTTGAGAGATGACTCTTTGTTTCATATTTATGATGAAACATTCTTCCTTGTAGATGCTGAAAGACGCAGGCTTTGAGGATGTGATCGCCGAGGACCGTACTGATCAGGTGACACTCTCATAGTCTCATACAGTACATGTTAATAATTCAAAATACTAATTTCTAACCATTTTGTTTACGCAGTTTGTACGAGTACTGAGGCGTGAACTAGAGAAAGTGGAGAAAGAAAAGGAAGAATTCATCAACGATTTCTCAGAAGTAAAAAAACATTTTTTTGACCTAGAATAAACAAAACTCGTTGTTGCGTGTGTCTCACTCATCGATTCACAAACTCTTGTTCAAATGGTTTTGTGATGTAGGAGGATTATAATGACATTGTGGGAGGATGGAAATCAAAGCTTGAAAGAACTTCGTGTGGTGAACAAAAATGGGGATTGTTCATCGCCAACAAGAAGTAATAATCCATTGTACTCTCTATAAACCTATGACCTATCCTCTCTGTGATTCTTTTCCCTTCAATAAAATTGTTCCTTGGAAGACAAGAACCGTAATAATCCATTGTACTCTCTATAAACCTATGACCTATCCTCTCTGTGATTCTTTTCCCTTCAATAAAATTGTTCCTTGGAAGACAAGAACCGTAATATTGTAAGAAAAACTCATGTGTTGTTTCAGCTTCTTTTTTAACTCCACTCTTTGTGCCTCATAAAATCTGCGTTGCTATGGCCTATGATTCAAAGATATTACTACAAGTATATGTATGGCACTATGGCAGTAAAATGCGAGCATTTCCATTATTCAATTCCAAAGTCATCGTTACATACAAAAGAAAGAATAAAACAAAACAAAACATGTTGCCAAAAAAAAAAGTAACAAAACAAACAAAATAATTGGAAGTCCTATTAAATTTCAAAGCCCACCATTAGCCCAACTTCATTTAGGGTTTCTGTGTCTTCAATATTTATGTATATAGCTAGTTTATTGTTGGTTCGTTTCAAGCCTTCATTTCTACCTCCTTCCCCAAGAAATCAGAGAAAACCTTATTTATACATTGAAAAAACGAAAAATGATGATCACAAATCTTCCAATGGATTTGATGGAGGATATTTTGTCTAGGGTTCCTTTAAAATCTAAGAGCAGTGCGGTTAACTTGCACAAAGTGGAATACTTTATCGAAAAGCCAGATCTTTACAAAGATGCACTTGGTAAAGCATTCGCTCCACAAAGGAAGATGATTCTGAGTCTCGGATGATCGTGATGACAAAGGAAATCTTTATTTAATGAGCGTCTTCGTCAACAACGGAGTTGATTTATCTGCAGAGCATATAGGTAACCTTAACTTGCCTTGACGAACAAGTCAAGATATCTCGTGTCTATCACTGCGAAGGGTTATTGTTATGCATCCTGGAAGACGATGATACTAGGGTTGTTGGTTTGGAATCCATATTTGGGACAAACAAGGTGGATCCAACTCAGAGATCCTCACGTCCTATGCGGCTCGCGGAACTGCGTCAGTTCTTTACGCATCCGGCACGTCTTCAATATGGGGACGGTTCAGTTACGGTATCGGATACGAAGATAAGAGATGTGGTCGTAACTACAAAATATTGAGGTTTATAGATCTCTCCTTATATGAAGAAGGGAACAAGTTTTTCTGGTATGAAGTATATGATTTCGAGACTGGTTTATGGACGACTCTTGATGTCACTGATCCATACTGGCGTATAACATCTGGCTGTGGGTTCTCTCAAAGGAAACAGTTACTGGTGTGCTACAGAAAGGGACGCACAAGGATAATGATTGGGGCGAACAAGCCGACCACATAATATGTTTTGATTATACAAGTGAGAGATTTGGGCCACTTCTGCCTCTGCCGTATGGAATTCGGAGTGACCGCGACTTTATCTTGTCTTAGAGAAGAGAAGCTCGTGGCTCATTTCGACCAACCTATCCGTATGGGTTATCGTTTGGATCACGACTATGCTTGAGGCCGAGAAGGTGTCGTGGAGCAAGTTCACCTTGTCGTCATATGATGAGTATTCAATCCTTGATGACATTCACATTCGGCTTTCATTTGGGGGTTTCTACGAAGAGAAGAAAGTCCCCATGTTTTCTGGTCAAAGGTTGAATTGCTACTTAACCTACATTGGAGGGGACGGATACGGCGTGATTATATAGAACGTGAGCTACCCGCATTCGAGGATAGGGTTTGGCGAGAATGCGTGTGCTTTTACGTTCCAAGTTTAGTGCAAATCAAGCAACCTAAAGGAGGCCAAAGTGGGAAAAAACAAAGTGATGTAGAAAAGCTTCGCTTGATGTGAAATGATGTCGAGACTTTCCTACTTTGAAAGGAGGTGCAAAAGGCTTGACCTCGAGTTAGCTAAGAAGAAGGCGTCCACTTGTAAAAAACTCATATCCACTATCTGTTCAACCAGAAAAAGCTCGGTCCAGCTCATTTTTGTCCACCAATAGTTTTGCCTCTTTAGCTTCTTCTGATGATGAGGAATGATCTCTTGCTTTCGACGACGACCCTAAACCAATTGAGTTATTGACCAAGAGCATCTGGGAAAGGTTGTGGAAAAAGCAGAAGATGCATGCGGTCGTGACTAGTTGCGTCATCGCCTCATTGGTAGATGATATGTAACTCACTCGAACCGGAAGATTCTAGTTCAAATATATTGTACCCCAATCTCGATTTCTTCTGTTAAATCTATTACCATGCATATAATATAAGTAGTTTTTTTTTCAATTAAAATCATTTGTTTCTCACTTAAGTTTAGATACTTGCATGTTGCAACAGTCTTCGGTATAATTTAAGTGATTTTTTACCTTGTACGAGGAGAAATATCTCACTGTGTATGTAGAATTAAAGTGCAGTCTCAATTTTCTGAAAGCGATGATGATTAAAGAAAACGTGAGGATCGATACTCTTTTTTGGGATTTCGAGTAAATGGAAGTAAACTAGTTTCCTCCTCATGTTTAGGTTTTTGGTTTCAGATTTCTCAAACTTGTTAGTTAATTTTGACTGGGTGTTTCATCAGCTAAAGAATGTTTGATCGACAAAACTTGTAATACACTCGAAATCCAAGGAAGGCGAAACAAAATTGTTTTTTGTTGTGCGTCTATTGTTAATTTCCCTCAACAAACTTTCGGTGAGTGGCTCATCTCCACCACATTCAGCAACAAAATTAAAAGCCTACTAAATTCTCAAGCCCACCATTGGCCCAACTTCATTTAGGGTTTCCAAACCTGAGTCTTCTTCATTCTTGTATACCCTAGCTAATTGTTTAATTCTCATTCTTGTATACCCTTTTCTACCTTTCGAAAGAAATCACCGAAAAAAAGCCTCGTTACACCTTGAAAAAAACGAATTATGATGATCACCAACCTTCCGACGGATTTGATGGAGGATATTTTGTCTAGGGTTCCTTCAAAAGCTACGAGAGAAGTGCGATTAACTTGCACAGAGTGGAACACTATATGGAATAGCCAGATCTTTGCAAAGATGCACTTTGATAAAGCATTCGATCCAGCAAAGGAAGATGGATCTGAGTCTCGGATGATCGTGATGATGGAAAAAAATCTTTATTTACTGAGCGTCTTCGTCAACGTCAACATCTACGGCGTTAATAATTTTTCTGCAGAGCAAAAAGGTAAACTCACTTGCCTTGACGAACAAGTCAAGATATCTGATGTCTATCACTGCGATGGGTTATTGTTGTGCATCATGGAAGACGATGACACTCAGGTTGTGGTTTGGAATCCATATTTGGGACAAACGAGGTGGATCCAACTCAGATCTTCACACGTCCTCCCTCGGGCAGAAACATGGCATAACAAGTTCCATTACGGTATTGGATACGACAAAAATGGATCTTGTCGTAACTACAAAATCTTGAGGTTTATAGATGCCTTCTTATTTGAAGATGACGGGTACGAGTTTTTCTGGTATGAAATATATGATTTTAAGTCTGGTTTATGGACGACTCTTGATGTCACTGATCCACACTGGCGTATACAATATGGCAATGGCGTTTCTGTCAAGGGAAACACTTACTGGTGTGCTACAGACAGGATCTCACCGCCAACGGATCGTCCTAGGCTCGACCACATAATCTGTTTTGATTATACAAGAATGAGATTTGGGCCGCTTCTGCCTCTGCCCTATGAACATGGGTATTACAGTGTGACTCTATCTTGCGTTGGAGAAGAGAAGCTCGCGGCTTATTGCAACCAGTACGACAGTGATCCATATCATTTTCAGATTTGGATCACGACTATGATTGAGGCCGAAAAGGTGTCGTGGAGCTGCCTACTCGCATTTTATCCTGAGTCACTCCCTAATGACGTTAGGTTTTCATCATTTGGGGGTTTCTATATTGACCAAGTGAAGAAAGTCGCCATGTTTTCTGGTAGAAGGTCGAATCACCACGCAGTTTGCATCATCAATGAAGAAGGTGAATACGCAGGGGAAGTGGCTCTCGAAGAAACTGACCAAAGGTATTGGCGAAAAAGTTTGTGCTCTTATGTACCAAGTGTAGTGCAAATCAAGCAACCTAAAGGAGGCCAAAGGGGAAAAAAACAAAGTGATATAGAAAAGCTTCGCTATGATGAAATGATGTCGAGACTTTCCTTCCTTGAAAGCAAGTGCAAAAAGCTTCAGCTCGACTTAGCTAAGAGGAAGGCGTCCACTTGTAAAAAAATCTCATATCCAACATCTGTTGTACCAGAACAAGCTCGGTCCACCTCATTTTTGTCCACCAATAGTTTTGCCTCTTTAGCTTCTTCGGATGATGAGGATTGAGGAATTATCTAAAGCCCACTATTGGTTCAGCTTCACTTAGGGTTCCTTTCCGAGTCTTCAATTCTTATGTGTATAGCTAACCGTTTCTAGCGTTATAGCCTTCTACCATCCCCCAATATATAAATCAGAGAAAACCTTTTTTACAAAATAAAAGAAAAAGATGATCACCAATCTTCCAACGGATTTGATGGAGGATATTCTGTCTAGGGTTCCTTTAAAATCTATGAGAGCAGTGCGATTAACTTGCACAAAGTGGAATACTCTATCGAAAAGCGAGATCCTTGCAAAGATGCAATTTGATAAAGCATTCGATCGAGCAAAGGAAGATGATTATGAGGCTCGGATAGTCGGATGACGAAAGGAAATCTTTATTTAATGAGTGTCTTTGTCAACAACGAAGATGATTTATCAGCAGAGCATAAAGGCAAACTAACTTGCCTTGACGAACAAGTCAAGATATCTCGTGTCTTTCACTGCGAAGGGTTATTGTTATGCATCCTGGAAGACGACCCTACTAGGGTTGTGGTTTGGAATCCATATTTGGGACAAACAAGGTGGATCGAACTCAAAGGTCCTCACGTCTTACCCGTTCTGAGACGGGTCTCTTACCGTAGGAAAGAGTTCTGTTACGGTATCGGATACGCAAATAAGGGATCTGGACGTAACTACAAAATATTGAGGTTTGTAGATGGTTTCTTATATAAAGAAGGGTACGATTGTTCAAGGTACGAAATATACGACTTCGAGACTGGTTTATGGAAGACTCTTTATATCACTGATCCATACTGGCGTATAACATCTCGCTGTGGCGTTTCTCTCAAAGGGAACAGTTACTGGTGTGCTACAAAAAGGGACGAATATGATTGTGGTTGGGGCCTAGCAGCCGACCACATAATATGTTTTGATTATACAAGTGAGAGATTTGGGCCACTTCTGCCTCTTCCGTATTGGGTTGAGAGTCACTGTGCGACTTTATCTTGTCTTAGAGAAGAGAAGCTCGTGGCTCAGTACGACCAAGGCTATCCGTATGGTTTATCGTATTGGATCACGACTACGCTTGAGGCCGAGAAGGTGTCGTGGAGCCACTTCACCTACAAGCCATATGATGAGTACTTCAAGTCATTTGATGAGTACTTCAAGTCATACGAGGATTATTCAACCATTGATGACATTCACATTCGGCTTTCATTTAAGGGTTTCTACGAAGAGAAGAAAGTCCCCATGTTTTCAGGTCAAAGGTTGAACTGCTACTTAGTTCGCCACATTGGAGGGGACGAAAACGGCGGGTATTATCAAGAATCTAATAAGAGTGTGCCCGGATACGATGATAGGATTACGCGACAATGTGTGTGCTTTTATGTTCCAAGTTTAGTGCAAATCAAGCAACCTAAAGGGGAGAGAAAACAAAGTAATGTTGTACCAGAACAAGCTCGGTCCAGCTTATTTTTGTCCACCAATAGCTTTGCCTCTCTAGCTTCTTCGGATGATGAGGAATGAGGAATGATCTCTAGCTATCTTCCGACGACGACCCTGAACCGATTGAATTCTTGACCTCATCGAGGAAGAATCCTTGGGGAAAGGCAAAAGAGATGCAATGACAAACCGCAACTGGTTGATTCTAGTTCAAATATTGTACTCCAGTCTATATTTCTTGTGTTAACTCTATCAAAACTGTATGGCATGAGGAATGCAATGTAACCGTTTCCAAATAAACAAAGTTTCTGTTAACCATCGGAGTGGTTAAATGACAAACTAAATTTCATCTTTTTATTTAGTTTAATTTTAAGGTAACAATGTAACATGAAAACAATCACAGTTAACCTATTGTACAATTGTTTACACAGTATGAGACAAAAAAAAAATACAGTTTCTTTAGTTTTTGTAGACTATATATAACATGCATGTCTTTTTTTGGTCGAAAAAACATGCATGTTTGTTTTAGTGAAACGATGATAGAATTGTGCAGGAAAAAAAGAGCAACTTAGTTCAAGATGCAAACTTCAAAACTTTTATGCTTAAAAGGGACAAAAACAAACAATATAAAGCATTTGAAAAAGTGAGGCTCTTTCATCTATTGATTCACACAGTTCATAAGTGGGAACAAAATGAAACTGTATAAGTATCCAATTTTACAAACACATAGGAATAATTAAAATAAAATAAAAAATTCTTTCTCCATAATTTTGTATTTTGCCATTTCTTCTTCTCTAATCTTTGTTTAGACTTTAAAAGCTCAATTAGTATTCGATTGAATCAAAGATGAAATGGAATCATCATCATCATCATCATCACTCACCAAGTCACCAGTAGTCACCACAAGAACATAAACCATCTTTAAAATGGTGAAACCCCTCATGATAATCAATCTCCCTGTGATTTTCGCCATACACTTGATGGCATTATGACAATCCTCACCCATACACACGAAGATTCTTCATCACTCGGATCGGTTTCACTGAAGACACACATGTTAAATTTCAACGTCGCATCAACTCTTCCAGATTTGGTTGTCTCTGCTTCACCATCACAAGCAAAATCCAAACTCATCATTACAAGAAAAAAGGAAAAAGAACAATTGGAAGCCCTACTAAATTCTAAAGCCCACTATTGGTCCATCTTCATGTATTAGGGTTTCCGAGTCTTGTATTCTTATGTTTATAGCTAATCGTTTCTAGCTTTATAGCCTTTCTACCTTCCCCCAATAAATCAGAGAAAACCTTTTTTTACAAAAAAAAAAAAAAACCAAAAAGATGATCACCAATCTTCCTACGGATTTGATGGAGGATATTTTGTCTAGGATTCCTTTAAAATCTATGAGAGCAGTGGGATTAACTTGCACAAAGTGGAACACTCTATCGAAAAGCGAGATCCTTACAAAGATGCACATTGGTAAAGCATTCGCTCCAGCTAAGGAAGATGAATATGAGGCTCGGATAATCGCGAAGACGGAAGGAAATCTTTATTTGATGAGTGTCTTCGTCAACAACGACGATGATTTATCTGGAGAGCATAGAGGCAAACTAACTTGCCTTGACGAACAAGTCAAGATATCTCGTGTCTTTTCACTGGGAAGGGATATTGTTATGCATCCCCGAAGACGATGCTACTAGGGTTGTGGTTTGGAATCCATATTTGGGACAAACAAGGTGGATCAAACTCAAAGGTCCTCACGTGTTACCCCATCGGGAGCGGTTCTGTTCCGGTTGGAAAGAGTACCGTTACGGTATCGGATACGAGGACAAGGGATCTGGTCGTAAATACAAAATACTGAGGTTTATAGATGTTTTCTTATTTGAAGAACGGGACGAGTATTTTAGGTATGAAATATACGATTTCGAGACTGGTTTCTGGAAGAATCTTTATATCACTGATCCATACTGGCGTATAACATCTGGCTGTGGCGTTTCTCTCAAAGGAAACAGTTACTGGTGTGCTATAGAAAGGGACGCACGGGATTATGGTAGGTGGGAAACGGACCACATAATTTGTTTTGATTATACAAAAATGAGATTTGGGCCTCTTCTGCCTCTGCCGAGGTATGTATTTGAGGGTGGCCGTGCGACTTTATCTTGTCTTAGAGAAAAGAAGCTCGTGGTTTGGTTCCAGGAACCTTTTCCATATAATTTATCGTATTATATCACGACTAGGCTAGAGGCCGAGAAGGTGTCGTGGAGCGAGTTCACCTTTTCGTCATATGATGAGTATTCAATCCTTGATGACATTCACATTCGGCTTTCATCTGGGGGTTTCGAAGAAGAGAAGAAAGTCCCCATGTTTTCAGGTCCACGGTTAAACTGCCACTTAAGTCACTACATTGGAGGGGATGGATACGGCGTTGATTATATAGAACGTGAGCTACCCGAGGATACGATTTGGCGAGATTGTGTATGCTTTTATGTTCCAAGTTTAGTGCAAATCAAGCAACCTAAAATCTCATATCCAAGATCTGTTCAACCAGAACAAGCTCGGTCCACCTCATTCTTGTCCACCAATAGCTTTGCCTCTCTAGCTTCAACGGATGATGAGGATTGAGGAATGATCTCTAGCTTGCTTTTGACGACCAATAGGTTTGCCTATTGTTTAATGAGTGTTTTTAGTTGTTTACGCAGTATGAGAAAGAAAGAGAAAAACAAAAATACAGTTTTCTATAGTCATTAGTTAGATTGAATCAAGATGAAATGGAATCATCATCATCATCATCATCATCATCACTTCACCAATAGTCACCACAAGAACATGAACCATCCTTAAAATGGTGAAACCTGTTATTATCCCTCAGGATAATCAACCTCCCTGTGATCTTAGCCATACACTTGATGGCATTGTGACAATCCTCACACACACGAAGATTCTTCATCACACGGATCGGTTTCCCTGGAGACACACGCATTAGCCCGTACGCTACAGCTAGTCTTTCGCTATGGTACCGAACCATACGCTCCTTCTCTTCCTCTTCCACGTCATGAAGCACCACACTCGTCTTCGATACATACCCTGCTCTCTTCATCCTCAGATCAAGTTCCTCCAGATACGCGTAGATCTCGTCTTTCTCCGCATGAAACTCATCCCCAACCGAGAAACTATGAGTCTCGTTCTGAATCTCGATCCAGCTGTACCCTGTAACTTTCTTCACCCCTTTGTCACGCATTCTCACTCGCAGCTTACCTACATCTCCCCATCGACCTGAAGCAGCGTATAGGTTAGAGAGAAGCACATACATTCCGGAGTTTTCAGGCTCCATTGCAAAAATCTTCTCTGCAGCTGTTTCAGCTAGCTCTGTGTTTCCATGTACTCTGCTTGCACCGAGTAAAGTTCCCCAAATTGCACCGTCTGGCTCAAACGGCATGTTCTTCATCAGACTGTGAGCTTCTTCTAGAAGCCCAGCTCGACCGAGAAGATCCACCATACAAGCGTAGTGCTGTGAGTTAGGCGTTACTCCATAGTCTTGAGTCATCGTGTAGAAATATTCCCTCCCTTTCTCTACAAGCCCTGTGTGACTGCACGCAGAAAGCACCGCAACCTGTGACAAGAACAACAATTAGCATCGTCTACTGTACTTTTTGATAACGACTAAGATAAAGGCAAAGAGATATGTTGTTTCTTTCTTCTTTACCATTGTAGCATCATCTGGCTTCAATCCGTGTCTCTTCATCGACTCAAAGAACCTCAAAGCCTCTTCTCCAAACCCATGCCTTGAGTAACCAGCAATCATCGTGTTCCAAGAGACAACATCCTTCCCATTCATCTCCTCAAACAAGTCATTAGCTTCTTCAATGCTTCCACATTTGCAATACATCAACAAAAGCGCATTCCCAACAAAGCACCCACTCTCATACCCTCCTTTAACCAAACGTCCGTGCAATTGCTTCCCAAGCTCAAGAGCAGCAACGTCCGCACAAGTACTTAACGCAGTTGAGAACGAAGACCGGTTCAATCTCTCTCCTTCTCTCTCCATCTGCACAAACAAACGCAGAGCTTCATAGCCACGCCCGCATTGCGAATACCCTGCAATCATAGCAGCCCAAGAGACCGGATCTCTCTTTGGCATTTTGTCAAAAAGGCTCTTCGCTTCAGCAACATCCCCACACTGAGCATATCCGGTTATCATCGTGTTCCATGTACTAACATTCCTACAATGCATAACATCAAACAATTCCTTCGCCATCTCCATCTTCTCACCCTGCACATACCCTGCAAGCATTGCGTTCCACGAAACTTCGTTTCTCTCCGGCATCACATCAAACAATCCTCTCGCTTCTTCCACCATTCGGTTCTGCACATATCCTGAAACCATCGCTGTCCATGTAAACACATCCCGAGCAGGAGACTCGTCGAATAGCTTCCTCGCTTTATCGATTTCCCCGTTCTGTGCATAGCCAGTGATCATCGTGTTCCATGAAACCACATCCCTCATCACATTCATACTATCAAAAAACTCTCTTGCTTTCACAACGTTCTTCTTCTTGACAAACCCACCAAGCAAGCAATTCCAAGAAACCAACGCCCAATTCTCTCTCGACTCAAACAATCTACAAGCTTCCTCCATCCTACTGTTCTGAACATACGCAGAGAGCAACGCGTTCCAAGATACTTCGTTCTTCTCAGGCATTCGATCAAAAACCTTCCTTGCCTCATCAACACACCCGCTCTGAGCGTATCCAGATAACATCGAGTTCCACGAACAAACGTCTCTCTCAGGCATTCTCTCAAACAGTTCCCTCGCTTTCCCGAGATTCCTGTTCCTCACGTACCCTTTGATCATCACGTTCCATGAAACTAAATCTCTCTCAGGCATTTCGTCGAACAGCTTCCTTGCGGATTCGAACTCTCCGTTTCTCAAGTACCCTGAGATCATGGCGTTGTAAGATACCGAGCTCCATCTGGGCATGCGCTCGAAGACACGAAGCGCCTTGTTGCACATTCCGTTTCGCATGTAGCTGCTTATAGCTACATTCCACTCTCTTATATCCGCGTCTCCGGAATTCGGGAGAATTTTGCTCTGCGATCTCTGGATTCCGGTTTGAGTTCTCTCCGAAGAGTGAAAATTTGCTTCATTGTTTGCATTGAATCTTGGTTTGAGTCCATTGAAGGATGATGTATGTTGCTTCCGAGCTCGCCACGAGAGAGCACAAAGCTCTTCTAAACGTTTGTTCCCGCGCATAAAAGACTGTAATTTTGAAAAATGTGATCTCAGAGTTTCGTTACAATAAAATAAAAAGTCTTTTTTTTTTTCACCACCGGAGAGCCGATTTTGACGTTAACGTTTCCCGGAGAAGCTGCTTACGCCGCCGTGTATCTTATTACAGTATCCGTAGATGGGCCTGACCAATATGGTCATAGATGGGCCTTATTGATATTCATGGATGCATTGATTGTTCAGAGTTTTGACTCCAATGACTCTGTTGCTTGATGACAAGAGTTGAGCCAATGATCTCTTCTTAAGACTATAGCTGCCATTATACTATTTACATTGTCTAATGTGTTTGCAGATAAAGGAGCGATGATCATAACATCAGCCCATCGTCTAAGCTCGATACGAATCACATGATCACCAATCTTCTTCCAGCTACACCACTCATCTTCATCCGTATAAAGAGTTACGTCTCGAGGAAGAGAAGGTTTTAAGACAATCATTAAACGTCTAAAAACCCACTGAAACGGATAATTTCAGAACAAGATTTTTGAGTATTCATAAACTCCCAATAAATCAACAAAACAAATTTAAATCGTGACGACAAATACGTTGAAATTCAATTTCAGAACGAAGAGTTTAACGCAAAGGTGCAAAAGTATCACCAAGGTCACAGCTACACAAAAGATATCAGCAAAAGCTTAGGAAACGACCATTAACACTAACTGTTTTTTTGTGTACCATTCCTACGAACGTACAAACAAACCTAAATTGAAAAATCAAACATCAAACCAATCAGTCTTTCTTCTCCAAACAAATGTTTTCCTAAATTGTTCCCCCTAAAAACACCATAAAGAACATTCTTCTCCATTTATCCCTTTGTAGAATGAGTCAAATCAGCTTCTCTACATTCCAGCCGCTATCTCTTGGACCTCCTCAATCGCTGAAACTGCTATTTGCAACTTGTCTGCAGCTTGCTTCACTTTCCTTTGCTGCAAACATCATTCAATTCACAAAATTTATCACGTTATTGCCCCTGTAATTCTTTAGTATTAGTTCTAAGAATCATTTTCAACTAGAGAGACAACTAATCAAATCTTCTCAGCCAAAAATACATGTTGTAGAATCAAACTGTATACATTTACAACTATCCTTTGTGACCCACACAACACAATGTCTAAACTTTAAACCAAATCGATGAAAGGATGGTGTAACCAAGAATACAGTAATAAATAATGCATAAACCAATATCAAACTATTAAAGCCAAGTGTGGATAATTGACTTACCAAGAGTGCGGCTCTTTTCTTGAGCTCTTTAGGGTCTGCAGCTCCTTGTCCAGTTGTAGCTTCTGTTGCCTACATGCGTGTAAAACAGAGTTTGACATAAGTATATACACAGTACGTATAAGCATGTTTGTGCGGTATATGAACGAAACATTGACTCATATGAAAATGATAATGACTTACTGGATAGACCAACCACTTGCATTTCCACATTATACAACCAAAAACGAAGCTTTAGGAAATACAACAAATTTAAGATAAGATACACTTACCCAAAATGCACATATTTTCAAAGTTCTTGCACAAAAACATACCACATCAAAAAGACAAAGACCAGTGACAAATAACATATTTCGCTTATGAATTTTTCCATTTTGTGCAGAAGAAACAAGCAGTCAATGACAACCATAAACTTATGCGTATAAAGACTTTATGCTAAAACCATTTTTGACATTTTGTCAATAAAAAGGAGAAAAGAGAAATACCTTGTTTGGCCTGCCCACAGTCTTCTTGGTAGCAGCAACTTGCTCACTTTGAGGTTTCCGTCCACGTTTCTTAGCTGGAGCCGCCACAATCGCAGTAGCTGTAGCCGCCACGTCATCTTTCTTTGGCCTACCTCGTTTTCTGGAGCCATCTACAGTAGCAGCCACAGGCGCCGTCACAGCCTGAGTGTTCGTCCTCTTTGGCCTACCACGACCGCTCTTCACAGCCGCCGCCGCAGACGCCGCCGGAACAGCTGGTGGAGCTCCGTTTCTTGTCGAGCGACTGCTTTTCCTAGTCACCTGAGCTGAAACGGCACCGTTTGCTGGGGCGTCGGATTTGGGCTTCGGCGGTCGACCACGGCCGCGTTTCTGGGAACCAGACGCGGCTGAGACGGCGGTGGGATCGGAAGGAGTATTGTTGTTGCCAGGCGCATCTCCGCCTGCATCGGATCTTGGAGGCTCAGGACCAGTTCCTTGACTCGCGGGAGAGTTTTCAGATCTTCTCGCCATGAGAAATCTAGATTCGAAATCAGAGAAAAACGGCGGTTTAACGGAATCTCAACCCCTAGAAAACGGAGTTCAACGAAGACTAAACCAAACAAAATACAAACTCGATTCCGCGAAAACTCTACAGAAATTCCGATGTAGCAAACCAAGAATCTAGAAATGAAGAACAGTAAAACTCAGATTCAGGCTATTACGTAGCAGTACGGAAGAGATTTAAACATTTCGAGAAAAGCTAGGGTTCGCAATGCACGACGTACCTTGTTGAGCTGAGGAGGAGGATTTGCGAATAAAATAGTGAAGAACGCTTGAGGAAGCTGAAGGATTGAAGAAAGAAGCTGCGACGAGAAACTTGGCTAAGAAGAAAGATGAGAGAGATGGTTTGTTAAGCGGTTAGAAGAAAGTCACCATGGCTGGAGCTTGGAGAGTAAAACGAACGACCGAGAGGTTCAGAATCTGTTGCGTCAACCAATACGAGTCCACCTGGAGTCCTTCTTTTATATTATCAACAAAGTTATACTGTAAATCGAAGTAATTTTACAGACATTTTAAAGATAAATCACCGCATTAGTTTTAATGATTTCTGGATTATTTTATTTATTTATTTTGGTAGTTTTAATAAAATCCTTGCAACCTTTTTTTGTCGGCGTGACCTTTGTAACTTACATGCAAAATTGGTGATTTCTTTTTCACATTCAATAAAACAAAAATTGAAAACTACACTTCTTTTTTTCAAATTCAAAATTTTTTTTTGGAGGAATAAAGGTTTCAAAGGTTGGAAATGGATAAAAGGTGTGAATAAAACCGTTCTACCATCCACCTGATTTTTTCAATAATGACTTGAAACCGGATTTCGAGTTGTAAACAGAGCAACTGACATAAGCAACGTTAATTTAATGGCTTAACAACATAATGACGCAAGAGAACATAGAAGAAAGAAACCATCATAAAAACTACATAGCGTTTTCTTGAGAACATTAACTCCTAAAAGCCTAAATAAGAGACCAAATAAAAAAAGAAGAAGAGAACAGAGTCTAAGAAACATGAGTACAAAGCAAAAGCCTACAGATATGAAGGAGAGGGAGAGGGAGAGAGAGATGGTACATAAACAATGGCAACATCCTAATCAACTTTACAGACATTACCCTACCTCTCCTTGTTGTTTGGTTAGAGACAATCATCATCATCATTTTGGTTTTTGTTTTCTTTCTCCTGCAAACACACCTTATAAGACTAAAAAATCCATGGTAACACACAACAAACAAACCCACCACCATCATCATTCATCAACCACTTGTGCTAGCTTTGATAAGTTGTGTCAAGCCTCTCTCCCTCTCTTTAGAACAGAGCTTCTTGCATAGCCTCTGCTTCCGTCTGCGATTGTCCATGTCCCTCGGGTTCAGTTTCAGGGTGGTGAGCTTCTTGCATAGCCTCCGGTTCAGCTTCAGGGTGGTGTTCATCTGGCTGCACTGCTACCATGTGCTGCTGTGGCTCCTCTGTTGTCTCCATTGTTGTTACTGTTAGCTCTTCCAGGTCCTGTATGGCTTGAGCCACTGCTTGGTTTTCTTTTCCTACCATCTCAGCTTTTAACACATCAACAACTCTCTTAGCCTTCTCTTGCTGCATAAACGAGATACCAAATCAAAGTATTAGCATGGAGAGTTTCGCAATTAGGAGGAAAATGAAACCAATTTATAATCACAAAGTGTTTTTGTTCACTGATCGACTTACAAACAACTCAAACTTCTTCTTGAGTTCACCATAGCCAATAGCTTGTTGTCCAGAAGGTCCCTTTGACACGGCATTCTAAGTTTGGAAATGGCACAAAAAAAAAGATGTTAAGTATGATAGCTCATTGATAAATCAGATTAACAAATCACAGTCGACATTAATAGAAAGTCTTGGAAAACACTAATTCTTGAACATTGATTAAATAACCAAATCCATGCTTTAAAAACAAAATTTGCTTAGCATTTGTGCATCAAAAGCTAAATTCTTATCTAATTCTAAACAATTATTACTAGCTAAAGCGAGCCACCGACCATTGCTGATTACCAAACAAAGAGAATCTTAAATTAATAGCACACCAAAAATCAATAAGCAGAGGCCAAAAGCAGAGACACGAATATGATTGAGACAACATTCATTCAGAGTGGAAAGTGACATTTATTCACAAGACAAAAGTTCCAACCTTCTTTCTCTTATCTATTTGACTCGGCCTAGGTTTCGAGAATTATTAATGTGATCGCAGATACTGAGAAAACAGAATAAATTTTTATACCTTTCTGGGTCTACCAACGGGTCTTCCAGTACGGAAATAGCCTCGCTTCAGAGGCTTCCTGATAACACCTCCGACCTTAGGAGGCCGTCCTCGTCCTCTCTTCGCAACCACGACCAACTCTCCTCCAATCGCTGCGTTAGGTGGTGGGGGCGCTGCTGCTGCTGGAACAGAGGAGGCACCTGCATCAACTCTCCTTGGTCTTCCTCTGCGTCTGACACCACCGTTAGCAACATACGGGTACACCGAAACCGGAGCTGAGACGACCGCTGGCTTCCTCTCCCTCCCTGCAGCTCTTCCACTCGGAGGCCGACCTCTTCGTTTCGCGATTTCCACACCACCGGAAGAAGAAGAAGCAGCCTTAACCGTAGGTAAAGCTCCGTCTTTCCTAGGACGTCCCGGTGGTCTCTTAACCGGCGGCTGAGGCTGTGCCTGTATCACTTCTTCCGGTCGAGAAATGGTTAATTCGTTCTGCTCCCAAGTGGGTTTCCCGTTAGCCTGGGAAACATCGATGTGTTGAACTTGGACGTCGGGTTTTGGTTTCGGAGGTCGTCCACGGCCACGCTTCTGAGTTAGAGGAGTCGCACTCACCGCCGGATCGGGTAAAGGCTGGTGCTCGTTGACTGGGTTACTCATGAAATCAGATCTGGGAGGTTCGAAACCAGGAGCTCCAGATGCAGCTGCAGCAGCAACGGCTACGCTCGTCGGAGGAGGTGTAGCTGCGAATTTGTAGGATTTCTTCACCATAGTAAGAATTCCATTGGCTTTCAGAGTCCGGAGATGGTGAGTAAGCAAAGCGCCGTGAGCAGGAGGTATCCCAGTGTAAATCCTCTCGATGTACCTCGAAATTGCTTGCTTGCTTGAGCCGTCTGGCTCGTTCAACGCAGCAATCGCTGTGCAGATCATCTATCAGAAATCGAAAAAAAAAAAAAAAAAATAGTCACTGAATTAAAAAAAAAAACCCTAGATAAGTCAAAATGTTGAAATTGTCAGTTACGGAGCTCAGATGAGCTTACGTCGGAGTAAGGAGGGTGGACGAAAGATGGATTCGGAGGAGCGACGGGAGCTGGATTCGGCGGCACTTGATAGAACTGGTTGTTGTTAGGCGGCGCGCCGCCATAGAAGGGGTGGTTAGCAGCAGCGTAGGGGTTGGGGTTGGTGAAGGGAGGAAAAGAGGTGAACGGAGGAGGATGGTGCGGATCACTGGTTACAGAGAGAGAAGGATCCATGGATTTAGAGAGAGAAAGCAGAGGAAGGTGATGAGATTTGAGTTATGAGCTATTTTTGTTTTTCTTTTCTTTTTTTCCGCTTTTAATTTCGTTGAAAATTAAAAAATTCTGTGGAAGGAGGAGATAAAAAAGGTTAGCTTTGGAGAGAGAGAGTGTAGAGAGGATGCAAATGACGAAAGGTGGGAAGAGAGTGTAATCGAAATCTGACCGTTGAAAGTGTCTTTTGGTGCCGATTTTACGACACGGATCGATGACCTGGCGATCCCTTTGTTTTATAAAAATTGAGTTTTGTGTTTCTTTGAACTCTTTTTTTTTTTTTCTCTTTCTTACAACCAAAACCGTATTATTTTATTCTTTTAATAATTTTCTGAATTACAGATTTTGATATTCATTCTTGTAAAACTACAGCTGTTATATTCATAAAATTTCTAGTTTTTACAAATTTTTAGAGTAGAATATATTATCATTTGTGATTCTTCTAATAATTTTCAGAACTACAGCTTTGTAAAATCTTTTTCGTAAAATTACAGGCTTTACAGAATTACAGCTAATATATTCATAAAATTTATCATTTTTACAATTTATAGAGGTTATCATTTAATTTGAACAATGAAAGTAAAGTTGAATGAATCTACTACACAATCAAATTTTTTTTTTTAAAAATAAATTCTTACGAAATCCTGACAAAAAGCGAATATACATGATCCAACATAATAAAATTAAATGCTTTTTCTTTCAAAATCCATAAACATGTAAAAACATTAATCATTTTTGCATTTAAAAATCAAAATGAACAATTAAAAATAAATATAAATATTTACAACAAATAAAATTATATAACCCACCTTTTTAATGATGCTTTCATTTTTTTTCATTTTACGTAAAAACAATAACAAATCAAAACGTCAACAATCTCCAAGATGAACTAAACTTTATTTAACTTCATCTCCCAAAACAGCTCATCTCAAAATTTCACATCCACAAATACATTTTGTTCAAAAAAGATATATAAAAGTTACTCTCATCGGAAATATTTAAAACTTAAGTTAAAATTTAGAAGACAAATGTAAATGTTTATAGAAAAGCATTAATAGATCAATTGCCAACAATACATATGTACAAAGTTCAGAAACACAAAAGCTGGCGGAAAATGTAGTTCAACTTTTAACCACAACAAAATGAATTACTAGATTGACTTCCTTAGTGATAGATAGCATATTAACATGTATGGAAAGAAAATAAATTGAAGTTTGTATTCTTTTGCACAAATTTTAACTTTTGCACAAGTTCTGCAGTCTCGTTGTATGTATTATCATTAGGAAGCTGATCCAATAAAGATTCTTCATTCTTCTCGTACTCATCTTTTGTAAGAGAGAGACAGACACCAATGCACTGTTTCCCTGACCTTTTACAAAACGAAGACATAATTCATTTCCTTTATTAATCTCTTAATGCTCCATTAGTATTTTTCTTTATTTGTAGCTGGCCAGAAACCATATCACTTCATTCACTAATCTCCACAAAATAATGAACCATCCTTCAAATTTGGTGAAACATGTTGATCTGCAATCAGTCTTCCTGTGATTTTCTCCATAAACTTGATGGCATTGTGATACTCTCGGTCTTCACAAGAATGGTCTCTCTGGAGATACACGCATGATCTCATATGCTATATTTGGTCTCTCGCTATGGTACAAAAACCATATGCACTTTCTCTTCTTCGTCCTCTTGTTTCCAAAAGAGTTATTCGCTTTTCTACAGCTTCTCCAACACTTTCTCGAGAGACTCAATCCGGAAGTGATCATGAATTGTAGCCAAGAATCCTGTCTCAAGGGAATCTTGCCGCTATTTGATCTGTTCTTGAACTAATTTGTGTTTCTGTTCTTGGTCCATTGAGACGCTGACATCTGTTGAGTCTGGGAGGAAAATAGCCATTTCCTGATCAATTTGGTGTAAATCAGCCGGCTTCTACTTGGTTTTGGCGGTACTGGCCATGCATACTGGAGAATCTGTCTCCAAGACGTTGGATAACGAGCAAAATAACAAGCATAGCATCAAACAAACATGTAGTCTTAGCGTGTTGAGCCCTAAGATCTTTTCATAACATTGGGTGTAAGAATATCTCAAAGTCAAGAAATATGACAAATATAGAGCAATTGAAGCATTGAACTGTGCACGCAGTGTTGCTATGTTGAGCAGCTTATGAACCTGAAACATGGCATAGGGGATCTTGGTTTCTTCATAGGCAGAGTCACGTGAAGAACTTCTTAAGCTTCGAACTGTAACTACAAACAAGTAAGAGAAAAAGTTCCTTATAACTTTACAGGAATCTCTTTCTTGTTGTAACTTGAAAAAGCAAACTTGGAATTGCTTGATTACTGACTCCTGATCTCGTTCTTGAATTTGTAAATGTTTGTGTGGAAATGATGCCTTCTCTAATTCTCATGGGACCGATGTTTTTGCAGTGACTTGTTCACAAAGGCTGTGTCGCCTCTCTTCAAAGGCTGTGTCGCCTCTCTTCAGCTTTGGTCTCATTTGATCGCTTAAATCAGAGACTTGGTCGCTTCCTTGACCATATATGAAGGTCCTCTCGAAGGCGTTCTCTTTTGAGACCTGAGCACAGGTATGTGTTTTTGACTTTCGAGTTGAAGATGAAAGCCAAATATCATATCTACTCTACAATCAAATAAAAGCCATTATAGAGGTGTTACGAGTTTTCTGTGCCTCATTTGGGATCTAAGGGTCTTGTGTTTGGTTGAATTGATGGATAAGCAAACGCTATACCTTCTTGCTGTTTTCAAATTTCTATGAAGAAATTCTCAATGTTTAACAGCGAATTAAATGGCAAGGGATCTTCATCAAACTAAAGCCAACTAGTGAGATAGAGATGAGTAAAGCTTCACAAATTCTAACTTCTATCGGACAAAGATTTTATGCCCTGCAACTCAAAAAGTGTGCAAGAAACCAAACATGAAATAAAAGAGAATCAAAATCACGTTTGTGGGTTCTGGAAATAGGGGAAAAAAATATCTCAAAACACTAATACAGAAGAGAATCCTTTTTGAGTCGATGGAAAAACTGGAGTGATTAAAGAGAAACTTTTTAGGAATTGATTCCCAGTCATGTCTTCTTCTTCTCTCTAGTAACGACCAATACCCCAAACCCTGATCACTCCATCAGTGTATCCACTGAACAATGTGTTCCATCTGCACTCCAGTTCAAGCTCGTGCAGTAGATCACCTGCATTTTCCATTTCCCATTAGTACATCATCTAAAGCCATAATCAAATCTCAAATCAAACCACAAACTTTGAAATTGCAACAACCAACAACTCAATCTTAAGAATGCAATCAGAGACAAGAACCAACTTAAACCAGATAAGTTTCTCAATCTAATCTAAACTACATTCTACACACGAAATGATATCATTCTTGTTAGGCATTCCTTGAAATAAAAATCACATTTTTAAGAGCAATGGCCAATTCAGTAAAAATGAATACTTTTAAGGAATCAAACAATTCAGACTATACAATATACAAACAACAGAGAAAATAACAAGAGTTATATGAAATGAAATACCTTAGTCTTGTTTGCGCCTCCAACAGCACCATCAGACTTCTCAGCCTCAATCTTGAGATCAACCCTCAAATCCTCAACAACGCTCTTGCTCTCAAGATCCCAGATCCTAATGCAGTTCTCAGTCGCCGCACACAACCAGTATCTGTTCGGGCTAAAGCACAACGAGTGAATAATCGAGCCAGCTTCAAGAGAGTACAACTTTTTCCCCTCAGCCAAATCCCACAACAAGATCACACCATCTTTCCCACCACTCGCACACAGAGAACCATCTGGCGACACCGCCACCGTGTTCAGGTAACCAGAGTGTCCGGCGAGAGTGTTCCTCAGCTTACAGTTCTGGAGATTCCAGACTTTCACGGTGTGATCCCACGAAGCGGAGACAATTGTAGGCACAAGTGTGTTAGGGCTAAACCTCACACAGCTCACCCACTCCTTGTGTCCCTCACCATCGGAGATCGTGTACTTGCATTCACCGAGCGTGTTCCAGAGCTTAATCGTACGGTCACGAGAAGCCGAAACGATCTGACGGTTATCAGTTGAGAAAGCAACGGAGAGGACGTCCTTGGTGTGTCCGACGAATCGGCGGGTGGAGACGCCGGTAGCGAGATCCCAGAGACGAAGCTCGCCGTCCCAGCTTCCGGAGAGAGCGAATTGTCCATCGGAGGAGAGAACAACGTCCTCCACGAAATGGGAGTGTCCGGTGAGCCTGCGCTGAGCGACACCGTACGATTTCTCGTCCTTGGTGAGTTTCCAGAGGATGATTGACTTGTCGCGCGACGATGTGACGATAATGTCGGAATTGTCGATCGGCGTTGCGATGGCCGTGACCATGTCGGTGTGGGCGACCATTGTGCCCTTCAACACGAGTCCCTCAGCCATGGTTTAGGGTTTGTGTGGGAGATAGAGAGAGGCGATGCAAGAGAAAGAGTAAAATGGAGGTAACAAAGAAACGAGGCTATATATACTCTGTAATTAGGGTTTCTTCTTCTTCTTCTTCCTTTCAGTAGTTTGGGCCTGCCTTTGGGCCGGATTATACTACCCAACTAGAGTTTATGGGCTTTTGAAGAAAAGTAGATTTTTTTTTATTCATTTTTACTATCTTGGCTGGAGCTAAAAGGGTAAAAGTAAAAAATCTTGTTTTGTGCTCTCATTTTGATAACCACACGAGAACTCTACCGACAAGACAAGTCGGTTTAATCAAACGAACCGAGTTGATGTAAGAAAGGAACTTGAAGAGTGTGTCCGTGTTTGGAATTGGGGATACAAAGGTTTTCACATGTTGGAATTAAGAAGAAGAAGAAGAAGAAGAATCTGGTGAGGAATTGGATGAAGTGAGAGACTAGAATCCTCATTTCTCTAGTTTTACTTTTACCTCATTGAAAGCGATCACATCTCTGAAGCAAAACCATCTCTCTCTCTCTCCCTCTCTCGCCGAGAAGTTTTCTCTGTTTTGAAGCAAGACGACCAAACACAAAGAAGATTTCTGCTTTCTGCTTGTCTTTGTCAGCTATGATCCTTTGGGTTCGACTTCACTAAGCTTCTCCAGCCATGGATTTCGTCAGGTTTCTGCTCTATTTTCTTTTTCAAAATCGTTTACTGTTTTCGTGAAATTCGAAATTTGGTTTCTTGGGATACTAATTTCAGTAGCTAAGGAAGGGGTTTTCGATTTAAATGTTAGGGTTTTTAACTGATTTCGATACCTTGTGGATTTAAAATTAGGGGTTTTTGGAAGAAGCATCGAAGAAAGGTTTTTGTGACGGCTGGTTGTTTGGGAAGTGGATATTTGCTCTACAAACTATACATTTCTCATACTCGTAAGCTTGCCGATTTGGAACGAGAGCTCGCTAACGAGCGTGAAAATGACGAACTCATCAAAACACAGTTAAGTTTTGAGCCTTTTTCGAAATTCTGTTCTTGTTATGGGTTCTCTTTACTAATTTTTGTCATGTTCTGTTTATACTCTTGCTTAGAATGAGAGCTCATTTCGAGAGTATTCAGATGATTGTGGACTCGACCACACTGCCTCACGCGATGCGGTGTTTGAGTGTTCGTATTAGCGAAGAGATCGATGTCTCTAATGTTATGGAGAGTCTGGATAAAGGGAAAGGAATGTTGAGTTCGTCTGAGAAGCTTCAGCTCTGGGACGAGCTCAAGATTTTGAGTATTGCAGTTTCCTAATTACTTGCTCTATCGAACATTGTTCTTTGCCAGTTTTGAGTGATCGCATTTGATGTTATTTACCTGTTATATGTTGCCTTTTTTTTGGCAGGTTTCACGAGGATGGTTTTGTCTGTGTGGTCAGTGACAATGCTAAGCTTGTACATTAGGGTTCAAGTCAACATTTTAGGCAGACATTTGTATGTTGACACCGCACGAGCTCTTGGCAGCTCCCATTTACTTGTAAGATATCATAACTGAAGTGTTATACTCTGATTAGTCTTTGATTAGTTTGTGTCGACTCTTACAGCAAGTGCTGTTTGTTGGTCCTGATTTTACTATTGAAATTTTATTTTGCAGGAAGAGTTAGATCTCATTGATAGAGATGATGAACAGAAGTTCTTATCAAGTGCTGATTTTCTCGTGACAAATGCAATGCCGAGTTTGATTACAGATATGCAGGGTGCAGTCAGAGAGGTTCTTAAAGGGTATGTAGCCAACAAAATAAAAAAAAGGTTTTCAATAAAAAACCCGATACATAGAGCAATCATAATCAAAAAAAATGCAGAAAATACATACAAAACAAAAAAAAAATAAGGGTCTATATTTTGCAGGAAGAGTTAGATCTCATTGATAGAGATGATGAACAGAAGTTCTTATCAAGTGCTGATTTTCTCGTGACAAATGCAATGCCGAGTTTGATTACAGATATGCAGGGTGCAGTCAGAGAGGTTCTTAAAGGGTATGTATGTTGCAAATCCGTATCTAGATCGTTACAATTTTGACAATTATTAAGAAAAACATAACATATGTGTTTGTGTTTTTTATTGCAGAAAGCAGTTAAAGGATGTAATGACCACAAGGGTTCTTCAAGAAACGGTGATACGGATAATGGATGTGTTCATGAGCAGTGGAAGTCCACATCACTGGGTTGATTACTTGATGATGCCTCAAGCCACAAAGCTTTCAAGAAACTCAAGTGGCTCTTCTTCTGATGAAACTGTGAACAAGTTTCACCAACTCATGGTTGAAACCAGAGCAGTACTCATCAGGTAGATAATAGTCTCTCTCTCTCTCTCTCTCACTTCTCACTTCTTCGTTACACTCTTGCGGCGATGATTGAGCATTGTTGGTGTCTTTCTTGTTGCAGCAATGAATTCACAAATATAGCTCAAATTTCGCTAAAGTGTTTCACGGATGCGTTGGTGGAGGAAATGGAAACGCAGAGTGAAGCTGGTGGTGGTTTAGCTACCGGAATGCCATTGGCGAAGGTGTTACCACAGATTGAGAAGACGATACCTGTGATTACAGCTGAACCGGGCAAGAACCGGTTCTTGAAACTCATCAGAGATCTGTCTGAAGTTCAGCTTTTTTTTACTCTTTTATACGCTAATATGCCTCAATAGAGCAACCTTTTCTTTAGCGTTCCACAAATCGCACATTGCAAATTTGTTTGCGTTTTGGCCCTTTTGGGTTTAAGTAGCTTCAAAGAAATGCAGGATTTTGTGTTTTGAGCATTGTAGAATTTGTTTGTTAAAGAAAACATTTTTTATTGGGAGCCTCTTGATTAGAGAATAATTAAAGCAATTTACATTTTTTTAAGTTGAAATAAGTAAACATTTAATGTTATCACGATCCCTCCATTGCGCCTAGAACTTGTACACAAGTCAACGGAAATAAGGTTGACTTTTTCCAATCAAGAAGACTTTATACATGTCCGTGATTTATGAGATCACCGGATAACCAAAACTTGTAAGAGTTATTGCAGGGTTTTTGTGGGAAAAATGTATATTCAGATGACAGACGGAGCTCCTCCACCGCCGGAGCAAACTTCCTTTGACCACCGGGTTGGTCATATGACACTTTTATTCTCAATCTCTTAATCTAATTTTGGTTTGTATACGAAGGTTAGTTTTTATATTTTTCTTCTTTTTCCGATATTGTTTATATAGATTGTGGAGCTTGAGAGACAGAAAGAGATCGACGATTGGCTTCCGATAACGTCATCGAGAAACGCGAAATGGTGGTACTCTACGTTTCACAACGTGACCGCCATGGTTGGTGCCGGCGTTCTTGGTCTCCCTTACTCCATGGCTCAGCTCGGATGGTACATAAGATTTCCATTTGTATTGTATTCAACGACTTATTTTTGAGTTTGCGTTTGCATTTGTTTTTTTCATCATATATTTTGCAAATTGGAAACGCAAACGCAGTACTTAAACAAAAATGTATCTATATTTTCCTAAACATTAAAGTTTATACATAATTTTCAAATACATAGTTTAACGATTCTGCATATACATTAAATTCTTATCCCTATTGTAGCATACATCAATTTATATTACGTATGAAACTGAACGAAATGTTTGAATTTTCACATGATTTTGTTTATATATGTTAAGGGGTCCGGGTGTGACAATACTGATACTATCATGGATAATAACACTCTACACGTTATGGCAAATGGTGGAGATGCACGAGATGGTTCCTGGAAAACGCTTTGACCGTTACCACGAACTTGGTCAGTTCGCGTTTGGCAAACGTCTTGGCCTCTATATCATCGTCCCTCAGCAAATTATTGTCGAAGTAAGCACCAATCTCCCATTCGATAGTACACAATTATTGATTTAATTTTCCTATAAGCTTTATTTATACACAAGTCAAGTATTTATATTGATATTCACTTTTAACAAATTAAGGTTGGAGTTTGCATAGTTTATATGGTGACCGGAGGACAATCGTTGAAGAAGTTTCATGAACTCGTCTGTCAAGATTGCTCACCGATCGCACTTCCTTTCTTCATAATGATATTTGCTTCTTCTCATTTCGTTTTGTCTCATCTCCCAAACTTCAACTCCATCGCTGCCGTCTCTCTAGTTGCTGCCATAATGTCTCTTAGGTATACTTATCATCTGATAGTTGAAATGATTTATGCATAGTATGAAGAAATTTGTCGATGATTCATTATTTATGTTTATTTTTGTTTTGGTAAAATTTATTTATGTTTATTTTTTAGTTATTCGACGATTGCTTGGACCGCTACAGCTGCGAAGGGCGTTCAAAAAGACGTTGAGTACGGCTACAAGGCGGGTACGACCTCGGCCACGGTCTTAAACTTCTTTACGGGACTTGGGGGCATTGCGTTTGCTTACGCAGGTCACAATGTGGTGCTTGAGATCCAAGCAACGATACCTTCTACTCCAAGTAATCCTTCTAAAGGTCCCATGTGGAAAGGTGTCATGGTGGCTTACGTGGTCGTGGCCTTATGTTATTTCCCCGTTGCTTTGGTTGGCTACGGCGTTTTCGGAAACGCTGTCTCAGATAACGTTTTGATGTCGCTCAAAACGCCGGTTTGGGCCATCGCACTCGCTAACTTGTTCGTCGTTATGCATGTCACTGGCAGTTACCAGGTTAGCTAGTTCACTTACTTTAGATCGGTTCATGGAACTTTCATTGATCATCTCTCGTTTTTTTGGGTTAACCATTGCTTTTAACGGTCCAATTTCAAATTATTAACAATTTTCTTCTTCTTCTGATTTCAAATATTAGCCTGTTTTGGTACATATATGAGACACACTTGATTTTTACATGTGTAAATCAAATATATCGCAAAATATTTGATTTTTTTTTTAATATATAAAATTTCAACTGCAGATTTTCGCAATGCCGGTTTTTGACATGGTGGAGACATTTCTGGTTAAGAAAATGAATTTCAAACCTTCTACAATTCTTCGTTTCATCGTACGGAATGTTTATGTTGGTAAGTACGTTAGTTTAAGCCTAATCTGGATTTCAGTATTTTGATAATATATGTAAAATTTTCTATAAAATGTGAGGACAGCTATAACGATGTTCATCGCCATCATGATACCGTTCTTTGGCGGCCTTCTCGCTTTCTTTGGAGGATTCGCGTTTGCTCCAACAACTTATTTTGTAAGTTCATTTATCAAATATCTCTCTATACAGATAATTTTTCATTTTTAACGGTAGATTTTAATAAGCACTAAAAATTGTTGTGCAGCTTCCTTGCATAATGTGGCTGATAATCTACAAACCAAAGAGGCTAAGCTTGTCGTGGTGGACGAATTGGGTAATGTCTCTTTTGTTCTCTCCAAATTGGATAAAGAGACTTTTTTTTTCTTCTGTTTCATTTTTTTTTTTTTTTTTTTTTTTTTGCGCAAATTTTTCTTCTGTTTCATATAGTTTTGTTATAGTCAATATAACAATGAGACTGGATACGTGTATGTAACAGGTATGCATAGTGCTTGGATTTATTCTGATGATCGTTTCATCAATAGGAGGATTAAGGCAAATCATCCTCCAATCCAAAGATTACGGATTATTCTCTTGATTAATTGTCCCTACCTAATTCTCACTACATAGAAATGGGTCATAATTGGTTCTCCCGTACATTTTGTATCTTTCATTTTTATCCAACCTTCTCTATCGGATGATGATAAATACAAACGTGGACAAATCAAAATTTTAAAAGCTACTTAAAGCTTAATAGATCAAATATATAAGTTCTGATATATTTTAATTTAAAAATATTTCCTTGATATTATATTGTTTGTGCACAGCACGAATCATCATCTAGTATAGTATTAGATAAGATAAACACATGTAATTTTATCTTTTTAGTTTCAGTCGCTGTTTTGATGAAGATCCTAGAGTACCACAAGTACATTGTTTTTTCGAAGAACCGACATCAACTTATCCATCACACGTAACTCAGGACAGAGACAAACAAACATGTTCAAGTCACAATACCCTCCACATGCCTTGCAGGGATTAACGCTCTCATCACAGTAATAATGTGCCGCAGATCTTTTGCCTTAAAACAAACCAAAAATATATCAATCTGAAAGGTGAAAATAGAAATTTTTTTTAATAAAAATACAAATGTAATTAGACAAACTTACAATTGAATCGAAAAGTTAGATTTGTTTTTCTCGAAACTCAGTTCAGTATAATGCTTATTATTTAACAAACTTAGGGTAAATATATATGTACTTACCGAAGATGAGAACAAGAAATATGGCCAACAATACAAATCTAAGCGAAACTTGCTTCATTATTATAAGCAAAAGTTTGTTGTTTTTTGTTTTCCACTATAGTGAGCAAGTTTATTCCTCGTTTTATAGTGTGTAATTTCTAGGTGGTGAATTTTGGTAAAGTTATCAATTAGGTAGTAAATTTGCTTATAACTCGAAGTCAAATATTTGAGCAAATAAATTGGAAGGACACTAACTTTACTTTTTTTTTTTTTTTTTTTTTTTTTTTTTTTGTTGTTGTTGTTGTTGTCACAAGAAAGAACAATAACTAAAGTGCGCTCGGTTAATGGAAAGATCTACTAATTGAGTAAATGATTTTCATATTTGTAATTTGATTTTCATATTTTCATATTCTCTCGCTCTAGGCTCACAAGCACAGGAAGCCACACAACAAGTTATTAGGTTTTTTACAAGTATAGTAGAAACTCTATAAAGCAATACTCGATAAATTAATAAACTCTATAAAATAATAATTTTCTCCGGTCCTAGATCGGACCAATGTAAAAATTGGCAAAATTCGATAAAATAATAAGATAATAATATTTTTGAAACTCCTATGTAAATATATGGTCCCACTAATATCATAAATTAATAATTACCATAAATAAAAATTTATGTAAATACATATCTATGATAATATACTAAAATATAAGTATAATTCACTTCTTTTCTACTAAAATTCAAATATATTTAGAATTTATCCCTAATTTTAGAATGAACATATACAAAATATAAAAAAATTAAAATTTTCTTATTTTTATTTAATTTAATATTTATTTTAATTATTTTTTTAATAAAACAACTCTTTTATTCAAGATCGATAATTTAATAACTCTATAAATTAATAAGACGTGAAAAAGAAAAATGTAACTATATATAATTACCATCAAGATATTCAAAATTTGAGACATACTCAACAAATATTGAGGGTTAAAAGTTGAAACCTATAGTTAGGTACCTTACATAGTTATATGTATACAGTGATAAAGAAGAATCATAAGCGTAGACTTAGCTAAGACTAAGAACAGAGACATAACAAGACCAACTCGACGAGCCACTCCCTTTGGATCTTACCACACATCAAGAATCTACAAAGCAATTTGTTAGAAAGCTTTTCTAAAGTGACTTCTTGGTTGGGTTCTTGATTTTCCAACCAAACCAAGAACTCAAGAATAAGTCATCTGCAAATCTGAAAACTTCATCCAAAACCATCCAAGCCTTTCTCCCTCCGTATTTCGTCTAAAATACTCTCCTGCTCACAGCTCTTTATGACGTTAGATCTGAGATAAAGGTTGGTAAGAATCCATACCATCGCGGCTTTCACTTTCGTCTCGGTGCTCTCGTATGTACCT